CCTAAAGAAATAACAAGCCGTTTGTTTCTAACGGTGACTTCAGTTTGAGAGTTCCACTTAGCTTGTATTGAGTAGTTTTGGTTCACTAATTGAATAGAAGCTGTGTTCTATTTAAATGAGAATAGGTATACTAGTATCGTAGAGCAATATCTAATTTTACATTTTTTACAGCTTCTCATCTGTTAGTAGTTGGTTGGTTGATGAATTTCAACTAGTAATCGGCCACTTTGTGCAGTGGTATGTACAATCATTATAGGGTACTACATTTTTTTTGCATTAAAATGCACTGTACATATACTTTTTGCTGATAAAGTATTTTTATATTTTTTTTTAATGGGTTGTTATCTGACAATAGCCCACTATTGTCAGATATTTGTAGCACCTGTAGCTCTGCGACCTACATAGATCTATTGTGCTCGCCCTTTTTCAAAGTTCGCTACCTAGACCCGTCAGGGACAAGAATTGAAGGATATTCTTAGGAGCGATGGTTTTTATCTCCTCGGGAAAGAGTGTAAACTTTCCAAAGGAGATATTTCGTTTATGCATGAGTGAGCATAGTACAGTAACTAATACAATAGGTGAAAGTAATTTAATATTTATTAAGTGTTTTTTTTTATGATTATTGTTATAAACGAATAGTCAAATATGTTCCTTTTCCTCTATCTGTATCAATTTAGACTATGTACAGTAGTGCGTGGATGTATTCGGAAATATTTCTATTGAATGTCGCCGTGATTATTATCTCTCTTCTTACCTTAAACCTATTATGACGATAAATAAATAAAATGATTGATCATTGTCATTCACAGTCATTTCTGGTACTGCTGCTATAGTAATACTATGATAATTGGTTACTTTGTAACTTAGATGATAGGTACTGACTGTTGCTCAAAATTAGAGTCCATTCAGTTCTTTTTACGTTATTCTCTAAATAGATAGAAAGAAAGCGCTAAATAGATTATGTCTATGAAACATTTTTCAATATTACTCGAGTAGTATTGAAACTTGTTTCAAAGGATATTTCTAATCATGAAGTAAGATATACGAGTAGGTATATAATAATTGAAAAGACTATACTATACTACTATTCTAAACGTTATTATTGTATAATGACTAGAATAATTAAACATTAATTATATTTTATTAAAAAAAAATACCGATTGGTATATTATCTGCACTTGTGCGAAGCGAGGGCCATTCGCGCGTATTCAATAAAAATAATTAAAATTCAATATGCAGCTGAAAAAAATAAATGTGAGTATTGACATTTACCAATAGTTATCATAATAATTACCATACGAAATCTGAACAAGCATTTGTTCCTACATCTAAATTCCTATATTTTTTACTTGCGCGACATTTAGTGACATTTAATGACATAATCTACATATAAGCAAACGCTGTTGGCGTGCGCGTGCGCAACCCGTTGTCAAGGCCGCACGTATCTTGACCTAGACGCCTACAACCATCAACGAACTGTCAACGCCCGTAAATAAAGGCCGCGGTGCAAGTAAAGAAAGACAGCGATAAAATTTGGTCGTGATATTCTAATTTATTCAATTATATATTAAATTAAAAAAAAAACATAGTGCTGAGAACATAATCTGGCAGCTGAAGGAATAAGTGTGTAATAGTGTCTATGTTGATTACCGCATGTCTTCTAATAGGTACTGTGTATTTATTTATTCAAAAGTGTTTTACTTATGCTCTCTACGTCAAAGGGGATTCCGAAAATATTTTTTTTCACCAGCAAGTATGCTCACATTGTATATCATGAGTTATTCTATCATTTCTATTGTCTATTCATTCATCCTAATATACCCAGTAAACTAGCGTCTTCTACTTCTAAAGTATCTTTCAAGTAATGGTAAATATTAGAGGTGCGGTGGTAATATATTTGACATGTGGATGTGGAAGGTATTCTCCTCACCTTTGGGTGATTACACTCATCAAATTCGCCCTTTGAGTACTTACAACGTTCTTATGTACTATACCTCACAAAGTTTCCTTTCATTTACATTTCTGGTTTTCACGTACACTTTTTACACGTAACAGCAGAAAACCATTTCATCGACCTCCAATTGAATAAAATATAGTCATTGGCAAACGTCCAATGTAAAATGTTATGTTAGTTTTATTGTCAATATTTTATTCATAAAGCATATAAATTGATTAATTGAAATTCTGTAAACACATCGATATAAAACGGAAATGCTTTTATAATGAATGTATCAGTGAGTTAATGATTTTATATGACCATTTTGTAGAATATATGATTTTAAAGTGTTGTTCAGTATATTACTGAGCGTTAATAAGTTAAGAATATTATTACTTCTTGGTAATAATTATTTGCTACTGGTATGGTAAACTATCCATACCAAATTTCATTCCAAATTGGAGCGCCACGTAAATGATCTGTGTTAATTTTAATTGTTATGATTTGTTTTCCTTTTTGAGATATTTTCCCATATACATATATAATACTATACTCAACTCAACTAAACTATAACTCAATATATTCAATGCACCTTAATAATTTAGCTAGATAAATATTAGAAACACGTTATCACTTTTACAACAGTATTAGTGATTTAAGATATTTGTTCCGTAAATAAAAGGATATTTCATCAGCAGTCATCAAATAACATCAATTTGAATGAGTTCGACTTTCCCAAGTCGATTATTTGGGCAATATTTGTTGCTATATTTTTACGATTAAATACAAAAATTCTATGTCGATTTGCGGTCTACACGCTACGCTCGTAACTTTGACCAAACATCACCATAAAATTTAAGTCATCTCAAACAATTAAAATTGAACTTTAGTATTAGCCGCTTCAAAGTTAAAAATTCCAATATTTTTTACGATTTAACATTGTAAAGTCATTGTCTTACAGTATTTCATTCTATGCAAATATTTCCCAAAGCCATCAACGATTTACGTGAAATCCGTATGAGTAATTCCACAAATGGATTATATTTTCCTTATGCGCGCTTCAAGTTCAATATTAGCCAATTGTAAATATTAGTTGTAGATAAATATGGAATGGTGCACTCTACTGCGCTAACGGTAGGTTGGAAACCCTGTCAGGAGATGATAGTTTAGTAAGATATGTAACCTTGAAACTTCATAAGCGTATCAAAATTTACAAATAAATACTTGAAACTATTCGAAAAAATGTCTTTGGGGATATTTAGAAACTGAGCGCATAATTTGTTAGTTGAAAGATATTTATATTCACTAAAATTATTTTATAATATGCATAGCGCAAAATAAGTTCCAAATTAGATTATGTTAGTACATAAAAATAGGTAATTGAAATAAAAATGACTGATAAATAAATAAAATAATGATATTTATTAATAATTATGTCTAGATTTGTAAAATTATTTACAGAAGCATAAACAATCAAATATATTTTTTTGCATAAGAGGGAAAGAAGAGGGTGAAAGAAGTATAATGATTGTTGTGCCCACCACATTCCTGGCAAAATAAACATTCATTTCATTTGGTGGAGCAGGTGGAGTGGCACTACTAGTAATGGAGTATCGTTTTTTTTCTGGATGATAGTGAAATGGTACATCCGCCTGCTCTAACAGTATACGCTGGCGAGACATCATCGCTGGATGATAGGATGAGCATGAAGTTAGGTCAATTTGTCCATCGTCGGGAATTCGAGTCGATCTGACATGGTGTCATCGACATGACCTTGCTGGCAATAGGGTTACCCACTGCCTGCAATGTGTATTGTCAGGTATATATCATTACTCATAATTCCCTCAACCCTGGGGCCGCTAGTAACAGTCCTCTAATATCGACTTTTTTTTTTGTATTGATCCGTAACAAGATATACTATACTATGGGTAATAACAATGAAGTATCACTGCGAAGAATAATACTTTCTTTGTCAATATTAATTTCCAGAATACGATTACAAAATGTACCAGCATAACAAATAATTTAATTCCATTATACAATAAATAAGTAATAAATGACCAATTTGTAACACACGTGTAGTTAATGTGAAACAAAAATTTATATAACATTTTAGTGTTAAATCTACAAATAAGATCCGTGTGTAGATATTTCAAAAAGGCAAATAAATTTTCGGCCGATCGCAACCAACGTCGTTTATAAGACGTTTATGTTCTTCGAGACCGATAAAATCACTCTTTATTGCTTGGACAGATGTGAAATGTACGTAAGCTTGAACTATCGGATATCGTGTGTACCGTTTCTTATAAATGTGTCTTGATTATATATATTTTCGCGCCATATTATCTGTGACATTCAAGGCACAATCTAGGACCATTGCGAGTACGTGTCAATCCATTTCACATCTACTACGAAGTAAATAACATCTACAATAGCTATATTTGTGAGATAAAGATAGCGTAATTATGTATTTTAATCCGTTTACTGGTTAATAATATACATTTTATTATAGATAAGTAATTATTATAAGCTAAGGAAGCTAAGGCAGCTACTATAAGTAGGTATTAACTTATACTTATTGTATCTATAAAGATTTTTAAGAAGGTTGAAGAATATATACATTATTAAATTTGTATATGTTAATTAGGAAATCCTTCCGCGTAGATATGTAGTCCTTATTACAGTATCCAGTCCTTATTATAATAATTTTTTTATTAGAAAGGAATCGTTCTAAAATTGATACAAATTAGCTACATACCTCTCTCGGGTGCATATTAAAACTGATAGGTGTAATTTATATTATAGTTCAGCCAATCTACCTTTACATGTATTTTAGTCCTTTACGCGATAAATCGGAGAGAAATATAAATTCGTCTAAAACAATAGAATATAAACACATAAAAGTTTTCGAATAAAAATTTATTTTATCAAGCAAACACAAAATTAATTGAAAGATTTTTTACTTTGACTTAAGAGTCACACCATATGTATTTTATTTAATAAAAATTTATTTTATATTCTGATTACTACGTTACAGTAAACATATTATTTTTATGTTTTTCAGATGGAAATGAGGAGATACAAGTCGAGGGGTACATCGTTCCTAACATATTGGATATTCCTTTTACAAGTAAGTTTATGTTTAAATGTAAATAAGTGTGCTTTTTTGAAATGCAGTTATTTTTAGTGGTTTGGTATTAAATTTTGTAATTTTATTATGTAATTGGATTAGCAAACAAGCTGACGGCTCACCTGAAGGAAAGTTGTAATTATACAAAATAATACAAATATTATTCCTGCCATATTATAGTACACAGTAGTACTACATTTTTGTAATAGTACTATATAACACAGAAAAAATTAATTGAATTTTCGCATGTCTTTATCCTGTAACACATAAACGTTTTAAAAATGATCTGTTGTTTCAGTTGTAAGTCGTCATACCAAAAATTAATAACTATTCATGAAAAATAAATTAATGAAAAACAAATGTCTAGCTATATTTTCTGTCTAATTTATATGTACTAACTTAACTACTTTACTAACTTAAAAAAAACTATTTTTTTTAATCAATAAGGCGGTAACTTTTATAACAGAATTTTATACATGTTTTATAATAATTGTTATACGTTGCTAGTCCTTAGGACAATATTTGTCATGCGTTGCTATTCCTCAGGAGAAAGGTGTTGCCTTTGTACTGAAGAATTACTCTGCTATACGAGTATCTCCGTCTTCAAACTTTGCTTTTGGCTCAATCAGAGAGATGGTGAACAGTCTACGTAATTATGATGAGAAATGTCTTGGCTGCAGATGCTGGAAAGCGCGCGCCGCGGTGCGGAAGGTCATGGCCGGCTGATGGATCCCCCAGCCAGAAACTCCATGTGGCGGTTCGGGTTCCCCAATCCAGTCAACTATAACGACAACGAGCTCTTCTGCGGCGGGTATGCCGGTAGGTTTTTTTCTATACCACAAACATAAACTCGTACAGAGCAGGAGAGAGGGGTTGCTTTGTTTGGATGGTTGATGATGATGAAACAGTGCACGACGCTAACGGTTTATGCTGGCGGGGCTCCACTGGAGGATGATAAGATAAGCATGAGGTTAGGTCAGTTAGCCCATCGTGTCAGCTCCTGGTGAATTTGTCAATTGGATGATTTTCGGGGGAAACCGCGTGGAGGTCGCAGTACATTGCTAACTATGGGGTCAGTAGGTCACATTACTAACAATGCCTGGTTAATTCTGGGTGAATTCACCACGGGGCTAACTGACCAGGTTTTATGGTCTAGAAAGACCATGAAACCTCTTTCATATATATCCTCACACGTATAGTGATGTGTACTATTCACAGCATTTGTAATCACAAATGCTGTGAATAGTATATGTTATGGTTATTATTTTCCAGTCATGTTAACTCGTATACTATTCCAAATGGTATGATTATAACGAGTATCAGTACCTTGTAGGTATTAATACTCTTGTATAATAAGAATATACATATATTCGACGACCTAGCACACCGCCTTACTTCCGATAGTCGCGGGTTCGATTCCTCTCACTACACAAACATTGTATTCATGAGTATGATTGTTTGTATCGGTCTGGGTGGTGAACAATAAGGCAGTAAATTAAAAACAAAACTCTTTCAAAACAATTTCTGCCATGTGTGTTTACTACTCGTTTTACTCTTCATACATGAAATCAGACTAAAATCCAAGTAATCTAGTACAGTTCACTATTTATAATACGCGACAAACCTCGTAAAAACAAACGTCACACTATTTTTCTTGCCTTCTTGTTATCACTCTCAGTGTATATTAATATTTGCCAACTAGCTTGCTTGTTTGTGGCTAGGGTTGCCAGAGCGCCAAACCTAACAGGCCAAGTTTGAGGATTTTGTGTATAGTAATATAGGTACATCAAAAAAATATTTATTTTTATTGTTACCACAGATCTTGTTAAATTCTAATGAAAAGCAATTACACAAATAAGTCCTATGTGCCTGCTGTTACTTCAAAAAGCAAAATAATCTAAATACAACAAAACTTCTCTTAAAGTGAAAAAATAAAAATTATTATTTATTTTACATTAAAAATATTGTAAAAATTCTAACAAAAGCAGGACAAGTCGGACACCGTTTATTTTGGCCGGACACGGAATCAAAGTCTGACTATATCCGGCCTCATCAGGACGCCTGGCATTATTTTATCCGGACACGCATTGAAAAAGTCTATGTCCGGATTTATCCGGCTGGCAACCCTATTTGTGGCATGTGGTGAAGATGTTAATGCAGCATCAACATCCGTGTTGTCTACCGACCGGTATGTCACGGGGCATTATCCTTGCATTTTGAACAATTGGGCAAACATTTTTTGTCCTGTACTTACACATTAAGCTAATGAGCCGCGAAGTCAACGGCTTGAAAAGGAATTAGGGTCAGCGAACTTAGCTTTCATTACCTATTCTGTACCCACTACTTGTAGAGATAGACGTTACGTTTATAAACTAGAAAGGAGCATAACATAGCGAATAATTGAAAATTTTTTTTCTAATGAAATATTAATTTTAATTTTATTATTGATAGAATTTTATAACGACATATAATATGTATAAAAAATTGCAGGCCGAACGCACTGGACATAATCTTACTAATATTATAAATGTGAAAGTAGGTATGTTTGTTACGCTTTCACGCAAAGATTACTAAACCGATCATCATGAATTTTTGTACACATGTTCTTGGAGGTATTAGAATGAACTTAAACTAAGATGACTAAGACTTTTTATTTAAAAATAGAATATTTTTTATAAATAATAAAATATTAACATTTTGCTACTTCAGCGCCATGTACCTAATGAAGTTATGCGTGCGAAGCCGTGGGTAAAAGCTAGTATTTAATATTGTTAAAATCTATTAAGGCAGTGTTTTTTATTTAATTTCGTGATAATCTCTATGGCTTGGTGACAGTAACCCTGCCTGGTTATATTATTGACATAGTTATGTTTTTTTCTGGTTCCATTCATTGCGTATCTCGGGTCTGGGTGTTTTTTTTTATGGATAATAATGGAATGGTGCACCCGCCTGCGCTAACGGTTTACGATGGCGAATGGAGGATGATAAGATGAACATGAGGTCAGGTCAGTTAACCATCGTGACAAATTCACCAAGAATTTATCACGATGGTTTCCAGGGGGAACCGCGTGGAGGTCAACCTGATCTGAATGCACCATGCATTGCTAGTAATTTGTTCATTAGTCTACATTACTAAAAATCCCCTCCCCCCGGGTCTGGGTGTTGGTGCATAGACATAAATTATTATTATTAATAATAACAATATTCCTGGAAAAATTACAGAAGGTTACTTAGTCCTGAGCTAAGCAGAGCTTGTGTTATGGATAGTAGAAAATACATATATAATCTACATAGAGAATATGTAACAATACAAAGTATCATTCTCCTCGATTCCTTGCACTATACAAACAATAAACGTGTGTACCGTGCGTGGAACCCGCGACCATTTGAAATAAAGCGGTATGCTAAACTGCCAGACCATCGACGCCGTCAAAAGCAGCAAACAAAGTAGTTGTGTCATTTTCTACCAAATCCACGAGATGTGGGCGTGAAGATAAATGTATACTCGTACTTATTTAATTATAGAGAAGATTGAATGAATTATTGATAATTAAATAATTGCAAATAATTCTTTCAATCATTACTGTACTGAACAATTGATATGAATAACATTTTTTACGTTAATACCTATAGAATACACCCACTGAGCAAGTCATCGCTGAATACACACAGAACAATACAAGCAAAGCCAGAGAAAGCCGTTTTTAGTGATTAAAAAAAACATTACACCCACTGAGCAAGTAATCGCTGTATTCAGCGCTAATACAAGCAAGCTAAACAAAGCCGGCGAGAGCCGCTTTATTTGATTAAAAAACATGTAAAGAAATAGGTTTTTTATTGTTTTTATAAGCAGCCTCGTGTCAATACGTTAGTTGTGAAGCCAATTAAGTAATCCCAGTGAGTATTAGGATTTTTTGCTTCTTTTGTGCGTGATGTCTCTATACATTTTTTCTCCTTTACTGATTCTCACGAAGGCGCATACTAAAGAAAAAAATATTAGTTATGCCCGCGGTTTAATTCGCATGAAATTTATAGCCTATATGTAATCCTGTTGTGTAAATTACATTATTGTGAACTTCCTCATAATCCGTTCAGTAGTTTTAGCGTGAAAGAGTAACAAATTTCCATCTATCCATGTATGTATCTTTCCATTCAGAAATTCTAGCGTTTATAATATTAATAAAATATGTACTAATATCATTAGATATCCGAGTATCGCCATTTTTCATAATTTTTCAATGTAAAAGTATATTAACGAATGAAATAACTGTAATTGTTGTTTATTAGTTAAAAAATCGAATAGATTTTTTTATAATTCTATCAAACGAATCTATTTATTAATTCTATTAAACTGCGATCTTTTATAATGTCTTTTTTTGTTCATAATGGTTGAACTCTAATGTGAAAATTATTTTACCTTTAAATGGGTATAATGAATGATAATTGATAACTAAAGGTGCACTCGACTTTTGACATTATATTATATATTTCTAAATATAAAACGTAAGTTCTAGAATAGTATATACTGTTTTATTTGTAAACCGATTATAATTCCACAAATATTAAATTTTGAGTGAAGCTTACTACGATACATTAAAGAAAACTGCACCCTAATCGATTATGCCATTTCTAAGATTAGCGCACACACACGTACATAAAAACAGATAAAAAATTTAATAATAAAAATTCCATTTATTATGAAGCTCACTGTTGCGGCCTGACATGACTAGAACAGACAGACCAATTGACTAGACACTCATACGACAGATATAAAGACGGACGACAAGGAGCTCTCTTTTTTCATAATCGACGACAATCTTCACGGTCGTGCCGACAAGCAGACCGTTCACCCCCCAATAGTAGCTTTTCTCATATATTCTTATATCTCCCATGTAATTTTTTTTTCATATTTTTTTCACACAGCGCCATCTAGTCCCAAGTTAAGCTAGCTAAAGCTTGTGTTACGTACGTAAGTATTAGATAACTCATACAAGTACATAGATAATTTTTATTTTCGTAAATACATACATTTTATACATAGAAAACACCCAGACTGATACAAACAATCATACTCATGAATACAAATGTTTGTGCCGTACGAGGAATCGAACCCGCGACCATCGGACGTAAAGCGATGTGCTAGACCGCTAGACCACCGAGGTCGTCAAGTCGTTGTTATTATGTGTATAGATTCATACTTGGCTGTTATGTATTTTTTATTAGAATAATTCCTTTATTTGATTTGATTAATATCTAATAAAGTACAATGACGAAGCGTGTTTTTTTTCAAGTAATTATTAACCAAATCATCATCGCTAATCAACGAAGGTGAATGATCGCGAAATGATGAATCTATTGTGTTATTACGACTTATTAGGGTCTGTGTAAAGTTCTTCATCATTGTATCTATATTTTTTGTTTATGGTTTCAATCACCATACGTATAAGTATTATTTGATTCGTCCTAATTTATTATTCTCGTAATTCTTAGCTTATCTCCTTTAAGTTTAAAGAGATAAATAAAGGCGAGATAAAACATTACAAATAGTATTTATTTATTATCATTACAATAGTATAACATTTGCTTGATATCCTCAAAAACCAGGTTATAACCTTAGATAAGGTCCCATTACAAAGTAGCACCACAGGTGAGATAACATTACAGATTATTATTAATACCTAGAGGAAGAGATAGAATCTGATTGTTTCCTACTAATTGTTAGTTGGAAGAGTAATCATTTACTTCAGTATTGCATATTTATACTATTAATAACATGAAAGTTCGTAAGGATGCAAGTATGGATGTTTTTCATCTTATTAATATTATAAACGCTCCTGAAAAATTACGACCTCGGTGGTCTAGCGGTCTAGCATACTGCTTTACGTCCGATGGTCGCGGGTTCGATTCCTCGCACGGCACAAACATTTGTATTCACGAGTATGATTGTTTGTATCGGTCTGGGTGTTTTCTATGTATAATATGTATGTATTTAAGAAAAAAAATATCTATGTATTTGTATTAGTTACCTAGTACCCATAACACAAGCTTAACTTGGATCTAGATGGCGTTGTGTGAATTGTCCTGAGATTAAAAAAAACGCGAAATATGTGAGTATGGATTGATAGATGGTTGGGTGGATGATGTGTTAGGGGTATTAGACATTTGATAGAATATTTAGATCGTTTTTTATAAATACACACCTAATATACATAAGAAACGATCAGACCAATACAAACAATCATACTCATGGATACAAATGTTTGTACTATATAAGGAATCGAAACCACGACCATCGAAAATAAGGCGATGTGCTAAACCACTACACTACCGAGGGTGATAATAAAAGCATGAAAGTTGTTTAATATTGTTGGTATGTCCAGTCCAGTGGGAGCAAAATGGTGGTAAATGTGGCGTGTGCGGAGATGCGGATCATCTGACGATACCGAGGCCGCACGAAGCTGGCGGCATGTACGGGAAGGGCATCATCACCAGGCACTACAGCGTGGGACAGGTTAGTGACATCGTTCCACTTTATGTTCTTACCCAAATAGGGAATAAGCAATTATTATATCATCATCATTACCTGCTTCTTTCTTATCCCTTTCGTAGGCGACCCCAATGACCCATTCATTGGGGCACAATATTATAAATGTGAGTGTAGGTATGTTTGTTACCCTTTCACGTAAAGACTACTAAACCGATCATCATGAATTTTTGTACACATGTTTTTGGAGGTATTAGAATGAACTTAAACTAAGATGACTAAGACTTTTTATTTAAAAATCGAATATTTTTTGTAAATAATAAAATATTAACATTTTGCTACTTCAGCGCCATGTAATGAAGTTATGCGTACGAAGCCGTGGGTAATAGCTAGTATTTAATATTCTTAAAACCTATTAAGGTTGGTGTTTTTTATTTAATTTCTTGATAATTTCTATGGCTTCGTGACAGGCAGGCAGTAGGCAGGGTTATGTTATTGACGTAGTTATGTTTTTTTCTGGTTCGATTCATTGCGTATCTCGGGTTTGCGTGTTGGTGCATAGACAAATTATTATTATTAATAATAACAATATTCCTGAAAAAATCATAGTAGGCGACCCCAATGAATGGGATAATGCTTAACCAAACGCTTAACCATTGGATACTGGATGAGCAAACAAGTGTACCAATCATTTGGCAGTCACTGTACCCTTTTTCAGGATAACTATCGACATTTCAAGTTTTTAACTACCTTTAAATCTATCATACATAGATTAGGTAAATCTATATTTACTAAGTTTATAGTTAGAACCAGTTAGAACCAGTTACAACCAATTCTAGTTCATGCATCTGTATCAAACATTTCACAGTATCGTCATCATCATCATAAACATGATTCTGTATTATTACCGACTCCAAACACAAGACCAAACTGAAAGAATAAACTTACAAATAAAAAAATATTTTTTCAAACCAATTAATAAGTGAGAAATACTTATTTTTAAACTTTCGTTTAGTATTAATTATCTGGGGAGAAGTATATATTCGTACATTTATTTGCCGTAAAATTATTCGTGTTAAAACCCGTTTAACTATAATAAATGAGGAAGCTATGAATAAACAAACTTTTAAAAAAAATTGCCGATTTGAGATACTTCTATTTTTTGGAGTCGGTTTAAAATGCGGTACCTATATAAGAAATCTGAAAGTTGATCATAGTTGTTACATACATACCAACATACGTTTGCTATATCAATTGTTTTCTTCAGGAAATAGAAGTTGAAGTAGAGTTGACTGCAAACCATCTTGGGACCTTCGTAATGAAGCTCTGTCCAAACAATAATCCTAAGCAAGAGGCCAGTCAAGAATGCTTTGACAGGTAACCAATTAACCCTAGACATAAATAATAAATAACTCTAGACAATTTACTCAGCGCCATCTAGTCCCACGGTAAACAGAGCTTGTATTTTGTGTACTAGACAACTGATATAAGTACTTAGTTATTTTATTTTTGTAAATACATAGATAATACATATAGAAAACAGACAAATAATTATACTCATGAATATAAATGTTTACACCGTGCGAGGAATCGAACCCGCGACCGTCGGAAGTAATGTAGTGTGCATTTGAATTCATTGACATAAAACTATCATCATCTGTTATTATATTTTGAAATCCTAATTAGATATTGATCATTATTTCTGAATGTAATTTTAGGTTTCCTCTCTTTATATCTGGAACTAGAGAAGATAGATTCCTGATTCCTTTGGACACGGAGAAGAAGGAAATATTCAGGTACCGTGTAAGGTTACCACCATATGTCACGTGCACGCAGTGTGTACTGCAGTGGACCTATTATACAGGTAAAGCGGTTTTCATTTTGCGCGCGAAATTGAAAGTGCTCCGGTTCTGTGTTCCAATTTGTTGTTTTTTTTTTCAAATATATTTGTACTGTCTTGAAATATTAATTTAAAAAAAAAGCTAATTCGCGCCTCACATTTGAATTGGCCGTTCCCGCCATTGTACAGTACAGACTCCATCAACTGCACAGAGTACATTATAAACATCATAGATTAATTATACCAAAGATTATATATACTACAATTTTAATATTTAGTACTAAATAATATACTATATAATGATACACTAACCGATTTATTAATATTGACCCTAACTACAGGTAATATGTGGGGCATTTGCGCCAACGGCACGGAAGCGGTAGGATGCGGTCGCTCGGAGACATTCCGGAACTGCGCTGACATCACCGTGGTGACCAGCACTGGTGGAGTACCACCAGCCTTCATTGGAAGCAACTTGAGGGACAATCCATACCAACTATTCTACAGAGATTACAGTATGCCCCAAACTGTATACCCACTCATTGTCAGGTATAAGACTACGTTTTGGTTACACCTAATAATATATTTGTATTTTGTACTATATTTTCAATACTATGATTTGTATTTGGATTATCACAAGACATGTATTATACAATAATACTAATACTTCTTTATATATCTATGTTATATTTATGCACTTTATAGGGACTGATTGATGCTACCTGGTATTTTTTCTAAGTACTTGCGTTGTTTAACTTAGCTACATAAAAGACTGTTTGATTATGTACCAAGGATGCATAACACATAACTGAAGTTTTATTGCCATACTATACAATATTAAGGCCTTGAATTTCAGATTTAGCTTATATACGTGAAAATATAAGTATTAAGCTAAGAAAGGGAATAGTCCTTTGCATTTATATTTACGTTAGCAGTATTGTAATGGATCGCTGGACTATATGGATGTCTAAATAAAAACACGTAGAATATGATAGTAAAATATATTGAAATACAGTTGCGAACTATTGAAAAGACAATGAATCAATAAAGTGAAATATATCAAATAACATGATATAAAAAAGAACTGTTCTAAAAGTATAAATTTAAAAATAATAAACGTATCAAAAGAGTTTGTAGCGGTCGGTCACCAACAAGTATGACTACCATATTATAGTACTATAATCCAATAGTATATAATAATAATAATAGAGTAAATACCAAGAAAATTCTTATAAAATAAGGTAGGTCAATGTTCTTAATATTTCAGCGTGATAAAACACTAAAGTAATATTAATTTTCGTTGTCAGTAATCAATCTGTATAATTCACATGTTAAAATATTTGGATTGAATTATAACTGTCAATGCGTAGACAATATTTGTCGAAAATATAAATAGTCCAATAGACATTAATGCTGATAATGGAAACTGAAAATGGTGAGTTAAGTAGGTCGTTATACTTTTTAATAGGCTTAATCAGTCTCTATATTTATCTGCTTAATATTTCAGAAAAATACATTACGATGCGCAGAAGGCACCTTTACATGCGATTAGGTAACTTGCGAATAAATATAATATTGTTTCTATCGACTTGTTGTGTGAATAACGCGCACTATAATTTTTTAATTAATTTTTTTCAGCAATGATATATCTGACACTGAGGAGGAATTTACTGAACCAATTGTGATTAGGTATAACATTTATCGTGTTTCTTGAATGGTTGAAGGTATTGGTTGTCTACGGGCTACGGGGTAGTGAAGATTGGTTGCGTTCTGTTGTGAATAATTCTTCCGGAGCATTATAGATATAACGGAGTCGGATTGATAGAACATCGCAATCCAATGGACTACTGTACCATACATTCTATTTTATTTTGCGAGTTAACTGTAATTATTATACATAGTATTATGTGATCGTTAATATTTAGGTACATAAATCGTAAAATAAAAACGTACCACTTTTTTTATAATAAAATAAAACAACTGCGTTGTTTGTACATTCTTCTCGATTAACTTGCAATATTATTGTTATATAATCATACATACAAAAATTAATATTGAAAGTTCTTATAATTAATAAAAATAAAATAAAATATTTGTAGAACTACACAGTAAGTTCTAGAAATATATTTAAATGTTACAAAAAATATATTTGTTAAAAGCACATATTTGTTACAGGAATATAAATAATATTTGTGTAATCAATATGATTTCATTATTTAATGGATTTATATTATTTTCTTGAGGGCTTTGATAAAGCTTGGAAGCCCAATGTTGATTGTTCGGCGTTTGTAGTCTACTCAGTCAACTCTTAGCTTCGAAGTTATATCCGAACTCTATTCAATCTATGATACCTCAATTGTACGTATAGATTCAATAACGGTCGGAATATGATCACCAATAGAGAAAATCGTAACGCTTCCAGTAGCAGTGGTCAAATTTCCGCACTGAATATTTGTGGTCTCACACAGGCTAATGGTAGCGGAATTAAACGAAATAAAATCCATTAAGTAATGACCATTTCATTACTTCCGCAAAATAACAGATAATTCTATAAACTCTATACAATCCGATTTTGTTACTATAACAATTGCTCTTGATTTATGTTGTGATGTGTACCCATTAATTTGTGTTAAATAAATGTAGTAAAAGTAGTTATGTGACTAATTTTATATGTATAACAACCATATAAATTGTAATGACTAAAATTATTTATATCCCCTTGAAATATCAAGTACATGTAGATTAGTACCATGTACATATACCTATATAACAGTATTTAACTATGATTTTCTTAGATACTACTGACCAAGTAAACTATTAGAAATGTGACTAACCCTTTTATGAGCACTCAATTTAATCATTTAGTCCTTAAGGAATATAAAATTTACCAAAGTTATACAAAACTTCTGACTACCTCTGTCTCAACAGTTTAGCCCAGCAGTAAAGCAGTTACTTTGTAATATGCGTCGTTTGGAGGGTGTAATTATATATACTTAGTGTTATGTCTAAGAACCTTATAATTCCTCCGGAGTACCAACGTATGGGTGTATGCTTGATAGTCATTTCAGTTAGGTATATAAAAAATGTTTGTATGATATAAAATTATTCATTGGTGGAATAGATATATTTAATTTCTTTCTTAATAAAGTAAAGGCGTTTCTTTGTTTCAGATATTATTTATAGTTGCTAGTATTTTAGTAATAAACAACGAAATTATAGTTTCTAAAAAAAATTGTACAGAACGTTAAATTTGTATCTAACATGTTTAATGTTTGATTATGGTTAAATATAGTATATGCTGATGGAGCTCCAGTAAGAGACAATATAGGTGGATCATATCGGGGTTTTTCTCTGATTGTGGCGAATTTATAAATCTGGTATAATTTTTCAGAATCTCTAGACATTTTTTTGGTCACGGCATCACGCGTGAATGGCTTAAACAATTTCGCTTATTTCTTTTTGTTTATTATTGTCAGGAGAAGGTTCTTATGAACGACAAAATTAAGAAATTTGCACAGAACATTACGTGAATTAACATGGTCGTTAAGTTTTCTTTAATGTTTGCCTACTATGTACAATGTGTAGAGTCAATATTCATAGTTAAGACAGGACAAAGTCTGTCGGGTCAGCTAATATACGAATAAAAATTGCTTTCCAAAATTTAGACTGACGTCCAAACAAGTAAAGGCCTTGATTTAAATACTTAATTTGTAAATTCCAGGGACCAGGTGTGTGTGCCGACTGATAGCTTCCGCGTGATCCCTGGTATGCTGAGCTGGTGCCAAACCAACTGCCTTCGATACCCGCCCAATTGTCCTGTGGCGTTATGTCAGTGCCCGTAAGTTACTTCTAAACCTATGTACCTACTAGCCATAGCAGGTGTATATACTCTCTAGCTTCGCGTGGGTTGACGGCGTCAGTGGTCTAGCGGTTTAACACACCGCCTTACTTCCGATGGTCGCGGGTTAGGTTCCTCGAACAAAACATATGTATTAATTAATATGATTGTTTGTATTCGTCTGGATGTTTCCTATATATATTATGTAGGTATGTATTTAGAAAAAATGTATTTAAGTATTTATATTGGTTGTCTAGAATCCATAACCGGCCATCTGCGAAGAAGCCAATTACAGGACTCGGTCATAATATATTCTGTGTCCGATTCGAATAATCTGAGAGAAGTCCTATAATTGATCTCACAGATTTTGACAGCTAACAGTTAAAATGATAACACAAGCTCAGCTTAACTTGGGACTAGATGGCGCTGTGTGAATTGTCCTGAGTTATTATATTATTATTATAGAATATATGTATTTTCAGGCAAGTGTGTGAAGCTATCGGAGAGCTGGAAGGTCGCGATGGTGCGGATGTGTACTGCATGGACCAATGCATCGTATACCCTCCCAAGTGCCCCAGCAATCGGTGTCGCTGCTACGAGGAACAATACGGCAGATTCACAAAGATGAGATCAGAAAACCACGTCACTCTCGATAGAGTTTTTTACTACGCGGGTAGTTCGAAATAGACGTGATTGTTACGTGAAAATCCTATCTTAAAAAAAAACTATGTTGAATGTTCAAGCAGGAATTATCAAATCAAGGCAGTCGTGAATGTAGAGTTGATGCTATTATAGCTAATTTCTGATTATACCTGACATCATATCAAGTTTCTCGGTATATTAAAAATTACAGTGACTTTTGTATAATATTATACTTTTTTTATATTGCAGTTCTTAATAATAATTATATATCTACATACCTACCTCTATGACGAATAAATAAACACTTTCAAATTTTGTCACACTAAATATTAATAATCGGGATATTTGCCATAATAAAATTATTTAATAACTCCCGATATTTCGACGCTGTTAAATCAGAACCGTCGAAATATCGGGAGCTCTTAATAGTGTTCGAATAAATAAAATTACCTATTACTACAGTAACTATTATACAATATTTTGGTTTTTATATAGCAGTTATTCATAATTATTATATTTAGATATTTTTTTTACATTATGTAATCGGGATAATTACACTTGTAAAATGTCAAGTTGGTTTGTTAAAAATGGACCAAAATATAACCGATGGACTGTATGCGTAATATAAATCAAACAATAGATAAACAATGTTAAAGATTTGTAATTAAGATACGTGAACAAACGGTTGTAAGGCAAAAAGTGTCAATAAAAATATATGACAATTCTATAAAGAAAATACATTAAAAATTGGCAGAAAAATAAATATATAAAAATTTGCAAAGAGTTTGCAACAACACTGATAATGTTATTTAAGAGTTCCCGATATTTCGACGCTGTTAAACCAGAACCGTCGAGATATCGGGAGTTCTTATATAATATTATATTCTACGATAATAGTGTACGAATAAATAAAATTATCTATTTGCAATTACTGCACTATTACTTGATATAATATAATGGAGTCGGTTGATGCTTGCTTGAACAACATATGTGTATATGTATGTAATATTCATACAATTATGTAGATATTCAATAGGATCAAGTTACTTAGATGAAACGCCAATTTACTATTCCTTCCTATTTGTATAAATACAAACTATATATGTATATGTAATTACATAAATTTCTCGTCTATTTTTTATGTTATTTATTTATTTGTATAAAACATATCTTTTAAACAGAGTGTACCATAGATACAATAATTAAATCCTTTTAAGAAATTCGGGGTCTCGTCTACTGAATGAAACAATCAACTTTAAATATACAGTTATGGTACCTACCTATATCATTATATAGTATAAAACAAAGTCGCTGTCGTTGTCTGTCCGTCCCTATATATGCTTAAATCTTTAAAACTACGCAATGGATTTTGAAGCGGATTTTATAATATATAGAGTGATGCAAGAGGAGGTTTATGTATAATCTATGTACACCCTTGCGAAGCCGGGGCGAGAAGCTAGTATACATATAATTATAACGTTTCATCTGGCCCGAAGTATGTATACCTTTGCCATTGATAGTGGTATATAAATTTATTGAAATTACACTGTGGCCATTTTCTTTTTAAATATTGTACAAATGTAGAATATTAATATAAGTCGTATTAGTCTTATTTTATAAACCATTGAGGTATTGTGTAACGCTAATGCACTAAAAGAAGAATATAACAAACGGTGAAAATAGAGAAGAAAATTTTAAAAATAAATTTTCATAGTATCTGACTACTAGCTGTGTTACTTGTAAGTGTCGGAAAGCAAGATACTGTATAAAGTGGCTCTATTACCACAATTGAGTCCTGGCAAGTGAGCTTCTTTAGTTGTTAGCACTTACATAATAACTCAATGTAATACATAATATAAATTAGTGAAATTTTGTAAAATATTGAAAATATTAACTGGTGCCTTGTGATAAATAATTTTATTAGAATTATTTGTACACCTCATGACTGTAAGTGCCTAAAATATTACGCCATACGAAGTATTTGCTTACAGGTTTTTAAATGATAATTACGGACTTATTCCATGTACCATTTAGACATTTTTGTAAAATAAAGTAAATTTATTTACAAGTGCATTTTATTAGTCTGTGCCAAGCCTTACGGCTTTATGGGAAGACTCGTGACCTACCCATTTTTATGTAACTGAAAATTATAAAAATAAAGCTGACGTCCCACATGATGGTGAATGGTAACTCTCGCATGAACAACACCACGACATAGGGGGGAAGGGGATTGTTATTAATGTGGACTCATTGACCCCATTGCTAGCAATGTACCATGTCAGGTTGACCTCCACGCGGTTCCCCCTGGAAATCATCGTGATAAATTCTTGGTGAATTTGTCACGATGGGCTAACTGACCTGACCTCATGTTCATCTTATCATCTTCCACTGGTGCCCCGCCAGCGTAAACCGTTAGCGCAGGCGGTTGCACCATACCATTATCATCCATAAAAAAAAAACACCACGACATAATGTTATCATGTGACGCCCCTAGTATCTACCATTCATACATAGTCCCGCGTCGCTTGTGTGCGTAGTAGGTATACGACGTCCACAGACGCAAAAGCGAAAGGGATGAAACGCCATCGCCAATTATTGAAAATATTTTATATACACAATATACATGTCATAGTTGACAAGAAGGAAATACAAGTCTCCAAAAACAAGTATTTAATTAAACTTTTCAGTATTTAAATTCGACTATTTCAAAAATTAATTAGTGAAATAAAAAATATTAATGTATTTTGACAAAAAAAATATTTTTATAGTCGCCGAGGTATAGTCGCTTTATTGGTATAGTCGCCGAGGCCCTGCTCATGTAGACCATATCGGAGGAGTTTTTTTTCATAATTATTACCGTAATTTAATTATTAGTACTGTATCTTATTGCCTTATGAGAGGGGTATCTCTCTCATAAGGCAATAAGAAGACGCCGTCGAATCTGTAGTTGTATTAAGTCTACTCTTTGGTTAAATCCAGTACCTATCTGAGTGAAATGAGACATTTCTAGATAAATATAAAAAAAAATTGTATTTAATTTTTTTCATATTATTCATTATAAATAAAAATTGCTCTTTATATTATTAAAACTATATGCAACCAATATCCTTTTTTTATACTTATTTTATAGTTAACATTTCAATAATTTATTGCTGCTTGATATTAGACAGGCGTTTTTTATTTAGTAATTATTCCTTTGATAACAGCACAGAAACAAACCTAGACTCTCTAATTTGACAATTAATTATTGACATCATTTGACATTGACGTTTCGTTATCAGTGTAATATACGCATACAGTGAATTAGACTCAAATCGGTCGATTATTTTATTTATCTTACCTATTTCTTAGTACCACAAAAGAAGCGAATTAAACAAATAATCTTGTTAACAATGAGTGATTTACTAGACGAGGATGTGGAATTCCGCGGAGGTACCTTACAGTTATCAGCCGACAACGTCAATGCAGAAAATGCGGATAATAATCAAAACAATACAGCGGAAAAAGTGAATAGAAATAAACCAAGATCATATGCAAATTCTTCTGTTTTGTCTGGTGCTGATTCCCTATCGTCGTCAACGTCATCCTTTGCTGGTACAAAATCATATATATATTATAATATTTAAGAAAACAAAACAAATGCTTCAAACCCTACTCGTAATATTTGATTATATTTCTTTTGTTCTCATACTAAAATTCTATATTTGTACTCAAAAGCAATTTAATTCACCTTTTTATAATAAAATTCAATGTCACAACAGTTACATTAACCTATGCCTAATGGTAAAAATAAAAAAAAGTTTTTACCGTGGAATCTATGTAATGCAGTAATAAACATGGACTTGCTGCTATTAGTAAACTAATATGTAAATTGGAATTTCTTAGTCAGTAAATTAGAGATATAATCTAATTTACTTACTAAGAAATTCCAAATTCAAATATTTATACTGAAACACAATTCATATCCTATGTCTAAAAGTATAATTTTCAATTGGCATTCTTGAATCACCCTCACTGTTAGTCATACAATTATAACAAATACAAAATTACAAAATTATAAACAAATTTACTATACTTGAGTACACTATTTAATATAACAACCATTAATATTTTACTTAATAATAATATTTTGAACATACCTAATTAACATTAAAAAAAATACATAATATACACACAATATGAAAGCATACATATATGGGATAATCTAGAATAGTTCAAATAATGAGTGACACTAATACTAGGATATTACATCTTACATAGCTGCCAGTTACTTGTGCTAAGACTGCAAGTTTATTAATAAAAATAGTATCATTTTAGATGCTAGAACAGATGAACAAAGAAATGAGGGAGCTGCAGCTTCTTCAGAGTCTGTGAAGACAGTATACCCTCGTTATGATGTGCCATTTGATAGAGAAAACATAAAGGACTTCTTTACATTCCGCAATGGAGTGGTGGAAAATTCTATACAGGAGTGTATAACTGCTTTATTGTTCCCTGAAGATGGGGAATACTTGGGCTCCTGGTTATTAACTGAGTATGTATTTAAGATAATTTTTATAATATAATATCTTTACTAGTATTAAAAAAAATATTAGTTGCTATCTGTTCCTTATATCTTTTAAATTACAGAACAGATTTTGATGCATATTTCAGCAATAGATAAGAGTAATACAAGAGAAAGGTTTATATGTATAAGACATGTGGTATAGTATAGAATAAGCTGCAAAATTCAAAGATTTGTATTGTATCTGTGTGAAGTCAGGATGGCTCCTATTATAATATAAGTGTTTATTGAGGCATTATACATTATAAAATTATGTAACTGTCTGTATGCCACTAATTCGTAAAAAATATATTTAATATTATGTAGGTAAGAAACTCATAATGTTAAATAATAAAGTACTGCCAATGTCATTAAGGAAAATTGTATAAAAATGCAAACTACAATGCACTACAGCTCTAGACTATTGCAGTATGATTATTGTAAATAGAAAATAACCATCCTATGTCTTTATTTATTAGCACATGACACATAGAGAGGATATGAGATATAATAATAATAAAAATATTTAGCACATATATTCTTTAACAAATATTATTGACATTAAAATACATTACTATTCTATGCTAGTTTAAATTAAATTGGCAGTGTGTATTATACATATAAATACACACACATATATATACATAGACACACCAATAGAATAAAACAATTAGAAACCACTACTATAAAATATTTCTTAGAAAGGTTCAGCATATTACTGCATCTAAAGATACAGCGCTGATTTTCATCAGAGGCTAGAGAAATATGTCATGTTAGATTGAGGATGAGTCAGGTCTCAGTTATAATTTCACTGCCTTGTTTTATCCTGTAAAGCAGAACAAAGCAAACCATGTGATAGCAAAAATATGTGTTACATATTCTCTATAAGTATATTGTAGGATATATTTATTAATTCTCACTTAAAATTTTTACAGAATAACATTGTGGGATAATGAAAAAGAGAGAATTGTTATCTTAACATCCAGACTGGTAATGACTATAAAATATGACTTTATTGCAATGAAACAATTGGACTTCAAGAAAACGTACCTAGATGACTTGGATACTATAGTTATTGGAGAGTTAGTTTACCCGCCATCGTCTTTTGTACCGTAAGTAATAGTTCAATTTAAAATATTATGTATACACTGGGTAGACAGTGTTTTTAATTTGTTTTTAATCCATATTCCATTTGTAAGTTGTTAAATTCAGATTACTTATGCCTATGATTTTATGTATGATTTACATATATTAATATTTTTCTCTCGAAATTGTAAATCATATATTAACGAAAACCCTGGACAATTCACTCAGCTCCATTTAGTCCCAAACTAAACAGCTTAGAATAAGAAATATTACAGCTACTAAATAACTGGCAGAAATATTTAAATATTTTTTTGGAACATTCATAGGAACCACCCAGATCCTTACAAACAATTACAACCATGAATACAAGTGTTTGTATCATGCGAGGACTCAAACCCGTGACCTTTGGATAGTATAACTTGAGGTCGTAAATAAATATAGTTAGTAGTAAGTTAATGTTGGTACTGAATTAGTGCCCATCATCTGCAGTCGACTTAATGGGATTGCAACTGGAGTCTCGACGGTAGTTAAAGACTGCGTTATAGACCGCCTGTGCAGGAGGCCTAACACCGACAACGAGGACACTAAACTGTTCGATCCCAAGTATTTTGAACCTAGGTACTTTCTGTTGCAGTAGACGCATGCTCAAACGTTACTTTTAGTTTTTTTTGCAAGCTTTGTGGTGCTAGATCTAAACAATTGTTGCACCAATTTTACCTGCTGCATTAATTATACTGTAGGCTGGATGTTTCACGTTGTTGCTTACTTGCACAGTTAAGAAAGTTGTTTGTAGTTGATGTGGAAAACGGCTGTTTTAAGAATATTGTCATTCCCATTGTGATTGGAGCGGAATCACTATACTATAAAATTATATATTATTATGTATATATTCCTAAAAGGCTTCTAAGGAAGACAAGAGTGATATGAAATAAAAAATGGTATCAAAGTAATTATAAACAGAATGGTGGACAATTTCATAGAGTTAGGCAATTGAGGAAGGGAAAGAGCATGCATTGTACTCCATGGAATTTTGCGCTTCGCTCCCACTTTTTATAACTATTGAATTAAGGGCTGGGGGTGTGAAAAGAGCATGGTTTATGCTGCATGGAATCTTGCGCTTCCATCCAATTTTTCATATACATGGAGTTAAGGTCAGGATGTATGTATCAGAGGAATTTTGAACTTTGCTCTAACTTTTAATAAATATCGAATTAAGGTAGGAGGAAAGGAAAGTACATGGATTTCTGTACTCACTCCAAACTTCTATAGCAAATGGGAATGGTAGGGCGCTAAAGGCCCCTACCTCCTTGCTTTATACCTGAGTCATTGCTAAATACCAAAGATATAAAAAAAGTACTTTGTAGTTATCAACCATTACTCAATAGTGAGATTAATGAACTTTTGCCTTTTAATATAAATATTATGTACAATATTAATATTACAGAATATGTAATTACAGTATTTTTATATGCAGGTAAAAACTATTACAGCAATAAAGGTAGTTTGCTTATTTAGTTATTTATTATAATTAGTAATAACTGTACAAAATATATTTTTATTTATGCTAGACGTTTTAAACGATTTCTTTTGCCTAATGATCAAAGGGAATAGAAGAAGAAATATTACTAAGTAGAAGTATTTTTTATCTTTTCACTAGTTTGCTTTACCAATATCAGCTTAAATAAATTATACATATAAATTCTATATTCTTTACACTTGATTCTTTAAGGGAGCGTAATCTTCGAGGCGTTCGTCTAATGTGGAATAAAGGAGAACCCTTGCCTCTGAAGACTGTGTGGAATCCCTTCAGCCAGGACGTACCTTTCCTGACATTTGCTTCACATCCCATTTACTGGCATAAAGGTATGTATGTATAGAACATTAAAAATCTATACTATTCTTATAAAGACTGAGTAGATTTTGGTTTACACCTAAAGAATTAAATTCCGAAATCACTGCACCGATTTTAAAAAGTCAATCGCTGTTTTAAAGCTACCGTTACTCAATACCATATATTATTTTAATTTATATAAATACCATATATTGTCATATATTTTAAACGAATCCGCGCTTCATTTATACAATACTTGCTTAAAAGAATATATTTTGATTTAGTTTACTTCTCTATTATATTTGTATGGGTTTGTTAAATGATAATTAATAGAGATAAATGGTAATGTCATATATTACATTAAACAACCAGATTTTTTTTTAATTCGCGTACTGCCTATCCGGCCGAATAGTAGTTATCCGGTATTGAGGCCGCCGGATAGGCCCCATACCGGATAGTTACCGGATATCCGTTTCATCTCTAATAATTACTTAGTATGTAAATATACATATATTAAGATATAAAATAAAACATATGTTTCTCGATTTTCAAGAAGGCGGACCAGACGAAAAAGCGACTTTCGATATGGAGATATTTGCACAAAAGCTTCAAAGAGCCATAGAGACTATGCCCTCGTCAGCTTGCTGCATCCACCATTCACCAATAGTGATACAGAGCTACGTGGGTGTAACGTCAATGCTTCATAACAAAACTAGTATGGGCTTCTTCAAGGTTAGAGGGAAGTTTAGCTTTTAATGCTGGTAGGGCGGCGCCACTGTCGCTGTTGTTAATAGTGATTGGAGCATTTTAAAACTGCTATACAAGTAGATGAATCATATGGACTTCATTGCATTACAATAAGGTGCATATTGTTCAACTACTTTTGTAGTAGGAATTTAAAAAGAGAGCAGAATTTAACGATGAAAATGGATCTGTCCACACATTAGGAGTAATGTTCGGTTCAGTTTGAGGATGGCCTTTGTCGTATAAAATGATGGTCTAACCAAAGTGAAGCCTACTAGCTTATGTTCACTAGTGGTCATTCAGTTTCAGATTAAAATATATAAGAGATTGCACCTACTTTCGGTGCCTTAATTACCCATAATAGCACCTATGAAATTATAAATTTCGAATTATAATTCTTAGTAAAAAACAAATACTATAGATCATTGTTAAGTCTACAAAATATAGCACGCTTCATTTTCTTGTTGTGTCTATGTGTGTGGATCGTTTGTTCGTTTGTATTAGATACTAAAACGTTTTCTGCTATTTCTCTAGAATTGACCTTCATGGAGTTTTAACTAAGGATAAATGGAACAAATTAGTAATATTAGAGCTGTTAATTAGGAACTCATGACGCTATTTGCTCCAATACTGTTTAATTTAGTTTTAAACATTGTTCAACTGAAATTTGGTTCTAGATTTGAACTCAGTTTTGAGTTATGTCATAAATTGTTGATGTGGTTCAAAATAGTGTAATTTTTTTTTGTACATATAAACTTTTTATTATGTATATCTTTACAAATGGTTTTTGAGTCTAATACCTCTCTTATATCATTGGACTAAATTCATCGTAATAAGCTATAAGTGTAATAACTGTGTGTATAACTACTTTGTTCTCTATGCATCGTTTACATGAAAATGTATTTTATTCTAATAAGAAACAAGGTTCGGGGTCAATTGCACTGTGCGAGATATTGATGGCCATTCCGTTATATGTAAGAGTTGTTTCTGCATTATTACTTATAATCATTATTTAAAAATACATTTTTTAAAAATGTTTTATTGCATATTTAATACATTAATTAATTGAAACATATTTTTCTAAAGAATAGCTTGTGGTCTTGTTGCTGTTATACTGTGGTATCGTGTATTTTGAAATTATAATATTGTGTTTTGAATATGACTAACGGTTTCATCAACGGCGACACATCATATCTAATGATAATATTGACGCGCTGCAGTTGTATAAAAAATCGTAACAGTCATAAGAATCCTTTACTTATGCATACTAATTTTAATAATAATTAACTTTTAATTAAATAAAGTACGACAAATAAGAAATATTCAGGTAATATTTTGATGTAATAAATCAATTATTACACGTATTTATTTATTCATGACATAATATTAATTAATATAATAATTATATAGTATTGTAATTCTTCTAGTAACTTCTAATTGGAGGTCTGGATAAAGTTGATAAAAATAATCCAATAATACTATTGAATTTATGAATGTAATGGATTTGAAAAGTGCCCAAAATTATAACGCATTGTTATTAAAATATATGAAGGTATTAAAAGTACATTTAGTCTGAAATAGATACAATATATATATTAAAAGTTTATGTAGCATTGAATGTTGTTCATATTTTTATTCTTATTTTATATTAGGTATAGTATATATATATATTATATACCTGTATTATATAAATATACTATATTATAGGTATATATACCTACATGTGTATAATACAAAGGATGAACGCACTCCTATTTAGGTGGAGTATAATTCTAGATTGACAATAAATATATATTCTGAATATATGCGGCCCGCCATGCATTTCACGATTGGGATATTGAATTCATGTCGTGACAAAAAACCCGTAGCTACGTCTGACGTTTTGCGATAAGCCTCTGTTTGTCCTTGTGGTACAATGTGTCGTCATATTTTTTAAGACCCCTTCAAATGTTAAAATTGTAACAAACAAACTACACGAAGTCGACAAGTCGACGAAACAACAGTAAGCTACACTTTAAAATTCATAATATTTACATTATGGGTATTATACATAAATAACGACGAATACTAAAAGGTGAATAAAAAACTAATACAATCCGTTGCATATAATACTTGTCGTTTATCTCAAGAGATTATAGAGCAACATCCGCTCAAAATAGGGGGGCGATTTATCTGTATTAATGGCTGTTACATGTTATAAACATGAGAAGATATTAGAAATGTAGATTTTGCATTAACCGTTGTTATTGAACTACTCAATATTAAACTATAATATATAATAAATGTAAATTTGACATTAATTTCAAATATAGGTACGCTTATGTTAAAATACCTTGTGTTAAATAAGTCTATATGTAGTATATGTGGGAAAGAGAAGAAAGTACGTCGTCTCTAACGTACACTGCTGGCGTCATGCGGGCATTGAGCTGTCAACGGCGAGTGAAACAGTGTGTGTTTGAGAGTCGATAATTAAAGTCGAAAATAAGACAGTACTGTGTATATGCTAAACTAGTTTGTTAATTCTTGTTTTTAAAACAATATTCTTCTTCTTTCTTCAACAAAACTTTACTTCAATTATAATTAATGAAAATAATTAATTAATCTGTTTGTCAAAAGAATTAGACTTAGTCATTTATTATTGTTTTTATTACTGTAAAAGCCATTGTATTTATATGGGCCTAAAAAGACTTATATTTGCTGATTAGTACGCTAATGTATTTTATAATTGATTTTTTACTTAAGTTTTAAGTTAATGTATTTTATTTGAATATTGTGATTTGTGTATTTATATTGGCATTAAAAAATAATAATAATTAGCATTATTATAAATCTAAGTGTATGCGCAATTACTTAATATTCTGTAAAGTCATGAGTAATAAATGATATACTTAAACACTTTTGTACCTTGTCACAATAAAAAATAATATTAATTTAATAAAAATTGCCAATATTACAAAAATTGCAAATATTTCCCCGTGACAAAGTACTAAGTGTTTACAAGTGACTACATAATACGTATGTACCTGGGAAGTTAAAATCGCTTCATATGAGAATCTTTAATGTGATATTTCCTTATAGCCCGCCCAAGAAACTACTGGTCCGTTAACATTACGTCTTCAGAGCGAGATGCCTATTGAATTCGGCGGGTTATATGCATTCTGTTATTAAATATAAATTAATATAAGCGGATTAATCAAAACTACTTTTTATATTTTATTTATATGTATATTTAATCTGATATGCTAACTTTTAATTACATCGCGTAAATCAGGAGGTATTTAACAAAGCGGAACTGTTCATACAAGGTTAATTTCTTTTATGACAAAATACTGAACGAACAAACGTAATGGTTGAGACAACCATGTGCTATACGACATCATCAATAGCACTATTGCAATATTTTAGACATAGAATCGATGATCTTTTAAAGTATAATAACTGTTTTTTTATGTACGACCTTTGTATAAATACATAATTGGCTATGGTCTTTCTATTTCGATATTTTTACTTTTGAAAGTTAATTTAGAATGTATGTATTCTACATATAATAGATAACAAATTAAAAATGCCTTAGAAATTAAATTATATAAGAATCTATGAATTTTGATGCCATAATAAAAAATAGTCATTGTTAATAGCCATCCCTGTATTCGTTACATACATAGATAATAGTTCTATATTCTCTTGTGGATAGTACAGTTGTTACAGCAATACTATATTTATTTATTTATTGACGGCCTCTGTGGTTTTAGCACACCGCTTTTATTCCGATGGAATATGATTGTTTGTATCATGATATACATGACATGATATATTATGTATGTATTTATTAGAAAAATGTATGTATTTGTATCAGTTGTATAGTACCTATAACACAAGCTCTCCTTAGCTCGGGGTTAGATGTCGTTGTTTGAATTGTCCAGAGATATCTTATAAAATATTTATTGCACCAAAATTCATACAAGATTCATATCTCCGCGCTGTTGTAACTTCTTAATTGTCACATAAGTTAACCTGTTTAACAACACAGTTCCTCTTTATTATTCTGTGTTAAGAATGTATATTTATACATTGCTTTGGATGTAAAACAATCTTGTAATAATACTATCTTTAACTTCAAACTATTAAATTTGTGAATCACATATTTACATAGTTTCATTTATGAAAATACCCCTTTCTTTAAGTCAACAATCGAATATGGCAATACTACTGCTGCTTCCGGTAGCCATTACCAATCTGCAAAAGGTACCTTGTAATGTGTTTGAAAAATTAAATATATTATGTAAATCTACAATTGCCTTTCATTTCAACTCTAACACCCTTCTAATAAAATACAATATATACAAACAACAAATCGTTTAATATAGGTAGGTTATAACATTTTTTTGGTAAAATGCTAATATAACTGGATACGGCACTGCAAGGTAAATTATATGGTGTTCATTCAGTAATATTCGCATATATACCATCCGCTTTCCTCCGTGCCTAGATGATGTTCATGAATATTTTCCACACTGTACAAAAGGTAGAAATACATATTATTGGAACTCTAGATCACTCCAACCATTAGGGAGAGTGTAATCATTCCAGAAGCTTTCGTTTAAAAACGTCAATGCAGTGTCAGTTTCGTCCGTACCAACTTCACGTACATATCTTATGTTTTCTAACCACGACAAATCATTTTCTACAGTTTTATTGTACACACACATTAAATATTTATTCTGACGGAGTTCCTTTTTATCTTCAAATACTTCTCTAACGCTATTCGTAGGAATTTCATTTATCAAAACCTTTTTACTATTACAATTTTTAACATTACCCTTTATTTTAGTACAGTTTTTAGGATTCGATTTATTGTTTTTCAGTTTATTTTCTTTTTTGCTTCTTCCATTTAATTTATTTGATTTACCCAATGTTTTAGTTCTAGCTTTTGTTTTAGGAACGTCGTATATGATTTCGGTTGTTTCAGCAAAATTGTGAACTATCGGTTCTGCTGTAGACTTATTAGCATGTATTATTATTATATCTGAGTTTGGTTCATTTAGTGATTTATTATTATTATTATTGTATTTCTCTTCTATTTCAGTGTTAATTAAACCTACAGCATTATTTATATCTTTAAAAGTACTAGAAATAATACTCTGGGAAAAAATTTCGTCATTCGAGTTTATATTCGATTGGGTAAAATTCTCTGTTTCCTTTATGGATAGATTAGAAAGATATTCTTGTACATTATCGTCTGTTAAATTGAATTGGTTAGAAATTGGTGTTACGTTCTGCTGAATATTAATATCTTGTTCATGTATTGAATGTGTAATTAACATATCTTGTTTAGTTACGTTTTCATCTGCTATGTCTTTAATGTTTTCAATATTATCAACGCTGACTTCTACAATTAGTTCCATCTCATCGTTTTCATCAATAGAATATACTGGAGACATGATTTCTTGGCTATTGCCAAAATTAATAGTTTCGTAGCTATTTATATTTAAATCATAAGATTGCTGCGCTTCATGTTCTGCGATTATTGCGTTCATTGATCTTTTTAATTTCTCTATGACCTGCGCAAACCAATAATAATAAAGACAAAAATAATTATACTAGTACTAGTACAAGATAGAAAGCAAAGACCGCTAATTTACATTTCTTTGCTCTTTAACATTACATATAATATCTTTCTAAGGGTAAAACTTATCTTTTTGTGTATTAAGATTTATAATTATAATGAATTTTATAATACGCCATTTACAATTATTAATTATATTATTTATGAATAAAACAATACAAAGATTGTGTTGTATGAATTATTTATTGTTGTCCTAACATTATATATATATCAAGTACACACAGACATAAAATCCTTTAGACAAATTTTGTCATAAAGTCTGAATACGGTATAGATTGTATTAAAAACATGTTGATGTTAAAATACTTATTATCATAGTGCTGTTTTCCCGTTCGTAACTAGTTTGAATGGATTACGCCCACTGTTTCTCCGAATGCAGTTTAGTGCATGGGCGTCAGTTACAATAGATTTTCCTCTATGAACATCCCGTTTTGTGAAGCCATGACCGAGTAACCATATATTTAAATATAAGAGCTAGAGCTTTGTAACGTTAGTAAAACAAATCGAATCAATGAATAAATTAATCGATATATTCAATACAATAGAATCGCACTGGTATCGGCGTTTATAGCCGGGTTAGTAATTATTTGTATCTATATTTTTTCTTTAGCAGCAAGCGGGTCGTACCTATTTCTATACTGGTGTATAGAAATAGACACTTACAGGTTCAGGCACGTATTAGGTTCGCCGTATGTTTATCATCGTTATAAAGAGTAAAATATTCTTATAGGTATTATACTACCTGCAGACATCGTGCGTCCTCCAAGCACTGTTCTTTGTATGAACATACTTCTTTCATGTATGTAATAGCATTCTCAATAGATATCCGTTTGTTCTTGTATATATGGTCCTCCAATTTTAAACTGATTTTCATGAGCCTCGTAATAATTGTTTTTTCCTAGAAATGTGTTTTAGTACTGTTGTTGTATTTGGGAATTTAGGCAGTAGCACTTTATACTAGTCCTGGGGTCTATCATATCTACTATACCCACTAGAAATATTGGGTTTGCTATTTTTGACAGTTTTATTCGTCAACTACTTCTCAATATTACTATACTGGGGGAATGGGGATTGTTAGTAATGTAAACTGATTACTCCAATGCTAGCAAGTCACGTGCCCCCACGCAGTTCAACCTGGAAACTATCGTGATGACTTCCTGAGGAATTTGTCACAATAGGCCTACTGACCTGACCTCATGCTTAGCTTATCACCCTCCACTGGTGCCCCGCCAGCGTAAACCGTTAGCGCAGGGGGGCGCACCATTCCATTATCATCCATAAATAAAAAAATCTTCCATAAAAAAAAATATGATACAGTATTCATTTCTTAAAATCAAAATAAATAAAAATTATAAACATTACGTATATAAATGAAATATTTCTTCATTAATTAGTAAATGAGTTAATTATTTAAATTCAGGAAAGGATCTTCGTAATTACCTCTAGCTAAGGTCGCGTCAGTTTGAAACAATAAACTACTTTTCTTTTAAACATCTCCAATTATTTATTTCAGATATGTTAGGAAACAACATACATATGTACAATTTTTTAGGATAATCTATTGATTAAATAAGTACCTACTGTATGTATGTAAGTAAAAAATAATTCTACATTACACATAAAGCGACAATGCATTAAATATCTACTTATGTCTAGATTTTTGGTGTTCCGAATTTACAACTAAGAACTTAAGATTAAAAAGTCATCAAATATTTACCTGTTTTACTAAATGTGACAATTTGTTTTTTCTTTTATTTTTACGAGTTTGCATTACGATAAATTTGGAAGTAATAATATTTATTTTTTAAACTATATACTATAGGTATATATAGTATAGGTATTAGTATTAAAGTAAATACCTAATATTGAATTATTTCTTTATTTTTAATAATTAAAAATAGGAGACGGGGTTCATATATAGATATTTGTTTGTCGAAAATTTCCCGCTCTTTTTTTTAGGTTCTATTTAGATATTTTTTAACGGAAAGGCTAAGGGAACTGTGTCCATACAGCCATATCTGCATGTTTTTGATGTTCTTAATTTTCTATCTTGAATTATTGAGATAATGTAGTACAGTGCAAAAAATGTTCCTGAGTATCTCAATAGTTCAGTACATAAAACGTTTTTGAGTTCCTTAATAATTATTTCTGAAGAGATCGCGGGACACGGCACCATCATGGCAGACCCCCAAGCAGTCTCCCGAACAGAAGAACTCGCCGCATAGAAAAAATACGACACTTCGGAACACACAATTCCAAAGCGCCTAAACTTCCCGAAGAAATCCACTACAGCGAAGAGCACATCCCGCGTTCCGGCCTTTTCGTTTTTCGGTCAATTCGCTCATTTCCCGCTCTTTTCTGACACAGGTCCATAGATAAAATAAATTTCCCGCCGTTTTCCAAAAAAAAATTTTAGACAAATTATGTGATTTACGCTTTATTTGAATCAGACAAATCCTGCATTTGCTGATAATATTTAGCATTAAAGAGGATATTATATTGATATGAATATCCTGATTTATTTATGTAATAGAAGATAACATAATTACAAATAACTATTCGGGAATCAGTACTGTTTGTGGCATCGTAGCCATCAACTGTGTTTACTTTTTAAATGGATAAAGAGTGAATCTATTTAGTATGAACTTAATTATACAAACATTTATATTTTTAATTGCAGTCTATATTTGCGATGCTGGTTATGGAATACCAGCCTCACCAGAGGGGAACCCGTGAGTATTTTCCTACTTTCCTGTTATATAGTCACATGTCTTCTAATATAAGGGTGTAAATACCTTTTGAAATAATTAGGTAAATATTATCTAACTGTACCTTAGATAAATTAAAAGATAGGTAAATCGTCTAAATACTTTAATATTGAAGTCTACTTACTAGGTACACCTACATAGAACTTGACTAGTTTAGCATACTGCCACACTTCTAAAGTCCTTGAGTTGAAACCTAGTACAATATCTACAAAAATTGCATTCATAGGTGTTCGTCTTATTTATATAAGTGGTTATTACAGACAAGGTAGACAGAGGTGAACGTAACACATGATATTCACATATTTACATTTCGTTAAGTATAAAATATCTAAATTGACAGGGCAAATGATAGCTTTATTTCGCTAAGTATATTTGTATCCAAATTGGCAGGTCAATGTATATACCTAGTCGACATTTACCATTTTCCATCGAATGGGCGGGCAGCTCATTTGTTATTCTAGTTGCATAAAAAAACAGTTGAAAAAAAATAGATTTGGTGAAATTTTGAAACAGCGAGAAAGATAGTATTGCCATTGAACAATACGGTGGCAGAGCCCGGTTTACGGATAGGTAGAGTAAGGAGGCCGCATCTGATAGGGGTACAAGCAAAAAAGAAAAAGTACCACTTTTATTTCTTGCTTGTATTCTTGCTTCTTGCTTCTTGCACCAGCAATTTAAAAGTTTTGTAGAGTGAAAATTCAAGAGGAGTGTGTCCGCGCAACAATGAATTTCACATTTTTTCAAATTCTTTTACCCTCTTGGATTGTTCATACGAATAAACTACAGATAGCTCCTTTTTTGATGCTAATTGAGTTTTTCAATTACCTTACTAGAACAAAATTGTTTAAAGAAAATCTAAACAGTGTTACGTCCATATTAGTTGTCTTATCTTATGTACAAAATTTCATCGAGTTTAATTTGACATTTTTCATAGTAACATGTTTTATAAGGAGAGAGACGGATATGCGGCCTTAATTAACAAATTTATATCCGCAATGACGTATGATTATCGCATGCCTAATTCTTGTTAATGTTTGTATACTTAGAACAATATTAATTTAAAAGAGAAACACGCATATTCCTTGTACGTTTTTCTTGTGATGAGTCTGCATTCCAAATGAGTGATGGAATAAAATAATGTGACTATTCAAAAGTGTTTATATTAAATTTATTTGAATAAAGATTATTTCTATTTCTCTATTTCTTCATAGTTACAGAAAATAAGATTCCGACTTGGTTAATTCGACCTTAAACCGAGTCCTAATATTAAACGTTCCTAAAATTTAAGTGTCTAATCTTCTAGGCAATCCGACGTGGAGGCCCCGGCGTATGTACCGTCGTACCTGAAGAATCAAAAAATTTCAAAAACGGGCTACACCAAAACCAGAAGCTACTCAGGCACCAAAACTGCTTACAGTGGCACTAAAACTGGATATTCCGGTTACTCGGGCACTAAGACCAGTTACAGTGGTACTAAGACCGGTTACAGTGGTACTAAGACCAGCTACAGTGGCACTAAATCAGGATATTCGGGTACTAAATCAGGGTACGGCGAGCGAAAGACTTGGTACTCTAGTTCTGGACAAGCGTAAGTGTACTCTCATGTTATTCTAGATGTAAAAACAGGTAGGTTTAATTTCTACTTTTGTTTAAGTGGGGTAGGTATTTAGTACTTAAACAATATTTACATATCTTTATATAGAAAATAACTGTTATTTTGCCATAAAAATTTAAGTACTTAATAACGCTATTAAAAATAGGAGTTGGTACCACCAACGAAGGGTGAAAATTTAGGGTTGTATGTATTTTTAATGCCAAATCATAATAAAATAAATATAAAAAATGACAAAAAATTATTAGACAACATTTAGGGGTAGGGTCACCCTTATCATCGAAGGCTAGGAAAAATAGACGTTGGACGATTTTCAGATCTACCCAACATGCATATACCTAATATTAATAAAAATCGGTAAAACCGTTTCGGAGGAGATTGGAACCGATAACATAAGATATAGCTACATTATCAATTATGAATTAGAAATGCTTACTATAATCGTAATAATAATTCGTGAATTACTGTTCATTCCATATGTTGACTGGTAGATAAAATGCTTTTAGCATTAACTCCGCCTTCTATACCATGTTTTAGTTTATCAATAAAGTTGTTTCAATTAATATAATAGCATTTATGCGAAATATGGACGACAATTTGTTTTTTTTTAATTACGGTACGATAAAGGCGAAGTAATAAAAGTTTAATAAGTGTACGTTCTCGTTATTTGTTTTGAGTAACAGAATATTTCGTGGTTAGAAGATAGTAAATATGTATTTGGGAATTCAAGGAAAAGAGAAAAAACTACTGTAACTGTAACTAACTACTGTAACTGACAATACCTACATACCATATGATATATACATACAGAAAATGTAGTCAAGCGTGCTATAAAAGTTGAGTATGATTAAAATAAAATGAGCAAATAAACGGTGTTTCTAAATTAAGTATAATATTAAATTTTCTTACTATAAAACGCTTAAAACTTATTAAATTAAACCAATTTAATTTCAGGCCCAGTTATGATGAATTTCATAGTAATGCCAACCTACCTTATACTGGTAAGTACCAAGTGTAATTCTCATTACCGACGGCCTCGGTAGTTAAGAGGTTTAATATACCACTTTATTTACGTTGGTTACGGGTTCGATTCTTAGCACGGTACAAACATTTATAGTCAGACCTATAATTGTAGCTTATATATGTACTTACATAACAGGTATCTATGTATTTATATCAGTTGTTTAGTCTCTATAAGATAAGCTCTGCTTAACTTACTGACGGACTGGATAGCTCTATGTGTTTTGTCCTGAGACATTATAATATTGTCATTAAATAAAAAAATAAATCATCACTAATGTTTAGGTATCTCTAAAATTTCATGCCAAATTAATAAATAACTTCACGCAGATACAATTATCTGTAATTCCTAAAATAACAGGACCTAATTTAGGTATTAGGTGCCTATACGATAATCAGAGAGCGTGGGATGAACTGGTATCTGTCGGTAAACCGGAAACTGCTATAACTCCTAACAGGATGACAATTTGCATCTACGTATATGATTGCTATTATAAACATAGCAGTAATGTCTGTATATATGCCGACCCTATGACCTGAATATTCTCAATGCCATAGATAAATCTATCATATGGGTGAATAACTATGGGTCAAGGCTATTATAGTATTGTCATTATATTTTAAAATTGATATTTTCTAGTTCCTTGAATATTTTCATATATTTCATACTTTATATTTTATTGAGGGTTATGGGCTACTGTCAGATGTTAAGACCTACACAGATCTACTGTGCTCGTCCTTTTTTAAAATTCGCTATGTAGACGTTTGAAATAAGAATTGAAGTATATTTTGTGCTTATTTAGTAGGCCGATAATGAGTTGAAATATTCATGTAGTTTGTTTTTGATAAAATGATGATACGGTAATGTTACGGTAAGATTAATATTTGTGCTATTAAAAGTACATACTATAATGTCTTAGAACTATTTCATACTTTGTTCTTTTCACTATACAATATTAACCATAAAGTCTTCTTTTGACGTTTAGCAGAGTTAGACTGAAAAATATCTCGCGTGGGGTACCGTACTCTTACCTATATACTTTAGCCGCGCAGCTTACTTTGTAAGGTATGTTTCGGTTGTAGAGTGTAGATTAAGTAAAATTATAGGATAAGAGTTTCTCTGGAATGGCACATAAATGGTATCACGGGTGTCACATGATAACGGATACCGCTTTTCAATAGGTGGGCCGAAAGCCTGTATGGCGTTTCAACTAGATTAAAATAAATAAAAAGGGGAACGATTTGTGTATATAGGCGACTGTTACCGCTTACCATCGTATAGGCATCCAGCTTTTATGCAATCCCAATTACATAAAAAAATAAATAGTTCATTATTACCACTTCCTAGCAAGTCGATTGGCTTACTTGCTATTCCGATGCTTCCAGTAGTCGTAAAAGAAGTCATATATGTCTTTTTGGATTGAATTAGATGTTATTTTGCATTTCACTATTTGATGAATAGATATTAGGTATATGGATATATATCAATTTTATTTCACTATATAATGGATATATGTTTAATTCCGCTGCCATTAGCATGTGTGAGACCACAAATATTTAGTGTGAAAACCTGACTATTGATGATCAAACTCCAACGTTTAATGAGTCTATGAGCTGAAGAGTGCTTTTTTGGTGAAAATTGTGTTTCTCATGTGCATGCCATTCTAAAACAAACTTATTTAAAGAAACACAACACAACACCATTGACAAAATTTCATAGGTTTATTTAATTATTATAGATAAATTTCAAAGTAGCACGTTTTTTATGGAGAGGGGTAAGGGAGCAGCCTTACGTAATATATCGGTATGTAACGCAACGCAATATCGCACGATTACTACCGATTTACTATTGTATTCTTTAATAGCAAAATGTGATCCGGAGTGCAAGAACAATGGGATATGTGTGGACACAAACACCTGCCACTGTCCCGCCAACTTCCACGGCCGATATTGCGAATTTGAGAAGAAACCATGCCTCGTGTACCCGCCGTTACCCATGAACTCCAATAGGAGTTGCTCCGCAGAGTAAGTATTTTTTTTTTCATGGAACAAACATATCCATGAGTTTTCGAAATGATTGCAAATATTTTTAACGAAGCACATGTATTTCCGTTTGGCTTATGGCTGACTGGGAGACGATGCCTCAAGATGTTAAGCTGCCACCTATAGTTGTGTAGTACATTGAAGTTATAATAAACAAAGATTTTGTTTGTTTATATCACAGTTTTTATTGAAGAACAAGTTATGGTTCAGCATAACTTTATAGTTTCAAAAGAAATGGATTGTATAGCTAGACTAGTTCAACCTCCAGACTCCTACAAGGCATAACTGATGTTATGCTAACTATTTTACAAACTTCCAAGTTTATAATACTAGTAAGATATATCTATATGGTGCGTTTTTTTTATTTAAATATATAATTTTAATTCTTATGAAATCATTTTAAGACTATCGACTCTTTTTAATTGAAAAGGTTTTCACAAACTACTGTCTTGTTTCTGAAATTTAAATTTAATTGCACTTGCATGAATTAAATATTTCTACTTCTTTTATATTGATAGCTTCTGCACAGTCCAGTGTTTACCTGGCCACAAGTTTATCGACGGTACCACTGTCGCCAACATGCGCTGTTTGGACGGCCAGTGGAGGCCGACGCGAGCTGACTTCTCTACCATCCCGGACTGTGAGCCGGAGTGCAACCCTTCGTGTCAGAATGGAGGCATCTGTCTGTCTCTCAACACCTGCCAGTGTCCGGATGGATACAGGGGTCCACAGTGCCAGTACTGTTAGTGACATTTTATTTATAGTTCCTTTGTCACTTTGCTACTTCATAATTCGTGCCATAACAAAATAATATTCCAAAAACTTTCGATTGTAAAAACCATCAATAGATTACGTGACTCGTTAAGGAGAGAGTCAACAAGGTGTGACATTGTCACATCGTCAAATAAGGGGTTAGAAGTGTCGCAAATTTCGTGAAAAGAATCATCAAATTTAGGACCTTTCTCATCGCGTGCGCATCGACTTTGCGCACGCGACATCTCTATTTTTAGTATTAAAACACGAAATTTGAGGTACTAAAATGTGACCAGTAGTTACAAGGTAAGTGAGGGGCGAACACTATTGGAATTGTTTTGACGTTTGAATATATGAATGGCCGCTGATCAGGTTGTAGAGCTTTGATTTTATAAGTAAATTAATGCATATTAAAAAAATGTCATTTCAAATAAACTGTACCAATTTATTTTTGATAATAAATAATACAATGAATCTTTTCTAGCTGCGAGCGCCTGCGAGATGCGAAAGCTAGCTTTCAACGGTGGATACTCCTGCTTCGGAGATGACGACACTTACTCCTGCAAATTGAACTGCCCCAGCGGCTCCACATTCAGCGTACCTCCAGCACCTCAATACACCTGCCTGTATTCCACTGGGGTGTTCGAACCGCAGCCTATACCTCATTGTGTCTTCAGTAAGTATATGTTTACTAGTGTTAGTCGTGACTTTAACTGTTATTTTTAGACCATAATATTAATAATAATTACCCTCGTTAATCCATATATCACACAGCGCCATCTAGTCTCTAGATAAGACCTCATGTTATGGGTACTAGACAACGATATAAATATTCAATCTTTTTCTATCTTTACATAGTACAAAACAAAATCGCCACTGCTATCCTTAATATCTTTTAAGTTACGCAACGGATTTTATACGCAATGTTCAGCAATAGATAGAGTGATCCAAGAGGAAGGTTTATATGTATAATACATGCGTGTTATAGTATAGAACAGTATATAGTAAAATTGTAACAGGACAATATCTGTACATTATTTACATATATTGGAAATGGGGTGAGTCTTTGTAAAAGTAAAGAATCCACTACAACAGTTTTTAGAAACTTTGTCTGTCAGTCTGTTGAATAACTACTGCATAGAATTGAATGCAGTTTTTAATCATGTATTAGTGGTTTAACTTTTAAGTCTCTTATTATATTTTATTAAATTAAGAACTGTTGTATATCTGTTACAGACGATGTGGTCGTTGTACATCCAAGCAATTACCACAATATGGTAAGTTACAGTAATAAATAAATAAATAAAACAAATTTTAATTATATTAACGGCGTATTAGTTTCAAAATTTTCAATTTCTAAATTCCAATTTCATACTCTCCGTCCTCGTAAGTTTCGTACAAAGTTTTTTCTTCACGCATTAATAGAATCATTCCTTTGTTAGAGCGTTTACGAAAGTCACTACAATATGAGCAGTTCGAGTCAAAGCAGTTACGGGTACAGTCACAGTCACAGTGGTGTTTATGGCGGTAGTGAGACCGAGAACGTTGTGATGGTGGTACAAGACCTCACCCCCAAAGGCGGCACCTGCCTCACGTGGGCAGGAGTGCATTACAAAACCTTCGACGGCAAGATTTATAGGTGAGTACCCAATACCTGCCAATTCTTCTCGTTATCAAATCAAAATGTTCTTCAGGTCTGCTTAAATCAATATGACTAATTTATTCTTATTTAGTTACTCAACCAGTTGGTTGTATATTTAATATTTTCTCTGCTTGTGTTAAATTACTGCTAGTTGGTAGTTTATATTCATACACAGCTATTTATGGTCAAATCTACCGTCAGTTCGTAGTTGCTTTCAAGATGATTGCATTTCTGATGCTGATTCATTTTTAAATTCAAATTTGGGTTAATAGACTGAGCAATTAGTTACTTTTGTTGACTTAAGTGATAGCTTATTTTCGTCCTCGTAGTCCGATCTATCTTCATAAAATTCTTTAATATGTGTTTTAGACTTTGTGTTGAAAATTTAACAAACGGACAGATAAACCTTCGGAATAGATTAGAATACCGTTAAATTTATTACAACATAAATCACAACATAACAATAATTACCCTCACAGCAGCATATAAATTATTATATCATATAAACGGTAATAGAATACACAGACAGCCCTAGTAGTGTAGCGGTTTCGCACACCAATTTTCTTCCGATTCCTCGCACGGTACATATGTATATTTGTATTCGTATATGATTACTTGTATAGGTCTGGCTGTTTTCTATGTATGTTATTTATTTATTTATTCATTTATTCATTTATTTCGGATATATATCCATATTATGTTAGGAAACAACTTATAAAATATGTTGTAAATTACAATTTTATTCATTCAATTCATATATTTATGCCTATTTCCACGTCCAGAAGAACTGGGTCCGCAGCAGTGCAGCGATATCCAGTGTCTCTGGAGCGGACAATAAAGCATATTGGATATGGTGTTTAGGAGGCTGTTTGCGCTCCCCCGAATTCTATACATGAGTGATGCAGTTCTATTTCGCATTATGGCTTCAAAACCATCTATCCGCGTTGCTGCAAACATCTCTGATGCGCTATAGAACATTTATGCATTTACAAAAAAATTATAAATATTTCTATTAGTTGTCTAGTAGCCATAACAGGCTCTACTTAGCTTGTGATGGCTCCGTTTGAATTGTATATGGTTATTATTATTATCATCATCACGGCATCATAGAATACACAACGGTGTCTGTGATCTCGCATGAGTTATCGATTCTAAAAGACTACATTATTCCCCTGTATCAAATCGCAGCGGGAGCCTAAGATTTAAAATAAATCAAAATATATACATAAAAAAAAAAAGGTGAAACAAATAAAAGGGGATAAAAAAAAAAGACTACATTATTTACTTTATTATGAGGGATATAAAAACTATTGTTTACTCTACTGCGACTATCTACGACTTATTCTCTCAAACCTACCAAATAAACACCAAAACTCTCATTAAAATCTGTCAAGCCGTTTTGAAGTGCGATAACAATATGACGGACATTTTAATATTTTAGATGCAACCGAATTTGCTGTAAATTCGTTTGTTTGTTCGATTCTTCACTAACTTCTTTTAAAGCACGCAAATTTTGAAAATGATTTCTGATTTTTTTCTTTATTCTCATGATAATTCTACAGCTTCGAGTCTCCGTGTGAGCATGTTCTGGTACGAGATGCAAGGGAGCACAAGTATACTGTGGTGGTCAAACACAGCGAGTGCAAGAGGAAGCCCTACTGTCCGAGCGAGCTCACCATCTACATGGAGGACAAGCCGTACATGCTCAGCGTTGGAGGTGAGATAATGTGACCACAGAAATATAACGTAGAGAATATTCCTTCATTTCTATAAAAATAACTACTTTTACTTTGTAGAAAGTCGTTTATCTTAGTCATTTCTGTCACCAAGTAAGTTTTGTAAGTCATGTAATTTCACTGTCATAATTTACCCCCATACAGTTTTTGAAGGGTAAATCATCGCAGTAAAATTACAGAGCACAGAGGTTATTTTAGGACAGCCATCTTTGGAAGGAATCTTTTAAACTGAATTTGAAAGATACCACGCCATATTAGGGAGCCTCAATTCTAGAATGGGAACGCATGTCACTATTGCAATTTGACTATCATAATTTACCTTTCAAACTAATTTGAAAGGTAAATTATGACAGTGAAACTAAAGGGTAAATAAGCACGCCATCTTAGGCAGGGATTCTGGAATGAGAACGTATATTACTTTCTTTAATTTTGCTGTCATAATTTACTTACTCTTCAGACTGAATTTTAAAGGCATATTGTGATAGTGAAATTACAAGTTATAACGAGTACAGAGGCTTATTATATTATTATAGTTATTATATTCTTTGTATTTTAATTTTTTTTAGAGGATGGTTCGGTGATATTCCGCAGTACAAAACGTCTACTCCCAATGCCGGCGTCTCTGCCAGGCATCCGCGTCTCCATGCCAGCTGACTTCGTACTCGTCAACTTGGACGCTGCTGGTGTCACTATTAAATGGGACTCCAATGTAAGAGTATATATTGTATCTAAGTTTTTTTTTTCTGTTGAGTAAAATCAATATATGTATAATGAATAGGGCCCTCCCTGGACTCTGTAAATTAAATATACACATACATGGCCTGTGCTTAACAAAATAGGCAGATTTTTCCAAGAGGAATAGGAAACGTCCTAATTGCTAAAACTGCAAATCTTTGTTAGGCACAGACCTCCAGTGCTTTGCAAAACCAGCGAAAGTAAGCGGTGCACTAAACTGCTAGACTACCGACGGATATTTTTTAAACAAAGATTGGTTGCATTTATATTATCTACCTTTATAGTTTTGCTAGACAAAACGTATTTTTTTTAATAAATGATCATGGAATGGTGCACTCGGATGTGCTAATCTTTTATGCTGGCGGAACACAAGTGAAGGATGATAAGTTGAAGATGAGTTCGTGTCAGTTAGCCCATCGTGACAAATTAACCAGGAATTTATCATGATTGTTTCCAAGAGGAGGAGGATGGAGGTCAATATCGTACATTGCTAGCAATTTGGTCATCAGTCCACATTATTAACAATCCGCTTTCCCCCAGAACGTGGTATTGGTAGATGGAACGGTTCAACTCTGGAACAACACTGAAGGCCTCTGTGGTACACTAGACGGAAACCCAGAAAACGATATGAGAACTAAAGTTGGCACTATTGCCAAAACCAAGTCCGCAATGGCTTCCTCATGGCAGGTCAATAAAATAGGAGGTACATGCTTTATATATAATCGGCTGGTATTGTCCTACACCATTTTTTTATGGATTATAATGGAATAGTATACCCGCTTACTGGCGGGGTACCAAGGAGGATGGGTACGAAGTTAGGTCAGTTAATCCATCGTGACGAATTAACCACAATGGTTTCCAGTGGCGACCGCGTGAAGGTCGACTTAACATGTTAAATTGTTAGCAGTGGTTTCATTATTCTCCATTACTAATAATCCCTTCCCAGGGGGGAGACTACTGCATTGTTTGAATAAAATAAACCTTCATATTTTTTTATGTCATTAAAATGGCAAACAAGTTGAGACGGCTCACTTAATAATAAGTGGTAACCATTGTCTACATAGGTGCATGAACAGTGAAATACGGACATGATGTTATCATGTTACGCCCGTAATACTGTTGTATGTCCGTAATACTCCTGCGTTGTCCGTAATACTCCTGCGTTGTCCGTAATACTCCTGCGTTGCCCGTAATACTCCTGCGTTGCCCGTAATGCTCCTGCGTTGCCCGTAATGCTCCTGATGCCCGTAACACTCCTGCGTTGTCCGTATTACTCCTGCGTTGCCCTAGTCTGCACCCGTAATACCCCTGCGTTGCCCGTAATACTACTGCGTTGCCCGTAATACTCCTGCTTTGCCCGTAATGCTCCTGCGTTGCCCGTAATGCTCCTGCGTTGCCCGTAATGCTCCTGCGTTGCCCGTAATCCTCCTGCGTTGTAATCCTCCTGCGTTGTCCAAAAATGCGTTGCCCGTAAATTAATACCCCATTTAATACTACTGCGTTGCCCGTAATACTCCTGCTTTGCCCGTAATGCTCCTGCGTTGCCCGTAATGCTCCTGCGTTGCCCGTAATGCTCCTGCGTTGCCCGTAATCCTCCTGCGTTGCCCGTAATCCTCCTGCGTTGTCCGTATTACTCCTGCGTTATAATACTCCTGCGTTACAACTACTGCGTTGCCCGTAATATTTGCCCGTAATGCTCCTATGTGCTCCTGTTGGTAATGCTCCTGCGTTGCCCGTAATACTCCTGCGTTGTCCGTAATACTCCTGCGTTGTCCGTAATACTCCTGCGTTGCCATCTGAGGACTAAGATATCACGCCCTATCCTGTAATTTCTCTGCTTCTAGTCTCACCCAATCTTTCAATCTAATGCAAGCTGCTTGGCCACTGAAATATGTGAGACTAAGGTACCCACCCAGATGAATCATTACAAAAATGACCTCACTAAATTATCATTTTTAGTAGTGGAGAATATTGTATAAATATAGACAATATCTGAAAAAATCCATAATAGTTCAAGTAGTCCATAATAGTACAAAACCATTTAAAATTTGTAGATATGTGGAAGGTACATATATATCTAAAGCCGATGAAGATATGAAGAAAGCTTTACAGTTTTGTACCAAAGTATTCAGTAAGGAGAAATTCCGCAAGTGCTCCAAGGTTAGTTTGATGCCTTTGACCACAATCTTCGCCGACCATTAATTTTAAGTTACTGGAATACATATATATCTGTATTATATATAAAATTCTTGTGTCACAATGTTAATATTATACTTATAAGATAATTACCATACATCTCTGAGAATCGGCTACTGTCGATTTTTCATATCCTTATGTGATAAGGGTTGTCCACCAGTAATATTTTATTTTTATTTTTTGGGCAAAATTACTATTTTTTATAATGTACAACCCTAAATTTTCACCCTGCTGTCACCAACCCCTACTTTTTAATAGCGAATTTAATTTATATGGCTAAACAACGTTTGCGGGGTCAGGTAGTAAAAATATATATTCTTGAACACATCGTGTAGTGTTCGACTAATGAGATTTTACTAATGTTAATATTATTTTATATACGACGATCCCGGGAACATAGTAAAGTAAAGCGGTATATGTACTAAGCTTCTACCGAAGGTATCATACCTTAATGATAAGCTGTAGGATATTAAAACATATTAACATACAGTATATTAATAATATTTCCTAAATTTCAGGTTATGGATATATCAATGTTACTGGAAACGTGTCAATGGGACTACTGCGCTTGTATAAGCAGTTTGAGTAAGTTTCTTATATTCCTATTGTTACGGTTATGTTAGTATAAATATAAAAATTAGAACTGTTCAATTCCGATTGTATTCATAGATTATATAATACACGTATTAAATCACTAGTTGTGCCCTCGGTTTCGCCCGTGTGAAATTTATAGCCTATATGTTATTTTGATATATAAGCTACATATATTACTGTAAAGTTTCATCAAAATCCGTTCTGTAGTTTTTGAGTGCAAGAGTAACAAACATCCATCCATACTCACAAACATTCTCGTTTATAATATTAATTTAATAAATTGAAATTGATAATAATTATTGTTCATAGATAATAAATATATCTAAAATAAGTATATTAGAAAATATAGTACAAAAGGTAATCTTAAATAACAATCCTTCAGACGCTTGTATCAAACAGGTTGTGTGAAAACATGTCGGTATATTTCACATATCCTATATACATATATATTTTAAAAGCATGTTTTGCTTAGTTTTTATTATATTTGATTAAAGAAATAAAACTTTATTAAATCTTACATCTTTCTTCCAGGTCCTGAAGAATGCGCTTGCAGCACGGTATCTGTGTACGCTAAGGAATGCCTGAGACATGGTGTGGAGGGAATGAAGTCGTGGCGGGATCCTGACACCTGCCGTGAGTGTTTTTTTTACTGTTTTGGGCTACTAACAATTAATCTCGACTTATCAAAGTGTCTAAGGCTGTTGGTCGCAGCTGGCTTTTACAGCTTCACCAAACGATAAGGGGCAAGTGCAAATGGGATTCCAAACCCGTGGTAAGACTTACGGAGCTGCTGAAGGCCAAATTCTATAGATCACCGATAGGGGAACCTCATTTAGGCCGTCGTAATGTGGATCCCCGTTTGAATTGATCCTATCTGTACCTTCCATAAAATGAACCTCGAACGACAGCGGATAACAGTAAATAAAATCCTTGGATTAGAAGTACTGAACAGACATCAGACACATTAATTAGATGTTTCCCGGAGAAGTAAAACCCCGGACTCTTCAAATCTGGCGAAAAGAAGTTTCTTCTGGGTGAGCGCACTATATCCTAAGTCTTCCCTCTTCCACCAAGTGAGGCAAGATCAAGCGTAACCCATTATAATAATAATAATAACATATTGACTAAATTGGTATGATATTTCTGCAGCCATGCACTGCCCCGAAGGCAAGCTATACAATTCGTGCGGCCCTGATATTCAGCCCAGCTGCGCATTCTCCTCACCTACAAAATCCGACAACTCCAGCTGTGTCGAGGGTTGCTTCTGTCCTGAGGGTCAACTTCTGGAGGGTGGGAAATGCGTCACCAAAGACGAGTGCCCCTGTCGCCTGAGGAACCGCAGTTTTAAGCCGGGTTCAGTTGTACCTAAAGATTGCAATAAATGGTAAATTTTAATACTAATTATTTAACAGTGATTACGTTAATTAATAATAATCGAATTGAATGAATAAGTGAATAATTTTATGGCAGATAACCATAGATCAAAAATAAAACAGTGCCGAGGATGTCCATAGAGTTTTACAGAATTACTCTATATTAAGGTATCTCAATGGTCAATAATTCGCACGTGACCCCATTCGGCGTTCACAGGCCATATATTCTCAAAAAGATGTCATTGCCGTGGTATAAAAAAATATTTTGATTTCCATATAAAATAACGTATAAAAGCTAATCGTTAAAAGCAAATTTTTGTAGAAATAACTACTTTGCAAAGAAATCTATTTACATGTGTAGATATATTTCTCCAGATTCATAGCTCATGAGATAAAACGATACGGTAACTGCTCGCGTTGTTTTCATACGGAAACATAGATTTTTCATGCATACGGAAATATATCTACCGGTTAACATTTTATCTCTTTGTAGTATATATAGTCTTTGGCATAATTAATATTGTTCATAACGTACTCTGTGCTGTTGACAGAGCCTGATTGTAAAAATGGCGGGAACGGCCTAATTAAATGTGAAGCTCAATTTAGCATTTCATTTATTTATATACACTCTTGTATATGGTATTTGGTATGGATAATATTTAATACGGAAGATGTTGTAGCACGTGCCAGGCAGGCGAGTGGTCGTGTACCCAAGTGGCGTGCGGCGCGCGCTGCAGCGCTGTGGGCGACCCCCACTATACCACCTTCGACGGCCTCCGCTACGACTTCATGGGGCATTGCACCTACATACTCCTCAAGACTGACAACATCACGGTTGAAGTTGAGAATGTCGCGTGTTCTGGTGCCATTACTGAGGTTGGTAGCTGAGGTCTATAACCTAATTCTTGTATTTTTGGACAAACTTCTTAGCATTCACCCGCCGGTGCAAGGTTCATCGTATGGCAGAGAGGGAAAATCTGATAGAAATCTGCTAGTGCAACTTTAGATACACGTTTTCTATTATAAAACCCACTGCTGGACTAGACCGGCCAAGATCTTAAAGAAGATTGTAGAGAGAGTATACCTCTAGCTTCCACTTCCGGTGACTAAAAGAAGCTAAACCTATTATTCCTAAATTTCCTAAGGTTCCTGCTGTAATTATTGGAAATAAAAAGCCAAATTTTGCTAGATTAAAAAACAACAACTTTTAGTAACTAGTACTCTATGTAAGTTATAGTATAATGAATTCCTTTGGCTTTTTACAAACTTTTATTTTCGACAATTCTACTAATCTCGACTATTCGAAAAGAGTCATTTATTTCCAAATATTAAAAATCTTCATTTTGTTTATCTTATATAAGTATACAACAAATAAACAATATAAAGCTACTTTAGCAGCCTATTAGCCTATAAACTTAAAGGGTAAAATTTATTTTCTGCAGGCAATGAACCTTGTACCTTACAAAGGTGCAGGGAAGCCATCTTGCACTAAATCAGTGACAGTGAACTACGACGGAGCCAGGATCCACCTGAAGCAGGGTGGATTCATTCTCGTTAATGGCAAGGAAGTCACCGCACTGCCGGTTACTGTTGGCAAGATCAGGATACGAGCTGCCTCGTCGCTCTTTGTTATAGGTTTGTTATGAAAATTTAATAAATACGTGTTATCATTTATTTTATGTACTTAGGATGGCAAACAAGATCAGGGTCGACCTAATAGTAATTTGTAAAATTCGTATCCATAGCTGTATGTGTATAACATACAGCTATGGATATCATGTTATGTTGTGACGCCTGTGATACCGCATATACGTTAGCATTGCGCAGGATTGCCATAAAATGTAATACTCCAAATGCTGTAATTTCACCTTATCTCTCCAAAACAGGGCTTATAAAGCAAGCTGCTTGGCGGTTGAATTAAGTGAAAGTTAGGTACCCTCCAAATTAAATTACGTAAGTGTATTAATCTTCTCACAAATGATACTGTTTAGATTTAATCTAATATACAAAACTGCCATAGAATATATATTGTTATATTTTTATAAATAATTGTATCTTGTATTTGTAGTGCAACTTCCAATTAAAGTGGACCTGTGGTGGGACGGAAGCACCAGAGTGTTTGTAGATGTACCACCCGCATTACAAGGGAAAACGCAGGTAAATGATATAATTAGACAATACAAATTTTCATATTCACAACCTAACTCAAGAATAGTCAAAGTCAACTTTTTCTCTTATTTAGCCCCAATAGTTTAGTTATTCTGTTTACGGGAAAAACAATGTATCTGGAATAAAATTAGTTGGAAAAAAGTTAGAAATTTACATATTATTCTCCTCTCAGAAACAGGCAAGACAGAAAAGACAAGCAAGACAAGGAGGTAATGAATCAGCCTTGTAAATAGAGATCTCTTCCAAATGATGCCTCCTTAATTTAGTTAACAATATAGACAATTTCGGAATAATATCATGTATTTTAACAGGGTCTTTGTGGAACACTAAATCGGAACCAAAAAGACGACTTCCTAACACCTGAAGGTGATATTGAGCAGTCAGCACTGGCGTTTGCGAACAAGTGGAAAACTAGAGAACTCTGCGACGACATGGTCGCTACAGAACCAGAGCATCCTTGTAAAGCCAATATCGAGAACAAGGAGGCTGCTGAGAAGTATTGTAGTAAATTGAAGAGTAAACTGTTTGAAGGTAATTGTGACATTATAAAATGCCTTGAAAGTCTCTATGTTTCCAAAATGTTGACAAAATGTTGGCGCTTTGTTGTTGTTGAGGAAATAAATGATGTTTAGAAATCTGTGTGGCAGACATTTTTTGCGACAACCTGTTTTAAAAACGTCACAATAAGTGTCTTCAAAGCTAAAAGGTAATTCTGTAAGGTCTGTACATGTTTTCAAGAGTCTAGGCTGACATAGACTAGACTCTTAAGTACTCATAGATTTTAATAGTTCTTACAAATACTTTACAAAGTTGGTTTTAGCTGTTTAATATTTCTCGATACCTCAAACTCTCTATCCACCGTACAATATGGCTCAACAATTAGCCTGTCTATAGGACTCTAATTAATTAAGTTACTGAGGCTGATGTTTTAGATTACTCCTTCATCTTGGCCTACTGAACAAGTGTCGAATTAGGCTAATGATATTCCATCGATTACTCATAGGTTGCCCATTGGTAATGCCCCAATACATGCTTTTTGGAAATGAAAGGGTTAGAGCAACCTGATGATTAACCGAGTGTATATTAGCAGCCTTAGTTACGGTAGTTTAAGAGTCGCGTGCGCCCGCAGAGTGCCACTGGTACGAGGACGTGGAGCCGTACTACAGCGCGTGCGTGTACGACATGTGCGCGTGCGGCGGCGACGTGCCGCGCTGCCTGTGTCCCGCGCTCGGCCACTACGCCGAGACGTGCGCGCGGCTCGGCGTGCGTCTGCAGTGGCGGTACAACGTCAAGGAGTGCGGTCAGTACGGACGTATTACAGCGTATGTCACATTATATTCTTGTTATTGTTGATTTGAACTCAAAATCCGGCTCGAAGGACCATCGCCTATAGTGGCAGTACAACGTTAAGTAGTGTAGTCAGTACAGACATACAACAGTGCATGTCACATTATGTTCTTATTATTATTGATATAAACTAAAAATCCGGCTCGAATGACCATTGCCTGCAGTGGCGGTACAACGTCAAGAAGTGTGGTAGACATACTATAGCGCATCTGTAAAGGTGCCAAAATTATTTCTGATGGCGACAGCAATAATGAAATACAGTTATTACTTATTACTATCAAATTGTAACTCCGGGTAACTGATATTTATCATTATACATACATATAGTCTGCTAGCGCAGTGCGAGCGGCTCGGTTATATTTATAACTTTGGTGCGAACGGGAGCGCGCCTGTATTGCTATCTCACTTGCTGCATACAACATGTTTATTAGTTAGTACACGTAAGTTATTAATTATCCAAATAAAGGAGTCCACAAATAAGTCTAAGATAGTGGTTTTATTCTTACGTATACCGAGCTACTACATATATAATATGTATCTCACAGAACTATCATGCACGGGCGGGCAAGAGTACACAGTATGCTCAGATAGCTGCTTGAGGCAGTGCTCCGACTTGGCGCTGCAGGACACGTGCCGCCCCTCCTGTGTCGAGGGCTGTGCATGTCCCCCTGGACAGGTATGCATTAGAAATTTCATTTTACACCACCGTTCTACTGTTTCTTTACATTGTATAAAACAATGTCGCCACCGCTGTCTGTTCGTTTCTATCTTATAAAGTACACTACGGATTTTAATTCAGTGTTCAGCAATAAATAGAGTGTCACTGATTTAAGAGGGTAGTGGGTAAGTAATGAAATAATACTTTGTTGCAGGTTGGACTCCTTGCACGGTACGAACATTTATATTACATACAGGAGATGATTTTTTGTATAATACTCGATGTTTTCTATATGTTTTAATACATACATAGATTTCTTTCGTGAATACATATATTTTATACATAGAAAACACCCTGACCGATACAGACTATGATACTCATACATCTATTTAATTACATAAGTTGTCTAGTACACAAAACACAAGCTCTGCTTAGCTTAAGACTAGATGGCGCTGTATAAATTATCCTGATAGATTTTTTTTTTATTTCTAAGGTCTTGGATGATAACGGTGCATGTATACCGGTCGGTCTTTGCCCCTGCTATCACAAAGGGATGAAATTCAACGCCGAGTACAAGGAAGTGAGACCGGGGAGACGCGAAAGGGAGTTGTGGTAAATAATTACTTTCTTAGCTAAGTATCATAGTACTAGGCATTGGTTTTAATGAACATTTATATAGGTTTAGTGGTAAACTGCACTTCAAACCAAAATAATAAAATGAAACTATCTAGGGACTAAAAATCAAATTTTTAAAATTTTAGCAAGTTGCAAATGCGAGTATTTGCTTTGAATCCTTCTGCTAAATTTGCGAAAAATTTTTGCTCTTTATCTGACCTGTTTTGGTTTTGCTAAGTTAATGAGTATTTACCAATACTGATTCTGAGGAGATGCCTCGGTGGAAACTGGGAGCAATCAGTGATCGCAGGAGATCCATATCTCCTATTTCAGCTAAAGAGATAATAAGAAAAATATTTTTTAGTGAATTTCCCAAGAGGTCAAAAGTGACATATAAAAAACTGTTGATAACAACATTGTATGTTGTTGTCAACCAACAGTTTTTTATAAATTATAATTAAAAAATAATTATTATAAATTATAAACACTAAAGTATAAATATCTCTTGCTACGAATGAAATATCGAAATTCTTATATTTCATTAATCAATTAACAAAACCACATATATTATAGTGCTATCTTAAACGCGAAAGTTTGTATGTATGGATGTTTGTTACTCTTTCACGCAAAAACTACTGAACGGATTTTGATGAAACTTTACACAAACAAACAAAGAATATTCAAATAATTAATTTTATTATAATAATGTGACAGCACATGCGTGGGTGGTCGATGGGAATGCAAGCCAGCAACGCAGAACGACATTCAGAACTATCCACCAGCTGAGGACCTGAAGAGCAACTGCAGTGCTACCGACCACATGGAGTTCACCACCTGCGTCATTGCAGAACCACTCACATGCAAGGTCGGGTCTATTTAATTTTATTTTTTACTAGCTGCAACCGTGACTTCGTCCGTATGGAATTTAACTTTATTTTTCTACAATAAAAGTAGCCTAAGCTACTCCTTATTACATCGGCTACCAGCCAAAAAAGGCCCGTCAGAATCAATCCAGCCATTTCAGAGATTAGCTGGAACAAACAGACAGACAGATGAAAATTGTAAAAATGTTATTTTGGTGTATGTACCGTATTTATATTCGTATGCATGTAGTAAAAAACGGTTATTTCAATATTACAAACAGACACTCCAATTTTATTTACATGTATAGATATATACTACTTTATGACATCGTTAGGGTAGGGTGAGACAAAATTAGATGAGACGCTGACCCCAATTTGTTGTTAAGGACGTAATCGGATGGTTTTCTTGTTCACAGTATAATTTATATAGCATCGTTACATTTCAAATCAGTTCAGTAGTTTTGATGTGAAAGTGAGACAAGTTACTTTTGCATTTATAATATTAGTAACGATTAATATACATCCAAGTGAAGAAATAATTGCGTCAACAGAATATGCACCTGCCCCCGTCTAAGACGAGCGAGGAGTGTCGTCCAGGGTGCCAGTGCAAGAAGGGCTATGTACTAGACACCAGCTCCAAGAAGTGCGTGGTGGGCACCCAGTGTCCGTGCCACCACGGCGGCCGCAGCTACCCGGACGGTCACGTCATGCAGGAGGAGTGCAACACTTGGTGAGTCACAACTTTAATTCAATAAGTAATTGTGAATAATTTTTAGATCTTAAGCTCACACGGCAAATGTTGATTTTCCATATAAATTAATATCGTTAACAAAAAATAGGGGTCGGTGATAGAAGGGTGAAAATTTAGGGTTGTATGTATTTTTAATGCCACGTAATAAAAAATAAAAATAAAAAAAATCGAATAATATTTGGTAATTTCCGACAGAAGAATATGACTCGATATCGAATACTAGATGGGTAATGTTATAGGGACTAACTTAGGTTACTAATTTGTAATATTATTATGTGGAAGTAATTGCTTTTTAGCGATAAGGCCGCCAATTGTTGCCTCTTTCTCTTTTTAAATGTTCGTTTTTTTTCTGTGAGAAGAACAATAAAGAATATTTGTAATAATATTATTAAATTTAATAAAAACAAATTAAATTCCACGCATACGAAATAGCGAGTTGTTAATCTGCTAGTAATAATATAAGAAATAGAATTAATTTTGATAATTGATATTCACAAAGAAGGCCAAGGCCTTTCGTAGTGTGTCCAGTTACCGCATTGATTGATTTAAATAATGTGCTCCAGTTGTGATCTTGGCTTCCGTGACCAAAGTGAAAGGTGCCCTCGTACGCATTGCGTTTGTATGTATAGTGTTTAATATGGGTAACATTTATTCAGCTTGTATAACATCGGGGGCGTAGCTCAGATGGTAGAGCGCTCGCTTAGCATGCGAGAGGTACCGGGATCGATACCCGGCGCCTCCAACTTGTTCTTTTTACCACCTACTGTTATAGTATTTTTTCATATTAAAATATTTTAAACTAATAAACAAAAGGTTTTTATGATGGCCAGATTTAAATCGTCAATTTGTACCGCCGCGGCCGTAGTTAACGCTTTCAAGTTGGCAGAATAAAATATTTATTCAACTTTTACGGGGCGAATCTTTGATAGTTTTTTTATGTAAATGGAATGCCAAAAAACTGATGGCCCATCCTCATGTCTTTTGTCCTGTAACTTTACAGCCTAATCTGCTCCATGTAACCGAAACACTGCTTGCCAGCTGATTGGTTAGACCAATTGCTTAACGTGCGAGAGATACCAAGATCGGCTGGTGTGGGTATATTTTAAACAATTATCATATTATTTTGGTACACATTTGTGATTTATTAAGAAACGGATTTGCAAAACTATGAATATTGTTATATAAATACAAATATTATTTTGCATAATTAATAAAGACAATGTGAATATCTAAGGATAATTCACATAGCGCTGTATAATCCCTATGGGTACTAGACAACTGATATATATATATATATATATTGTAAATACATACAAAGCATCAAGAATACATTGTAATCATAGTTATGAATACGTATATTTCTACTGTGCACGTCATCGAACCCGAAACCCAGGAAGTAAGGCGATGTACTAAAGCGCAAGTTTTGCTTAGCTTGGAACTAGATGATGCGTGAATTGTAAAGGGTTATTATCAATATTTATTGGTAGTTGGTAAAATGTTAGACGTTAACGATACAGTGAATGCAAGAGCGGCAACTGGTCGTGCACGTCGCGGCGCTGCGCGGGCGTGTGCGGCGCGTGGGGCGACTCACACTTGACCACTTTTGACGGCGCTGATTACGACTTCGAGGGTGTCTGCACGTACTTATTGGCGAAGGGCGTAATGGACTCAAATGATGGATTCGACATCGAGATACAGGTCTTGATATTTAATCTTTTTTAATATCTTAAGAATTTCCACCCAGGTTACTTACCTGGGTGGAAAATCTTAATTATTCTAATATAATAAATTCTTCCGAAAACCATACTTCTCCCAAAGGAAATGAAGGAAGTAGTTTTATCTACTAAAAACTACACAACACGTTCTTTACAAAAAATCAATACCAGGTGAGAATCCCCCATTCTTACCTGGTCTACCCAAAACCGAATAATATGGCAAGGGGTCTACGACACAAAAAACTTTGGGAACCTCTGGTTTAAAGTAATATATCTTGTCTGTGGTTTAAAGTATAGTAGTACCTACATTACTGAAATTTTTGTGGATTCTAGAATGTTCCATGCGGCACTACAGGAGCGACATGTTCCAAATCGATAACCCTTAAAGTGGGAAGTGGCGACCATCAAGAGGTGGTCTCACTTACCAGAAACGCGCCGCTACCCGACGTATCTAAATTGAAAAGGTAATTCAATCAAATCAAATCAAAATATTTTTATTCGTGTAGGTCTATTACAAACATTTATGATATGTGAAATCTACCGTCAGTTTGGAGTACTTTCGAGCCAAGAAGAATTGACAAGAAAAAATTTGGAATCTAAGAAAGTCGGCAACCATCCCATGGTTGCAGACAAATGGCCTTACAGCCTATTAAACGTAATTGCGGGCTAAGGTTGCGTTAACAAACGCAACTTCAACCCAGGCTCTAGGTGGTCTAACATCTTACTCCTCATCTACTTGCCAATCAAGTTTCTAAAACATACTTACATAAGTGTGTACTGTTACTGTGTATCGTGATAATGATGATGATGATAATGATGTTGATGATGATGATAATAATGACGGGTGTCAGGATCACCCTGCGCGTGGGCGGTGCGTACGTGTTCGTAGAAGCTCGCTCACTGGGCGTGCGTGTGCAGTGGGACCGAGAACTGCGCGTCTACGTCACTCTAGAGTCGCTGTGGCAAGGGCGGGTTAGTACTGATGCGTTTCCATTATACATGCCTTATATTATGTATAATATATACAAAAATTTTAGTAATAAAATGATGGTAGTTTATATGTATTTAGTGTGTTTTTTTTTAAAAGTACTATTTTTCATATTGTATGAGTTTTACATTCAAACTCAAAATCATTCATTCATGTAGGAACTTGTGCATGTCATATATTTTATCACTGTCCCTACCATTTGTAGAATAATCAATTAGAAGTGAGAAACATAGATAGTATTCCAGGTAATAAAAGTTACCTGTAATTTTTGTTTTTGTTTAAAATGCTATATAATTAAATATCTTTCAGTTCGAGTATCAAATAACATAAAATATTGATTGATATATTTATATGATTGATACATAATTGTCTCTGTCAGGTGAAAGGTCTATGCGGCAATTACAACTCAGATCTGCGCGATGACTTCCAAACGCCATCTGGTGGCGGCATCGCCGAGTCTTCAGCACTTATATTCGCAGACTCCTGGAAACTGAAACCCACGTGCCCGAAAGCGCAGCCCGTTACTGTAAGTTTTAGTATAGTCAATTATCGGCCTCGGTGGTATTGCGGTTTAGCGTGCCTCTTTACTTCAGATCGTCGCAGGTTATCTCGTTCTCAAACATTTGTTGTCATGAGTATGATTGTTTATATACGGATGGACAGTTGCTATCTATATCGAGGGTTATAAAAACCAAAATCAATTTTAATTTTTACATACAGTCCGCAGCGTGTATTTACATACTCTAAATGAAAAGTGGACATCTTTTTGGAGTTCTTTATTACATTTTCTTACAACTATCCTTTCTCTCACTCTCACACACGTCTTTCATACTTCTCTTTCACACATTACGGGCCTTATATATATACCGTATTTAATTTGAAGTCCTTAGCTGAAGACTTTACAGAGGCTTCGGCACTATATCCCATCGAGAGTTAAATAAATATTAAATAAAATTATCTCCACACGTGCAGGACTACTGCAAGCAGCGGCCGGAGCGCAACGAATGGGCGGTGAGCACTTGCAGCGCGTTAAAGCGATACCCGTTCTCGCTGTGCCACAGCGAAGTGTCGGCCGATCGCTGGATGCAGCGCTGCACGCGCGACGCGTGCGCGTGCGACTCGGGCGCGGACTGTGCGTGTGCATGCGCCGCACTCGCCGCGTACGCGCACGCGTGTTCGCTGCGAGGCGTCGTACTCCGCTGGCGGACTCCGCAGCTATGTCGTTAGTACCTTCACACTAACTATATTTTTATTTATATATGTATATAAATATGAAAAAATCTATGTACTTAATCAATTATCTAGTACCTTAACACAAGCTTTAGTTAGCTTAACTTGGGACTAGATGGCGCTGTGTGAATTGTCCTGAGATTATTTTTAGGTATTACTATCACTGATGTCTCATTTTCTCAACTTTTGCTGGTTTATAACACTTTGTGGTGGATTCCACACTCACAAACCTAAACTTATTATTATTATTTATTTATTAGTATATATTACAATATAAGTGCGTTATGATAGTAACAACACACGAGACGGAATTTGTTTTTTTTATAGTTTTAATGTAATATTTAGGTATAATAAAAAAAATATTTACATTCTATAATTTCACACTGCTCCTTACGCGCAATTTTCGTAAAAAGGGGAACAAAGTTTTAGCTTCACATATTAACATAATGATGAGGCTTTATATTATCATTCGTTCTGAAATAATATCTCACATTCTATATAATAACTTATATATTTATATAATTTTAATATTTTTATAGCGATGCAATGCGACGACGAGTGTTCAAACTACGACCCGTGCATGTCGGCGTGCCCGCTCGAGACCTGCGACAACACCATCGAGTATGCAGAGATCAAGACCAACTGCGAACAAGAATAGAATAGAATAGAATAGAATAGAAAATCCTTTATTCAAATAAACTTAATTCAAGCACTTTTGAATAATCATAACAATTTGTTTTTTATCTAAGAGCGTACACTTAGATTCTGGAATGAACTGCCTAGATATTCCCAAATAAGGGACAACTACATGCAGTTTTTTATCAATTGGTGTTGTTATAAAATGTATTTCCATTTAATACAACTATCACATAAAAGATCGTAGTCAAATTTAAATATTTCAATATCTTTACCAGGTTGCAAGCCAAAGAAGTCCTGCCCAGAAGGCTCCGTGTACAGTAACGGCACGTTAACGGAGTGCGTACCGCGTGCCAAGTGTAAACCATTGTGCATGACCCTCCCTGACGGTAAGGAGATACTGGAAGGAGAAATCATTGAAGAGGACGCCTGCCACACTTGCCGATGCTCCAAGAAGAGCAGGGTTTGCACTGGACAACCGTGTTCCACTATAGCGGTTAGTATACCATTTAACCCAAAAAATCTCTTATACAGGGTGCTGTCAGCACCACATATTTTCGATCACAAAATTAATTGACAATCCCGTTTAATATGTTTAAATATTTACATCATTACATAGTATAAAACAAAGTCTCCGCCGCTGTTTGTTCGCTTATATCGTTTAGATTACGCCACAGATTTTATTGCAGTTTTCAGCAATAGATAGAGTTATTCAAGAGTAAGGCTTATAAATCCATTAAGTAACGAAATGGACTTCCGCAAAATAATAACTAATTCATTAAATTATATTAATTTTTTAATTTATTTTTCTACAGCCTAGATTGATTGAGGAAAGTACAACATCAAGGCCGCACGATGAGCCACTCAAATGTGTTACCGGATGGACAGAGTGGATCAGTAGACACACGCCCGAAGCTGGAACTAATGGACAGTCTGTTGAGAAGGAGCCGCTACCTGAAATTAAGGAACTGGTGCGAGCTAATTTCAATTTATAATCATATTTTCTTTATGTATATAAATATGTGGTTACACTTGTACTATAATATTTCTGTCAACACTCGGCACCCTTCAATTTCCATCCGCTACCTGAAATAAAGGAACTGGTGAGAGCTAATTTCAATTTAGAATCATATTTTCTTTATGTATATAAATATGTGGTTACACTTGTACTATAATATTTCTGTCAACACTCGGCACCCTTCAATTTCCATCCGCTACCTGAAATAAAGGAACTGGTGCGAGCTAATTTCTATTTATAATCATATTTTCTTTATGTATATAAATATGTAGTTACACTTGTACTATAATATTTCTGTCAACACTCGGCACCCTTCAATTTCCATCCGCTACCTGAAATAAAGGAACTGGCGAGAGCTAATTTCAATTTAGAATCATATTTTCTTTATGCATATAAATATATAGCGCGGAAGTTATAGGTGTATATATATACACCACTGTATCGTTATATATGATGTGATGAGGTGTCGCTACTTAATTTATATGTTTATTATATAGTGAGTATACTGATGAAATAATTGTACTATTTATTGTACATTAGTATGTTTATTATACAAAGCTTATTGGAAATGCGAGTACTCAACGCAGAGTCGTAACACGGACTGTTTTTCTCCGTCAGTTTTTGAAGGGTCTCAAGTTTTGACAGAAATATTACAAATGTAGACACAATTATGTGTGTACACTACGTATGTACGTACTACCTACACTTGTAATATTTCTGTCAACAGTCGGCACCTTTCAATTTGTGTCCACTACCTGAAATTAAGGAACTTGTGAGAGCTAATTTCGATTTAGAATAATATTTCATTGTCCTGATATAGTATAATCATTATTATTATAATCAGGAAATTGGCACCTCAATGTGCAATCAAGACATGATGACGAAGATCGAGTGCCGCACGAAGGTGAACCACCAGAGTCCGAAGGAGACTGGACTCGACGCGGAGTGCAGCCTCGAGCGAGGACTGCTCTGCAGGGAGACCGGGGGCACGTGCCCAGACTTCGAGATACGGGTCTACTGCGAGTGTGAAGGTATTTTTTTTATACTTTTTCTTATCCTGCTATTAAGCTAAGCTACCAAGTTTTGAAGTTTTCCAAGATTATTTAAACATATATTCAAACAAAAAAATATACATGCGAGTCATTAGCTACCTTACTTTATCGGAACTTTAAACGCTTTGTTCCCCGGCAATTATTGATACGAAGCGGAAAAATATTAATGCGACTTCGTCCGCGTGAAATTTTCTTTTTATTAAAATAAATAAAATGTCTAAAGTTAAAGTAGCCTAAGTTAACATTAGCTATCTGTGAGTGAAAGTCCCGTCAAATCCGCCTAAGAGATTACAAAGAACAAGCAGAAAGACAAAGTGTTTATAATTATTGGTTTATGTAGGTACTGTATATATTTTCATACGCATTTAATGAAAAACTGTTACTGTAATATTACAATCAGACACTTCATATTTTATTTATTTGTATATTTCTTTATTACATGATTCATATAATTGTCTGTTCTATATCATAAACATCAAATGATTTCAAATAAGCATATATATCTAACATATACTATACATATAAACCCACAGAACAGTTCCAATGTCTGAACGCTGACCGACCAAGCTACCCGCACCCGAAGAACTGCAGCCAATTTTACGAGTGCACCCCTGACCTGCTAAACCCTGATAAGCCTCACACCGTACTCAAGTCCTGCGTGGAGGGCACCATGTACAACAACAACACCATGGTGTGTGACTGGCCTGCTGCTGTCATACCTCTGCGGCCAGAATGCGGCCAACCGCAAGGTAAACTTATAATATAACAATAGTTTGGTAATTTTGGCGCCCAACTTGGGATACTCAGCCATTATTACTGTAAAGTTTCATCAAAATATGTTCAGTAGTTTTTGCGTGAAAGAGTAACAAACATCATATCTCTTTACTGACAAATATTCACGTTTATAATATTAATAACATTGGAATAATGTTGCAACAAATTTGCAAACATCCACGGCTTTGGATAAAGTTAAATCTGGTTCTCTTAGTAATCTCTCCCTCATTGCACCATTCCTGATCCCACATATGTCCCGCACGAGATCACTACACAAATCTTTAAATTCACATTTTGCTGCCATTTTGTTCAATTCAAATACGTATTGCTCAATTGATTCCATTTCTTCTTGATCTCGTGTAAAAAAAATATGTCGCTCGACAGTTAAGTTTTTCCTGGGTAAAAATACCTCATCAAATTGTTTTAATACGTCATCCACCGTTTTATACTCTCCAGAAAACTGTTCATATATTTCTCGGCATTTTTCACCTATAATGTGTAACAGTATGTTAATTTGTACTCTCTTCTCTTTTTTATTCAATTCGCAGGCCTCAAAATATACCAAAAAAGCCTTTTTCCATTTCTCCCATTCTTTGCTTACGTTTCCCGATGTGACGTTTAGTAAATTATTCTTGAATCGAAACGGTTGAGGCGGTTGTAATATAGCTTCCATATTTCACAAGTGATTCTCTGTTACCCATCAAATACATATCCAGATTACAGATTTTTATGATATATACCGTCATAGCTCTGCGACCAGAATGCAGCTAACTGGAATTTAAAGAAAACTATATTATTCTACAGTTAGTCATTCGCTCTTTTACACTCGAATAGGATTTCACGAAAGAATTTCTAAATCTATATCTAAAAATAAACTAATTACATTAATGTCCATTCGGGCGTTTAATTGTGAAAAGGTAGCGAACATAATAGTCTCAGCATTTATAGTATTTGTATGAATATTGAAATATTATTATAGTACTTACTTAATTTTTTTTTACACAGGTATTGCTGCAACAACGACGTATATTCCAGAGATAGCCACGTCATTAGCTACAGGTCTGTTGATCTTAGTAGATTGTATTCAATAACAAACACAGTCTCACATTTGTTAGATACATTACTAATGTTTAGGTGCCTATGAATCATAACGAAAGCAAAAGAAATGGATTTATAAAAGTTTTTTTATTGAGGAAACAGAACAGTAACGAATCAAGTAATAGATATCGAGTTAAAAGTTTCTGTTGGTCATCCAACAGAAACTTTTAACTCGATATTATCTGACTCGCTGATGCACGCTCCATTCCAATATCATTATTGGAATGGTGCGTGCATCAGCGGAGAGTAATAGAATGAACATGGTATCAAAACAGTTAAAAGTAGCGTAAAGTTTGCGGCAAAGGTCCAAACAATTAATAATATAATAATAATATTTCAGGACAATTCACACAGCGCCACCTAGTCCCAAGCTAAGCAGAGCTTGTGTTATGGGTACTAGACAACTGATATAAATACATGGATACATTTTTTTGTAAATAAATACATATTATACATAGAAAACAACCAGACCGATACAAACAATCATACTCATGAATACAAATGCTTGTGCCGTGCGAGAAATAGAACCCACGACCATCGGATAGTAAAGCAGTGTGCTAAACCACTAGACCACTGAGGCTGTCGATGAAGGACGATTGTTTCCACGTAGGACTGCGCGGAGAACTATATGACATTCACTTGTCTAAACAATTTTGGCGCCCAACTTGGGACACTCAACCATGGCTGTTATTATTACAAATGGACTTATTTTATTTATATTTCTTTTATAAAATAGCTCCCCGAACACCGACGCAGACAACTGCGATATGTCCACCGGGGCTGGTATACTCTGACTGCGCGTATCCCTGCGACTCACTTTGCGATCACTTCAAGAAGACACTACAGAATAAAAGCAGGTGCATCCCTGGAGAGGTATGGCTTCCATCATTTTCCACGGATAAAATTGTACTTGTACGTGAAAGATTTAGTGAAATTTACAATCTTATTTTTATTTAACCAATTGACGAACACGGCCCTCCTGTTAGAAAATGGCAAATATCGCTTATATACCAAATATGAATATCTCTTGCATCACATCCTATAGTAAGGCCGTGATACGTTTCATACTGTGCCATTCATGAAGTATTAGGTCTCACCATAAAGACCGTTGCTTGGAAAAAATATCTGAAACAGAAGTGCTGTCACACAATGTATATCCACATTACGTAAATTGTGAACAATATATATAATGGAATACGAGGTATATTCCATATAACATTTGAGAATCTTAGAAGCTAATGAAAATAAAGATGTATTTAGAAAGTTATCAAAGTTACTTAAATGTTTTCAACTGTTGCGCTTTGCAGAAATGTGTTGAAGGCTGCGTGCCGGAGACACAGTGCGGTGGCGACACTAGATGGCGCGACGAGAACACTTGCGTGCCGATAAACTCCTGCACGTGCTATGACGATCTGGATCATATTGGAAGTATTGTGAAGGTAGAAACTTGAGACATATTTATTTTATACTACTGATAGTTGATGGTACACAAAATGTAAACAGCAGAGATAGTTATCTTTTTATAGACAGTCATAAAAAACAGATTACTTACATTGTGAAATATATACCATAATTAATTTCCAGAACGTTAATATGTATATATTCACTCCAATTATTACAATGATAGAAATTTTTCATGAATCCACTTTTGTTAATGGTTTATGCTGGCGGACACCACTAGCAGATGATACTATAAAAATTAAGTCCATAATGCTAATATTATTATGAATTAGCCAAGCTGGCTTCGAAGGGGGAACGTGTAGAGTTTGATATATGTAACATAATTAGCAAATTACCTCGCATTCATTACTAACACCTCATAATATAGTTACGTAATTTTGGCGCCCAACTTGGGACACTCAACCATGGTTGTTATTATCACAAAGCTGACTTATATTATGTTGCAATAATACTAGAACAAATTTAATAAAATATAGTAATTTCATGTTAGGTATCCGTAGCATTATCTGTAGCATTATGCTGAGTTGGCTACCTTTTCACTTTACATAAAGCTACCTACATTTCTTTTATTAATTCGTGTTTATCTGTATCTCATGTATGTTATGTGTCTGTAATTGTGAATAAAAAAATTATCTATCTATCTATTTTTTATTAAATTTGTTTTAGATTGTTTGTAGATAAGTTTTAATTTTATTATCTCTAGTCATTTGTTAAACCCCAATAAATAAATCGTAACGCTCAAAGATTTTTTATATAGCGGTAATATTGAACATATAATTTACATTGCAGCCGGGTGGCGTTGTGAAGAAAGGTTGCCGCAAATGCCAGTGCCTCAACAACGAGTTGCACTGTGATTCTAGTCTGTGCACTACAGAAGAGATTACCACCTCCACCACCACTACTACGACCACCACACCAGCGCCCACCGTCCCGTCGACGACGTTCATACCCGTCACCAGCACGGTCCCGCCTACGGTCGCTCCCACCACTGCGACCACTTCCACTCCTCTTATAGTACCGAGTACTGTCTCGCCACCACCTGAATGCTCTCCTGACAGGTCAGAACCTTCACAATTATTTTCATCTTCTACTGTTCAGCATCCTCTACATAGATTTATGGATCTAACTATGCTTAAAGTATAGCTTAAAACTAATTTAGGATATTTGTTTTTCTCATATATATTGAAATATCAAAAAACTTAGACAGTCGATCTGATCTAAAGCAGTAATTAACGCCTATATACAATTATACATGAACAGTACCATAATTTCTTACTAACTTCGCAAATATATTATAACCTCCATAATACTTCTACATCCTATCTTATATTCTAGGTCGTAAAGTCTAATTTATAATGTCAGCAACACATTTATTCCCGAAGAATTAGTTATTGGGCAAATAGCAAGAGGTTTGTGAAGTTGTAGGGCTGTAGGGGAATCTTATACTTAGTGACAACAATGCTAATTTTAGTTGTGACGGATTTTAAACTTTTTATTCCACAACCAATATGCCTAGTACTATTCTTTAACCAATAGAAAGTCATGTTATTTGTAAGTATTATAGGCTACATAAAATCAAGTTACGACTGAATGGAAAATTTTGTAGAAACGGCGAAAATGTGACGCAAGCAAAATGGAGCGAGTCAGCTAGTACGAAATAAATTAGAGGATTTTTCTTTTAAGTTTGAATATCTGTTTTAAATTTCCATTGATTGTGATGACAGGATCGGTGGCGAGAGTAAACACAGTAGGGTTGGAACTTGTGTATTTGGTTACATCCTGAATACTCCAACGTACACTAGTTATTAAGACTATATAAACTAAACGCTACATGAACTGCGTGAGGTTTTTTTAAATGAAAGAGAAGATTTAGTTACTCCATATGCTTCAGCGTTTGCGCCTATGGTTCACCCTCGCTTCAGCGGAGTTTGAAAAGAATTTTATATTTATGTTTTTCTTAGGAGTGTACTTTGAGATATACTATTGCAATATTATTATTGCAATATTATTATATATATAATATTATTATGTGACATATTGATTTTATAAGTAAAAGAAGACAAAAGAGTGAGGTTAGATAAAGTGACTTATATATCGTACATTGTTAAAATCTACTATATTATTGGACGTGCTGGAATATAATTACTATATCACAATAATAATTTTATAGTTACAAGAACCTGTTGTGGGGTGACGAGCCTTTGGAGGAGACAGCGTTCAGCGCCAGCTCCGTCGCCAACGAGTTGTTCGAGCCGCAGTACGCTGTGCTCGACGGACATCCGCTCGACATCACCGGTAAACTGATTGATATAACATTAAAAATAATAAAACTAATAAAACCCAGTATAATAAATAATAACCCAGTAAAATACACAGCGCCATCTAGTCGTAAACTAAGCACAACTTTATAAGTGACTCACAGATATACGTGGGAGTTATATATCTAATTGAATAATAACATATTATAAGATGCATTACTATGTATATATATTATTATTATACTAGTGTTACCCGCGACTTTGTCCGCATAGAATTAAAATAACTAAAATTTATAAAATATAAGTAGTACTAAGTTACCCCTTACAATATTAGCTATCTGCGAGTCAAAATCGCATTAAGGTAGGTATATACGTTTTAGAATTTAACAAGAACAAACAGACAGATAAAATTTATTTGTCATTTTTTTATGTAAGTAATAATTTTATACATAGGTATTTAGTGAAAAGCTGTTAATTTGAAATTACAAACAGACACTTCAATTTTACTATATATTTGTATTTGTAGAGATTATATATGTATTAAGCGATAACATTTTTAGTTACTTATTTAAATGATATATAAACCAATTGCGTCTCATTAAAAGACTAACAAATTTCGCCAATTACTATTAGTTTTTTTTTTGTAATTGATAAATCTGTAAGGGGATGTAATAGGTGATAAAAAGTGCAGACAAAGTCACGAGTAACAACTGGTATACCATAAATACCAATTTGCACAATTAAGGTTGAGTCTGTGCTCCGAATGAGTGGTAGAATAAAATAAATATGAATATTCAAAAGTATTTATATTAAGTCTCTTTAAATAATGATTATTTCTATTCTATTCTATAATGTCAAACAGCCGGAAGCTGGGCACCAAAGAAGATGGACAAGGACCAGTACATACAGGTGGAGTTCCCGCGTCGCGAGCCTGTGTATGGAGTCATACTACAGGGCAGCCCACTCTTCGACCAGTACGTCACCAGCTACGAGCTCATGTACGGAGACGACGGACATGTATTCTCCGTGGTCAATGGTCCTGATGGTAACCCCAAGGTAATATTATTAATACCTGATCAAGTAATATATTGTTGATCTCTGTGGTGGTCTAGCATACAGGCTTATTTCCGAGGGTCGTGGATTCGATTCAAAACCGCCATTTATCTAGATGATCAGGATGATCTTTTAGTTACTTGAACACACCAACATAATCTATGTACCATTGCCTATACTTTCAGATTCAACTTCGGAGTGCTGGTGGATGGAGAAAAATTGTTGTTCACATATGATGAATCTAGAAAAAATGAAATCATTTTGATTACTCTAAGTATAAAATTAATTTAAAATACTTATGGTGCCTCATTTTAGAGTCTAATCCGCGTTGATATATAATATTAGCAAAAAATTCGACAATCTGAAAGGTCATGCTAGGCATAAAGGTTCTGGTAGGCATGTCTAGAATTGCAGTAAGATCTAAACTAAAATGTGTATTTAAACATGCACTTGCTTTGGCCAGTTTTGATAGGACAGGGAGAGAAGCACGAGTAGCACGAGTAGTGAAGGTGAGTGTTGATGTACGTCGGTAATGGCCCCGTAAACCTACACCCGGGTCACACGTCACGGGAACTGCTCGGAGTTTCTCTCTTGAACCCGGCCCCCGGACGTTGGATCCACGGAATGCTAAGAAGTTCGTCCCACAGGTGTTCCGCGGTCCAGTGGACCACGAGAAGCCATCGAAGCAGATGATCGAGCCGCCGATCGAAGCGAAGTTCGTACGAATCCGACCGCTCACCTGGAACGAGGAGATCGCCGTCAGGTTCGAACTGATCGGCTGCCAGGAGCCCTCTTCTACAACTGAACTAGCTTCGTCAACGGTTAGTTACATTCATATAATAAAAATAATAATTTATGATTATATGATACAGTATCGTGTAATACAGAATGAAAAATATAAACGAACTTAAAAGCTGGTATCGCGCTATGAAGTTATGGTATACTGTATATATTTGTATAATAATCATTTCACATCATTGCCTCTTTTCATGACAACTGGCCGCTTACAGACAAGACCGACGCGTTCTATAGTTCACCTACAAAATATTCTCACGTCATCCGTCACTCGCCTTATACAGCTCTGTTCCATATATACATTTTCTTGTTAATCTTATATTTGTTGAGGGTCTTACCAATTATTACCGACCCCACAAGCTGAAAGGGCCTCCACTCAGCTAGTATCGCAGCGCTGATTTTCAGTGGAACCACCACACTCCTCATTCCTATGACATCAATAACTGTACCTTATCTCATAGTCCTACCGGACCTGCCCACTCATGCCCACATATAAAGTCATTCGGAACTTTATGTATGAGTATGATCTACTCATTCACGGCTAGCTGAATGGTAACATTATAATCACCTGTCGACGTGTTCAGAAATCTAAGAATGAGATTCCGCAGAATGCATACGTAGATTTGTTTTACAAAAACTCTTCAGTTTTTACAGTAGTATTGGCTTCACCTAATCAGCATAGCGATATCTGTGTCGTGTTCCGTTCTTCTTTAGCCGCTATTGTGTATTTTTTATGAATTTATTATAATTGTATTTAGGTTGAGTGGTGAGATGTGACAGTAGAAATATAGGTGCCTGCAGGAAGACGACATCTTAGCCCACCTGATAATGAGTGGCTATATGACGTCCGTAAATCTATTTTAAATATAAGCGACGAATACCACTTACACTCAGGTCGGCTTACTGCTTGTTTAACATTCCGATTACGTAAATGTCCAGAGCACGCCGTCGGTAGAGTGCACGGACGCACTGGGTCTGGCGGCCGATCTGCCCGTAGAGAACATCGAAGTCAGCTCCAACAACGACGCCCGCAAGTACTTCACGCTGGACGCCGAGCGCGGGTGGACCGCCCTCTACAGCACGCCCGGGGAGTGGATCATGGTACCCTTTTTTTTTTAACGTGTGGAAAATCTTTAAAAGACCGTCACCCCACCGGAGGGAGGGCGGGGCGGTGTGTGAGATTTGTACTCACCAAAAACCACACGGTCTATCTACGAGCGCCTATGCCGAAGCCAGGGGATTCGCATGTGCATTTCCACCCCAGATCCGACGGCGACGGCCTACCCTGTACATGTTGTAGGGCAGGCCCATCTCGTTACGGGCGTTATATGTTAGGGCGACCTATTTCGCCCTACTCCATTGTGGATCTATACAGTACACATTAGCTGCATTTACACGACACGTTCTTTTACGCGCGAAAGCTAAACTATACTATTCACATTAGATGCTTTTACACGACATGTTCTTTCACGCACGAAAGCTCATCTACACAGTATAGTGTATGACCTATCGCACGTGAAAGAACCCATTATATAATAACCTATTACGTGCGATAAACCGTCTATAGTAATCTATACAATACACATCACCTTCCTTTACACGACACGTTCTTTCACGCACGATCAGGAGCGCGTGCGTTTTAGCGCGAGAAAGCCTGCGTGCGCAAACGTTAGTAATTATTTTTTATCTATTTATTGTTTTCTCTCTAACGCGCATAATTTCTTAGTCTACAGATGTTATTTTACAAACATACATTTATAGAAAATAGAGAATCCTGTATTCAAATAAACTTGAATTTAATCATTTCAATAGCCATTCCTATTTTTGTTTTAATCTACAGCTCATTCGGAAACCTGTCTCATTACAAGAAGAATAAGCAAGAAACTTGCGTGTTGCTCTTTTATATAATGTTGTAACTTCACATTTTGATGTAACAATAAGTGTCCGCCTTATTGTAATTATTCTTTCATATATTGGTTATATATTTTCTGTACTGTATGTTACAAATAAAATATATTCTATCTATCTCCTCACATTTGCAGTTCGACTTCATATCCCCGCGGATCATCACCGGCATTAAAACGAAAGGAGGTCCATCAGGCTGGGTGACAACTTACAACGTGATGTTCACCTCGGACCTTTCCACCTTCAACCCCGTTTTGGACAACACCGGGTCGTACAAGGTGTTCCCTGGAAACTTCGACAGTAACACCGTGGTCTTCAATGAATTCAAGCTACCGATCCACGCACGGTACTTGAAGGTGCTGCCGCTGACGTGGAAGAAGGGCATCGAGATGAGGGTCGAGCCGATTGGATGCTTCGAGCCGTACCGTGAGTTGCCTTTGTTATATTTGTATATCGTAGTTGTAAATAGTAATAGAACTGTTTTTAAAAAATTGGTTTTATGCTAAAAGACCATTTTTATTACGAAGAAAAGTGAAAATCTAAATATCTTTTGAATTTTTTATTTTAAACTTATTACTTTGATGATGATAATGATTACCTCTAGGGTAAACTACCATGTACCTCTAGGGAAAATTTGATTGTCATGTTTATGTTTGTTTTAAAAATAATGTTTAAGTTGAACTTAATAAAGGCTATAATAATTGTTTGGGAAACTACTCTGCTACCAAAATGTTAGGGAATTTACTATGTCTGTCACGTACCTGATTTGGTTCTGCGGATTTCTTGGGCTTCAGGGTCTCGAAGGTATCTTCGCTAGCTTTCCAGTTTCACAGTAGGTTTCACAGTTCTAATTTAGTTTAATTCACAACAAATGCGCGCGCGCGTCAAGGCCGCTGTACGGTCCGTTTGTTACTAGGTAAGGGAGGGGTAGGAAAGACGCGGGAACACAAACTAACGGACTCTAATATAATAATCTGTGCTTACGATGTTACAGGGTAGATTTTAAACAATAATAATAAATACTGCTACTTATATTCGGCTCGTATACACATTGTATGACCAACCAAATTAGATATTTAGTTTCTATCCGTGATCTTGGTATTCGTGTCGTGGACAGCGACGACAACAGCGTCGCCACTACCGGAAGAGGAAGCCGTCTCGCCTGCGAGCCCGTGCGCGCGGTGCCCGGGCGTGCAGCCCGCCGCCTGCGCCTGCGCGCCCGCCCGCTACTACGACGGCGACGGCTGCGTGCCGCGCGACCAGTGCCCCTGCATCCAGTCCTTCATGACGTCAGTACTCGTATATACACTACCCATTATACGCTTGGCTACGTTGTTGAATCTTATTACTATGCTTCACAGAGTCCAAAATACAAAATCAAAAACCTCTTTCAATATCAAAATCTTTTTATTCATGTAGGTCCATTATAGATTTGTGGTATGTCAAATCTCCCGTCAATTCGGAGTTCTTTCGAACTAAGAAGAACTGTCAAGAAACTCAGCTCTGTACAATGAATATAATGAGTTTGTACAATTGCCTAATACAGATTTAATTTTAAATTCAATTAGGGAGAATGTAGTGACCACTAGTATATTGTATTTTTGTGAAAATAAAATAATTTTATCAGTAGCCGTAACCCAAACAGACCAATTTCCACAGGCTGCGGAATGATGACAGAATGACAAACTATTCGTATACAAACCTTCACGAGACATTCAGTCGACATAAAATACAGTTTGTTCTTGATTTTTTCACACGCGTTATATATAACTGTTACTTAACAACAACAATACTAATTTTAAATGTGATCCTAAATGCCTAATTTTTCTCTTTCGATACATTCTTGACGGAATGGTCGTAGTCATTATGAAGTGGAGTATAAGGCAGATGTCGTTCGAAGAACGAAAGCTCGTCGTTTATTTATCTCTACTATCTCTACTAGCTGCCACTCGCAGCCTGCCATTGGCCAACACTCATGGAGTGGACCAGAATGGAAATGGAAGAAATAATGTGTCTGACTATTGTTAGATACGCTGTGGGGACAACGTTCCGCGGATCGAACTGTGACGACTGCGTGTGCAAGCTCGGCGGCATCACCATCTGCAAGCCTGTCAAGGAATGCGTCTGCGCACCTGTGAGTCACTATCTAATATATAAATTTCTTATATCATAGTGCTTGTTACTAAACCCCTCCGAAACGCCTTTACCGATTTTTAAGAAATGTTGTGTACACATCAGGTATATCTGAGAATCGGCCAACGGTTTTCATATCCCTCTTTGATAAGAGTGTTAAAATGTTTATTTTTATTTTTTTATTTTACTATAATTTGGTATTAAAAATACATACAACTCTATATTTTCACCCTTCTGCCTTTTTAGCCGCTTATGGACGTAATATTTTTTCCCCAATATTATTATTTCTTTAATTGTATATTCTTTAATAGAATCTAGTACCCAAGTTATTGACATCGAACTGCGAGTGTCTCTGCGAGCCGTGTCCAGAGGGCACAAGAATCTGTCCCACCAGCAAGCTCTGTCTCCCACTAGACAAGTGGTGCGATGGCCTGCAAGACTGTCCTGATGATGAAGTCGCATGCACCACAACTACATCCACAACTACACCGACCACGACAGTAACGACCCGTAAGCCTCTAGAGCAGTTGGTACTGACCACCGTCGCTCCGACGCTACAAGCGGCGCCTCTCACCACTGCTACCAGCATTACTACTGTTACCACACCGAAACGTTAGTACACTTTATAGGATACAGTAACCTAAATACAATAAAAAATAATGATCTCTCAAGGGAGAAATATCTATGGGACACAGTTACCTAGTGTAATATAATAATTGCAATTATTATACTGATGTATGTAGGTAACTGTGTCCCATACACTTCAACAGTAATAATATCAAAGGACAATTGACACGGCGTTATCAAGTCTCAAGATAAGCAGAGCTAGTGTTATGGGTATTAGGCTACTGATATAAAAACATTTTAACGTATTTTTTTTATATTATAAAGTTTTCCCTACCATCCAATAAGGATAGTCTACCTTTATAAGGATAGTCTCTACCTTTGAAAAGAGAGTATTTACAAAAATATATGTTGTTCAACAGCGGTGGAGTGTCCGAAGGTGGAATGTCCACCTGGCTACTTGGTTCGGTATACGTCTACCAGCGCGTCGAGCTACTCCACCTCATCAACCTCGGACCTTCCTCCGCCCAGACCGAGATATTCCTACCAGAGGTACTATAAGGGAGGTGGAGGATACTCCAAGGGAGGGTTTTCAAAAGGTGGCTACTCTAAAGGAGGGTATTCAAAAGGTGGATTCTCTAAAGGCGGTTACGGTGGATTTGGTAAGTTCTTTATGTTCGCTACTATAAAATATTGCTTCATCACAAAGTGTGTATATTTAGATTAAGCTATTTTCCTTTTGTAAGAAATGAAATGCTTTATTAAGCCTGGTTATTACATTTTATATCTCATTTGTTCCCTAAAACGAACTTGCGGCTCACCTGATGGTAAGTGATCACCACCGCCTATTAGCCCGCAACATCAGGGCGTTTGCAAATGCGTTGCCGGCCTTTCATAATCTATCTCCAATCTTATAAAATATCCTATCTAGAACTGCAGTGGATTCTATACTAGAATGTGTATCGAATCTGTACTAGCAGGCTCCTATCAGATTTGGCGGGACTGGGAGCGGTGCGGCGAGTGTTGACGTAAGTTGGCAAAAGCCCCCCTTAATCCTACTCTCGGATCGCGAGTCCCGGGAACTGCTCAGAGTTTCCCTCTCTGCTACACGATGGTCCCGGTACCCGCACGGTGAATCCATGGTATGCTATGAAATTCGTCTCTTATTTATTATTTAGTTTATCGTATGCGTGGTTAGGTGCACCTGCCGCCCAACCGAACCGGTTCACCCTGGAGAAGCCGGCGAACTCGAGCCAGCCGACGCAGCACGTGTGCCCGCAGTTCAAGTGCGTGCCGCGGCTGCCGCCGTACATCCCGGGCACCAAACCCGCTCCTCGCGACTGCTCGGCGCCAGTGTGTCCGCCGCACTACACTCTCAGGATCGACTCCAGCTCCAGTTCTGGGGATAACTGTCCGCAGTCAGTACTTTATACCTCTTCTACTTAGAGAGAGAGAGAGAGAGAGAGAGAGAGAGAGACGACCCACAGAGACTTCTACGATATCTCCCTATGGTAAATTTTAGTACAAAAAACATGCCCTTCATTCACAGATATGTGTGCGTCCCACCTCCTGAACGGCCGGTGTTCTGTAACATTACGGGTCGTACCTTTACCACTTTCGACGGCGTCGAGTATAAGTACGATGTCTGCTTCCACATACTCGCCAGAGACAACAGGTTCGACGCTTGGACTGTACTCGGTGAGTATCTCATACACACACATATCACATACTCATACAACTTTTTTTGTGTTTATTTGCTATTGTGTTTATTGAGAATGCAAATTAAATAGGTATTTATTTATCTATCTATCTACATAACTTTTACATATTTTTATATCGGAAAAATATTCTTTGAAATTTAAGATGTTAATCATCATCTACTTCTTCCTTATCCTATTTATTTATGGTAGGCGGAATACTTATTTTTTTTTTTATTTAAACTCTTTATTGCACCTGACAAAGAAAACAAACAAAATGATATATTACAAAAACTGATACAAAAGGCGGTCTTATCGCTAAGCAATCTCTTCCAGACTACCAGTAGAGAAAATAACATTAAGATAAGAAGGGAAGGAATATGTGAATAAATATAAAAGAATATGTTTAGATTTAAGATGTTAATGTTTCATTTTATTTATTGTTTGTTCTACTTCATAGTCTATATTCTTCACTGTTCTCTATAATGTTATAAGTTTTATTAACACTACTAGTACTACTACTACAACTGTTCTCAGTAGACAATCATTTCGGTATACATATCTACTTCTTCTAAGTACTTAAGTCAAAAACTTTTTGAACCTGAGTCCAAGAGTCTTTAACTTAAGCAATACCCTGTGCTTATTTAGTTTCTTGTTAAATAATTAAGGATGACTGATTACTGACAATTTGATTTCAATTTCCCAGTCCGTAAGAAGTGTCGTCTGGAGGGCTGTCAGAACTACCTGATCGTTCACCAGGACGACCAACTGATCATGGTGAAACCTAACTTGATGATCGAATACGACAACTACGAGTACACTGTCGAGCAGACATCCAAGATCTGCTTCCAGAAGAACAGCTTCGATGTCGATCGTCTTGGTAACGGACTCTCCATCAAGTCTAGAAAATATAACATCACTGTACTGTATTCGAGAGACGGTGACATTAAAATTGGGGTGAGCTTTTTTAAATCTATGCTGATTATTGTATTTTTTTTTATAGGATTTGGGCTATTGTCAGATGCTTGGACCTGTAGTACTGCTCGCCCTTTTTGCTACTTAGACTGAGAGAATTAAAGAATATTCTTAGAAGCGATAGTTTTTATCTCCTCAAGAAAGAGAGTAAACTTTTCAAATTATTGCAGTACTTGGTTGCTTCTTTAAAAACCCCTTTTATTTATTGTATATTGACTTCCCTCCAAAGTATAAAGGAAAACCACCACCACAATTGGGTATTATTAGTATTCAGCGTATTCAATCATCTAAAATTTATGAGTTTGAGATGTAGAAAGGGTTGGCCTACCGTCTTTTAGATTGGCCTGTTATCGATATTTTTATAACCAAAGAGAGGTATATTAAAATATAATTATAATAGCATTTATATTGAAGTTTTGTCGACTAGATTCGATCTCAAGACCTATGTCAGTAAGTCTTAGTAAAACCACGAGGATACGAGTTTTTAACCCTCACGAAGCCGTCATTATTAATATTAACTGGTAACTATGATGACGTTACACGGCAGGTATCGAAGAAGTACATGGGAGCAGTTGATGGTCTTTGCGGCGCGTTCGACGGATCACAGAAAAATGAGCGGCGTCTTCCGGACGGACAACTAGCGACCAGCGTGGACGAGTTCGGGCGAGCGTGGGCGAAACCCGGTCTACCAGCGGACGCTTGCAAGACGGCCGTCATCGCGCAGGAGAAGCAGAAGCGTGCATGGGACCTGTGCCATGTCATCACGTTAGTGCCTTGTTCATTATTCTTTTATTCTCAACAAGTGTATTCTGAATATTGATGTACCATGTATAAAGATATCCTTGTATCTTCAAACCACTGATCCCAAGAGACCTGCATATATTCACGAATTAAGAATACCTATGTCATCATAGAATGCCATAAGATACGACTAGGAGATTAAAGGATATCATACTAGAAGTAAAAAGAAAAAGTCTAAGTAAAATCCCATGTGAAATCGATGTGATAATCATTTAACATCGCGTATTATGATCGCAAGCTAGATGTCGGTGGAACGGTATTCTCAGTTAACAAAGTCTCTAGTTAGTAGTACAAACTGTAAACTGTAATTCTTCCACAGGAAAGAACCTCTATCTAAATGCGGCAAAGTACTGAATCTGGACAAATGGCGAAGCATTTGCCTAGAAAAGATATGCGAATGCGCTGATCTGGTGGTGAATGGTACTAAGAGAACCGACGAGGAGTGCCGCTGTCTGCTCATCGAACAAATGGTGGCCGAATGTCTAGCTGCTGACAAAAACCTGGATGTCACCGAGTGGAGGATGCAAATGGATTGCCGTATGTATAATTTGTACATTTGTATTTATGTTTAACTATTATTTCTTATTTACATAGTTATTTTTTATTATAAATGTATAAGACACCCTTATTTGCTTAGAAATGTATATTTTAAATGATTTTTAACTCTACTGTCCATGTACATATTACTTTAATGAGGTAAAAATACTACTTGTACTTTTTCTTCATTGAAGTAATACGATTACATCCATATGAGTGATCAGTACAAGGTTCGTAAAAATACAAGGTTTGTGAACTTAAATAAAGTCGATTTATTTCAATAGTAGTTCTGTAGTAGTTAATACAATCAAATGCCTCTCTAGTATGCTCATTTTGTTCTCACATTTCAGAAAATTTTTTTACAATTCCACAGGGATCTATTCTAGGACCAATATTGTTCATAGCTGACAATTTAATTCATTATATCTACATTTATGTTTTATAAAATATTTAATATTCTATATATAACTAGTAGTGATATATGTGTTATGTGTACAGCTGCGGACTGTCCGCCGCCACTGGTCCACAATGATTGCTACCGCAAGCGGTGCGAGCCGACCTGCTCGAGCGTGGGCGCGGCCGGCCGCTCGTGTCCCGTAGAGGACGGCCAGTGCTTCCCCGGCTGCTACTGCCCTGAGGGGAAGCTGCGGAAGGGAGACCAATGTGTGCTGCCCACTGACTGCCTCGACTGTAAGTTTTTAATGCTGTAATCAAAAGAGAGACATCAAATTTTTTACCCTATCTACTGTTAGTTAAATATGTGTGTTACTGACTATTATTTTGTTACTTTATATATTTTTATTATATATTGTTGTAACTGGCTAATGAAGAAATATTTTATATTCGAAATTTGTATTTAAAATTTATAATTCCTTTTATAGATTCTTGTTTTGTTACTTCAATTCTTTCTTTTCTATTCCTAATTGTCAGTAGTCTATATTAATATATATTTTTCTCCATTTACATAGTCTTTTTTCTTATTACTACATCATATATGATAATTCCAAGACATATATTCAGAATATATCGTGAATTTAGTTATATTTCCATTTTCATTACCTTGTATATTCTCTATTTCTAATTCTCTCAAAGATGGCAAAATTAGTTAAACATGATCTATTTGGCGCGTCACTGAAATAATTCTATACAAATCTTATACATATTAATATATTCCATAATCGGATATTAAGTTATTATTTAGGAACATAATAATTGATATTTTTCCAGTTACTTCCCTTTAGGTTAGGCTTCCCTTTAGGGCCAATTTTCTCTGCAGTTTTTCTAAATGATACGAAACATTTTTTAGGCAGTAGAACGCAACAGCGTAATTAAGAATATTGTCTAATTTATATGCTCTTCATTATATTACGGCTACTGACATCTTAAATTCCAGAGATTAAACATGTACGAGTGTGTAACATCTGTTTCGTTTTATATGTTATACATCTCTTTATGTAACCACGCATGTTTTACAAATATAAAATCTTGAATCTTGAAAACGAAAAATACCAAAGAAAAATTTTCTGCCGGCGACAGGTAGTTGCAAGGGTGTGGGTACTCCGGCCAGTTACACCACGTTCGAAGGCGACGAGTTCCCATTCCTGAGCAACTGCACGTATCTCGCCTCCCGCGATAGGAACGAGACCGGCCTCTACAAGTATCAGGTAAGAAGTGGTATAAACTATTTGTTTCACGTATTAATTTTGTTTTGGGATATCCAGTGTAAGATCATTTATTGATTTTATTAAATTGATACTTTTTCTAACAGTGGAGTATTCGTAGTACCGAATTCGTAATAGTAGTTTTACTAAAATAAAGTTCGAAGACGCTTAATATATATATATATATATATATACTAGCTGTGCCCGCGGTTTCACCCGCGATAAATTTCAATAAAATATTTAGTCTGTATTATTCTGATGCATAAGCTATGTTACTGTAAAGTTTCATCAAAATCCGTTCAGTAGTTTTTGCGTGAAAGAGTAACAAATATCCATACTTACAAACATTCGCGTTTATAACATTATTAAGAATAAGATATACAAATGTGTTTTCATTTTCATCAGGTGTACGCAACAAATGGACCATGCGAAGACAAAGCGGATGTAACGTGCACTAAGATTGTCCACATCCTCTACGCCGACCACATCTTACAAGTCACCAAGGATAATAACACCAACAAAGTAAGATAACGACTTAATCGTAGGCAAGATAATATATTCTAAGTAAGTAAGTCATTTGTCTTTGTCATTGTGTCTTTATTGCACAGATAATACAAAGATATTATAATTTAAAGACAATGTGAGCAAAGGTGGACTTATCCCTAGAAGAGATCTCTTCCAACCTAAAACAGTGGGATATGTGGTACTGAGTGGTTAATAACTAGTGCAAACAAAACAATGTCAAACAAAACTAGATACTAAATAAAATTAAAATAACAATTTCTTAGCTAAAGTAAAGTCTTCTTATATCTTGGCCAAGTATAAAGCCAGTAACGCCATTTTCGTTATCCCTCAAAAATATGTCAGATGCTTAGGTATTGATAATTTTATAAACGAGAACTAAGTTTTAAAATCCATACAGTAGCAGGCTGTTGGTGGTCGTCAAATTTATAAGCGGGGTACTAACAGTTTAAAAATCCATCCTGTAGTGTTCAGGAAGGTGGGGTCGTTGAATTTGCACCGCAAACAAAGCGTATTTGCTTGGCGTTATTGAGTGCTGAGTGTAGACATATGGTAATAAAAAAGTCTTGCGAATAGTAGGTCGCAACTCGGATAGTCCAATCCAGTTCGAAGAGTTCTGACGAACAAATTTGTTCAATAAATTCGGTCGCTTTCAACTCGATTCAGGGAAAAGCAGTAAGTAAGCCGCAAATTTAAAATCGTTTTTATAAGCCTTCAAATGTAGTGTGTTCTTGTTTTTGTTAGGCTTCCTTGTTTTGTTTTCTGCAAATACGATCACTTTTTAATTAACTATTAACTCCTTATATAAGTTTTTCTTTTACAAGACCTCTAAAGTATTTTTGTCAATTTTATAAAACGAGCTAATTAGGTTTAATTAGCTAAAATTACTCCAAAACTACTTAATTAATTTTTATGAAATTTTGTATAACTTCAGATTAAAAGATTATTATTATATTAATGTCTTTATTTGCCCCATGTTACAACTACAGAGCCACAGCAATAAGTGGCCAAGTCAATATATTTATTTTATTTTCATTGTACATATTTGCATATCTTCCACTATGATGACACAAGTTAATATTGGCAACTGTTTTATACTGACATGTTTTGTTTTAGTTGCAACTGACGATCGACAAGACAGCACAGTTCAAGTTTCCATTGAAAAAGGACTGGGTGACGGCAACCCAGATCAATGGACAAGATATCACTCTACTGCTGACTGAAGCTCACGTCGAAGTTCGTAATAGATATAACTAATAGTGTTTTGTTTATTTATTTTAGGAATATTAACAGTGTAATTTTACATTTTATTAATCAAAAATTCAAAAATCATTTATTCATGTAGAACATTTTAGCCGCTTATGAACGTCAAGTTTTTACATTATAATGTTTTTCCCTACCGTCCAGTTCGGTATATAGATTCAACTGAGAAGAACTGGCAAGAAACTCAATTGAATTACTTTTTTTAAATAATATTTAATTGTCTTATGTAAATCAATAATTGTTGCTTTTTACGACACATTCTTTCTCGTAGTTTAACATAGTTATGTTTAGGTAATTTAAAAATATCTATCCTTTTCTGTACCTCAGTTAAAATACAAAGTATTTTGTTTAGTTTGATACTAAATAGTCCTGTGTGTCAACTTTTGATTGGATTTCAAGAATGAGAACGCACTGCCTACACTAACCACCTGGGGCACCAGTGGAGAATGATACGATAAGTATGTGGTTAAGCCTGTTTGCCCTCACGATGAGCAAACAGACTAAACCAACGCATATATTAGTCCGTTTGCCTATCATAAGGTTGCCCTTATGACAGACTAATATATGCAAATAACCAGAAATTAACCACGATAGTTTCCAGGGGGAACCGCGTTGAGGTCGAACATGGTACATTGCTAGTAATGGGAATACGAGGCCCCATTACTAACAATCCTCTTTTTAATTTCTTCTTCCCTAACTTTTTCCTAATTTCTTCCCTAACTTTTATTTATTTATTTATTTACTAGCTGTACCCGCGACTTCGTCCGCGTAAATAATGAAAAAATATTTAACTCAATTAACACAATATAAGTCAAATAAATAAGTTTCATCATTTTAGCTTAAAAAATGATAAAAAATAAAAATAAATATTTAATCAATAGGCTAAAAAATAAATTTCAAGCTTCTAGCTTTAAACATGACGATACATCTATATGACCTTGGATCTACCCTTTCAATCCTCTTGCAACCCTTTTTCACATTAAAAGTAACCTATGTCCTTTCTCAGGATCTAGGCTATCTATGTATGTTTCAAATTTCAATTTAAATCGGTTCAATATTTTTGGCGTGTAAGCGAGACAAACAGACAGACAAAGTTACTTTCACATGTATAATATCAGTAGGGTATTTAATAAACTAACTCTAAAAAGACAAAGAAAAAAGTTTAATCGTTCTAGCTTCCACAACCACACAAACAGCAAATTTCCACAATAACTTTCATTCCCTATTTTATTTTACAACCCCCCCCTACCCCTAAGAGTAAAAATTTTACAAACATTGAATGTCTAAAAATGAGTCTCAAACTTCTAGTTTTAAAAAATGACGATTCTTCCATACAGCGTACCATTGCAACCCCCTTACAATCCTTTTTTCACATTCAAAAGTACCCTATATTCTTTGTCCGGGTGTAAACTAACTGTGTACCAAATTTCATTTAAATTTTTATTTTGTTTTGGAGCGTAAGACTGACAGAAAGACAAACAGAGTTACTTTCACAGTTATAACATTAGTGGGGTATTTAAAAATCTACCCCAAAAGAACCAATGAAAATAGTATCATCGTTCTAGCTTCAAAAATGACGTGTTTACATAAAAACTTGCATCCCCTATTTTATTTTACCCCCTTAAGGGTAATTTTTTTACAAACAATGAATGTCATATTTATTTATATTTAATCAACAGCCTCAAAAATAAGTTTCAAGCTTCTAGCTTCAAAAATGACGTGTTTACATAAAAACTTGCATCCCCTATTTTATTTTACCCCCTTAAGGGTAATTTTTTTACAAACAATGAATTTCATATGTATTTATATTTAATCAACAGTCTCAACAATAAGTTTAAGCTTCTAGCTTCAAAAATGACGTGTTTACATAAAAACTTGCATCCCCTATTTTATTTTACCCCCTTAAGGGTATTTTTTTAGAAACAATGAATGTCATATGTATTTATATTTAATCAACAGTCTCAACAATAAGTTTCAAGCTTCTAGCTTCAAAAATGTCGAATTTACATAAAAATATGCATCCCCTATTTTATTTTACCCCCTTAAGGGTATTTTTTTAGAAACAATGAATGTCATATGTATTTATATTTAATCAACAGTCTCAACAATAAGTTTCAAGCTTCTAGCTTCAAAAATGTCGAATTTACATAAAAATATGCATCCCCTATTTTATTTTACCCCTTAAGGGTATTTTTTTACAAACAATGAATGTCATATGTATTTATATTTAATCAACAGTCTCAACAATAAGTTTCAAGCTTCTAGCTTCAAAAATGACGTGTTTACATAAAAACTTGCATCCCCTATTTTATTTTACCCCCTTAAGGGTAATTTTTTACAAACATTGAATGTCATTTTTATTTATATTTAATCAACAGTCTCAACAATAAGTTTTAAGCTTCTAGCTTCAAAAATGACGATTCTTCCATACAACCTTTCAAACCCCCTTTTAACCTCTTAAAACCCTTTTTTCGCATTAAAAAGTAGCCTATGTCCTTTCTCGGGTCTAGACTATCTGTGTACCAAATTTCATTCAAATTGGTTCAGTAGTTTTGACGTGAAAGCGAGACAGACAGACAGAGTTACTTTCACATTTATAATATTAGTTTTTGTCGCAGCACAAAAATATATTTTTATCGTTTCCGTACAAATAATAATTTTACAGTATTAATCTACTATTATTTAATCTACAAACCAACATTTTGGTTCTTACAATCAGCTAAATAATTTAAATAGTTCCATAATATATGGCACAATGAAAAGGTCATTTATTTTATAAAAAAGACAGTTAGTTTTTATTTTAGTGAAAAATAAGAAAATTCTATTTTGATACAACAACCATATATTTATTAATACCTATACTTTATTAATTTTGTGTTAATGCTTTTTAAATAAACACCCACACATTATTTCTGTATAACCTACAAAAATGGGTAAATAATTTAATTTCGGATAGTGCCACACCACAACATTCTTTAAAAAATGTAAATAATAAAATTTGAAGAAAAATGTGATTGTTATTAAGTTTTTTTTTAAGTTGTTCAGAACAGGGAAACAATGTTTGACATTTATTATTATTTAACATTGGACATTGACTTTAATTTTTGTAATTTATATTGTAAAACTTTAAGTTGGGCTAAACTGGGCTTGTATCCAGAGCCGTAAAACAAATTAATAAAAAAAATCGCCAAATTTGTCTCGCAATCGGCCAATTTCAGGTTTAAAGAAAAAACACATACACACGATATACGATTTTATCATAAAAAAGTGTCAAAAAACAATATTTTCACTAAACGTCAACGTCATGTTTCCGGCAAGATCTTTCGTTTTACATTATGTTATCTGTGGTTTTGTTCTCTGTGATGGATACCTTATTGGCGCAAACGCACGCGATGAGTTGATTGGTTGTTAGCTAGTGAAATGAAAAGATGGCGAATGGCGCAAACGCACGCGATGTGTTGATTGGTTGTTAGCTAGTGAAATGAAAAGATGACGAATAAGGATTCAACCGCATAAAGATAACCTTGTATTTCCATTTTGAACCCCTTACAACCCTTTTTACGCATTAAAAAGTAGCCTATGTCCTTCCTCGGCGTCTAGACTATCTGCGTACTAAATTTCATTTAAATCGGTTCAGTAGTTTTGGCGTGAAAGCGAGACAGACAGACAGACAGACAGACAGACAGACAGAGTTACTTTCGCATTTATAATATTAGTAAGGATTTATTTATTTATTTAGGAAGATTAACGGTGTAATTTTACATGTTACTTGTCATATAGAATTGTCCTATGCCAATTAATAATCTTCGCCACCTTTTGGGATTATGTATATAGTTTTGATTCCTCACACGGTGCAAACTGGGTCTGGGTGTTTACTATGTCTATTGTATATATGAAAATTATTTACAAATTATTTCAGTATCTCTGCCTTAGCTTAGAACTAGACGGCATTTGACAAATTGTCCATGGTTATTATTAATAGTTTAATTATTATGTAGGTGAGCGTGCTGTACTCCAAAATGGAGTTTACGGTGAACGTGCCCTCGTATATATACAACAATCGGACGGAAGGTCTGTGCGGAGTGTGCGGCGGACAGGACACCGCGCTGGTCACCAGCAACGGCACCGTCACAGAGGACATTGATGAGGTATACCATACTAGTGTTAGGGTTCACATGGATATTATGGATATGAATAGTTTAAAAATATTAAAAGAAGGTAGTTTCATTAATACTCGGTATCGTTAAACTAGCGTATAACACGCATCTCTTTGTGAGTGGAGGAAATTCTTGTATGTAAGCCACGGCAGTAGGTCGACGAGCACAGAACGCGCTGGATGTATTTTGGATACTAAAGTGAATTGTATTAGAGACGGATTTATCTCGGATTTAATTGGACATATTTCGATCCCCGTTTGATTTGACGGCGGATCGATCGGAGGGGTCTAGTCCCCATCGTTAACAATCCCCTTCCCCCTATTGGAGTGAGTTAGAGGTGTGTGTCGGCAGTACGGCGAGAGCTGGCAAGCGACGGGCGAGGTGGTGCGGGCCCTGCAGGTCCCCGCCGGCGCGTGCGGAGCGACGCCGCCGCCCGCCTGCGGCCCGCCGCCGCCCGACGACAACCCCTGCCTAGCACTCTACAACGCGGCCTTGTTCGGAGAGGTAACGTCACACCAACCGATTGTTTAATCAGGTTCAAATAAATCAGGGACTCGGAAATGAATTTCGATTATAAAAAACCCAATTGACATTGACTAGAATGTGTTTTGTTGCAAATTCCTTTTTTTTAAATTATTATTCTAAATATTCTAATTACATCGTATATATCATCTAAACATAATTAGAACATCGGAACTAAAATTACAAGGTGCCTTGTAATTTTAGTTCCGATGTTCTAATTATGTCTTGCTCATTGACATATATGTATGTTTTTATCACAGAAATACGTTGTACAATATTATCTTATCTAAGGGTAAAGTTTTAATTTTAAGCAATTTAGGAATCAGTGTCAATCATATATTAACTCGCCATATATTAACCCGAAACTAATGTTCCTGCATCCAGTGCCACGCGCTAGTGGAACCTCAGACGTACGTGGAGTCGTGTGAAGCGGAACAATGCGCGCTCAATACGAGCGACGCATGCGCCACCTTCGAGCGGTACGCGGCCGCCTGCCGCCGCCAGGGTGTCTGTCTGCACTGGCGGGACACGCTCTGTCCCTACAACTGGTGAGCTGCACGTCACACTCCGCCGCCAGGGTGTCTGTCTGCACTGGCGGGACACGCTCTGTCCCTACAACTGGTGAGCTGCACGTCACACTCCGCCGCCAGGGTGTCTGTCTGCACTGGCGGGACACGCTCTGTCCCTACAACTGGTGAGCTGCACGTCACACTCCGCCGCCAGGGTGTCTGTCTGCACTGGCGGGACACGCTCTGTCCCTACAACTGGTGAGCTGCACGTCACACTCCGCCGCCAGGGTGTCTGTCTGCACTGGCGGGACACGCTCTGTCCCTACAACTGGTGAGCTGCACGTCACACTCCGCCGCCAGGGTGTCTGTCTGCACTGGCGGGACACGCTCTGTCCCTACAACTGGTGAGCTGCACGTCACACTCCGCCGCCAGGGTGTCTGTCTGCACTGGCGGGACACGCTCTGTCCCTACAACTGGTGAGCTGCACGTCACACTCCGCCGCCAGGGTGTCTGTCTGCACTGGCGGGACACGCTCTGTCCCTACAACTGGTGAGCTGCACGTCACACTCCGCCGCCAGGGTGTCTGTCTGCACTGGCGGGACACGCTCTGTCCCTACAACTGGTGAGCTGCCGTCACACTCCGCCGCCAGCGTGTCTGTCTGCACTGGCTGCTCTGTCCCTACAACTGGTGAGCTGCACGTCACACTCCGCCGCCAGGGTGTCTGTCTGCACTGGCGGGACACGCTCTGTCCCTACAACTGGTGAGCTGCACGTCACACTCCGCCGCCAGGGTGTCTGTCTGCACTGGCGGGACACGCTCTGTCCCTACAACTGGTGAGCTGCACGTCACACTCCGCCGCCAGGGTGTCTGTCTGCACTGGCGGGACACGCTCTGTCCCTACAACTGGTGAGCTGCACGTCACACTCCGCCGCCAGGGTGTCTGTCTGCACTGGCGGGACACGCTCTGTCCCTACAACTGGTGAGCTGCACGTCACACTCCGCCGCCAGGGTGTCTGTCTGCACTGTCGGGAACACTCTCTGTCCCTACAACTGGTGAGCTGCACGTCACACTCCGCCGCCAGGGTGTCTGTCTGCACTGGCGGGACACGCTCTGTCCCTACAACTGGTGAGCTGCACGTCACACTCCGCCGCCAGGGTGTCTGTCTGCACTGGCGGGACACGCTCTGTCCCTACAACTGGTGAGCTGCACGTCACACTCCGCCGCCAGGGTGTCTGTCTGCACTGGCGGGACACTGTCCCTACAACTGGTGAGCTGCACGTCACACTCCGCCGCCAGGGTGTCTGTCTGCACTGGCGGGACACGCTCTGTCCCTACAACTGGTGAGCTGCACGTCACACTCCGCCGCCAGGGTGTCTGTCACTACACTCTGTCGCTAGAACTGTCTGTCCCGATAGAAAACAGATATAATAGTCATACATTGATATTTTACAGTTCAAAACCACTTGTATATCGTTCATGTGTGGACTGCGAACGAACTTGCGAGAACAATGACGAACTGACAAAGGATCCGAAGAAATGCAAGACTCAACCCGCCGAGGGTTGCTTCTGTCCAGAAGGATTGGTCAGTGAAACTATACTGGATTTTTTAAATCTAAATAACATTATTTAAGAATGATATTGCAGATTATACAGTTCTAAATTTATACTCTTACTAGTAGTTACTTTTTATAGTTTGACTTTCCATAAATTAAATAAATACTTAGATAAAGAACTGAGCCCAAGTTTTATTTCTATGACACTATAATTTTTTTTTGTTTTATTTTCTATTTAATTAATTTTGTTATATATTTTAGGTACGAGTGAATAACACATGTATAGAACCAAACAAGTGCTTCCCGTGCGATGCCAAGAAGGAGCACTACGCCGGCGACGAGTGGCAGGTCAGTAAATTATTATAATATATATATATATATATATATATATATATATATATATATTATCATAATCATATATTAATGTTGATAATTATAAATTTACCTATTTTGGTACAATATATCAAAACGCTTTGTTTATTTTAGCGTTGATTTATTACATTTTTATTGTAATGATATGTACATACATACTTAAATGCAGAATCGTATCTAAGCTATTGTCGTATTATATATCCACATCGACATCAATGTTGAGGTCAATGATCCTAAATAGCTCTACCTATTACGATCAGTGATTATAACACGTGTGTTTGTCGTGCAGGAGGACGCGTGCAAGAAATGCACGTGCAGCAAAGTGGAGGGTACCAACGAGGCGCACGTGTCGTGTCAGACTCAAACCTGCACCACGCCCGTCTGCGGCCACGCCGAGGACATGCTCGCGCGGCCCACCACGCCGGGCGCCTGCTGCCTGCAGTACGTCTGCGGTGAGATTAATTTACTATTTAATGCATAAATACAACACATAGATGTACAAATGGCGAACTTAACACATAAGATACAAACTGAGAAGTTAGTAAGCGGATTATGGTTTAGAAACATTCTTACGTGGTACATTTACGTCGTTAATATAGCTGCCTTTACACGACACTTAATATAGCCTTTACACGTCATATTCTTTCGCGCGCGATCAGGAGCGTTCGCGATTCAGCGCGGGAAAGCAAGCGCGCGCTATCATGTACGATTACGTTTAACTATTCCTTTTGTTCACTCTTTCGCGCGTGTTTGCGCGTATGTATCATGTAATTTCATTTTGTTTTTAAATTTTTACTTTTATTTCACAGATTTTATATTCCAGAGACACGTTTAACATTTATAAATTATCAATAGCTCTATAATTATGTTTTTGCTCTATAGTCAATTGTCCGCCATATTGCATATGATAGTTAATTATTACAAATAAAATATATAGATAGAGATGCTCATTCTTCTTGTAATGAGTCTGCATCCCGAATGAGTGGTAGAATAAAAATAAGATTATTCAAAAGGGCTTGTATTGAGTTTATTTGAATAAAATTTATTTCTATTTCTATATAGATAATGTGTACAAATATTTCGTTATAGAAAAGATTGTATAATAAATAAAATTTCAGTGCCTAAACCAATCGAAAAGAAATGCAAAGAACCAAAGAAGATGGAGTGCGGGTTCGGACAGGTGTTGAAACAGAAGACTACGCCGAATGGATGCAAGGAATTCTCTTGTGGTAAAGTACCTTCATATGTATATTAATAACGAACTCTGCATGATATCAGCAAAATACCCATTATTTATAGAACTTTCTTTTTAATTAATATATATGTATATGGTATACGCTGACAGGGCACCAGTGGAGGATAATAGGATGAGTATAAAGTTAGGTTTATTAGCATATAATGGCGAATACACAAATAATTTATCACAGATTCTCATGTCACAGTGTTAGTTATGGCATCACAGAAACGGCTTAACCGATTCGATGAAATTTTATAGGTATACTCGGTAGGTCTGAGAATAGGTTGTTATCTATTTTTAATATCCCTAAATGATAAGAGTGGCTCAACCCATTTTTTAAAAAAAAATTTTTTCTTTTGGTGTGGCATTAAAATACATACGCTTCTAAATTTTCAGGCTTCTACCACCGACCTTTATTTTTTAATAGCGATAAGAATTTGTATAGTAAAATAACCAGCACTACCAGTTTACCAAGTCAGCTAGTAAATCTAGAAAGTATATTAGTTACTAATTTACTTTGAATAAACGGATATATTGCACATCATTATCTATACTAATTCTAATCTATATTAATATTATTAACTGAGGAGTTTGTTTGTTTGAACGCGCTAATCTCAGGAACTACTAGTTTGAATTGAATAATTCTTTTTGTGTTTTTTTCGAGGAATGCTTTAAGCTATATAACATTACGCTACGACAAATAGAAGCGAAGCATCAGTGAAAAATGTTGCTAAAGCGGGAAAAACGATAGTGTGATAAGGGGCTGTTCAAGTATTACGTAAGCAGATTTATCACAATTATTTACCCCTCATCCCCCGTTGTCAGCAAAAGTAAGCAAAGCTCTTACCCCTCCCCCCATGCTTACGTAAACATTTCTCAATTAATGTATTGTTTTTTTAACAAAGACAATGTGAGGGTTGCCATTCGTGTAAAAAAGTAAATTACGACCGATGACGTAATCATCATACAGACTCCCCCACCCCCATGTCATCCAAAATAAGCAAAGAAAAGACCCCCAGCCCCCCTATAGTGCTTACTTAATACTTGAACGGCCCCTAACCACGTGAACGAAGTCGTGGGCACAGCTAGTACAAAAAAATTGGCTACTCAAGGTGGTCCGGTGTGTTATCAGAATGCAAGCCGGCGAGCGAGTGTGAGCCGATACCGAACGAGAACGAGGTGGACATCATCGAGCCGGGCATGGAGCGCGTGGTGGACGCGTCCGGGTGCTGTCCCCGGGTTCAGTTCTCGTGCCGCCCGGAGACCTGCCCGCACAAACCGGATTGTCCGAAGTTCCACAACCTCACCACCACCAACGTGCCGGGCAAATGTTGTCCCGAGTATAAGTGTGGTTAGTAATTTCCTGATTTCATATTGACAGTCTCAATGGTTTAGTAGTTAAATAAAAGTTAATGGTTTAATAAATAAATAAATTACGATATCTCAGTTTACAACCAGTTGTCTGGTACCCCTAACACAAGCTGGGGACTAGTCGGCACTGTGTGAATTGTCTGACGTTATTATTATTACTAGGTTAAATTACTTTATTAGACCATTTTTTAATAAATAAAATTTATGACTCTATCCACCACCTACACTAACATAGGCAGGTCAGTTAACTTATTGTGGTGAATTAACTACAATGGTTTCCAGGGAGAACCGGTCAACCTAACATAGTACATTGTTAACAATGGGGTTTGTTGTTTTAATTACCTTATTACATTTTTTTTTAATAAATTATTTGAAATTATATATTATAACAATAAATAAATAAATAATACTAAGATAAAATGTGTACATATTGCATTTTATTTCAGAGTTACCGACTGACAGGTGTGTAGTAACGCTAGAGTGGGAAGCCGCTCCGAAAGGTGGTGAGAAACCACGCAAAACACCTGAAATTGTTCTAAAAGACGTAAGTATTTACGTGTTTAAACCGTTTACATCGTAAATCGTCCACGTCCAAATAAAATATGCCGTTAATTGAGTAATAGTCACATATAAACATCATCCAAATAGCCTAATATCTTATACAGAGGATAATGTCAGGTGCCTCCTGACTCATTACCAAAGACGTAATTTACATAAATATTCATCAACTTGATAGGCTCACAGTAATAGAGAGGGATATTTACATCAAAAATAAAATAATAACCGCCTTTGTAACCACCCAAATCAACTGCCTGGTTTCATGTCATTTCGCTTTCTTTAACACGTTTAAGAGATCACGCACACAGAAAGCGGTCAGAGTTCTGCGTTCTAGTGACCGTTGACCACCCAAGAGTTCCAACGCACACAAGCGGCGTGCAAATTCTCGCGATCTATAGTAGTTTTGTTTGGGTCTTTGCACATTGTCAACAACTTTTGCAACATGTCACTAGAAACTTCGTCATCCGATGAAAAATTATTGCTCTTGTGGAGCTTAGCAGCTTCCAAAAAGAAAAGGAAGTATTGGGTGCACCCAATTAGCACAACGCAATAAGAACAAGGCGAATTTTTCGGTTTTTATGTATAGTCTATCAACTTTTCGTGTTTCCAAACTCAGAAATCGCAGCGTTCCGGCGTTCCGGCGTTCCCTGTCTTGGCGGGAAAAGAACTCTTGGAACGCGAAGTTCCGCTTTGACTGCCGCGGTCAGACTGCCCGCTGTGTGCGTTGTTGTTATAAACTCGGTACATTTTAATAAACGCCGAACGCGAAACTCGGAACTCGGAACGCCTGACCGCTCTCTGTGTGCGTGGGCTCTTAGAGTTATGAATTATCATAACTCTATAATTATGTTTCTATTCCATAGTCGAATGTCAGCCATTTTTAATGATAATGATTAATTATTACTACATTTACATGTATACATTATTTCCTGCTTGAAACCCGATTCGCTCGTGAAAGACCGTACGTGTAAAGGCAGCTGTGAAATGCGTGTCAGTGTGCGCACACGGACACGCATATAAGCTACCTGCCCTGGTTTTGTACGGATATACATGTATTATACCTATAAAACTTTCTCTTGAATCACTCTATCTATTACTAAGTACTGTATTAAAATACGTACTTTAAAAGATATACGCGAATAGACTTCGGAAGCGATTTCATTTTATATAGGTACAAGTGGTTGATATATTTTTTCCAGAATTGAAAGGAACAGAACAGGATGGAATCGAATTTATGATACATTTGTTTTTTTTTAACTACTCTAATGCTGTTGGCCGCAGCTGGCTTTTACAGCTCTACCAGACGATAGGGGGACGAGTGCAGATGGCACTCGCGGAAAGGATTTATGGAGCGACTGAAGCCCAACTTCTGCTTGACGGATACAGATTTTAGTCTGAGGGCACCGCTAGGGCTTAGAACTTCGGCATAGGTCGTCGTAATTTCGATCCCCGCTTGAATTGGACTGGAGGCACCAGTGTGGAGCGCCCGGGTGAGGGCAAGCGCCCGCTAGATTACGCGATATGGTGTGGTTGAGGTCGTCGTCTACGCCGGCGTGGACGGTGTCGTGTGTGTGCGTTAAAGTGTGGTCGGGAACTGTTGAACCCGTAGGGAGAATAACTTCCGTTATGGGGTCGTCAGGATCAATACGAAACTAAGATACAAACATTCCGTTTGACCATCTAAATCTCAAAAAATGTTAATAGCGCCTTTTACATTGATCAGTAACGCCATCTAGCGATATAAGTGGGAACTGTTATATGTTTATATACCATGTTAGGTGGACGAGGTGTGGCTGGACGGGCCGTGCCGGTCGTGCGGGTGCGGGGCGGCGGCGGCGGGCCCGCGGGCGGAGTGCGCGACGGCCGCGTGCGCCCCCGTACCACGCGACGCGCAGCTGGTGTGGGAGGCGCAGGCGGTGCCGTTCGCGTGCTGCCCGCGCGCCGTGCCGGTCGCCTGCCGCGACGGAGACGACATTTACAGGGTACGTGCCTCGTACGTGTCCCTACATGGGTCCCTCCATCCCTACATTGTTATACAACGCATTTATATGATTCAACCGCATGTAGATAACTTTGCATCTCCACTTTCAACCCCTTACAACCCTTCCCATTAAAAAGTAGCCTATGTCGTTCCTCGGAGTCTAGACTCTGCAATTTCATTTAAATTGGTTCAGTAGTTGAGCCGCGAAAGCGAGACAGACAGAGTTACTTTCGCATTTATAATATAATTAAGGAGTAAGGATTTGGAGCATCAAACAGTAAGTGAGGTTGAGTGTTTTATTATTATTAAAACCTTTTGTCTTTTCTAACCAAAGGTTGTCTTGGAAAGAAAGCTACAAGACCGCTTTTTGGACTCGTATTAATTATCATACTCACAGGATAATTCGACATCGATTGTCGTAAGAAATGTCGAGCACGTAATTAAAAACTCCTAATTATCTATAACTTACAGAAAACACATATGTTTAAATACTAAACATGTTTAATTACAGGTGGGCGAGAACTGGACGTCACCGTACAACCCGTGCGAGTCGTACGCCTGCGTAGAAGTGGAGGACGGCAAGTTGGACAAGGTTACTACGGTGCAGCGCTGCGACACTGACTGCCAAGCTGTGAGTCTGCCGATTCCTATCCTATATAACTATATTGCGCAATTTGCTTCAAAAATCTTATCGTAATATGTTATAAAACGCATAAATGTCTTTTATAATCGAAACCATATTAAAAGATACTAGGCCATAACGCCACTTATACTATAAAGAAATCTAATATGGGTACTTAACTGAATCTAGAATAATTGATAAGAAACTGTACTCGAGGACTCGCCTTTTACATCTTCATATATTGTTACACCATTGATTATATCGAAATTATTATAAAAATAATAACAGCCCAATTCTGAATTTGTGTTTGTTAATGATTCACTTTTTTTTATTAATTTGAGCGCGTCTGACTGTAATCTCTCCTGATGTTAAGTGAAGATGTGGTCTAAGCTGTTACACGCAATATATAGACATCCATCCACCTCGTTGAGTTACGCTCAAAATTTGGTCTGATACTGTCCCAGGGTTGGAAGTACTTCCCAGCGGCGGAAGGAGGTGAGGAATGCTGTGGCAAGTGTCGGCCGGTGGCCTGCGTGGTGGACGGCCGCCATAGGAATATCAGCGAGGAGTGGACCTCTGATGACTTCTGCACCAACTACACCTGCGTCGACGTCAACGGCACCGTAAGTTTCCACAGTTGAAAAACAATGTGTGAAAATTCAAGTCTGTTTCTTGTAGTCTTGAAGAGGATAGACTGATATGTACATACTATGTATTTACTCTGTTCATAGAATATGAAAAAAAAATGCCGTAAAGAACTTAGACACCCGGTGGCCCCAAATTATTTTTGTTGTTTTTTCTACTTCCTGTTTTTGTATATTTCTCTGCTAAAATATATACTTTTCGAATAATATGCTTTCTATACCTAAATAAAAAGCAAGAAATACAATTTCTTCGTGAGGTATACATTTCATTTATTTTTAAAATAATATGCTTTTTGTACTCTATAACGTAACTGGTATACAAATTCGAATATGAGTTTGTTTATCTAATACGCTTTCACACGTAACAGTTTAACCAATCATACGGAAATTTGTATGCGTATTATTTAGGATCTAGAAAAACATGGCCTACTTTTGAAACTAGTCAAGTGTGATCACGATCAGAAATTTTACTACAAATAATAGATGTAAATAACGGCTTCACATCATGGCGTTGACAATACATTTAATGTACTAGACACAGAAAATAGTCGATAGGTAGTGTTAAATATGATGTTGCTTACAGCTTCAAGTCCAATCCTCGGACGAGACGTGTCCGGAAGTGTCGGACACCATCAAGAAGCTGTACGTACTGCAGGAACAAAGGCAGCCCGGCAAATGTTGCCCCAAGCACGAGGCCATCGCCTGCAAGGTCGGCGATAAGGTCTACCAGGTCTGTTGAAGTCCATTGCAAATCTAGATACAATAGTAATAGTAATATTATATACTTAGGAAAGGGCTTGTTTTTATTTGTTAGTAATCAGGACTTAGGTTTCTGTTGCTAGTAGTGTACCATTACGAGTTCCTATTTTTTTTTGTGTATGATAATGGAATGGTGCACCTGCCTGCGCTAACGTGCGTTAGCGTAGGAGGAGTGAGTCCACCAGTGAAGGATGATAAGATGAGTATGAGGTCAGGTCAGTTAGCCCATCGTGACAAATTCACCAATAATTCATCACGATAGTTTCCAGGATGAACCGCGTGGAGGTCGACCTAACATGGTACATTGCTAGCAATGGGAGTTACTAGTTCCCATTGCTAACAATCTCCTTCCCCCCCACGAGTTCCTATTCGAAACCGTCATACAATTATGACGGTTCCTCTTTAATTCGCCGCGATAGACTAACTGATCTGACTTTACGTGAAGTCAGATCAGTTAACGCACGAATGGAACATGACCATTATAATATATAAGAGAATATCAAAAATGATCAATCATTTTAACGATTTTTTGTTCTTTCATTTCTTCCCGGATGTCAATTTCCAGGTTTTCTACTTTTTTTTAGGGACTATAGTAATACCACAGTTTATTTTTTCGGTCTTATTGTAATACAAGACGCTGGCGAGATAATGTTAGCCCATCGTGACAAATTGACCAGGAATTTATCATGATGGTTTCCAGCGTGGAGGTCAACATGACCATATGCTGCTAGCAATGGGATCATCAGTCCACATTACTAACAGTCCTCTTCCCCTGATGTTTCGTACAGGAGAACGAGACGTGGCCGACGTCAGACCCGTGTAGAAACGTGACGTGTTCGCGCGACGAGGAAGGGCGGCTGGTGCAGGCGGGACGCGTGCAGCACTGCTCGCAGGACTGCCCACGTGGCCGCCAGTACCGCGCGCCGCACACCAACCACACCTGCTGCGGGGACTGCGTCGCGGCCGCCTGCCTCGACAGAGACAAACTACGGCAGCCGGGTCAGTGGGCACGCACCTTAATATTCCTCTTTTTAAATGGGGAACACATTTTCAGTATTGTCTGAGACTGCCTACGTGGCCACATGTACCGCGCACCATCTAAGAATATTCCTCGATTCTCGTTCCTGACGGATCTTGGTAGCGGACTCTGGAAAAGGGCGAGTACAATAGATTTATGAAGGTCGCAGTGCTATAGATCCAAGCACCTGACCAATAAAAAAAAATATCGCGCGTCGCTCGCCCACGCCACCTGATGCGGAGACTGCGTAAATAAAAACGTAACTAGACATATCAAAATGTTTTGAAGCAAAGTTAACTGCGACGACGTTTTAAATAGGCCATGTTTTATTGATGTCGACTGTACCTATTTGCAGGCGAAAGTTGGCAGTCGGACGACAAATGCACGACGTTCTCGTGCGACCGGTCGGGCGACGAGTTGTCTGTGACTGTGTCGCGCGAGGCGTGTCCCGACGTGTCGGCGTGTGCACCCGAAGACCTCGTCAACTCCACCTGCTGCCAACTCTGCGTTGAGAAGCCGCAAGCACTCAGTATGACTACCTTATAATCTTTTAGAAAGTATAAACTATATATATAAATAAAATTGGAGTGTCTGTTTCTAATATTGAAATAGCCGTTTTTTACTACATGCATATCAGTATAAATGCGGTACATACACCAATATAACATTTTTTTAGAATTTTATCTGTCGGTTTGTTCCGGCTAATCTCTGAAATGCCTGGACTGATTTTAACGGGACTCTTTTTGATAGGTAGCTGATGTAATAAGGAGTAACTTAGCCTACTTTTATTTTAGAAAAATAAAGTTAAATCCACACGGACGAAGTCGCGGGGTCAGCTAGTAAATAATAAATCTAGTCCCAAACTAATCAAACGCTATATTTATTAATCTACAAATTTTTCCTACAATTGTAATATTTCTGTCAACACTCGGCACCCTCCCATTAGTTTACCTCTCCAGATATCATAGATTTAACTTAAGTGTAAAATCAGTTCACGTTAAGACTCCGCGTCGAATGTATGAATTACTAATAATGGTGGAAGCACAGTATCTAATAAACTTAGTGATGTACAATAATTAGTACAGTTATTTTACCTATAAACTCCAATAAACAAATTATATAGCGACACCTCATCACATCATACACAACGGGACAGTGGTGAGGTGATAAACACCGCACTACAATAGTATTTATAAATGTTAACAGGTAAATGTGTGCCGGAGTCCATACCACCGAAACAGTCGATAGGTTTGATCCGGCTCCGAGGACCACACGGACTCTGCATCAACAAGCAGCCGCTCACTGGCTTCAAGGAGTGCCGCGGGACTTGCGACTCGGGGACCATTTTCAACAACAGTCAGTATTGCATCGGTATAATTTAATGGAAGGTTTTAGTCTGGGAATAGAATTCAAAACCCCACCTAGGGGCCCGCATGGTTACACCTCATATTAGCACAACCAGCCGAATTTCTTGAAATGCGGCGTTTCGGAACGGTATTTTGATTTGAATAATATCGGAATCGGAATTAAGGCTGTGTGTTAAACCGCTGGGCCACCGAGGCCGTGAATCCGGAAACATATTTGTAATGCCCCTGTTGTTGCGGTGCTCATGAGCGGTAGTAATCACTTACCATCAAGTGAGCCGCAAGCTCATTTGTCCTTTATGTTATAATAAAATAAAATAAACTTTTTTTTTGTTTCCGTTTTTTTCCATCTCGGGGAACGGTAAAACGGTTTAGCCCATATAACCATTATCTTTGCTAGAATTCGCATATTATAGTATTTTTATTTCTTGTGATGTAATGTGTATTTGGTGCAGAGACTGGCAGCCACGACTCGTCGTGCGAGTGTTGCCAGGTGGCGTCGTACGAGCGGCTGGTGGTGGCGCTGCGGTGCGAGGACGGCGTCCATCTGCAGCACTCGGTGGCCACGCCCGCGCGCTGCACCTGTCGCCGCTGCGGGGACTCGCTCGCCCAGTGGCCCACTACGACAGGTACGCACCCACACGGCTACATCTAGTAGCCCATCACGACATGTACGCGCCCACACGCCGACATTTAGTGGCCCACCCGACATACGCACCCACACGGCTACATCTAGTAGCCCATCACGACATGTACGCGCCCACACGCCGACATTTAGTGGCCCACCACGACAGGTATATCGACAGTTACCATGGTCATTTACTATCATTACTTAATGCATTTATAGTTTTGTTTAATTACGCTACCATGCATGTATGAGACCACAAATTATAGGATCGTGGTATGTGTACCCATTAAGAATTAAGGTGTCATCCCCGAAACCTGTATTCATATCTCTTTTCAACCAAAACACAGCTCACAAAACACAGGGAAGTACGAAACTTTATTTAAATTTAGGAACGTGTAAATTCTTAATGGGTACACATACCACGATAACACGATAACTCGAAATATGTTCCAATGTTGGAGATATAAATAATGATTATCATTGATTTAAAATTTCTTATTGGTCATTTATTGCAGGGTCTACGAACACCAAAGTCCATTACGGCTACAACCCCGAGTCGTACGACGAGGTGCCGGAAATATACCAAAGATTCGGCACGGAGAAACCGAGCCGGAATTAAACAATACACCATGTACCTATAGTCTTTACGAGTAAGCAAAAATAAAATACGTTTTATTATAACTTTATATTTATTTATCACAATCCGGCTTTCCTTGAACTAGAAGTAAATGTAAATAATTATATAATAAAACAATATATTACAGATGGAAGGTACGTAAAATGTCAACTATAAAATAAATAATAACACCACTCCAATAAACACCGCTCGTCACAACAGATCACTCCTTGTCAAATTCCTTTAAAAAAGTCTTATAATAAGTATTGGAATCATTTACAATGGACTCCAGTATTTGTTTAAGTCAGTAATACGCCTAAATATTTCACTTTTAATAGCAAAATTCACTTATCGAGGTCTTTGATTCCCATCTTAAAAGTATTAAGACTTTACGACTCTGGAATCAATTTGCATCGACTATATATATTAAATTCATTACCAACTTATAACAAGGGTTCATCAACGTTTTCAATCTTATCCGTGCCATTTAAGACTTCCACATCGTCCTTCTGTTCCTCTTCTTCTTTCTGCTTCTGTTTTTTCACCATTTCTGATAAATATTTACACCTTTGCATACATTCCTCCTGGAAAATAGGAAGAATGAATTTAATCAATAAATAATTTTTTGGAGTGGCTTGGTTATGAATCCAGTTTTCTAACTTCAAAGCTAAGGTCAAAGTCAGTGATCGGTTAATATATGTAAATTATACAATTCACGTTAAAATACCAATGTTGCAAACGATTATGTAATTAAAACGACGAAAAGCTATCTCACGGAATGTCTTGGACACAAATCCGATTTCGTGTGGAACTAATTTCGTTACATTACTCTGACCCACTTGCAAAATTAAGAAAGTTAAGCAATTCTTAATTTTACGATTGACTTCACTCGATAGGTATTACGATCTTATCAAAGTCACAAACGCGGGTGTTTATTTTGAAATAAAAAAAAGTTTTCTTTTGTTGCGTTACAAAATTGAACTTTATCAGTTTCTGTTTAGGTATAAATTGTTTTAAGAAATGGAACGGTTGTTTACGAGAAAATAAATTTTACATCTTTACATCGACTAACTTCTTTCTCAAATATTCTATTTCTTCGAAAATGTCACCTGAAGTTCACCTTCAATTTTATATAACTCAGCATAACGCGTTATATGATAATACAATGGCATATTACAGCAATCACTCTTTTTTATTTCATATGCCTTATAAGCCTATTTATTAAGAAACTTACTTTACTATATTCCTCTAGAAATGCACTAGATAAGATGATACACGCATGAAATTTAGGTATATATGTAGGTTTGACTGAGAAACTAGTTTGATTATACCTCGGTTCTAGAGACTTAACACTCCTTCATTACAACAATACACAATCTGGTATGATGAACTTGACATTAACAATATATTTCCCAAATTCCTTCTTTTTTTAAGTTCGAGGATGAGAACAGTAAATTAAAATGTGTCAAGTTTCACTTACTTTTGTCTTGCCTGGCACTGAATTGGCTATCTTCTGCCACCTATCGCCGGCACCACCCTTGGGATGTTTGGCGAGTGCCGTCTCTAGCGCTTTCTGTTGACTCTGCGACCAGTTGCCGCCGCTCGTCTCCTCCGTTTTACGAGTTTTTACCTGAATATAAGTCGAAAGTAAGTATGTATATATTTCTTAGTTGACATTTAATTTGGACAATTTATCGAAATTATTAGAACTACCCTTGTCTCTCGGATAAACAGAGTTTACTTTGGATGTTTCAAAGGAATGTTAGCCAAGAATATATATCAGTTGATCCAATTTTTTTTGTCCATCATATATGAAGTTACGAACTTTGGAGGGATTTGTTCAAGTCATATTAAAATATAAAATAATGTGTCATGTACAATAGAAATATAGACGTAGTGTTGTAATCACGAAACCATAACAAAATTGTACCATTCTAAAAAATTGTCGATCGATATAATAATAACTACCTTTTTAACCGGTTCCACGACAGTCGTCTCCGTGTTCTCTTGACCGGGTATCTTGTAGCAGTTGTCCTTGAGCTTGGCAGCCATGTGCGTCACTTCCGGCACGCTGCGGCACATGGCTTCCGCGATCCTCTCCCAACGCTCCGCGGAGCCGCCGGGGTGTTTCTTCACCAGTCGCACCAATTCCGCCAAGTCATCATCCGTCCACAACCCGCCGGTGATCACTGGCGCTGACTAAAAATCACATCCAAAACAATATAGGTTATAGCGTGATGGTTATCACCTCACCACTGTAGCGTGATATATGATGTGATGAGTGTCGCTACTTAATGTATTCGTTTCCTGTAGTATCTAGGTAGTGAGTATATTGAATAATTGACCTACATTAGTGAGTTTATTAGTGTGCTACATGGCTTATTAGTAACGCGTACACTAAACTGTTCTTCTTGTTCTTGGCTTTCAGCCGCTCAATAAGCCCTTCCGCAGGTTTGGGGAATATTTGAATACAATAACAAAATAATATATATGCATGTTAATTAATAAAGATTATATCTGTCATCATTTTTATTTCCTTATCAAATGTAATATAATTATAGTAATTAATTTACATTATTACCTAAATTATGTACAAATAAATTAACTACATTTAAATATATAACAACTTCTAATGCAGGTCTATTATTGTTATTAAACTGTGAATTCTTCATTTCATTCTATCTATTTTCTTTATCTCATCATTATTAGAATGTTACATTATCTCTGATTAACAAAGATATAATTATTCATAAAAAGATTAAGGATCCCTACTAAAATATAAGGTAAAAACAATCCTTGGGAAGGCTGGACGGGCCCCTAATTTGTACTAAAATAACAAAACACTTGAATAATTAAAATTCATTTTTAGAGAGAGATTGTAAGAAGAGGATAGCTTATGTTGTTGCAAGTATTAATATAAATGTAGTCACCTGTCGCACGGGGACTGCGACCGGGCCCCCGGGCTCGTCGGCGGCGTCGAGCGGGCAGGCGGGGCCCGCGGGGCCCGCGGGGCCCGACGGAGCCTCGGGGGGCGCCCACCGCCGCCGCCGGGCCCCGCCGCCCGCCGCCCGCGCCGCGCGGGCCTCCGCCGCGGCCGCAGCTTCGCGGTCAGCACGTAGCTGCTCTTCCTCTTCTCTAAATACGTAAGAGAAGATTATATCGCTATGTCGTGATGACCTCGATGATCTAGCGTGTAATACACACACATACGTTCGAAAGTCGCGGATTTTATCCCAGAAAAATCTAAGTATTTAGGATAATGATATCGGAATCATATTATTATTACTTTATGTAATTAAATTGCAAACAAACTGACGACCCTATGAGAAACCATCGACTATATACATGAACATCACGTTATCATGTGACACCTTCCATACCATTCATGCGTTACCATTTCAGTGGTTTTTTATGGACAATAATGGTATGATGCAACTGTTTACGCTGGCGGAGCACCAGTGGAGGATGATAGAATAAGTATGAAGTCAGGTCAGTTAGCCCATCTTGGCTAATGACAATTTATCACAAAACTTTCGAGGCGGAACCTCGTCGAGGTGAACCTGACAATAAACCCCTTCCCCCTCCGTAGGAGATGTAGGAGTCAACTGCGTAATACTTAACGAGGTGTGACTAAAGTATCCTGCGCAAACCACATTTTGCAGAGTCTCGTTAAAATATATGCACAAAATATAAGAATTAGACTATTAAATTATTACCAATACACAAATGATAATAGCCTTAAAGTATCAACAGAGTCAAAATATGATACAATTACCAATTAATATATTTATTTAAACACCTGCGTTGAAAACCAGCTGAGTATACAATAAATTTTTAAAAACGTAAATTGATGTATAAAATTTCATTGCTATATTCTTATAATGAAAAAACATAAAAATGACTACCTTTTCTTCTGCCGTCTGGCCTCCTCCGCCATCTCTTTTCTTCGTCTCTTTAATTCTACTATGCCACGTGGAATGGCCGTTATGGACCACCAAATGAACCTTGGTATTTGGAAGGGCAGTGTGTCTTTAATGCTAGGTTTAGGAAGTTGCTCTAATATCTCTGCTAGTCCTGTGTCAAAGCCCGATTTTTTCGAGTGTTTCTTTCCTCTACTATTGAGAATTTGTTCCTAATAAATAAAATAATTAAAAACATATAAAGAAAAGGAGCGAAAACCTATAAACACAACAATATATAATATCATTATTATATCCCCAAATAGTTATAAAGTAGAAAAAGATGTGGCAAACAACAATACGGCTCATCTAATGGTAAACAGTAACTATAGCCTATGGATGCCTTAATGAATTAATGACAGGGAGAAAGCCAGCTGCCGTCTCTCGGATTAACTTTGTTTTAGAGTTAGACAGAAGTATAAATACATATGGCTAGTTTATTATGTGCCAAATTTGATCCAATGATTATCAACCATGATCACCAGGATGCTCCCATTTACTCTATAAATTTTTAATACAACACTTAATAGAGTTATCAATTAAAATTACTTACAGCAGTGAATCTTTTCTCGATATAAGCGGCCCAACCAACTGCATACTGTCCGAATGTGATGATAATGAACAGTATGATGGATCCCTCAGCCAGGCCCATCTTCCTGACATGCCTGTAGTAGTACACTGCAGACCGCCAGTTAGGTAAACCATTCTTGAGTACATCATTGTACCTAACAATATAATATTTGCTTAATATATGAGCAACGGGAGGATTTTTTTTAACACATTAAGACCACATGCCCACTGGTGGCTCACTCAGTAACAAAAGTAAAACATGTAAAACATGTAAAACATTGGGACCGAGTGATCACCCACGGGCTTAAATAATGTCTAGCTCAAATTATTTTACACTGAAAACATATTTCAGAAATAGTATATTAATTAACAATAAAAGAAGGCCAAGTGGCAAACCACTCAAAGAAATTCCGGTCGATCAAGGTTGACATTTTAAAAATGAACACACTCAGCTCAACATATAACCTGGTGTGTAAACACACCGGTAACCAACCTAGTATAGATACTGCTAGTAGCAGACTTAGTCTTTCCTAATACTATTATTTTAAACACATAATACAATATAATATCTGTGGACTATTAACACAATGCCATCTAATCCCAAACTAACCATAGTGGGTATACCAGACCCAAAACCTTTACAATAAATTCTGTATATGTAATATAGAAAACAAATTATAATTACATACTTTTAAACAGAAGAAAACATACTTCTCTCTTTTCCCGGGGTCCTTCAATATGTTATGTACAGACACCAAATTTCTAAACTGTATGTCTGCATCGGGGGCACTATTTTTATCTGGATGTAATTTCAAAGTGAGTTTCTTGAATGCACTCTTTATTTCTGATGGTAATGCATCCTAGGTAATTAATATATGATTTAGTTAGTCAATAAAACTAATATTACAAAGTGGAAAGATTCAATTTCTTGTTTGTAGTATAAAATTTAATAAAACTATAGCTGATTTTTATAATTATTTAATTTTGCATTTAGAAGTTGCTTTAAAAAAAATTAGATATTTCTAAAGTAATTGTCCATATGCAATAATGGGGCGATTGATTAGCAAGACATAAAACCTAGTTTTATATGTTATAAATAAGTTATATAAAATAAACATTATGTTTATTTAGACAGGTATTTCTTTTTAATTACAATTCTACTAGCTAGCGGCCGTTTTTGGGCATGGTGCAATTGTAACGAGGATTTCTAATTATTTTATAATAAAATATTAAAACAGGAAGACTGAGAATGAATGTAGAACAACAAACTTGTTACAAATATGTAAAATTCGAGGTCTTTCTCGACTATAGCATACCTGTATTATACATATAAACAATTATAAAGAAATGGTATAAATTACAGTGAAAACTGTATTAAAATTCATTGCTTAGTTTAAAAGAGTCAGCGTCAATAGTTACAGACAAAACAGCAATGAGTTTGGATTATACTATTCAAAGATGTAAAACCATTTATTAATTATAACTTAGTAAACCAGAAATAAATCTTTTTATCTATATAATAAATATCTCACCTGTGTAACACCCATTAACTCGTAAAAATTTTGATTTACTTCTTCAACTACGTCAAATACTTCGAAATCGTCATCATCCCAAGCGTATGTGGTGCATACCGACATAAACACTATAAATAATATTAAACGCATTTTTTTAACTTAAAATCCTATTTCTGTTAATTTTAAATGCAATTTTTTAATGTGTATCGAAATGGATTCATTTCGTATTTTTGACAACTCTCTGAATGAAATTAAATTATCAAATGACACGAATTGACACGACACGACATTATGACACACATCTGTCAATTTTTGACAATATTCTACAGGGTTGCCTGAGGAGAAAAAAAGCATTGCTCCTAAGAATATCCTTAAATTTTTGTCCATGACGGATCTAGGTAGCGAATTTTGAAAAAAAGGGGCGAGAACAATACATTTATGCTGTGTTACTGGTTTAAAGTACCTGCCAATAGTCCAATTCCCTCAATAAAAAAATGGGTTGCCAATAATCATAAAGTCCAATAATTTTGATGATGTACAATTAATAATTATAAAAATTAGCATTTTATTTATTTATAATGTCTGCTGAGTCTACCGCACAAAACAAGTCTACTTCTTTATCTGTGGTCTATTGCATTGGACCTTTCTATTCCACTACAATCACTATTTTCACTTCTGACATTGTCAACCAGAGATAGAGCGAGAGAGATGCGTATATTTATTTATTTAAAATTGACATCACAAACATACTTATTCTACTGTATTTATTTGATTATTTCTAAATCATATTGTTTACTAAATAGAATATAATAGGTTATCGAATATATTTAAACAATTTATGAAGAATATTAACTGTTTTCAAATTACAGTCAATCTACTATTTAAATGTGAAAAACAAGATTTTTTGAAGTTTTATTATAAGTACTTGTTTATGAAATGTCTGAAGAAAGAAAGAAAGTATCAACGGAACAACTAAGAATACTTGTGGAAGAAATAGAGAAAGACTCCACTCTACTAAATGGAAGACCGGCCGGCCGCGCGCCAACTAAAACTAAACAGGGATACACAGAAAAGTGGGAAAACCTTACTAAAAAACTAAATTCAGTTGAAAATGGTACTATAAAGAGTGTTACAAAATGGCAACAGGTATTCTTAATTTTTATTTGAATATATATGTATTTTAGTAGAAATGCATTCCAAATTTGAAAGTTTAACATAACATATTTTTTAATCTACAGTCACTCCGTGATTGGAAGTCAAATACGAAAAGAAAAGCTGCGAGAATAATGATAGAAAAGAATAATCGGATGGAGTTAAACCAAGAGTTGACCACCCTGGAGCATAGGCTGCTCAGTCTCTATGATGAGAACCCATCTTCATTAAAATCTGGTGGCATTGTAAGCAGCTTTCAATATTATAACACAATAAGTTTATTAATTAAACACAGTTTAAGAATTGGAGGTAAGTTATACAACAACATCAGAAGTGGTTATTCATACAGATAAAACAGGCTGAAAAAAATACATTTTAATGTTTTTTTTCTCTGTTTATCGGATAGAAGAGGCCAAGTCTGGCATTGCTCAAGCAACTCAACTTTGTTTTGTATATATTACAGTATTACCTATGTCACTCAAGAATAATTTACATTTCAAACATTGAAAATTTTTAACAAAATCCACCCTCTTTATTATACATTTAGTTTAAGAAGAATGTGATTATAATCTGTAACAAAATGTGAAAGTTTAAAAATAAATAACATAAATTATACAACTGATATAAAATTAAGCTATTAAATTATGTACTGCTGATATTTCAATGATGTTACAAGTATCTTGGACATGAGTGAATTCAATATAAAATTTATACAATACGACCATTACAAATGTTCTCAGAAACGTTCACTCCATTCAAAAGTAATGTATTTGAAGTGCTAAATAGCAAGTACATTTAAATTTAATTGTACAAACTATATATACAATAAAGGATCTATTCTATTGTTATTAGGACATCAGTTATATAGCAGAAGTTGATCCACTATCATCAGATGATGCAACTATGGATGATTATTTATGGAATAATGAAGCTGAATCAATACACACACCCTTTGAATTGGCATTACCCAAAGACTGTGTGAAAATTGAGAGAGAAAATGAGAAGAATCAGAAATTAGGTAATAGAAACGGTAAGAATCCCAAAATCAATAGGGCATTTAATGTCATTTAGTAAATACTAGCTACACGCCCCGGCTTCGCATACATAGGAATGGACAAACAGTGATAGCGACTTTGCTTTATAGTATGTAATTATTTGTTGTAATCACCATTATTATTTATAGTAGTGATACCTGGAACATAATCTGTGAAATGTTCACCCTAATTCCGTCAGCCATATTAATGAGAAACCTTAGTACTGACACAGATAAATAACTTTTTTTGCTTATTCTCGAAATTACATCTTTTTTAAAATTCAATATATATTTTTTATCACATTATGACAAACTGTAAACATTCGGAAGGAAAAAATGTATAAGTTAATATTATTTAGTTTATTTATCATTTAGTGAAAACCTGTTAACTTAAAATTAGAAACATACACTTAAATTTTATTTATATCTATAAATTACTATTACATTTAATTTATATTGTGTCCATAGATCAGGAAGACATACTAAAACGACTAACAGCCCTAGAGGCTGCACAGCAAGAAATGGAAAAATGCCACAGTGAACATGTAACAGCTATGATAGCAGCATTAAAGAGTCATACAGATGTGGCATTCCGTCAATCAAAAGCAATGGAAGCACAAACACAGGCTATTCTGAAATTATTAGAGAAGAAAGGCTAGTATGAATAGTATTTTTAGACGAAAATGATATGAGGTGTACATAAATATATAATCTTATAAATAGTGTGTTTTATCACTGTATTTAATTCAGAAGAAAATATGTTTATATATTGTTGCAAATTGGTAGTTACTGGCAGCCTACATTCTACAGAAAAAAAACGGTCTGTGCCAAAAAACTAAAGAGAAAGTGCTATGCTTGAAATTTCTCTGAGGGATCAAATTGAAACGAAGTAATGCGCCAGAGAACTAAGGTCACCAACATAGTCCTATGAATCTGTAAGTGAAAGTGGCAGTGGGCAGGTCATATCTGTCGCCGAACCAGTGGTCGCTAGAGTAGATGTGTTCTAAGGCGGGGACCGCGAATTGGTAAACGGAGTTAGGTGGAGCGACGACATACATAGGATTGCAGGTAATAACTAGACCAGAATGGCTGAAGATCGTGCCCAGTGGCGTGCCTTGGCAGGTGCCTATATCTAGCAGTGGACCAGTGTGCTTATGACAATGTCAAAAAATATACTTAAAATGTTCATATTATGTTGAATACTGTAAACACACAGAGCGTTTTCAGTTCGTTTTATATTGACGTCTATATTAATTTATATATGTAATTAAATGACCGAGCATAATTTCCCAAAATATGTAAATACAGACGAATAAAAATCTTTAATAAATTAAATTCTTTTTTATTTTTACCCATAAGGAACACTTTACTGTGATAAATTGTTAGACAGGGTATAAAAATATTCGTTTTACAAATGATACACATATATTACATCTAATTATTCATGATAACAGTAATTGAACTCTATATCATTAATCTGCAATGGTCAATATCGTCTGGCAATTCTTTTGTGGACTCCCGCGACACAGATTCGCCTAGTACAATGTATGTATAACAAATGTACTAATATGAAAAAATAGAAAAAAAGTAATTGGAACGAACTGTTAAGGCATCAAAGGGTAACAAACTTGTATACTTATATAAAATAGTATCTATTACACGTTATTTTATCCACTTATTTAGACAAACGATCATCTGTATCCGTCTCGTGATACAGGTATGATGAGTTGAAATTTTATTAAGATACCATCACCCGTTAGAGGTGGTAGGTATACCTATTACAAATTGTTATGAATCTCTTTATAAATGTTGCGCTCTGTGCTACCGAAGCAAATCCTTTTTTATATATTTTAATTTTCTTCAACATGAATTAATACTATATATTTATTTTCAAATATAAACCAAAATAAAAATAAATGTTACAACGATTTTTATTAGTGTCGTTTCACATGTCGCGCCCTAGATTCCATGTTGGCATTTACCTACATTTCGTTGTTAGATATAGGTGAATCAATAATTACAATAATAAATCTAGATGAATGTGTGTAACTAGGTCATATATACGTCCCTGGAAGACCTTTCAGAGTCCTGCCATAGCAATATTGTTATCAATTTGTTACCTACGTTTAAACAACAATAACTCTACAATCCGACATTATACATATAACAAAAAAAGAACACAAAAGTCCTTGAAATTACTAATCTGGAACGCAGCGTAGCACTTTTGTACAACTGCAAACATTATGTTTGTCTACAATTTCATTTGTCCAATACTAAAAGAACTACAGTTGGTCATGTAAGCCTCCACATTTGCCCGGGAAAGGTTCAGAAGCGGGGGGCAGGGCGGTTCTGTTGTAAAATGGTTAAGCCCCTAGTACTGTATGGGGAAGTCAGTGGCGCGCGACCCCGCGGGAGCGATAGATGGCGCGGGGATGGCATGGCGTCCCAGAGTAATAAATTGCGTTATTAACGCGAGTGACGTGCAGCAAGGTGCATATGCACCTTGCAATTTAATAGCTCCGTGACCAATGTGAGCGACCTCCATGTCGAAACAAACGCCATTGCTCGTCACAACCATGGTTTTCGCATTCTTCGCTTTGTTCTTACTTGGTATTTTAATTGCCAAACCTACACCAGTGAGTTTAAGTATACAATTCGCTTGCGATATTTTTGGTACTTGTTTTATTTTGTGATTTATATTTTTTATGTACACATATTCTTTAGTGCAATAAATAAAATAAATTGCACTAAAGAATAAGAATGCTGTCTATTATTTTTTCTTTCATAGTTGCACTTTATTTAATTGATTTTTTCCTTTATTATTCTTGTTAAAATTGTTGATAAAAATGTAATATACATATTTCATTAATATTAATAGAATGTACTTATTTGGTTAATATATTATGTGAAGTGAACTTTAACATTTCATTACATAGTAGAATTAATGATTATTTATATTATTTTCATAAAGAGAAGACATTGAATGCATTTATTTTTTTAAATTTTCAAAATAATCGTCAAATATATGTTTTGAGAGCGAGGTTAGAGACAACACATTATGTATTTACAATTATATTACCTCAGTTTGAGACCGTAAAGCTAGAAACTGCTCTATTTATAGTCCTATAAAGTCTACGTGATTGTACGTCGTAGCAAGGTTAGTTATCTGTTTTCGTGTCTACGAATCTATCTACGCTTCTACGTACTTTGCTACGTTCTATATGTCATTGGAAATGACTGCTTTCATTTGACAGAACGTCATCTTATTTTCCTTCACGTACGACGATAAAACTTATATAACTTATGTACTTATTTACCAGTAATAAATTTATAAACTCGGGTACTATTTCTCTTAATATATAGCTCAAAGCAGGGTTCGTGAAAATAATTAATTTTCAAGAATATGAATTTAGCGATCGATTCTCAGGAAAACATGGCGCCGTCTATCTGTCCTGCTCACGTATTTTCCCGCGAAAATAAAGGGAGGACGCGGAATTAAAAAAATAATGCGTAGAATTGCTTGAATTGCCAACTTTTAGTTCTTTAACGATTAATAGATTGAACATTGTTTTTCTTTACATGAATTAAATATGGTAAAAATTGTCGCCTCGTAATCAGAAGACGTACAAATATATTTTTTCTTAAAGATTAATTACAAAATAAAAATGAGAAAATGCATTAACAATTAATTATTAATTAATATTCTTATAACAAATATTAATTAATAATTAAATGTTAATAAATAAAATTTTACGGTATTTGTTTTGTTCATATTAAGTATTTTTTCATTATTTGTAGTCATTCTTCATAACGCTACTTAAATCACAATTAAAGCTAAACGTTCAGATTTTTTATGTAATATAAAATTTTACATACTTAGTATAAAATGCTGGCGAGTCCGCGGGCTGAGCCCTTAGATTTTTTTAAACTACGCAACGGATTTTATTGCAGTTTTTAGCAATAGATAGAGAATAGATTTAAGAGATTTATATGTACTTATAATACATGTAGGTACACCCTAGTACCTATTAGGGTAGCTGGTACTTATTGTCAAAATATTTAAATTAGACAATTATACATTAGATATGTCAGTGAAATGCCCAGAAATACACATTTAGGTTACATTTTAGGTATTTTAGTAGTTTATTTATTTATTTTATTTCAGTCCATTTTGCCGACTTGTTAGTAATACAATTTTCTTAAAGTTAATGTTAGAAAAATAAAGACTGAAATAGAGAGCAGCAATGGTTCAGGTACAAACTATCCAGTCTGCTGCAAACCAGCGCACCTCTCGTGTATTGTCCCGTTAAAGCATTCAACTCGCACCTCCACGAATATCTTTGTTAAATAAACTGTAGAAAGTAGTAAGCGAAGCAAAGCCTTTGAAGGAACTCGCATACTTCTGTGCAGTACTCGTATTCCTGTCAAGAAACAATGCACAGAAGTCGACGTAAATACAACTACAACCCTCTGTAGAAAGTTTCAAAGCACTAGGAATAACAGAGGGTAACGAGCATTGAATGTACGCTACGTTATTTCAACCAACTGCAAAAAAAGTAGGAACACAAATAAGTTACTACATACATGAGGATTTCAATTAGATTTATTTTTTTAAAACATGGTTTTACCTCTTAACGTTTTTAGGTGAGCCGATTTTAATGAGTCTTTTTTTTATTTGAAACCTAGTGCGTGGTTACATATTTTAGTTTAGATTTCGCCAGTTATTTATGAACTCTGACATGTATTGCGAACATAATGTTCTTGTCAATTGAATCTATATACTCAACTGGACAGTAGTGAAAAAATTATAATATAAAATAAAAAAAATTAAAATAATGAATAAATGAAAAACTATTTATTTCGCGGTGCATGTTATCCCTGGAATATCGGAATGTATTATAAAGTGAGGGACTTCGCATAGAAAGGTACTAGACCTTTATATGCGAAGTTCGTCACTTTAAAAATAAAAGAAGAGTATTTTTTTGTTGATTAGGAAACCTGTTATTAGCTATACTATTGATTTTTATGTTTTGTTTTTAACTATAATAATATATAAGTACTGTGTTTGCTGTTGGTTTCGAAATAAACAAATAACTGCGATAGAGGGTTTTTTCGTGATCTCACGTATAATTACATTCCTGTTCGTTTAAAGAGTATAATAATTATATGTGAAGTATATGTAATAATTCTTTATATTACTATGAATATTTGGGAACAAAGAAAAAACGTCTTGCTACTACTCAATAACGAACAAAGAAAAAAACACATTTACTCACAGACACAATTGATATTTTACTTTGAAATACCTACATACATACATTACAGTATGTTACGAGGCTACGAAATGGTTTAATTATTTCTACATCCACAGTACAGCTACATCTACAACTGCATACGACTATCTATTGAGTGTAATAACTAATTATATATTTCTATACATATATATTAAACTATACATATGTATAAGAAATATAATACAATTTTAAATAGATCTTAATTGAAAATTTTGAATTTTAATAGATAAATTCAATTTAAAATTTCTAAAAACAGAAAGAGAAACATCAGGTGTATATTTGTAATACATTTATTTGGGCTATTGTTGTAAATATATGGTATAAGGAGAAATAATGACATCAGTTCTTATTATATATATTTGCAAAGAGCTCTGCTCTAGTTGATAGTTACATTACTAGCTAGTAAACTCCTCCACCGAACATCACTCTTTATATACCCTACACAGCCGATAAATAACAAACAAGTCGGCAAGATTACAATTTTCTTTCTTATTATTATAATTGCTATTACAATAACCTATTATGACATTAATACATTACATTTTTAGGTATTATATAATCTACTTATTGGTATAATTATATAACTTACAATATTTACTTATTTTAGTATTAATTAGAGTATAAGTGACACATTTTTACTCAACACATTTATAAAGAAAACTAGTACAATTTGATAATTATCTATCAAGTGTAATGTTATGATTTTTATTCAAACTACACGAAACGTAGAAGCTACGCTGATTTGAACTTATATATTAATTAGTCTACCAACGTAGCGATATGTCTCACGATTGGATCCTCTGACCCTGCCAGTTGACGCGTCTATTTATTAAAGGAAAGAGTAAATTATATGTATCAGACACTGTCGATTGACACTATCCACTCCAATTGGATTTCGAAGACAATGACGTCTTTGATTACAATCGTGGAGCTGAAATTGTGAAGTTTTATTGAATAGAGTAATACCTATTATCGAGTTTTTGCTTTCTAATTACAAGGCGGAGGTATGTCTCTCCTTGTCTTAATAATGCTAGACTACTGAATATGTCTTCATGTTACAATCTTTACTCTGCGAGTTTATTGTTCTTAAGTTAATTGCTTTTATAATTATTAGGTATATTAGGATAAAAGGAAAAATATTGTACTTCTTTAGTGAGTGGTATGAAACTTCGCACACCTGTAGAGTAGGAGCGCAGAATGTTTTTATTTTTTTAAAACTGTACATAAAAATACATTAAATATATAAAAAAAACATACAATCATATTTGACAGACACGCAATAGAATTATAGTCATCGACAATAGATCCTTAAATGTGCACACTTATAATATAATTTAAATTTTAAATTAAAATTTTATCGAATTTCGACCCAATAAAGTATTACAAACTAATTCCATATTATATACACCCAATCCTGGTTCTAATCGAACCAGGTCAGCAGGTTATATATACCTATATATATATAGGTTATAACCTAAATAGGTCCTCTAGTAAAAGTCCCAGGATGCACGCACCTGTATCGATTTCAGTGTTTACAAGTCCCGTTTTTATTAGGTCAGCTAGGGTTTGAGTAGGTCAGAGCTAGTCATACTTGTCAGCTCGCTAGTTACAGGCAGCATCGCCCGGGCAAGTGGGGTGGGGTGGAAGTACTTACATACGGGCGGTGGGTGCGGGATTTACGGGTGCATATTTGATGCAATTATATACATATATTTCGTTCATAATAGTTTGAAATCAATAAATATACCGACGCGATGACGTCTGCATTGACAACCCAATTGCGGGTAAACTACGAATGAGCGAGAGGCGGGGACGCGCGGATGGATGGGTGACCGTTGAGTCATTCCAATTAGACAAGCAGATTCAACGTCACATAGCCATAGCATATTATGTCACAATTTAATACATTTTAATGTTATACTGTTATTCACACAAAATAACAAAATGTTAATCTTTAAAAATATAAAATTCATTGTAGAGCACCTAAAAAAACCTAAGATTCTTCTGGAACACCTGACCAAAGAAAACATCACAAACACATATTAACATATTAATTTGTCCAATTAGTATTCCTGTACTACCGATGGGATTTTTTTAAACCATTCCAATGCCACTGGCCGTACTGGCCTTTACAGCTTCACTGAACGATAGGAGGCGAGTGCAGATGGCACTCCAAACCTGTGGAAGGACTTATAGAACAGCAAAAGGCCAAGTCCTGCCTGGCGGGTACGACTTTCGTCTGAAGGCACCGCTAGGTGATCGAAGCTCAGCTCAGGCCGTAATTTCGATCCCTGTTTGAATTGGACGGGGTTCGATCGGAGGGACGACTTTTTTTTTATAGATGATAATGGAATGGTGCACCCGCCTGCGCTAACGGTTTACGCTGGCGGGGCACCAGTGGAGGATGATAGGATGAACATGAAGTCAGATCAGTTAGCCCATCGTGACAAATTCACCGGGAATGTATCACGATGGTTTCCAGGGGGAACCGCGTGGAGGTCGATCTGATATGGTACATTGCTAGCAATGGGATCATTAGTCCACATTATTAACAGTGCCCTTCCCCCCCGGAGGGACGACTAGGACCCCCGATGTGGAGCCCCGGACACAGGCAGGCGCTGGCGTGATGTCCGTTGTGCTGTTCATGTATATACGAACGACGCTTACCATCAGGTGACCGTCAGCTTGCTATTTCAGTTACATAAAAGAAACATAGTCACCGTTTTTGTAGGTACACAAGTTTTGAGCGAACGAACCCAAAAATGCAATTCCACGTTCCGCGTAAAAAGCAAACTATTTGAGAAAGCAAACATCCCTTTGATCAACGTACCAATTCCCAACTGCACCGGTTCTGAATGCGAACTTTGATATATACAAAATTGCTTTCACCGTGCATTTCAATTTCGTATTCTATTCAGGCAGTTTTAATTGCTTTTTCAGTTATCGCAGAATTGAATCATATATTTTTAAAATAAACAAGACAATTTTTGTTTGATAACTTATTCTACTTTCATTTTGTTATTGTATCATCATTGATGAAACGAAAGTAGAATAAGTGATGATACTTCCGTTTCATCACCATCATTAAAGTATTACATATACAAATAAGTGCAGAAGCTAAGCTAAATTAGTCTTAGGGATCGCCAACACGCATGTGAAACCCCTGGTGTTTCAGGCTCCCATAGACTACGGTAACCATTTACCAAGCTTAATTTCCAGCATCGTGGTATTAAAATGACCAGATTACCTTAGTACCAAGTAGCAAATGCTCCACCCCTCTTTTATGTTGTTAACCGGGTATTATTAACACGAATAACTTTTATTCATTTTATGGTAAATACCTTTATTGTATTTACCTGTCGTCGTTTCGACTAGGTTGCACTAGCCGTGTTCACGAGCTGACAGTCACGAGGGGCAGTACCTTCATTTACCTTAAAATTATCCGTGTTAAGACCCGGTTAACATTTCACATAATGTACTAGCTGCTCCCGCCACAACGTCCGCGTGGAATTTAACTTTATTTTCTAAAATAAAAGTAGCCTAAATTACTCCTTATTACATCATACCTGCCAAAAAAAGTCCCGTCAAAATTGGTCCAGCCATTTCAGAAATTAGCCGGAATAAACAGACCGACAGACAGATAGACGAAAAATATAAATAATGTTATTTTGGTATATGTACCGTATTTATATTCATATGTATGTAGTAAAAAACGGTTATTTCAATATTACAAACAGACACTCCAATTTTATTTATATGTATAGATGGTAAACACCAAAATTTTAAAATGGATATTGCACTGCCGTTAATTAACTTCTATGCTAAACAGTGCGCCGCAGAGTCAGAATGTGCTGACGGCAAGGTTTGTCCGACGCCGTGGGTATGTTGTGACTCTGGATGCTGTGCGCCCGTCAGCTCGCCTTCTCGCAGTGATCCTGATGAGCCGCTCAAGGAGCATGGATACTCCGACCCCTGGTACACCCAGTGGTAAGTTTCAAAAAATAAATCAGCAGGTTTCAAATTTGCTTTTGTTATAGGTATGAAGGAATTTCTAAATCACTTGAGTATTTTGTGTTTTTTTTTCCTAAATATATTTTTTATTTATGTTACCATACTTCACATCATACATCTTTAAAATATGAAAAGAAAGTCTGCTCCCTATATAGAAACAATAATGTATTTTGGGTTAAGCAGTACTGATTCCCTATAACAATAGAGTGACACAGAAAATATAATATTTATTATTGAACAATATTAATTTAATACTATTTTAAACTTCACTATTTGTAATATATAATAATCTTATAATAATATGTTATATTATAAATATAAGATCAATAAGGGAGTAATGCTATGTGCTAATCCGCTAGACCATCGAGGTTGACAAACCACTAACCAATCCCAATATGTATTTGAATCTTAAAATGTGTTCGCAGGCCGATTCTGTTCCTGCTTGGCACGTTGGGCGGAATCCTGATCTGCTGCATGTGGTGCCTGTTCTGCAAACGGTCCAGCTCCCAGCGCGTGTATATGTGTTCCCTGGCCTGTTGCGTCCGCCGCCCTACATCCAACCATGACTCCGCCGGCTCCGTCTACCCGCCTCCGCGCTACAGCCGATGTGGTTCCTTCCATCAAGCACCACCACCGTATTCTGAAGTGATATTTTTGTTGTGAAACTATTTCAGTTTGATGTCTATTTATTTTTGCCGGTTTATTTTTATGATACTTTTCATTTGGGAGCGATCGTACTTCTAGGCTGTACGGTTATTGTGTTGATGTTTGCATGTCTGTGCTGACTGTTCACTGAATTTACTCGAAGCAGGGATGTCAACCGTATAGAGATTAGATTGCGACATTTTTGTCCTTTGGTACGAGTACATTTTTATCAACATACAAGTTTGCATGTAAACCTACGAAAATCGATCTTAGATAGCCTAATTGAGTTAACAATTATTCTATAAATTTTTTGTTTTATGGTTGGCAACCCTATCTTGAAGCTTCTTTTTTAGATGTGGTCAAATATACGTCGTACAGCGGTAATGTACTACTTCAGTGCAGTGTCATGCGGGATAACTTTTGTTTTTAACTTACTTCGAAAGAGGAGAATGTTCTCAATTCGAATGTATCTATGTTTTATTTGTTATCTCATCATCATCATTCATCAGCCTGTGTCTATCCATGGTTGAATGCCTTTCCCAATAACTTCTACCATGTTCGATCTTTCGCCTTCCGCACCCATCCACTCCCGGCCACCTTCGTGATGCCATCTGTCCATCTTGCACGATACTCCGTCGACCCATACGCGGCCTCAACTCCTACCTCATAACATCGTATAAAATTCCATACCCATTAAACCCATCTTACTGACAGTACGCAGACAAAGATATTATCATTTATGGACTACACACCCTCGAACGCAACATGCCCACTTTTCACCCAATGCTGTATAGACGGGGTGAGAACTACCCGTTCTCACCACTACTGTCGTTTTCTCTTTCTGTGTCAATTCAATTTTTTTTTTTAACACAATTTTTTTTAATATCTATCAGATCTTTCACGACCCTTCGTCAACGATCATGGACCATAATCTTACACGTTCATAAAATCAACGGTATACAGAGTAATTTGCATACGAAACCGAACATCTTTGACTTCATGTGGAAAGTTCAGTTCATGGTCCTCTAAAACATGCTGTATAGAAATTATAAAACATGTTAATACGTGTTTTACTTAGCTATTCCCTATACAGCTATATCCCTGTACAAACTCAGTTACAATGCATCAATGTCTAACTTGGTTACTGGGATCATGCCTCATATTTAATTCACTTCAGTGACGCAATGTCATGGCACAGAGCCAAACAAGCTTAGCAAACTTGAACTGACATTGTATAGGACCTACTTTCGTAAGAAAGTGGCCAACACGTGCCGTATATGTATTTATGAGATCAAATTTTTACGATGTATGTTTACTAGTTATACATATGTATGATGGTAATATAGGATTTAGTGCTCAGTGCTACCACAGATAAAATATTAGAGTAGTACTGAGGATACTTACCTTTATACTTATTAGACTATTCCTGAGTTTTCTTATATATATAATTTTATATATAAAATTCTCGTGTCACGATGATTGTTATCATACTCCTCCGAAACAGTTTAAGCGATTTTTATCTAATTTTATATGCATATTCAATCAAAATTGCTTTTTCATCATTATCTTAATTTATATAATCAGGTCTCAAATTCTTTAGTGTCTACTATATATATATATTTTTCTGTTCTAATGCTATTGGCCGCAGATGGTCTTTGCAGCGGGGGCGAGTGCAGATGCAGACTCCAACCCCGCGGCGGGACTTATGGAGCGACTGTAGGGCAACTCCTGCCTGATAGATACGACTTTAGTTTGAGGCACTGCTGGGGTTCGAACTTCGGCTCAGGCCGTCGTAATTTGAATTTGACGGGGGATCGATCAGATGTCGTCAATTTACCTTTTTTTGGAATTTTTTTAATAAAATGCCATCGTCTGCTTGCTACAGGTTACTTCTAAACCGGATTTATACCCGCTTGTTATCACGTATAATGCGGAAGGTGATGCCAAGACAGGTGGTAGCTACCTCATGGTACACTATTTTAGAAACTATGTCATTGCACCTGGTGAGTACTACTTGGGTGAACGGCCATTATCAGTCATTTAAAATTTAAACTTACTAATATTATTACATAGTATAAAACGAAGTCGTGGTCGCTGTCAGTCCGTTCCTATGAAGATTAAATGTTTAAAACTACGTAACGGATTTTGAAACGGTATAGATAGAGTGATTCAAGAGGAAGGTTTATATATATAATACATGTACACCCGTGCGTAGCCGGGGCGAGTAGCTAGTATAATATAAACGCGAAAGTTTGTGAATGGACGGATGAATGGAAGTTTGTTACTCTTTCACGCCAAAATAACTGAATATATTTTGATGAAACTTTACAGCAATATAGCTTATACATTAGAATAACACAGGCTATAATTGAAAAAGGTATTATTTGAATTGGGCGAAATATAATGATGGGAAATATTAAAAATAGTAATGCGGCGCATAGGCGCGGGACTGGTCGCTAGTAACGTATAAAGAAGTTTTAGATACACATTAGTCTCATCGTAAGTTCAAGGTGCGATAGAGATATCCCTCTATCTCATATATTTGTTTTCCTTAACTCAGGTTTTAGACTGTATTTAGTGGTCAGTGGGTAATAGCTTTAGAGATTTAATTGAAATAACATAATTGTATTAACATGTCTACATCTTTGTTTGTCTGTCCTCTATTGTTAAGTCGTTGTACTAGTTCTGTGAATACGTGTCCAACTTTACTGGACATGTCAGGAACGTTTTTGAACACAAAGGAGGGTTGCGACTGGCGAAACTTGACTACAGTTTATTCATAATCAATTTGCGTTCAAATATATCTACTTAGAAAGATATATATAAAAGAAAAAAACAATTAATACATAACCAGCCACTAAGTATGGTACTCATGCATAAACGTAATATCTCCTTTGGAAAGTTTACACTCTATCCTAAGGAGATAAAAACCATCGCACCTAAGAATATCATTCAATTCTTGTCCCTGACAGGTTTAGGTAGCGAACTCTGAAAAAGGGCGAACAGAATAGATCTATGTAGGTCGCAGTACTACAGGTCCAAGTACCTGACAATAGCCCAAACACCCCTCCCCCTAAAAAAAAACAGTACTAACTCTTGAGTAACAATAAAGAACTCTTTTTTAGTGAAGTTAATTAAGTTTACATTAGTTTTAGTAACCCACCCCAAAAGGTTGTCACTCTGGTTACCCGAGCGTTGTTGTTCCCGGTGTTGATGTCGGGGCAAAGGGGCTCATAATAATTATATATGTTTCAGGCTCATTATCAGCGACAAGCACTGCCGAGTCGCTTAACTCCAGTTTCATATGCAATGCATCAAATGAGGTGAATATACTTTCAATTTCGATTTACTAGAAAATTCTATTCATATATCCGTCATATTCGTTCATTCGTAACACAACTTTGGCTCCACTTTCTTACAAGAAAGATATTTTAATTAATTTTACCTACTTGTACCTGGACATTTGATGTAGAGATACATACACTATTTTTAATCCCGTTCAAGAACGACACGAACGAAAGCTAATAAATAAGAAACTTTAATTAATTAGGAATAGCAACAGAAGAGTGACACCACTGGCGTATATGACGACGTTGTATCATGTTCAAGATAACTAACATAAAAACTACGTTTTAGGCAAATTCAATCATACCACCGCCTTACTCGTGTGCGAGCAACTACGAAGACACAGTCGGAAGGGGCTGCGGGCGGTCGCTTCTCCGCTCGTTGTCCTCGCTAACGGAGCCGCGCCCCCCGGCCGCCGCCCCCCGCGCCCGCACCGCTCCTGATATCGCCCCCATCGCACCCTCCACCCACCGTACAAGAGATTCAGCCACCACCTTCAGGGAGAATCTGATGACGTCGCCTGTACAACCACTGGTAATTATTGTTCCTCAAATACATTGTTTTAGAGTACTGGCATTATCGCGAGATGAGTCCAGGTCCCCGACGGTCATCCTTAATTCCTCATCCTTCTTAAGAGGCATACATCTTACCTGAAAACGTACAGGAGTTGGTGATCATAGGCGATGGTAATTACTTACCGTCAGAAGCTTTTATAGTGTTGCCCAATAGCCTTACGAACTTTTACCTAAAGCCTACAGCCTGAGCATTAAAACATATCTTTTGGGTCTGACCACATGGACAAATTATATGACATGATTTTGTTTATAAAATCCTGAAATAAACAGATAGTGGAATAAAAAATATTATCCACATTACCGACTTCGTGCAAAGTACCAAGTCTGCTTTGGTAAAACTCAATAAAGATATCATGTCAAAAAGAATGCTACGTAAGACTATTTTTATTTTTCAGGATACTTCTTTTGACTTGGAGTTAGAACTGATCGACTGCGAGATGTATTGTGATGGTGGTTGTAAGCCGCGCCTCGGCCAATCACCACCGACGCATCGGCCTCCTTCCAACGTTGACGACGATACCGTTTACGACCCTGAAGCATTCGGCTTACGGCATTTATTCACTTGTCCCTCACCTGAAGGCGCAGGCACCTGCGAATCTCCTCCACAACCGACCAGTCCTACACAGACATCTACGGAGTCGACGCTTCGCAGACCAAGTGACGAGCGGCGGCATCGGCGTCGTGATAATGTAAAAAAATCTTCCAAGGGAAGAAAATCGAGCTTATACATGCCTCTGGTTACACATCCTGTCCGAAATACTCGGATATCCCCTGGGGCGCGTACATCCTCCCGGTCTGCGCCTGCTACTCCTTGCAGTAATCTAGTCCCGAATCTTCTCAATTTCACACAAAGGGTGTCAGCATCGAGACACAGCTCAAGGTCATCAAGATTGGAGGAGGAGAGCAATCCTTTGATATCGGAAGCTGAATATTCTCATACAGACCACAAATTTTAACAAGTTTAAGAAGACATGTTTGTCGAATTACTTTTCTCTCTTTCTATCTCTCAGTGTATCAACAAATGGTTACAGTATATTGATGTAATAGAATAGATTGGTGTTTATTGATGTGAACTGTGAATTTCCCGATTTATCGGCCTAATTCATAAACCCACGCCATTATAAACCCTTATAACAGAATATGGTCTAAGGTTTATGGTGATGAGAATCTGAATGTTGTGACTGTTTAATCTGGCTCATTATATAATAGCGAGCAACCCTAGTCATTTAAGTAGTTAGTTTAATGTTATTCAAATATTTTACTGTATTTAACTATAAGATACGAGCTTGTTGGACCATTGTTCACTTGCCTTCTATTAAGAAATAAATAATTCTCAAAATGCCAAATTTGTGTTTTATTCCGTAACGTTCTTTGAATGTAACAAAGGAATTATGTAAAAAGGAATTATTTGATTCAACCCAATCATTTTCTATACCAAAACAAACAAAATCTGTCAAGTGATTTAGAATTGAAATGATACCTAACAGGTTAAGATACAAATAAATAACGTCTTAATTTTTTTTCGGACTACTCTAATGCTATTGATGGCAGCAAACCGCGGAAGGACTTATGGAGCGGCTGAAGGCCAACTACCGTCTGATGGATAAGACGTTATGTAGTATGAGGTCACTTCGAGGGGTTGAATCTCGGCTTAGGCTGTCATTTTTTGTCAGTCTTTGGATCCCCGTTTGAATTGGACGGGGCATGGATCGGAGGGAACTGTCCTAATGTGTTCCTTAATTATTATATTCACTTAGGCCTCTAGCAAGAAATTGTCGTATTTAAATACAAAGATAATGATAATTCTTTCTTCTTCAGTACATATCCGGAATTCGAAAATGAAGTAATGTGAAGAATTAAATATTTTTTTTACTGGTGTAAGCGAGATGGAAGACAATGCAATTTTTTTAACGTCAAAGTAATCTAATTTACATCAAAGTCAAACTAACTTTTGACAAGTTAATGTCAACGGCATGTCACGATACAGTTGTCATTAGATGCATTAGTCTGGTTCATTTGTTTTGTTTATATTATTTAGTGTTTTCAAATAATTTCTTTATAAAAAATTAACATTTTTTTCACCTGTTTTAAATAAAACCTTCAAGCTGTCGGGCAAAATCGATATTGACATGAGTTTACCGACGGATTTTGGACCAGACTCAGGAGGCAGGATAAAGGTAACATATATTTAATTATAAATAGTTATTTTACAATATTTTTCTGCTCTGAAATCTTGTGTAGAATTTATTTTAATATCTTAAATTGTGTCAAATTGAATTTACAGGGTTTGGTGATAGTAAAACCCATTGTTTATGGTAACGTTGCCAGATATTTTGGTAAGAAACGTGAAGAGGACGGTCACACGCATCAATGGACTGTGTACGTAAAGCCGTACGCCAACGAGGACATGTCGGCATATATAAAGAAGATCCACTTCAAGTTACACGAGAGTTATGCGAACCCAAACAGAATAGTAACCAAACCTCCATATGAGCTCACAGAGACAGGTTGGGGAGAGTTCGAAATAGTTATCAAGATTTACTTCCATGATCCAAATGAAAGGCCGGTTAGTACATACAATCTTGTATATAATATATATAACAACCTCGGTGGTATAGCAGTCTAGCACACCACTTTACATCCAATGGTTGCGGGTTCGATTCCTCACACGGCACAAACATTTGTATTCATGAGTATTATTGTTTGTATCGGTCTGGGTGTTTTCTAAATATAATATGTATGTATTTAAGAAAAAAAAAATATCTATGTATTTGTATCAGTTATCTACCCATAACACAAGCTTCAGCTAGCTTAACTTGGGTCTAGATGTCGCTGTGTGAATTGTCCTGAGATTATTATTATTATATATTAATATCTACATTTTTAATATATAAATACATGTTAATTAGTGCTCCACTTATGTGTACTACAATTTTTGTACTCTTCTTTAATTCCTTTACCTGAAGATAGTCTGGAAGACATTGTTAGTGATAAGACTGACTTTTGAATTAGTTCATTATATATAGTATTTATTATTTTAATTGTTTTCTATTTTGTTAACACATACTGTATAACATTTATTGTATAGCTTGAATAGAATAAGAATTTTGTAAAAATTATATTACCTGTATTTTGAATTGGAATTTGCATTTGCTTTTACCATATTTGGTACCCTACTCTACTTTTCAGGTGACACTATACCACATTCTCAAGCTATTCCAATCACCAGTAACAGAGGGAGCACCACCAACAGTTGGCAGGGCATTAGTTAGCGAGTCATACGAGGAGATAGTATTCCAAGAGCCAACACAACTAATGCAACATTTATTAAACAGTATAAAGCCCATTTCTAACGGACAATGGACACACGAAACAGATTGTAAGAATTGTAACTTAATTTATTTATCTTCAATTAATTTTATATATAACTAGCAACCTGGCTTCATACAATTCTTGGAATGTCTATGCTTCTATACTATAACATGTATATTATAAGCATACCCCGCCGTTATGAATCACACCACAAAAACGATTTAGTACAACCCATAAAAAATATATATATAAATAATATTTCTGGCCCCTATTCCAATGCAATAAAATTACCTAATATTATAAAAAATGAGAATAGATATAATAAATTTATTATCCAATCAAAACAAATGTTGACAAATAAAGCTTATTAGAAAATTGAAGAATACTTGCAAGATAGATGATTAGTATAATATTTAAAATGTCCGCCTCTCTTACATGTTGCATTGCCTAAAAGGTGCATGTTATGTGTATGAATTAATTCATTGTATACCGTAATTATGTAAAGCAACGTAAATAAATAAATATAAACCTTCCTCTTGAATCACTGTAATTTAAAAGATATAAACAAACAGACAATTGGGAATTACTTTGTTTTATATTTTGTAAAGATTTAGATTTAGAAACTAAAACAATTTGTGTTTGAATTTTAAACAAAGTTGTAATTATATTAATATAACAATATCAGACATATATTTTAATAATATATAAATAAATTTAATTATATTTCATAATACCTGATATTATGAAATATAATTATTGAACTGTATAAATAAATTCATATAATTTTGAAATGTAACTAATTGTATTGTTGGTATTATGTTATTATGGTGCCCCTATATGTATTTATTTTTATTATGTAACACCTATCATATACCATGTGAGAAAAATGGAATAAAATTTCTATTGAACAACTAAAAGACTTTTTACAACAATGTATAATGCTTCCAAAAAGTTTCCGCAAACCTTTAAAATTTGTTTAAACAAACAACTCAGGATAAAGCATACTACTCTTACTCTTTTCTATTTATTAAGAATTTTCATAATAAAATCTCTTTTGTTACAGTTGAAGAGAAGAAAGAGAAAACGTTAGAAAAAATATTAGCCGCTCAAACCAAAGTGAGAAGTGAAATCACAGAGTTAAAGGAGAAACTGCACCTAGCTAAAGAGACGATAGCAAAATTTAAAGAAGAAATTGCCAAAGTACAAAATAATAGTAATGCCAACTTGTTAACTGCAATATAATCGTACCTTATACCATTTTTTAAATATAATATACACATTAAGTCGCCAAAATTAATAGAGTTTTATTGTATTGTATGTTGAACTATATTTCCGCAATTATCCTCTCTAAATTTTCTATCTAGTAGAGTGGAAATTACTCGAGTAGCTAGTCAAGCTCCTCCCAGAAGCACAGAAGTCTCCTGGTGTCTTCACGGGCTTCACGCAACGACCTCACTGTTACGAGGGTTTGTGTAAATTGTGTGGCCACTGTAATGAATTCCAGGAGCATGTGAATGGCTGCTTTGAAGTCAAGAAACGATTCTTGACTTTAAAGCAACCCCGACAAAAAGACTGTAGCACCTGTGTACTAGTGTTTATTCAAAGTGCAGCCCGTTTTTGTAATTAATAAATATTTCATACAAATAAAAAAACATTAATGATTACGAATATTTGTATCCTCCTGCGCTAATGGTATGCTTAGCGGGGCAGCAATGGAGAATGATAACATAAGCATGAGATCAGGTCAGTTAATTCATCCTGACAAATTCACCAGGAATTTATCATGATGGTTTCCAGGGGGAACCGCGTAGAGGTGAACCTGACATAGTACATTGCCTCCATTGTGTAGGGGTTGAACACATGACCATCGGAAAATGTGCTAAACTGATAGACCATTGAGGTCTTTATAATTATTGTGACCATTGAGGGTATATATCCTTTTGTTATCCTACCATCGTATGTTGTTGTCACTGCTATATCTCAACGACCTTACAATGAAAAAGCTGTTTGGCGGCGCGGCAGAAATGATCATAGCCCTGGATAATTGACACAGCGCCATCTAGCCTCCAAGTTCCAACACATGCACTGCTTGAGCAAGTGCTATAGGTACTAGACAATGATAAAAGATACTGAAATCCTTTTTTATTTTGTACATACTAAGCACCCTGATCAATACAAACAATTATTCCCTTGAATACGAATATTTTCACGTTCGCCATCCCCTTTATATTATTTCTTATTATCACCCCACATAGACCCAAAGATAGTGTGTTCGAATCTGGACAACACGAGTAAACATTTCACCAATTTATATTACTGACTGATTAGCCGATGATTAAAATACCAATAAAAAACCAAATTATTCTGAGAAACGCGGCGGTAGGTTCGCCCCTGTCATGATAGATTCCAACATGTATTGCGTCCACTATGTTGACTGTTGCCAATGCCAGAACTATTGCTATTCTTGGTACTGACTATCCTGTAGCAGTCATGAATAATAATAACAATAATTTAAAGACAATTCACACAGCGCCATCTAGACCCAAGTGAAGCTAGCTAAAGCCTGTGTTATGGGTACTAGACAACTGATACAAATACATAGATTTTTGTTTCGTAAATAGGTACATACATTTTATACATAGGAAATTATAAATACAAACAATCATACTCATAAATAGAAATGTTTGTGTCGTGCGAGAAGTCGAACCCGCGACCATCGGAAGTAAAGCGGTGTTATAAGGACCGATGTTAGAAGGATATAAGGTTATAAGGACAGGATGGGCGAAAAAGAGATGGATGTACTGTTGAAAGATGATATTGCAAGAAAGGGAGTAAATAACGAGACGACTGCGAACAAGGATGATTAAAAAAAACAAGTTTTGTCGACCCCAAATGAATGGTATAAGCAATGGCATATGTGTAATTTCTAAATTTTATATTGCAGCCTTAATACATACCATACGCTCCTATCGATACCTCAATTTAAACGCGACCGAAATGATGGCCCATGCCGAGGTTCGAACTCCTAACGGTGCCCTCAGAATAAAGTCGTCCCTGTTAGGCAGAAGTTGGCCTTGAGCCGCTCCATATATCCTTCTGCAGGTTTACTGCTATCTGCACGCCACCTATCGTTGGTTGAAGCTGTAAAGGCCAGATGCGGCCAACAGCGTTTGAATACCTTGTTGGAAAAAAATCCTTTAGTACAAATACCGATTAATTCAAAATTAAATATATAGGTAAATCAAATAAAAAAAATTAAGTATTGTTTTAAATTTTTTTAAGTTTTGAGTTATTACAGTATTTTGTTAAGCGTCCGATGTATACCTAAAACTTGTCATAGCCACGTATTTTTAGATTCAATTTCAATACTCGTCGAGTTATCGATCTGTGGTTATTAAAGGAAACAAACTAGCGACGTCAGCAATAATATTATACGTGCCATACATATACGTATCTATACTTATTTATTTATTTATGTATTACAATTATATGTTAATTTAAGTATTATACGTTATTTATGTACGATTTATGTATATATAATATATTCACATAATTGTGTGTACCTATTTATTATTATAGTTTTTACTTATTGTTATATATACGTCCTTGCGACAGACTCGACCCATTGGCTCTGCGGGGAGATATTGCATCTCTGTGCATTTTCTACAGCATACATCACGAGGAGTGTTCTGAGGAGTTGTTCGAATTGCCAGCACCAGCTGCTGAGTTTCACCACCGTACCACCTGCCAGAAACTAAAACTGTGATCATAGAGATGAATGGCGGTCCTCCACAATGCGGTTTTCTAGAAACTTTTTACCACACACAACCGCATTGTGGAATCACCTTCCAGCAATGGTATTTCCGAACCGAAACGATATTGAAACCTTCAAGAAAAGAGCTTATTCCTTTTTAAAAGGCCAACAACGTACTTGCAATTCCCCCGGTTTTTCGGGTGCTCATAGCGGCGGTAATCACTTTTTTTTTTATAACACAGGGGACAAACGAGCATGCGGCTCACCTGATGGTAAATGATTACCGCCGCCCATGAGCACCCGCAACACCAGGGGTAAACCTTACCATCAGGTGAGCCGCATGCTCATTTGTCCCGTGTGTTATAAAAAAAATATCTCAATGTCTCATTTTTCTGTATGACTGATCTAGTTAACACATTATCCTATAAAATATTCTAAGATGTTATGGATATTTGCTGGAATAAATCTATTCTTAGAGATAAACTCGCCCTTGGACATTACGTTTATCGTATTACTGTTTTTTGACTGATTGCCTCGGTGGGTAAGCGGTTTAGTACATTACCTTACTTCGCGGGTTTGATTCCTCGCACGGTGCAAACATTTGTATTCTTGAGTATGATTGTTTATATTGGTCTGGGTGTTTTCTGTGTGTAATATGTACGTATTTAAAAAATATATCTATGTAATAAATTGTATCAGTTGTCTATTTTATTACAAACTTTGCTTAGCTCGGGACTAGATGGCGTTGTGTGAATTGTTTAAAGTTATTATTATAATTATTATAGAAATTGCACTGTATGCGGTCAGTTAGTTCCTAATATTATGAGGATGAATTTACCGTCTCTACATTTATTTAATATATTTTAGGCGCTATTCGTTGAAAGTTATATTGAAGTGTAGTAAACATAGAAGTAGGTCATGCAAAGAGCCCATGCAGGTATCGACAGATCGCGTGACGGACGGACAAACATGACAAACGGCTTTTTACTATAACTATTTATACATATACAATATATATTTAAGTTATGATAAATTGATAGATAAATATTTATTACGCTAAAGGTGATCACGACAGATTTGTCTGAATCTGTTTGTTTGATTTATTATTAATCGCCTCCTGTTCCCGTGGGAATATTATAAGTTTGTTCTCATTGGGTGCCTAATTTTATAATTAGTTTTTTAATTTTAAGTAAACAGTTATGAATTCAATAGTAGGTATGTCTGTGTTCTGGTAATAAATAAATATATTTTTGTTATTATCAATTTGCCTTCTGTTCCCATGGGAATGTTATAAATTCTTTCTCATTGGATACCTCATTATAAAAGTTATATTTTCTATGATATTAATAGGTATATGTACGTAGATGACCGTTGCCACTTTTCATTAGTAATTTTTATATGAACTATGTAAAAATTCCTCATGTAAATTTTAATTTCCATACATATACCATCCGTATCATCCGTACCCACCCGTGTAATTTCACTGAAACACGTGTTACAAAGTAAGCTGTTTGCCAACTGAAATACGTGATACAGACGTATCTGCGGAGACAACTTTGTACCAAGCCAAAGTTATAATCAAGGTACGTTATAATTTTGTTATTCAACACGAATACGAATTACGACAGTTTAAATCGAGGTTCGAACTCCTAGCGGTGCCTTCAGACTAAAGTCGTATCCGTCAGGCAGGAGTTATCCTTCAGCCGGAAGGAGACTGTAGAATCCGGAGGAACTCCTGCCTCCTGGAGGAATAGGAAATGAGGGCCATCTACACTCGTTCCTACCGTTTGGAGAACTGTAAAGGCCAGCTACGGTCAACAAACCGATTATTAGAATAGTTCGAAAAAAAAGTGCCATTGCAAGTTTACTGTCTTTCACACTGAAGAAAATACTTGACGACCTAAGTATAATATATTTCTCCTCTAGTCAATTAAATTATAGAAACACAATGAATTTTTAAAAAGCACTGTGACTTTGAATACAAGTTGAATGACACTTAGTAACCCCGCAATGCAACCGTGTTGTCATGTGTCAGGCATTTCCAAACTACTATTTACTGTCCATGATTTGTTTATGTCTTTGTTCTCCATTTTATTTAATTACATGTAATACGTGATGATAAATCGTGGTTTACTACCCCGGCATAAGACTGAAAGGTCATGAGTTCAAAACTGTATCTATGTATATAAACTATTCTGAGAAATGGAAACACCGCTAACAAACCACCAAACTAATCCGATAGGCAGCGGTGAGAAGGGGAATATTAGTAACGTGGACTTTTCACTCCATTGTTATCAATATACAGGTAGACCTCCACGAGGTTCCTCCTGGAAACCATCATGATAAAGTCCTGACGATTTTGTAACAAAGAGTTAACTGACCTGACCTCATGTTCATCTTATCATCCGCCAATGGCGCCCTGCTAGCATAAGCCGTTAGCGCAGATAGGTGCAACAATAATCAAAAAGACAGATCAAAATATATATCTGTGTGTTCAAAAAGACTCGTTCTGACTACACCATATAGTATAACAGTCGTGATAACTATTTTTTAACAAACATTAGGTATTTTTTATAAATGACCATACATTATAGTATCCAAAGTTTGTCTGGAATAGTTTGCTTTAGTACTTAGTTTTAATTTTTTTTCATGTCTATTCAATATTGGTGCAATAAATAAAAAAAATTGTGCTACCGTCAGCAGCAAACTGTAGCAACCGATGGAAGCCTGAAAATAAAGGCAGTACACTTACGTACGCCGCTGAAACTTCATTAGAAATCATGGCGGATTTCAAGGGAAATTTAACATGTCTTTCTTGCGCTACTCACCCTTTATGTATATAAAACTAGTTCACCCTAAATTTATACATAAAGCAATTGTATTCGCATATTAATTTCGTATTTGCGTAGGTAGAGGCAGCACTAGACACTAAAGGTTGGCGACACTTTTTTCTGCCGGAAGTATAAAAGGATGACCAACTATTTCAAAGGAAACTCACTACAATTCTGACTGTAGGCATCATTAACGATACTTACTATGTTTTATACATATTTTTTTATTTTTTATAATTTGATGTTTTTGTAGATTGCGAGCAGCGCAGGACCGATCGTCGTGGAGATTTTTGGGGAAGGCCTTTGTTCAGCTGTGAACGACTTCCGAGCTGAAATGATGATGATGATGATGAAATTGACACTTACCCCTTAAATCCGAGGTTTATTTAACAATATAATTTCTGTGTATTTCCCACCATATTTTATTCAAGAAAAAACATATTTTCTTTTTAATAACACCCCTTATTACTTGGAACAGTGTGGATTTAGTCAATATATATATATATAAAAGAAAAAAGATTCCAATGTCTTATAAAACACTTTTTTTTAATAAAGCTTATTCTGAAATTGAAGAGTTTATGATAATAACGTTTTTAAAAGAAAACTTTAAATTGTTAGCGCTGACAATATTATCTGATTGCACAAAGATTGAGTGCGTAGCGGTTTCTATGTTGATTGTCACATGCCTAACCCTACATACATACTTAGAACAAGATTTATTTTTAAAAAAGCAACATGCAAGATTCTTGCTCGTTCTGCTTGTGAGAGTGATGAGTCTAATTTTCGAATGAGTGCAGAATAAAAAAAAGTGACTATTCAAAAATGCTTATATTGGTATATTTGAATAAAGATTATTTCTATTTCTATAATAGTTTCTTTTACACATACTGTAATCATAACATATATACATAATACTGTAGCTAGCCTTGTAATATTCGATTACAAGGCTAGCTGTTCTCAAAGTCGTCACCCACGCGTAACCTTCATGAAGAACGGCCCTTGCGAAAGTTCGAAGAGCTCTTCCCATTAATTGATTCCTGAGCGAGACTATTAACAAATTCTTCTACAAATATCGGCGTATCGACAGTCGTATAAAATAGCAAGTATGATATGTCTAAATACAAGTAAGTATTCATTTGTATATGGTGAAATATGCCTAAAGATTCTAAGAAATAAATTATTCTTAACTTTTTTATTTTTAGGCGTAAAAAGTTTTAGGTTCTTACATATCTTCAACATGACGTCATAGTCCTCATGTTGCGAGAATCCTACATCTGCATTCCTGTTATTATAATAAACCGTATATTGTATAGTATTCGTTTAAAAAACATTTAGATTATTATCTGATGGAGGACGTAAAAGTGTTCTAACTTTAGACCTACAATGTATGAGTATAAATGTCAATGAAGCAAAGCATGTATATGGATGGAAACCAATGCCTCGTGAAAGATGTGGTGTGAATACATAATGAAATAATAACAATATCTCAGTACAATTCAGACAGTCCCGTCTAGTCCCGAGCTAAACAGAACTTATCTTATGGATATTAGCGATAACTAGTAGAAATACATAGATACAAATTTTGTAAATCCATCAATCATCCATTATTATATATATAAAAAAAACATCCAGATCGATGCAAATAATCATACGCATGAATACAAATGTTTGTACCGTCGAGGAATTGAATCCGCGACCATCGGAAAATGGTGATGTGCTAAAACCGCTAGAAATCGAGTCCGTCAAAACGATTGTTATGACTAGGGCTGCCTAAGAAACACGCTACTTACTAAACAACTTAACCCACTTGTTGACCAGTTCGGGCAAGGTCAAGATTTTCCTATGAATACAAAGTTGACGAGCGATAATTCATTTAAAACTTTATTATCCAAGGCCGATGTTACAATAATACTAACTAGCCATTATATATGTAGCGACTGTAAAAAATACTTCTGCAGGCCATTATTTGAAAAAAAAAAATATTTCATATTTTTTCGGCGGGAAATAATTTTTCTTCTTCTCACTATACTATATACATACATAAGGTAATATAGTCCAGCCATAGATCAACATTTCAACATCGTCTTTTTTATACCACATTGGTAGCAAACAACAACAATAATACGGCCCATTTCATGGAAATCGGTTCCCTGTCCTGTGAACGCCTGAATAGAGTGATATTTTTCTTTTGTGGAAAAATATTACTCACATATACACATTTAAAATTTCTAAACCCATGTGATTGAACTAAGGTAAATAACATTACGGGAAAGACACTTAATAGCCAAATTAAAAAAAAAAAGATCTATCCGGGTATAAATTTTCAACTGTAACTTGCCATAAATATCTATCTATCTGTCCATACACTCTATCACATAGGTACCTTACGTCAATAAATAAACGACATCTTATAAAAAGACACTTTAATACACACACTTAAATGTAACATTTAGTCAAGAAGGTATGCACGACACCAAAACTTTGAGCAATATCAGAAATATCTTCTTTTTTCGTAAACATTAAACATTTTGTATTCTATAACAAAAATAAACTCTTATTGTATTAATATTATCACTTAACCGTTTTCTTCTTTATCATAAAAACTTCATAGAAAACACGTAAATACTGCAATCAACCTTATGCTAGATATTTTTAAAAATTTCTTAACTAAAACCAACTATTTTCTTTTTTCATCCTGTCTCTGTGTCGGCCTTTCATTTCCAAGTTTTGGAAAATTTCCGTAAGCTTATTCAGTTTTTGAGTGGGACTTTTTGGCAACTCTTCTAAACGACACGAAGATTTATCATCGTCATTCAGACACAAATGAAACGTTTGTCTTTCTCTTAAACTTAATAACTTGCCCGTTTCGGGCATCGATGTAAGTTTCGCTACTTGCATAGCAGCTTTCTTAAACCTTGTCTTCGGAGATACTTTCGGCGGATCTTCTGCATGTTCTACACTTTCAGAATTCACAGTCGTTAGAGCTCTTCTAGTTATCGATGCGTCTCTTTTTCTTACTTTAGCTGCATTGAGATATATTGGCTCTATAACATCGTATGTGTTCTCCCTTAAAAGCTGCTGAGGTTTCTTTTTGTCCAGGTCTAAAGAATTCTTTCTCACATATCCGTGAATCCTCAAAGGCGTAAGTGGTTTCAATACGTCGTGCAACTTGATAGCGGATTTATCCAAACCACCCTCTTCGTTCTTGTTCAAATCCAAAACAATAACTTTTGTTTTGGATTTCTCACTTTTCTGTCCAATTGCAGGCAAAGGGAGGAAAGGAGATAGTGTGTTTTTGAACTGGATGTCGTTGTCCAGCATCCTGGATTGCGCCGTTCTATGTTTCCGTGTTTTGAATTTCCGCGGCGCATATATGGTGGTCAAGGCGCGTGTTTTGCGCGGATCGAGGGGTGCAAGTGGACCGGGCAGCATGGGGCGTGCGGAGGCATACGGGCCCGCTCGCCGACAGCCGCGGTCGACGCTGACCTTGGGCGGCGTGGTGCCCCCTCCTCCTCCCTACCTGGCCGGCAATCGAACAGCTCACGCGCGATAGCCCGCGTGTGACCGATCACACGTAATCACTCCCGTTGCATGGACGCACAATAACTCGTTAAACAATATGATGATGACGCTAATATAGCGAATAAAAAATATCCTTACTCTACCTGATGACGTGAGAGCTAAAATTTAGATGTAGGAAAATTTTTGGGAAGGATTATGCACTGAATAAGTAATCACTGCAATTATATAGTGTTGATATGACAGATATATTTTTTGAGAAAAAATTACTCTTATGGCCAGTTACATTTGCAACCTTCAATAAATAAGTTTTCTGTGAATTTTTGTATTTTAATTTTGCGCATATAAATTTTATATCATATATTTTTTTTTATTAATTAGCAATAGATTTGGGACGAATAATGTCAAATTATAATTTATTGAAATTTTATTAATAAGCATTGATTATAGAAACAAGCCATCAAAGAGGTAACCATCGCCTAACATAAATATGAACAGCATCACAGATATCACAAAAATCATGTAATAACGACTGACAGTTCTTAATTTTAAGATTCTATGTGTTTGTACCCAAAGCTTTAGAGATTTAAAATAAAAACGTAAAAAAGATGGCTACTATTGTATACAGTTTTAGGTAGAACGAAATGAACTTAATCGTCAAACTACAATGTAAGGATAAAAAACTATTGATTCGCAGTAAAACTTTATAAATTGACCCGAGTTTTGACGGGGTACCCCCGAGGTGGTGGGTGGACAGTGGTGTAATTGACCATCATTACTGGAATCGATCGCGTGACCTTCACGGCTCTACAAACAAGAAGTATTGTCAGTCACCTGAGTCGCTTTTTCAGGCGTAAAATTATTGCGGATGTTTTATTGTAATTGATTTATCGATTGATATAAACTTGACGCATTACGATTGTCAATTTACATAAAGACAAACAATTCTATTCAATCTATTTATATACGTCTATATATATTATCTATATCAATTATATATTCCTATTTATAGACATTTTTACTTCAAGAATATGTCGGTCCTCTTATGATGTGATATTATAAAAGGTGTAACTTAATTATTACATTTATAAGATAGGTCCCGTTTTACGAAAATTGCGCGAGGTGTATGAAATTTTACAATTCTTTATGTAGTATAAAATGAAAACCGTTACGCTGCCTGTTCACTTACTTTTTTTTATACAACGCAACGGATTTTAATGTAGTTTTAAGCAATAGATAAAGTGATTCAAAAGAAGGTTTATATGTATACTACATGTACACCTGGGGGGAAGTGAATTGTTAGTAATGTGGCCTGATGACCCCATTACTAGCAATGTACCATGTCAGGTTGACCTCCACGCGGTTCCCCCTGGAAACCATCGTGATAAATTCCTGGTGAATTAGTCTCGAAAGGCTAACTAAACTGACCTCATGCTCGTCTAAGTCTGCATAAAAAATTCATTTAATTAGTATAAAAAACATTACACACATTACTATGTATCTGAAACACACGCATATATACTCCTTTGTTTACTGTCTGTGCGACTGTCAGTGACTGTAATTATAGAAGTATAGTCTGTGACAATAGAACCTTAATGATATTCAAACTTATCTATATGTTAAATAAATTATGGTCTTTAGTTCTTTTCGACTACTAGGCGACGCAAAGTAAATAATAATACTGTCAAGTTAATAGTACTAATAGTAATGTATTATTATCACAGTTAATAATGCATTCTTGTTTTTTCTTTCATTGAACTTTTCTATATAGGTAGGTACGCCACTTATAACAAAACTTTTCAATTACAACTTAAGTAGTCAATTAAGTACCAAATAAATCGATAATACTGCGTGTAATATAGATGCTTTGATTTACCTGTAACTTATTGTTTATAAAGACATAACGTTCTAGGCATCTCTAATGTAATAATTAATTATATGTCTGTCCATTTGGCATACAGATATACATCGAATGCACTAGGAAACTATCGCGATACCCAGTGGCGGACTAATGCTAAGGAGGACAATATTGCAATTCCAAGTCTATTTTTCAGTCATAATACATACTTTGTTTTTTTTATTTTTAAAAAGTCAGACACGTGCCTAGGTTACCTCGGTCTTAATCCTTCAAGGCGACATTTCAACTTACATCCTATATATAGTATTCCCATATTTACCCATAATCCAAACTCTGTTTGGTTTGGGACGTTTTTTATTGGATTATGATGGAATGGTAACAAAGCCAACCTACGCTAAAGGAATACCCTGGCGGACACCACTAAAAATAATCAATTAGACCATAGCGACGAATTCAACAGGAATTAAGCACTATGGTTTCCGACCAGATTCGGGCAGTCATAATATATGTACTACATAGCTAGCAATAGCTTAACTAGTCCTCTTTACACGACCTTTACTAACAATTCCCTCTACCATCAACCCTTTTTGGGACTAGGTGATGTATGAATTATCCTAGGTTATTATTTTATTAACTCCTTTATTTTTCACTTATTTTATTTGCTGTAAAATAAGGTATATAATGTTATGTTATCTGTGGTAATACTAACCCGCACGGGTAGTAGAGTAGTACCCTAGCTAAGTATAGTAGAGCTTGCAGAATGTGAGGATAATATCAAAGAAGTCAGAAATTTTCTACTGATGCGGCAAATATTTATTATTATTGTTTCCTCTTTAGTCCATCTCTTCAGATGGGAAAAGCAATGGCTTTTATGGCTATTTGACCATAGAACATTGTCCTATTTTTCTTATAAACCATAACGACCATACAGGGGGGAAAGGAGATTGTTAGTAATGTGGACTAATGGTCATTTGCTAGCAATATACCATGTCAGGTTGACCTCCACGCGGTTCACCCTGGAAACCATCGTGATAAATTCCTTGTGAATTTGTCAAGATGGGTTAACTGACCTGACCTCATGCTCATCTTATCATCCTCCACTGGTGCCCCGCCAGCGTAAACCGTTAGCGCAAGCGGGTGCAACATTCCATTATCATCCACAAAAAAAACCAACCATACTTACATATATACTACATAACCATGTATTAAATGTTTTAAAGTCAATTTTTTAATATTAATGCTTCAGTAGTAGTTGCTAAAATTATTATTTACCTATTGGTAATAGTGTAACCTAATTGCCCTAATACTAGCAGTGTTAACTAATGGATATCCTGGTGGTGCCTTGGAAATTATAACAATTAATTCCTGGTGAATTATAATAATAATAATCTCAGGACTATTCACACAGCCATCTAGACCTAAGTTAAACTAAAGCTTGAGTTATAGGTACTAGATAACTGATACCTGACCGACCCAGACCGACAAAAATAATCATACTCATGAATACAAAATGTTTGTGCCTTACGAGGAATCGAACCTACCATCATCAGAAATAAGGCGGTGTGCTAAACCGCTGGATCGCCAAGGCCGTCAATTAGTCATGATAAATTGTCTCAACTCCATTTTCATACTATCATCTTCCATCGGTTCTCCTCTAGAACTCTTTATTTCTGGCCTAATTTTAGGAGTCTGTGATGAGAGTCTCATAGTAGACTCTTATTATTATCGCTGATGAAAGCTCCACTCTATGATAATACACATTTAAAGTAACAGTGGGTTAATAATTCATATAATAATGATCCGTACATAAAAAAGAAAATGCATTTTTCAAAACATCCCCATATAACAAAGTAGTAAAACCATGTATTAATAATACAACTTATTATTATCGACAATCGGAGTCCATTATTACAATACAATCTAGATAAATATCAGACATCATGAGCGGCCTTTGGAACGTTATTTGGGTCAAGCGCATAAACATTGGGGAAAATGCCACGTGTCGAGGACGAAATCACTAGTTAGCCCCACGAGCTCGTAAATCATCAATTACCGAACACCTGACAACGTATCACAGATATTATTTTATGTTTGAATTAAACATAAAATAAAACAAAACAAAAACAATTCTCTTGTCTGTTGTAGTTTTATTTTATATTTATACTAGCTACCAACGCCGGCCTCGCACGGGTATACATGTATTATCCTCTTGAATTCTTTCTATATTTAAAAACTGCATTAAAACCCATTAAGTACTTTAAAAGATTTGCATACAGACAGCGGAAACAACTTCATTTTATATTATGTAATGTATGTAGTGGAGGTGTAACAATTAGGTAACAGAGCGGGCTAAGTACCACGGTCCCCCGGTGAAGAGATCATATCTCAGTTATAGGATAGGGCAGTACAGCAAGCAAACCCAATATACTGTTGTTTATAAATATTTTTGTTCAGATAATCGAGATATATATCTCGTATTTCGATAAATACGCGATACCTATATATCTCGGTTTTCTTTACCTTTCCTTATTATGCCCAATTTACACTCAGCCCGAGTGGGTAGAGGTGAGCACATAACCTTTTAAGTGAGCACATAAGTGAGCAGCGCGAGAGTGTAAACACGAGTGGAAACACTTCCCATGCCATTGGCGCTGCCACTCGTGCTGCCCGGCGCTCCCTCGATTGTCGGTTTTTCGTCGCGAGTCAAAAGACTGGCAGCGCGAGTGGCAGGGGAAGCGGCTGAATGTAAACGTTACAATTATCCGTAATAGGGAAAGGTTCATCAAGTTTCAATATTTTATTAATATTGTAAATGCGAAAAATTATGAGTATGGGTGGATGGATGAATGGATATTTGTTTTCTACCTATGTTCATGTTATCTGAGTGTATAAAGCATAAAGTATCAAAGAATAAAAGTAACAATGACTAGGTAATGAATTAACACAAAGTGTGAAAGCTTTTAGTTGAATCACAGAAGGTCAAGTTCACGGGGTGAGTTGTGATGTATGAATCACCGTGAAACGATAGATCGGTTAAAGGCCTGACCTTCTCGCTTTACCCCCGAAAACCACCGTTATAATTCGACTATTAGGTTGCTGGTTATTTATTACAGTAGGCAAACTTTCGGAACGATTGTTTAGAATCTAGAGTTTTCTTATCAGAGATTATGATAAGAAACAAATCATAAGACCAACCATAAAACATATATTTTAGACAAGACACTTTCGAGTACCATGTTTTTTTAAATGGATGCATATAGAATAGCGCACCGCCTATGCTGAGGGTATAAGGGACACAATGCAGAATGACAAGAACAGAAGTCAGATCATTTAGCCCTTTAGGAAGAAGAAATTCATTTTTTGTTCTGTTTTTAAAAAGTTCTTGTGTCATAAGCGCTGTCTAAATATATTGGTTGTAAAGACGTAAAAAAATATTTTATTATATATTCCTTTTAAAACCTTTCGAGACTGTCGTGGCGAATTCATACAGGGCTCACCAGATAGATGGTATGGTAGCAATTGGGACCACTTAGCTTCCATTACAAAAGGTCCGTTTTCCCCTAATCGAAGGTTTAGTCCCGCGGTAATTCGTTCAATACATATATATCAATCTATTCTCAATGTGACCACAAACTTTAACAATAAACAAAAGAGTATCTACATAAGCATGTGCGTGTCAAATACTCTGTAGTGTATGAAATGTTCTTATTTATATAATGTATTTTTATTGCATAATTTAAAAAAATATGCGATTTTTTAAATTATGCAATAAAAATACATTGTGAATGTGGGAAACTTCATACTCCTCGCTCCACGCAATTTCTGTAAAAAAGTCTATAAAGTTTTTACAGTACACGTACTATATTCATCTGTATATAGATAATTAATAATATATAATTAGATTAGACCATAATATATAATTTGTATACATAGTTATGTTAACATCACTTCTCACTATATATTATTGTTACACATCAACCAGACTCAAGTCTAATCGCCCCTCTCCATCCTAAGGTTGCCTGGAAGAAATCGCTTTTCAGCGATTAGGCCGCCCACTGTTCCTTTTTTACCTTACTTACTCTGTTAATTTTATTAAAACCGTATGAAGTCTATCTTTGAGGCTACGGTGGCATGGTGAGCTTGGCCGTTGTGCTCTCTATGGATAATATTATGGAAATCAAAGAGCATGAAGTAGATTCTATTATTTTTATCAATTTACTATAACTATTATCATTGTTAACATCCGTAGGTACTCGTGATCAATATCAACTCATATCCATACACGCTTCAGGCGTCTCGCCAAAATTACTATCAGTTACGTGACTACCTATTACGTCATGCAATTTGCGTATGTTATACTATTTTATCTTGTATACATTGCAAGCATGCCAGTAGTATAGCGTTCACAACGAACGCTACTCATATCTAGTAACAAATTTGCACATTTTATTTAATTTTAATATAAACAATACTTCTATAGATATGAATTGCTCTGTGTTCTAGAATATCCGTTTTATGGATTTGGAAGACAATTGTTTGAGTAAGTGAATAAGATACTTATTTGTATATCAGTAAGATATATTTTTGTTTATACAACTGTGTTATTGATTGTTTGCAGACATACCGCTACATGCTTGATAAAAATGTCACGGTTAAATTAATTAACTAATTAAATATTCACTATTCTTATCTAAGTAACTATTAGTTAATTTTATAAATAATTAGCTCATTACTTGAACCCACTACCTTTTGGCATTTGTAAGTTAGAGCAATTTGTCAAATTTTAATGTAATATAACAATATCTCTGGACAATTCACACAGTGCCATTTACTCCCAAGTTAAAGCAGAAATGAGAACTTTTTTTACAGGTACTAGACAAGTGATATACTTAGATTTTTTTTTCTAAATACAAACAATTATATACTGTTTGTACCGTGCGAAGAATTGAACCCCCAACAATTGGCAGTAAAGCGGCGTGCTAAACTGCTATACTACCGAGATCTAGTTGAAATGTTAAAATTATATTATTTGTATTAAATGTTTATGACTAGCTACTCACCCCGGCGTAGCACAGGTGTAGATTTATATGTCGTTCGTCATCTTGAATCACTCTATCTATCACTGAAAACTTCATTAAAATCCGTTGCTTAATTTGAAAGATATATGGACAGCGGAAGACTTTTCATACTTTATAAAGATAGAGGCTACGCGCCCCGGCTTCGCGCGGGTGTACATGTATTATATATTCCTCTTGATTCACTCTATCTATTAAAAAAGCCGCTTCAAAATCGGTTGCGTAGTTTTAAACATTTAAGTATACATAAGGACGGACAGACAGCGACAGCGACTTTGCTTTATATTATGTAATGATAATAATAAATAGTAATAATAAAGACATTTATTCAGCATTACATCGTAAAAGCTAAAACACACTGGTAACGTTGAATATGACTGCCACTCAGTAGTTATACTGTAGTACCTACAACTAAGTTATACAATAGCGCTGATTTTCAGTGGGGCCACTAGATATGTAATGAAATTACTTTTAAATTTAAATTAGACTGTAGAATTTTTCTAAAACATTAAATTTTAATGTTAATTTAAATTAACATTTTAAAATATTCACTCCCAGATCATGGACTTCCTAATTGGCGGGCTTGCCGGCGCGGGCGCAACATTCTTCACAAACCCCATAGATGTAGTAAAAACACGCATGCAACTGCAAGGAGAGTTGCGTACTCGGAACGAACACACTACCCGATACAGAGGCATCTTTCAGGCACTCTACGTAATAGCGCGCACCGACGGCGCCCTTGCATTACAGAAGGGCCTTGTACCGGCTGTATTGTTGGGATTCAGTATGAACTCTGTTAGGTTCGTAATCATTAATAAATACGCTATGATTTTTTATTTTAGTAATATTATAAAAAGAAACTGTGTGTGTCTGTCTGTCGCGCTTTTACGCCAAAACTATTGCACCGATTTAAATGAAATTAAATACATAAATAGTCTAGACCCTAAGAAAGGATTTAAACTACTTATTAATGCGAAAAAGGGTTGTAAGGGGAGATAAAACGTATGGACATAATAATAATAATAATAATAATCTCAGGACAATTCACACAGCGTCATCTAGACCCAAGTTAAGCTAGCTAAAGCTTGTGTTATGGGTACTAGATTACTGATACAAATACATAGATAATTTTTTTTTTCGTAAATAAATACATATTATACATAGAAAATACCCAGACCGATACAAACAATCATACTCATGAATACAAATGTTTGTGCCGTGCGAGGAATCGAACCCGCGACCATCGGACGTAAACCGGTGTGCTAGACCGCTAGCCCACCGAGGTCGTCTGAAATATCATTATTTTTAAAGCTAGAAGCTTGAAATCTTATCGAAACCGAACTGAAATTTAGGCTGTTGATTAAATGTAAACAAATATGATTAAAAATTAAATTTTATACTTAAGAGCATATAATCAAATGGGGGATGATAGTTTGTTTGGTTTGGAAATTCGTCATTCGTCGTGATATATGTATACATATATTTTCAATGGATGTGAATGGAGTAGTGCATCCGTTGGCGCTAATGGTATACGCTGGCGGGACACCAGTGCAAGATAATAGGATGAGTAATATGTCAAGGTCAAGGTCAAGGAGATAATAGGTCAAGTCAGTCAACTCATCTTGACAAATTCACCAGGAATTTAACATGATAATTCCCAGGGAGGTCAACCTTACTAATAATCAGTCATTCCCCATTACTAATAATTCCCCTGCCCCATACTACACATATAGGTCTTCAGGTATATTTCGACTTAATGGATCTTTCAATACTTAAAAGATTTAAATAAAACGTCGGCGATTTTTAGGTTAGGTATATATCACATTGCAGAAGTTCAAGGATGGACAAGGACCAATGAGGGGGAAGTCAGTTTAGGTAACTGTGTATTGTGGTCAAGCGTGAGTGGCGCTTTGAGCGGGGTCGCTAGCAACCCCGTGTCTGTGTTGAAGACGAGGATACAAGCCGCTTCCCACCCGAGCATAGCTGTAGGAAAACAGCATAGTTACAAAGGTATATAATTTTAAACGTGAAAGTTTGATAGTATGGATGGATGTTTGTCACTCTTACACGCAGAAACTACTGAATGTATTTCGATGATGCTTTACAGTAATATAGCGTAGAATAACACATATATTATAATTTATAAAGATATTTTGTAAATTGAGCGAAGTTTCGTGGGTCAGCCAGTTGATCATAAAATAGGGTTGTAATGTTTTAAGATTAAAAACAATATTATTTTCTCAGGTTTCTGGGATGGCTGGAAGACAATGTATAGGTATGAAGGTATGAGAGGATTTTTGGCGGGAATCAACGGTACCTGCACCAGATTAGCAATCGGCAGCGCCGCCCAGCTCACTTCGTTCTCTATGTAAAATTATTACTATTTTTTTTTTAATAAGTACTATTTTTTTTATTATTAATATTTAATATTGGGAATAACAGTATCAAAACTTAAATGTCATGAAATAAATACTTCATAATTATAACGCCCTCAAATGCCTCTGCTGATTTAAAAATAGTTATTTAAATCAATGAATCATTTCTTCCATGTTTTAGTATAGAAAAGTATTATTTTCCTTTTATCAAAAACCATAGAGACCATACTCGTATGAGATAGTCCCTATTTCTCCCTAATAATTTTTTTTAGTGACTATCCCATACGAGTATGATCTGCAGTGTACAATAGATATATTACATTGCGTATAATTAATAAAATAATTTTACGAGGAATTATTCAAACATCTAGAAGTATTTTTAATCTCTGGTATAACTGGAGATAAGATTCTCGTATAACTACATATATTTTGTTTACAACGTAATATCACTGTTGTGTCTATAACAATTGAAATCACATTCCCAGAGCTAAAGAGGCGTTGCTGAACCACGAAATATTGAACACCTCACCATTTGGGCTTGCATTCGCAGCGAGCTCATTAAGTGGCTTCATCGTTGCATTTACAGTGTGCCCCTTCGACGTCATCACCATTCGACTTTATAACCAGGGTAATAAAGGCGATTTTTTTTCAAATATTACAGAATGAAACAGGAGCTGCTTAAGCGAGGGTACTTTGAAGAATCGCCGAAACAGCTCGCGTTCGTGTCGAGTTTAGTCTCCGGCTTTTTGATTATATTTCTTGACTCGCCATTGGATATTATTAGCACACGTCTTTATAATCAGGGTAATGTAAAGATATTTTCAAAATTTTTCAAGATTCGGGTATAATTGGTTTTTGGCGTGTAGTATTATCAAATATTTATGTATATAGATGCACTAAATAAATAATCACTATATTTTAAGAGATGCCACCGGCTTTAATCTAAGTGAACTATAAAATTGAATCTATGAAACGTCTACACGTGATTACTACTATGTGAGATGACTACAATTAACAAAAACAAAACGTTTCCGATAAAAAAGTAATTCGAAATAGAAAGAGTAATTCGTAAAATTAAAAAGTATAAAAAGGAAAATACCATAGTTAAAATAAAATGGATGTATAGCATGCGTAGGGTGGATTTATGCGACTCTTCCTTTACATAAACCACCACCTACCACCTGCGACACATAGATACGTTTCTTTTCTCGTTAAAAATGAATCAATTCGATTTATAACATTTTACACCAAATAGACGGTATAAATTAGTAAAGGTGCATTTAATTCTACTTCTTTTATAAATCACAAAATTCATCAGCACTTTGATAGTTTTTGCAATTTACGAATATTTCCTAACATGTTTTTTTTAAAGTGTTACCTTCTGTCGTTATATTATTAATTAGGAATATCGTATTACTTTTATATATTTATGTGTATGTTTTATTGTAATATTTAATGTATTGTTTGTTTATATTGCTAACCAAAATAATATATTTGGCATAAATAAAGTCTTAAATGATGCTGTTCCGCAGGTTCTGGGGGAGAAACACTCTACAAAGGCGTATGGGACTGTTTCCGAAAAATATACCGCACTGAAGGCTTTCGCGGCCTCTATAAAGGCATTGGACCTCTTTATCTACGAATTGCACCGCACACTACAATATCTCTTGTTATTTGGGACCTGCTAAATAATATGTTAACTGAAAGTGAAAATGAAACGTAAACTCTAGTGGAGTGTTTTATTTTTGTACTTTCTTTACAAAAATAATTCTCATCTCACTGTAAGTGTAGAGTCAGTGGGATAAGAGTTGTTGTCCTTTTATCTTAAGAATTGTTCCGTTCACTTATCTCCGTTATTGCCTCTCCGATCTAATCCTTATCCTTACTTTCTTACTCAATAATATAAATGTGAAAGTCAAATAATATAAATGTGTAAGTCTGTCTGTGTCAGTGGTAAACGAAAGATTGTAGGAAGTATCATCATTAAACTTGAAAATTATTTTTTAGGCTATTGATTAAAAATAAACAAATAATACATATGCAAACTAATACTAAACTTGAAAATTAGTAATTTTTGAAGCTAGAACAATGAAACTTTATTTGGTCAAGGTCATTATTCTACGCGGTCGAAGTCGGGGAACAACTAGTATAGTATAATATTCGATAATAATGTTGCAGAAAATAAGAATAATTAATACATTCTTACACACTCTGAACTAATTTGGAATACGAAAGTCATTTTTATTTGTCGTAGTTTACACGTATAGAAAAGCAATGTAGGTATGTAAGTATTATTGTTTACGTTTTAATGAAACGATGAACTACGAATAAAATTAATCAAATTATATTAATTCATATAAGGAGGTGAAAAATGTATTTCCCAATCAATATCCATAGAACTATCGGAGCTCATATCTTCGTCGTCACATGAACAGCTCTTAACCTCTTCCATTTTGTCTTCATAGTTTACACATAGAGAATCAGGGTTATTGGAAGTTAAAATACCAACTGCCTGTTTGTAGGCTTTTAGGCATCTGTTTTCACATTTTTCTGGATGGTAACGTTCAGACCACGCATCTCCGACAGTTTTCCTGATAAGCTTTCGTTTCTTCCTTTCCAACTTTCTTAGTCTAACTTCGTTATCAGCTCTAGCTATTTTGTATACTAGAGGAGTACATTGGTCTTGATATCCTTCGCCTGGCGGAGTAACTTGCATTTCAATTTTGTATTCGCCATTTATTTTACTTACCATAAGAGTTGGTTTCTCTTCAATCCGTTTTTTAGATTTCTTCCATGGTTCTGACACTTCAACAGAAGATTTTATTCGCTTTGCTTTGTTTAATTTACGTAGCAAATATTTTGATACAGCACCTGGTCTCCAACCTTGGGTAACCTAAAATGATATTAAGCGATGAATGATGGAATTATTTGATTTTATAGAATGAATAAAAAAATGTAAAATAAATCTTACTTTTTGCTTGCCAGCTTGTCTTTCATAAGTTGCAAAAAAAAACAAAATAAATCAGTACATAATAAACATTTATTTGTCTTAGAATTAGAGACGTTACATAATTTACCTAGTATAATATCGAATTAATCTTGCTCTTAGTTCTAATAAAACAACACAAAAGCCTACACCATAAATATCAATGTGGACATATATGTGAATGAAATTAGCCAGTTTGTGTATGAACAATTTTGCTTGTATCAGCTGCTACCAGCCTTTCACGTTGTTGTTGCTTCATATATTCAGTGTTGATAAAAGAGTGGAAACAAGGTACGTGAAAAGAACTTAAGCTGATACCCTGGTCTGTTAAATTAGCGATCCTCTCCTTTGGACTCAAATTTTTGTACTCTTTTAGTTTGAAATATGTTTTATTCCCGTGATCATCCACAGCTACTACGCCTTTCTCCGAGGGTACAGGATGTCTACATTTTATTCTATTATTTTGGAAACCACGAGAAAAACCTGTCAACGGAACCACTCGTTTTGTTTTATCATTTCCGGGCAATTGAAAATGAGGTACTAAAGGAGGCTCCGGAATTCGCACATCTTCGCCACGTGCGAGCATGTCCTGTAATTTCGATAATAATAATCGTTTGTCTGGCCCAGGACCAATAATTCCCATCCTTGACAGTTGTTTCGGGGAAGCGTCACTAAAACAACTCCAAGTTGCTTCAGAACCTTTGTAAGATTTATCGTATTGTTTATCGCCGGCTCCGCCTTTTTGTTCCTTAACTCCAATCTGTCTTCGGTTTTTTTGCGGTATCGTACCTCGTGGCTTTTGATAGAAACGCCATCTACTCTGGCTGTCAATATAACCATCAATACCGACAACTAACCACTTACCGTTACTGGTTTGGAACTTTCCAGTCTCGACATCTACTTGTTCTCCATTAGGGCCTATAAAGCCATTAGGTGCCCATCTTCCATCAGGCGCTATGTAGCCGTCGATATTTATTTCCAACCAGTTGTGGTCAGGACTCCAAAAGCCTCCTAGATCACTACATTGTTGTTTACCATCTGGTCCTTTAAAATATCTAGGCACAGGATTCCCGAAACGATCTAATAATTTTACTCTATAGTCTAAATATGAATATTGGCTTGTATTATCTGTTTTTATGATCTTTTTACTTTTAAAAGTGGGATCAAATGTAGCATTAGGTGGTGTAAATTCAACTACCCATTCATCGGAATCGGTGTCGGAACCAGTGGAAGATTTTTCTTCCGAGCATGAACATGACACATCCACCGTTGTTTTGTCACCATCGGTATGAGCGGGATGACATAGACATTCAGGATTTTCTGCATCAGTTAATATACCTAACGCTTGTTGGTACGTTTTCAAACATATCTCTTGGCATATGTCTGTAAATGCATTTTGTATAAATTCCCGTTGAGCTCTTTCAAGTCGCCTCTGCTCTCGTTCTTTCTTTTTCTGTCTTTCTCTATTTTCTTCGTCAGTTCTACCTACAGTATAAGTTAATACAGGTTTATCTTCATAAGGATATTGATTGAAAGTTCTCGGTCTCGTATAGGTTTTCATTGTCTCCATAGTAACTATATATTCTCCATTCTTCTTATGTACAATTAAGAGAGGTCGCTTCAAAGATCGCTTTTTCAATCGCGCCTCTTTCTTTCTCTTCTTTGATATAAGTACATCAGGGTTTTTAGCCATTCGTAATAATCTCACTACATGTTTATTCGTTGCGCCTGGTTTCCACATAGGTCGAAACTATAAAAAAAATCAAAGAATTAAAAAAAAAACAAAATTAATTTTGTAAAAATGATCTAAATACCTTAATTCCGGGGACATCTTCGGCAGTCCACAGCCAACCCATATTCTTAGGTACTATGCCAAGGGTTCCTGTACAGGGCATTGCACAATGACCGTGTCCAATTTGAGGTGCTGGAATTATAAAAATCAAATTAATTACGGACAACGATGTATCTTGCCAATTAAAGATTGCCTGACATAAACATACAGCAAGATGAAGATATAGCTTATAGAAATAAGTGTTAAGAAAGTACAAAAAAGTAAAAAATTAAAAAAATATTAATAAATACATACGTATACCTTGATAACCATAGTTAAACTTAAAACGATCATCTTTCTTTTTCTTTTTCCCTTTTTTAGAATCTTTTTCGGATTCAGCGCTCTTTTCAGAAATTATCGGCCGTTTTTCAGTTGGTGATTTAGAAGGGGATTTAAAATTTTTCTGACTGTCTTCATTTCTCTTTTTGCTATCACTACCCGAGGTACTCCAAGTCTTTAATTTATTTTTATCCACTAATTTATGATAAATGGGACATGGAAAAGATTCTTGACCAAGTTTTTTAACTGTATCGTCTCCAGTCTTTTCATAACCACCGCAAACCTTGCAGTATGTTGTCTTTTTTGTAAATCCAAACCTACATTCGCATGTGCAAAAGCAAGGATCCTCTCCAAACTTCATTTTTGCTTTCATACCTCCTACCACTTCTTCTACGGCTTGTGTAATATCACAACACTCTTTCTGCATACTAGACATATCCAATAGAATACGCTCATCTTTAATAGATTCTTTATTCACCTTACCATCACAGTCAATTTTTTGACACTTTGTAACTTTTATAAATTGTGCATCTTTTATCGGTAAATCCAAAGAACAATAACTATGACTGCAAGAGCAACTTGTTTCTTTCTTACTCTGATTATCACTGTCGCATAACTTAATTTTGTAACCCGCTTTAAGGTCATCTAATTTCTCTGAACTTTGTCCTTTTATTGATGCACTAGAGGATTTAAGATCTTTTTCTACAGTAAAATAACCTACGCAGTAAACCTGTTTACCATAAGGACCCGTATTATCTCCAAAGATGTAATTCAGTGTATTTAAATACTTTACTTCAGAGCTAGACTTAGATTTTCTTAATTCCTTACGCTGATATTGATCTAAGACCGTATCACTTTTCACTAAACTCATATTTGTACAAATAGTATTAATACACTTCTTATTTGCCGATTCACAGCTATTTATAGATATATTGTCGTCGTTGACAATTTTTGTACCAGGCTCTTTAAGTTTAGTTTTCTCTTTTGAATCAATTATTTTAAATATTCTCGTGGTTATTTTTTCATGATTGTTATTTAATGAATTTATTTTAATACCAGTTTCGAAATTTTCTGTATTCTTGCAACTTCTTTTTATTGCACTTAGAATTGTAGGTTTATAGTTAAAATTTGTGTTATAATTATCTTTATTATTTTTAGAGAGAGATCTACTTTGCGTAGTATTTTCATGCTTTAAGTAACTTAGTTTGATAGAGAGCTTAATTGTAGCTATTCGTTTTGAAGTAACTTCATCAAATACATTATAATATCCATGAAGTAGTACAGAACCTGGTTTATAGTTTTTGTATAATTTCTTAATATAATCAATATACTGATAATTCCAAGGAATATGTGTCGTGCCTATTTTATACTGGGGATTTTCCTTACTCCAAAAAGATAATTCAATTGGAAACTTCTCCATGTTTGATATAAGTTCATTAATATTATTTACTAATAGTACTGTTTGTCCTGCTAGTACTTTATGTTGTAAAGCTATCTTATCAATAGGTAAGAAATGTTTTATTTTAGATTTTCTTTTGATCTTTTTCTTATTCAAATTATTTTGTACAACTGGAGTTAGATCCTTAGGATTTTTTAAATCAAGTGAAAAAACATCAGCAAATTGGCTTTTTATTAAAAAATCTTTACACTCAACGTAACTTTTCAAATCTTCTATAGCCAATTCAAACAATAACATTGAATCCGAAAAAGCCATTTTCAATATGTGTTAAAAATAACTAGATAAGATTTTCTATTAAATTTACTTACTGAATTTTAAATAATATTTTTTAAAACACATTATAACTTAAAATTTTAAATGTCCGAAATATAATAAATGTCAAAATCTGAAACTAAATGTATATATTTTTTTTTGAGTAGCTAATAGCTATTTGTAGACGAATATCTTTTTATAACAATGTTACTAATATTAAAAAGAGGTCAAATTTGTGAGGTTGTAATCTCTGGATCTATTAAACAGATTTTGAAAATTCTTTTAGTGTTGGATAGCTTATATATCGAGAAAACATACTATAACATCACGCTACGATAGAAAGGAGCGGAGCCGCAATGAAAAAAGTAGCAAAAACTAGGAATGTGAGACTGAGACGAAATTACGGAGGTCAGCAGTCTTATACAATATAAAGGAATATTTCCATAGTAGCCGCATAACCCTATAGCTAGGCATGTGAAAGGCAACTTGTAAAAAGATTTTTAGTTAACATTAACATTTATAATATTAACCTCCGCTTTGGACGGGTGTTCATGTACTATACATAGAAATCTTCCTCTTGAATCACTATCTATTGCTAAAAACTGCATTAAAATCCGTTGCGTTTAAGTTTAAAAGATCTAAGTGGATAGACAGTGGAAGCGACTTCACTTTATACTATGTAAAGATAAGCTCAAAATCAAGATATAGATATTTATTTATTTTTTTTATTTATTTATTTTTAATTCGGAATTACATCCATATAGTGTTAGTAAAAAACTTATAAAACTATGTTAGTAACTTATAATATACATATACGTAGATAAATTTAATTCATGTACCTGTGTCCACGTCCAGAAGCACTGGGTCCACAATGCAACGTTATCCAGTGCCTCTGGAGCGGACAATCAGGTATATTAGCAACAGTTTTTAGGATGCTGTTTGAGCTCCCCGAATTCTGGACATCAGTGATGCAGCTCTTTTACGCATTATGGCTTGAAATCCATCTACCCGCGCTGCTGCAAACATCTCTGATGCGCTACAGAACCGAGGGAGCCCCAACAACATCCTAAACCCATTATTATACTGTATACGAAGAGCGTTGTATGCCCTCTGCGTATACCCAAACCATAGGCCGCACGTGTAAAACGACTGACAATACGCTTTAAACAACGTTGTCTTCACGTCGTTATTACACCGTGCAAACCTACGGGCCAGCATATTACATCGGACCGACAACGCTCTTCGTTCCCTCTCTATGTCATAGTCATCATTCAAGTCCCCCGATACAATGTGACCCAGGTATTTAAACCGCGACACCCGATTCAATGGTGTGCCATAAAGACATACCGCCGGCATACTTCTCTGTGTGCTATTTTTGCCATGAAATATCATGACCTCGCTCTTTTTAACATTGTATCGGAGGCCATGTGACTCCGCATATTCTTCACACGTCTTCAGCAGTCGACGAAGTGCACTAATCGATGGACTCAGCAGCACCATATCGTCCGCGTAACTTATACTGTTAATCATGTTTCCATGTATGGAGCATCCGATCCTGGCACTGCTAAGCCCATCAATCAGGTCATTCACATATAAACTGAAGAGTGCAGGAGAAGACAGTCCCCCCTGTCTCACCCCACACCTCAACCTATACTCTTCCGAGAACGAACCCGACCATTTGACCTGGTTAACTTGATGATCATACCAATACTTAAATAAATCAACCAGCTGACAAGGTACAGCTTGGCGATGCATTTTTGACCATAATATATCATAATTAACCAGGTCAAACGCCCTGGAAAGATCCAAGAAAACTGCATAGACAGGTGTACTTCTATCAGTATAATACCTGACCGTGTCCTTGAGCGCCATAATAGCCGTCTCCGTCGACAGTCCTGGCTGAAAACCGAACTGCGCATCGTGTATATTAAAATATTTGCCTACTCGTCTCTCAAGAACACCGTCAAGCACCTTCGCAGCAATAGTAGCCAACGATATGGGTCTATAGTTCTCTTTATTTGAGAGATCGCCAGTCTTATTCTTTGCTATGGGTACAACAATAGTCCTCATTAATGCATTCGGAAGATAAGAATGCTGTATACACAGATTATATAATGCAGTTAATACCCTCAGGAGTTGCGGACCTGCACACTGGAAATGCTCTACACTAAGTGAATCGTGACCCGGCGATTTACCTCTTGTCATTGATTTTATAACGTACTTTATTTCGTCCGTAGAGAACTGTACTGGTACCCTTGACTTAGTGCTCCTAGCACATTCCGACCGCGTACTGGGTTGTAGTACTGGATCCACCTTAAAATGATTCATAAACAAATCCGCAATATTCTTTGGGTTACTTATGCTATTGACGCTCACAGGAATGGAAGGTTTAGGGCTGAGTTTCTGAGTTAACTTCCAGAATCTCTTAAAATTCTTACCCTTATGCTCTGCGCCTAAAATATCCAACTTAATTTGTTCCGCATTATTTTGACAAAATTTTAATTTTTCTTTAAATGTTTTACCTTTTTCCCTCATAGTTACATACAGAGGCCCGCATCGTGGCTCTCCATAGAACTTCCAGTTAATAAAAGCCTGCCTCGCCTGCCTATGAGCGTCCCTAACATATTTATTCCAGCCAGGCACAGCATGCCTTCTCCATACGCTTTTTTCTGAGTTGCCACTAAGGATAGCCGCTTTTCGAATTAATGAAATCATATTATTATAGAAAATATCAATTGACTGTCTATGTCCTTCGTTGCAACATAAGCTGTCACCACACTGACTAACATCGAAAGGAACATTTAAAGCACTAAGACTTTCTGTACACAATCGAAAATAATTATCTACCTGCGTCACTTCTCGTGTACCCCATATAGCCGGATCTCTTTGCCAGTCTTGGTATTTTACAGAGGTATTCATAGCTACTATACCCAAGTTAATATGCACTACAAGCGGGAAGTGATCAGACCAATATACATCCTCATAAATCTCCACATCACAAACGGTTCTTAATGCCGCTTCAGTTACAATACAATGGTCCAACCAACGTTTACTTCCACATACATCACTGATGAACGAAAACGTGCCAGAGAACCTTCCTAACATAACATAGTCGGCACAACTCCATTGTTGTTCATTACAAAAATTTAATAATTCCGTTTCAAATAATTCACCGGGATGCGCATTAAAATCTCCCATAATATATATATTTTCGGTACCTGAACTTTCGACGATTGCTGCTACTTCACTCAGGCAATTACAAAATTCAACAAAATTATCAGGAGTATTCGTAGGCATGTATATACTAAAAAACAACATAGTGCGTTCACTGACTGTAATTTTAATGGCAGCGATACGATCACTCAAACACGGAATAACAGAGACAGATGTAAATATCGATTTTCTCCATAAGAGTGCTACTCCACCAAAGGGTCTACCTCTTAATATTCCCGCTGACATATCAACGGCAGATTTGCCAAAATAACCAAAATTATTATCCACAGTCCCCAGTACCGCTAGTTCATGTGGTAACAGCCATGTCTCCTGAAGGGCAATAATGTCAACATTCCTACATAAGTTTCGTATACATTGAACCGACCTCTTTAGTGACTTACAGTTATAACTTACACACTTAGCAATAAACTTATCAAAATTAAGAGTATTTATATCCATTAATTAATGTTAAATAATTATCTGTACACATATAATAAATTAAGTATCTAATATATTATATACTCGACGGTAAATTATTAACCTTACTTTTATATGTAACAAATCTACGGAATGCTATTCCGTCAGGCCATAAGTTCTCATTCATAAATACATTTAATTTACTTTTAGGTATCATGAACTTGTAAGTGCAATAAACGCATGTATGTGCAATAAACGCAAGGTGCAATAACTTTTTTGTTTGTAAAAAATGGTACAAAAGTAATGTAGTTTATGACATTAATATGTGGGTAGACAGCGACAAACTCGTGCTTACGGCATAGTGAGAAATTAATAGACTTGGTGGTAATGAATAATATAATAATAATATATCAATTGGCATTATCATATCTATACCAATAAAAAAAATTGAAGTGTCTGTAATATTGAAATAATCGTTTTTAAATACGGTACATATTTAAAAACTATTATTAATATAAATACGGTACATACACCAAAATAACATTTTTTACAATTTTTGTGTGTCTGTTTGTTCCGGCTAATCTCTGAAACGGCTGGACCGATTTTGACGGGTAGCTGATGTAATAAGGAGTAACTTAGGCTACTTCTGTTTTAGAAAAAATCTTTTATTTTAGAAATATAAAGTTAAATTCCACACGGAAGAAGTCGCGGGTACAGCTAGTTCACAATAAGAATGTATAAGTAATAGTTTCAGATGTACAAATGTAAATGTCTTTAACAAAACCTACGTATGTTTTACTCTTTAATTTCCGATATAGACGTCATTGTTTTATTAGCAGAAGATGGAATAGTAGTCAAAGGCTGAGTATTTTTAGTGCCGCTCAGGCTATACGGTGATAACATCTTTTTTGGTGTATTGGAAGCTCTGTTTGTCTTTATAGGTGCTCTAAATTCTTTCAAATCATCATACATTTCCAATCCTTGCATTATTTCACGATATTTTGCGATCTTTTTTGGATCTAACTGTTTCATTTTATCTGTATATTTCATTTTATCTGTATGTATCATATTCCTGTTGTAATTAACTGAAACGCTCATCACAACAGGATTCTTCGCTTTGGCAGATGAATAAGGTACGGTTTTGTTTATTTTATCAGCTCCGCTTTTCGTTGCTGCCACCGGCAATACCATACCTTTATTATCCCCTTTTCTTTTTTGAGGAGTACTTATACCGGTTGGCGTACTTTTCGGTATATTTTTTGTTGTTGGCTCCTGCTTATAAGCAGATTTACTAGATTTCTTCGTATCTGTTGTCGAACCTGATACGTTAGATTTACCATCTTTTGGTGACTTTCTCTTGGTATACCATGCCCATTTACCATCTTTATCCACGTAACCGTCGATGCCTATCTTCAGCAACTTTCCACTATTATCAGTAAAAGATCCCTCTTCAGCCGAATAAAACATACCATCTGGTCCAATAAAATTAATTGGTATCCAACGATCGTCCGGACCAATATAACCGTCCTTATTGATTTCCATCCAAATATGATCAGGACCCCAAAATCCGCCTAGGTCACTGCATTCCTGTTTACCATCGGGACCTTTAAAATATCGAGGAACAGGATTTCCATACCTATCAAAGAGTTTAACTTTGTAATCTAAATAAGAATACTGACTCTCGTTTTCTGTTAACGTTGGTGGGTGTTTGGCTTTCACATCCCATCTAGCGGCTGGAGGTGTAAACTCTATAGTCCATTCATCGCCATCGGTGTCGCTGCTAGAAATAGTTCCTTCTTCGGAACAAGAACATGAATCTACAGGAGGGCTAATATTTTTCACAGGTTCCGTATAACAAGGACATTCGGGATCGTTAGCATTCGGTAACGGGAGTAGTCCAATAGCTTGGTTATATGCCTTTAAACAAATCTCCTGACATTTATCTCGAAAACTAGATTGTAGAAGTCTGCTTTTACGCCTTGTTTCTCTACGTTCTCTTCTTTCGTGCTGCTTTTGTACTTTAAGCTTTTCTGCTTCCGTTTTACCGACTGTATATATTAAAGGTGGTTTTTCGTCATAAGGGTATTGAAACAATAATCGTTCCTTTGAATATTTTTTAAATACCTCCATCTGCACTGTATACTCTCCATTCTGTTTTTTCACAACCAAAGTTGGTTTCATTTCTATCTTTTTTTTGCGCTGCATCATTGCTCGTTTTTTCTTGGCAATAATATCGATACCTTCTCTCATAGCTCTATATCGTCTTACTAAAATTTTGTTAGCTGCACCGGGTTTCCATTTTGGTCGAGGCTAAAAACCGTAAAATTTTCTATATTATAGATATTAATTATAAGAGAACATAAGAACACGATTTATCATCAATACAGATGTAAGGAAATAAATACTTGTACAAACTTAGAATTGAACCATGTTTTACAGGAAGTTCAGTAAATATTAAAAAAACAATTAATTGTAAGTTATGGTTATTCTAAAATGTGTATTAATTTATTATAACTATTTACCTTCATTCCAGGTATATCGTCAGCAATCCAATTCCAGCCCATATATTTAGGAACTGGAGGATATGGGTATTTAATTACAGGCTTTTTTTCTACGGCCGGTAGAGCTGAAAGAGATACGATTAATGCAAACAAAAACTATTTTTATTATTTCTAACTTGTAACTAAAATAATAAAATTATATATAATATGTATGTATGTTATACTTAAACAGCTTAAATCTAAATTGTATATTATATATTAATACTTTAGAGATGGAGGATACTAGGGCAGAATTAAAAATGCATACGCGAAAGTTTATAATAAACATACGTACGTGCTTCTTCAACATTGGCTGTAAATTTTCCGACTTTCTTTTTTTCTTGCTTTACTTTCTTAGTAATCTTCTCTCTTGTCTCTTTTTTCTCAGACTTTCTGTCGGGTATACTTTTTATAGAACGACTTGGTGTTAGCTTTCGGTCCACTGCAGCTATACGGGAGGCGACTGTTTTTGAACTTTTAACACTCATGTTATCAGCTTGTTGCTTGGACTTTTCTTCCTCCGGAAATGGACTTGGGACATTTATATATTTCTTGTCATATAACTTGTGGTACACTGGACATGGATGAGGCTTAGTATATACGGGCTGATCTCTCATTTCATCTCCTAGGCATTCGAAACCACCACAAACGGCACAATAGGTGGTTTTCTTTGAAAATTTAAAATTACATGTGCAATCACAGTAACACGGATCATCATCTTGCCCGGTCTTATTTTTATTACTACTGATACCATCTGATATGAAATGTTTTACTTTATCAGCTACATCGCATGATTTGATGCAACATGTATTATGAATATCGTCAAAATGTACAATAATATCACTGTCCGCAGGGCTTGGAGGCAAGTGCTGCTTGTTTGGGCATGCAGGTTCTTGACATTTTGAATTGTCAGAGCGTTCATGATCATTTTTGCTCGTCACACTAGTACAAGCGGTTTTGGAACACGATGTAACGTCAGAAGCCTTCATACTGGGGCAGTCTGTTGAGCAATATTTAAATATTGAAGATTTACCCGATACTGGTGTAGATGTGGGACTATTTTGTTTGTCATATTCGTGTTCTACAGTGAAATAGTAAACATTGTATACCTGTGGTTGCTTGTTAAAAGGACAGTCCTTTCCCTCGCATGGGCTGGCTTCACTACCACTGTCATCGCAATCTTTACTACATACGGATGAACAAGAGTTTCGTTTAGTCAAAGCCATTTGCATTTTATTTACGCAAGCACATTGAGTAGACAGACCTTCAATATTACTTCCTTGGCTAAATACGCCTTCATGACGTAAAAATTCTTTAATTTTCTCAGCGAGATTGCAAGATTTGCTACCACAAGGTCCTATTACATCTTCAATATTAAATTCCTTATTATCTTCTTCAACTAGATTTTCTAAATAAGCTCTCATTTCTATCGCTATTTTGCAATCCGCTCTACCACAAGGACCTCTTATGTTAGCTATATCAAACGTTCCTCCTCGAGAATCTTCTGATTTCTTTCCAACATTTATACAAACAAGACAAGGATCGCCCTGCACTTCTTTTCTAAACCTTTCTGCTAATTTACCTGTAGGCCAGTTAGACTCTTTACAGTAACAAAGCTTATCAATATCAGTAGCCTTATATCTAGGGCTAATAGTTGGTCGAGGTGTTAGCATTCTCATATTGTCATTACAGGAGACAATAATTTTTCGAACGTAATCAATAATATGATCAATATCAGGGCACATCTCTGGTGCTTTATAAATAGATTGTGGCGGTTTGTCTGCATTGCCCATGCAACAATAATCTCCTTCATTGATTAATGAGAGATTAGCACCGGGAGCGTTTTTGTAATCTGCATAAATTATTTTATTTGGCCTTGTTTTATCTATAACAAAGTTGTTTTCGATTTTGTTACAATTTTCTTCGAAGTCTTTATCCGTTGTTTTCATGGTACAAATATAAGAAGTTGTTTTAGAATTAATGCCAGTGTATAAACATTTCTTAACTGTAGGATCTTCAGAGAGTGTACGAAATGATGTTGTTACTTTATCAGTTAAATAGGTAAGCTTAACCTGTAGACCTATTTTTGCCATTAACTTTGCCGTACCTTCTTCGAAAACATTATACTCTTCATTTAAGGTAACAGGTAAAGGTTCTTGGCAGTCGCAAATATTTTCCAAATATTTTAAAAATACGTTATCCCACGGAATCCTTGTGGATCCAATGAAGACAAAAATATCTTCTTTACTCCACAAAGACACTTCCAATGGGAATTTGTTCATATTCTGAATAAGGAATTCTGCACTACTAGTAAACAAAACTGACTGTCCTGATTGAATTACTGGTTCAGGTGGTGGTTCTTCCACTTTGCCTTTTTTCCCTTTTTTTGGTTTAGGTGGTTTCTTTTTCTTTCCTTTCTTACCAACCGGCTCCGGTGGTAATGGAGGAGGTTCGGGCATAACAATATGAATTTGTTTGGGGTCTTTCAATTCTAATGAGAATATATCTGCAAAATCACTTCTTATGATTAAATGTCGACTCTCTACTAAACTTTTGACACTTTCTACAACCACTTCAAAAAGAAACATTGCATTGGTAACAGCCATTTTTGTATTTAAGCTTTTATTAAAAAAATGCATGTATTAAAAATACTAAAAATTTACATATTAGGTAGTGTTGATGTAAATTTCAACGTCTAGTAATTTTTTAATGACATTGTCATTAATTATTTTCTGCCATTAACAAATGAATCACATCAACTGAAGTTTAACCTTCGACTGTATTGATGTACTTAATAAAAAATATTCACTCGGTATAAAATGTAATAGGTATTCTTTCTTTTTTCTTGCTTTCATATACCATTAGCATATATATAGCGGGTGCTCCATTTCATAATCATTTATTGCAAAAAAAAAAATAGATAAGTAGTTCATAAAAGGTAGATCGTAATTGTTCACACCGAAGTACAAAGTACGTTCTCATATCATTCTTCTTACATAATCTTAATTTACATTATCTTCACTTGATAAGCGTTGTATTTAGAATACCTACAAATGAGATTTACATTTTGACGCAATTTAAATAAAGACATTTTTTTATGGATAGTAGTGGAATAGTACAAGTACCTGCGCTAATGCTAACGCTGACGGGTCACCTAAAGTATGATACGCTGAGCATAACGTTAAGTCCGTTAAACCATCGAGGAGAATAATCAAGGTATATAGGGTAACCAATGGGAGATCAGCTTAACATGGTACATAACAATGGAGTTTTTCGCGCAGTCTATCCTGCCGGCTGCTGCACTGAGACAGAAGGAGAGTGAAACTGTGAGTTTGAGGCTCTACATTTTTTTTTCTGGTTAGAAGTTTTCGATTTTTACTTCCATTTCATCTCAGCTGCTATAAAAAATATATAAAATACAAATATTTAGCTGTTTCCCACAATTTCAGCGGAATGGAATTGGAATTTAACTTGTTTTGAATTAAAATATTTGAAATAAAAGTAGTCTAAGACATATTTATTTATTTGTAGTGGCTATTTGTGATTGAGAGCCGCGTCAAAATCAGTCCAGCCGTATCAGAAATTATCAAGAATAAATAAGCCGACAACATTTTCTTTTAATTGTAAAATTTTTATGTAAGTACTGTATAAATTATATATTCATTTAGTAAAAGCTGTAAATCTGAAATTACAGACACTTTAATTTTATTTATCAGGCCCCCCACACCCGTCACACCTATCAAATAGCAAGGACTATATCTCCAAAATTTTAGACTACAATAAAATATCACTGTTCCCAAAAATTAAGTTATATATTATATATTAAATTAATACAGTATTCATTAACAATAATGTTTATAAATTAGCTAATTGGGAACGTAAAATCAGCCGTTCATCTGTCACTTGTGCATGTGTCATTTGACTACGAAATTTGCGAATGTCATTATCAAATTGTGACGTATAATGACGTTCTTCTTCGTTACCGAAAAAGTAAGATGTTGAGTATTACGAAACAAAGTTATTATAAATAAAAATTCCACTATTTGGAGCAGTTAATTTAAGAGATGACAAGTTACAAATTTACAATAAAATGTAGAAGACAATATTAGTGTATCTACAGTATAAATAAAAAGGTACTTATTACTTCATTCATATTTAAACGTCTTGTGTGTGTTTAAGTTTGACGAGGATCTATTAACGATATCTGAAGATAATAATGGAAATATTTCCACTGATCTTGCAGTCATGACAATAATTACGTAGTAACCACGTGTTGTAAAAACTCTTTATTCAAATATAACTTGTGACATCAACTCAAAATTTTGCTAGTCACTATTGCGGTTTACATATGAAACCTATTTTTCTGTAACACTACGACGGATTTTCTATTTTTGATTTTCATAATACTTACGTAACTTTCAACATTGTGTATTCTCATTAGTTGATTATAAATTTTACAAATATTTTAAGAAGTGTAAGCATTAGCATTCTACATGTTAATTATTTTTTATTATTTTTTTTAAATATTTAACTCTACCTAACCACAAAGTATCCACAATAATTACCTTTATTTATTATCTAATGGATAAAAAAAATTATAACTAAATGCCCATAGATATTAATTGTCTCAATATTTCATTCCTAATTATTTAAATTATATTTTTTTAAATAAATCAAGACAGTAATATTTTTTTAATTTAAGTATGGATCACATTAATTGAAATTATTTAAAAATAAATATAGTTTATAATTTCATCTTCTATTTTTGAGTTGAGAAAAAGATACAATTATATTATGCATAATATATAAACATAGATTTTTTACGGCTTTGAGTACTGTCTATATTCACCAGCAATAATTATGTAAAATTTGAATATATTAGCATATTTGTTTTTAAGGAGCATATACTTCAAATAGCTCTTGGTATCACTTAATAACATAGTAGTATGTAGGGTTAGTAGGTACTGATCTGTACACCTTAAATTCATAATGAATAATAATTAAAAACTCTTTATTTGCATGTCAAGAAATTAACAATATTAAAATATGAGATTTCTTATGAATTGTGATGGGTGTTAAAATTATTTGTAGCATAATAGAGTTTATGGTTGGAGGGTTGTAGACAGGGATGGTGATATAGTTATTTCTTATTTGAATAAAAAAATTAACTCTAATCTGCATGAAATGGAAATTAACAATTCTAAAATAACAGTACACTTACAAATTGTGATGGAGTGCCAATCATTTGTAGCACAATGGACTTTGTTGTGGGAGGGCTGGCCGGTGTAGGTGCAGGGTTCTTTAGTAACCCGTTTGATGTGGTGAAGACTCGAATGCAACTCCAAGGCGAACTCCGTGCTAAGGGACAGCATGCTGTGTATTATAAGAATATACCACATGCAATGTACACTATTATAAAGCATGATGGCATTGCTTCGTTACAAAAGGGTCTTGTGCCAGCATTGTGGTTTCAGTTAATGGTGAATGGTGTAAGGTAAGGAAATCAATATATACATTTTACATTCTTTTCACATTTATAAATGTTCAATGATGAATAGGGAATGCAGTGGTGTAACATGAAATCTCATTTAATTATAGTGTGTAGTATTTTTATTTTGTAATTACCTTTTTTAAATATGTATTTCAGATTAGGTATATACCAACAAGCTGACAATTACGGGCTCCTCAGAGATGAGAATGGGAATACCCAGTTTTTAAATAGTTTATTCTTCGGGTCCCTGTCGGGCCTGTCTGGTGGGCTCGTGGGCAGCCCCCTACAGCTTGTAAAGACCCAACTAATGTCATATTCCTCAAAGAAAATAGCAGTGGGCACTCAACATGCCCATCGTGGACTTGTGTATGCATTGACAAAGATTTATAGAAAGAATGGCTTGGGAGGTCTATGGAGAGGAGCTCACGGTATGATGATAAGGAATTCAATTGGATCAGCATCACAGATCTCTGCTTATGCTGTGTAAGTATACATAACTAATTAAATAAAGCAATAATTATTTCCCCTTTTAGTCTTTCTACAGTTCAATGTCGAATTGTAACAGAGTTTGAGTAAAAAAAATATCCTATGCAATTAGTCTAGTATATGCAAATGCAAAGAAATTCATTTATGTACATTCATCCTTTGGCATCTTGTCCAATCAAATATTTTTATATAACTATGTATTTTATAACATTATGTATGGTAATACAGTTTCACTAGCTATTTCAGTTGAGAAGAACTAGCAAGAAACTTGCATTTTTTTATGTTTTATATGATATATATATGTGTAGTATGTGGTGGGTGTTTCTAAAGAATTTAGTTAGTAGTTTTATAAAACTAGAGATGGATTCTTTAGAAACTAACTATAATTAACTAACTATAAACTAATCTGACTCACAAAATTTACCATAGTTAATATTAATAGCTTTTTTACCTACACCTGTAACTTCATATATTCACCTATAGTTGATTTATGAATGATAATGGTCAGCTCCTGACAATAGCTACTACAATCAAATTGAAAGGTAGAAAAGGAAAAATCTTATATACTATATACCAATTCTCATGTTAAGACCTTATTACTATATTAATATTGGAGATGGTACTCTACATTAACAGTATCAACTAGTAGAGCTCCAATAGAATAAAAATCTGGTTGTCTGGCTCACCAGACATCTATGTATCGTCACCATGTAAGCAAATATGATTAAAATCGAACAATTTTTTGTACGAGATACAGATTCTTTTTGTAAGTAAGGTATCAAATCAAAATCAACGACTTTTCTTGGGATTTCTAAATATAATGATATAATACATGAGTAAAAACCCATGGCACTCAAACATATAAATATCATTCATCATCAGTGCCTTTGTCCCATTAGATTTAGGGCCGGTATCATCCATCATCTATCTGTCCCTAACGGTCGTCAGATCTGAGCTTACTCTCCTATTATGTATAACATCTATCACACAATCCCTGCATCTTTTCTTTGAACATCCTCTACCTTTACATCTATTCAGTTTCATATTAAAAATCTTCTCTAAATCATGGTCCACATGAGATGTTCATACCATGATAATCTGTTACTATGCAACTTGTCTATTACTGAGGTAACTACTATAATTGTGACAATTTCATTTCCAGATGTAAGGAGTGGATGGATCAGAATGACATGTTCCAACAGTCAAAGTATTTGTCGGCGTTTGTCGCTAGCAACATAGGGGCGATAGTCAAGACGGTAGCGCTGACACCCATGGATGTCATCATGACACGGCTGTATAATCAAGGTAGTGAACTTTTTTTCATATAACATAAAGAACAAACGAGCTCGCGACTCGGCTGATGATAAGTGATAGAGAACATTTTTTATATGACATAATGGACAAACGAGCTTGCGGCTCGGCTGATGGTAAGTTATTATTGTCACCCATAAACACCTGCAACATCAGGGTAATTGCAAGTGACTATTTTTTTTTCATAATGATGATAATGGAATGGTGCATACTTTGTGCTAACAGTTTGCGCTGGTGGAGCTCCAGTGGAGGATTATAGAAGAGCATGAGGTCAGGTCAGATAGCCAATCGCGTGATGACGATAGTTTCCAGGTGGAACCGCGAATGCCAACCTGAAGTAGTACATTGTTAGCTATGGGGTCATCAGACCACATTACTAACGATCCCCTTCCGCCCAGGTGTGACAATGTGTGTGTTATAAATAAATGTGTATTCCGTTACAGCTGTGGACGCAGAAGGCCGCGGTCTCCTGTACTCGGGGATAACCGATTGTGCCAGAAAGATCACGAAAGCCGAAGGTCTATTAGCTTTCTACAAAGGTATAGGTCCTTCGTACCTACGGCAGGCACCACACACTGTCCTCCTTCTGGTATTCTGGGACATGCTCAAGGATTTGCAGAAGAGCTTCGAATTAAGATGAAAACTACGCTGTAAATATAGTTATAGTAGTAGGTAGCTATAACGCTTTAAATTGTCTACACGTGCTAAATTCTGGGGTAATAACGGAGCAGTAATGAGGAGAGATCTTTTCCTAAAAAACCTCAATAAAATCGCCAATACTGGATCAGAGGTGCGCCATATATCGCTTTCTAGATCGCCTCGTGTGTATATACACTACATAATCATGACTTGGGCTTTCATTTATGAATCTCATCTTATTGATTGCTATTAAGACTCCGACTGACTCCGAGTTTATAAAGGAGGGGTCGACTCTAAACATCTCACAGAGCGAGCCGTCGCTATAGCAGTCGCGGTAGTATATAAATGTACTTCCATTGGCATGCTGCCTTGGCTTACCGATGAACACGCTAAAAGAAAGAAGCTATCTAAGAATCTAAGCTAAGAAAAGTATCGCCTCCTGTGTACTGAAATCAGGACTGTTGAAAGTTTCACGTCATCACTTAGATATGCCCACTGAACCGATATTAACCCCACCACTGTTGAGGTATTGCCCTAAATTTTAGCTTCGTGTGTAGACCGTTTTATGTAGTATACTAAAAACAAAACAATATTGTTTTGTAATATCTATAACGCTGTGATTAGATAATTTTTTTTACGAGTAGAAAATCCAATTTTGTAAATATTTTTATAAACGAAACCAAAGTTTACTGTAATATGAATACAATGAATAATAATGACAATTACACTTAGACAGTTGTAAACTGCTGGATATTTTAGGATTTTTTTAAACCGTTAAAATAAGGTATTGCCTGCTTAATGTACAATTATGTCGCGCCCTTTGTGTGTAGGAAGAAATAACAGAACGCTACCTCATCCTTTTTTTATCGTGTGGAAAAATATTCAAAAGACTGTCCCCCTCAGGGGGGTAATAACCCTCATTTCCCCTCTGAGGGGGTGGGGGGGTGTGTGGAATTCTTACCCATAAAAAAAACCGCACAGTGTACCTACCAGTGCCAATGCCGGAGTCGAGGTAACACCGCGACTACACTACCTAACCTTGAACACTTTGTTTACTTTCCCTACATCACGCATCGCAACTCTTGTCTTTAATCAAACTATGGTTTTTTAACTCAATTAATGTGCCATAAATTAGTTTGCCTCTAATGTACTTTGTATTGCTTATTTCAATTAACTATAATTATTTTTTTATCATAGATAGATTATATAGACAGTTTTATCAGTTACCAATTGGTTATGTAGGACGGAAAATTATCTAATTTTCTTTGAAAATAATTTATATTCAATGTTAAGTTAAGTTATTACTACGTCCTTTATTGTCACGCACTTATCAAATATTTTAGCAAAATTTTACAAGTTGTGTAATATTTTATTTAGCTATGTCATCAATAAAATAAAAAAATCTATCTTCAACAGTGTCTAATACATTATTGCCCAAGTATTAGAACCAGCCCTTTTTGTAGTATCTTTGAATACGTACGCGTACAAGAAAACAGATATAGAGATATATAGAGCTGCAAACACGATTTAACTAGGTCTGGCGAGGTGCAATCCCCCGAAGTACATTCAATCCATAACACATCTTCCCGTAAATGTTATCCAACTCTATATATTGTAAACCTATTATTTACTATGTCATCTCCATCTATTGGATCTGTCCACATCATAATCTCCTTATATACTCTAGTCCAATAAAACAAATACTCAATTTCAATTTAGACCTCTAAATGGAAATTATTATACCATCGAAAATGTATTATTACTTCATAAAACCAAAGATCGCATTGTATTCTTATTACCTCAAAAATAATATGATAATGATAAAAATCTCGTGATATGACCTGAAGTTATTAATTTGTATTAAGTAGATAGGTACCTGAACGATCACCCATTGATTAGTATGCACTCAGTATTATTACAAACAATAGTAGCAATTTCAAATTAAATTTAGTAAAAATTCATAAAAGTAATTTACTCTGCTACGAAATGTCCCTGTGGTTATAATAGTGTGATTATACCATAATTAATTAGGCATTTAATACTATATTAATTATAAAACTAACTCACGCTGCAAAACGCATTTTAATTAATTATAAAAAGTCTCTTACTATTACTGTGCATGTAAGTAGATGATGTCGGAAAAAAGAAAAAATACGTGGGCAAAAAAATATAGGCTAGAGAATATAGTGTTGGTACAAATATGAGAAAAACTCACGCATGGGAATATATAGTTTGATGATAGGCGAGAATGACGCGGACGAAAAAATATAGCGTCGGCGAAATTCGTGGAAAGGGCAGGAGTGAGATTATGGCGTCGTCGGGAGAGACGAGAAAATATAGGCGGAGTAATATAGCGTCGTTATATAGGAGAGCAGGTAGAGCTGAATTTAAAGCAGCTAACACGGTAACTTTAAAAACTTTTTCGTGCACAGTCTTTAATAAATTATATTATCGCCTGATTAGTTGAGTGTCTAGGCTGAGGTAAATCTGTTTATCTGATGCGAACTCCTGTAACATTAAGAACATTAAAAGTCAATCTAATTAAGAGAAATCACGTCACTATTTAATTAGTTTGTCTTTGTTAAATATATAACACTAAATAAATTCTGTACAAATAATGAATGGACCAATGTATCTTATTGAGGAAAAATATGTTTTCTATAATAAAATCACGTTTATAACAATATGTAAAACGTTGAAGTGATAATGATGTGGCCAGAAATATTAAGTAATTATTCTTTGGCGCACATATAAATGTATTTACAAAAAGTAGAACTGCAATAAATTAGTCGTTAAGTGGACTTAGTACTTAGATTTGTTAGTTTATTATAGAATAAGGCGTTTTTATTTGTTTATAATTATATGTATAAAACTATATCGCTATACATGTATAAAATTTTATGTTGTATATATCGAAACGCGAAGATACAATTGTTTATAGCAATTATGATATCTGAACTTACATAACTTCAAATAAAAAAGACACAGTGTGTGAGCATTTTAGTACTTTGTTGAAGTAATATTATTGACAACACCAAATGTTTTTAAATTACACTGAAAAATGTTAATATGACAAGGTATAAAAATATATTACAGCTGAATAACATAATACAAGTCATATTCATTGCAAAATCTATTTAGCTAAAGTTTGCTATCGACAACAAGTACAGTTGAATTGAAAATCTCTTTGATATTAGTTTAAAATGAATCCGTTCGCGTTTTGATTATCCAAAATTATAATATTACTTATTATTTCGATATTATTGTTATTATTGTATGCTTTAATATGTATGACTTTAAATGTGTAGTTATTTGGAATGACGCTTATTTTAATGTGAGTTGCTTTTTATTGCTTTCGGATTTTACCAGTCTGTAGCTTAGCTATGAGATACATTATAGTTACTAATATCTATTAAGGATGCTGTTGGTGCCTTGCTTATTGTCTTCCATTTTACTCGTATAATTAAGACAGCCAAAGAATAAGAAATCCCGTAATAACGAATTTTAGTTAAATGAAAAAGTAATTTATTTGTTCTCACTTATTAATTTAAAAACTTTTAAGTATTATAGTATATCTGTAGTCCAAGAACCGGTGCATATATTAAATTCTTCGATTACTTCTGTTCTGCAATTTGGCGAGTCATTCACTATAATAAATGATATCTTAAAACTTTTAATAAATAAATAAAAGTAGTCTTAATACGAATAATTATAATTAAATGACAATAAAATTATTTAGCTAATTCGATGTTTTTATACATAGTAGCCGTATTCACGGCCTGACTTGTTTGACAGTTGAACAGTACTGCCAACGTTTACATTGTACGAATAGGTAAAATGTTATATAATGCATTGGCTCAATATGACTCTCAAACCTAGTACATCTTGCATCTTCGTATTTTAATCAAAATCTAGTACAAAATGGTAAGAGACTGAAACTGACCTTGTACTGAAGACCAAAAATTACCTTTGAGGACTTGCGTATGGTTGGCATTCTTGCTGTTGAGTCGACATCCATATTAATAATGTATTGTTAAAAAAAAATGAACTGACATCTTTTTTTTATTTAGGGCTTTGGGTTATTTTCAGGAGCCTATGCCTATACCTGTAGCATATACTTAGGAGCGATGGTTTTTATGGAGATATCGCTCCTAAAAATGTCGTACAAATTTAAACAGAAGTTCTAAGAATATCCTACAATCCTGATGAGTCGGAATAGAGTATAAACTTTGCAAAAGAGATTTTTCTTTTATGCATGAGGGGGCTACAACCACATAGGATGTGTAGTAGCGTTTCCACTTCAACTTGGCAAAAGTCTGACATCTCACTCACTTGTATAAATATATGTGCATTTATATATTTATACTGTTTTTGATGTCGTTTATAATAACTTGTAGTGCTAGTTAATAGATCAATGCTATGCATTTTAATTAGGTAGGTATACAATTTTTAAATTAAAAAATGTGCCTTTTTGTTAATTCTGTTAAACTAGAATCAATGCTACAAAATCATTAATTACTATTCTAAAATAACAATAACATTAAAAATAATTTATATTTTATTACAATTTAAATGAAATTACAACTATAAGTAAAAGAGAGTAAATAAGTGTTACGAATAAATCCTTTACATTTTGTTATCAAGAAATGATGTAATTAATTTAATTTAATAAATAGTTGTTAATATTTATAGTGTATTTTATTTATAAAGTCTTTCTTGTTTTACTATTACTTATAATAATAATAATAACCTTGGACAGTTCATACAACGCAATCTATTGTCAAACTAAGCAGAGCTTGTGTTATGGGTACTGGACAAGTCATACAAATGCTTAAATACATTTTTTTGTAAATAAATATATAGAAAAGAACCCAGACCAATGGAAATAATATGATAGTTTGTATTGCTCTGGGTTTTTTCTATGTATTTATTTACAAAAAATGTATACATACTTTTTACTGTTGAATACATACTTTGTGTGACAAATCGAACCCGAGACCATCGGAAGTAAGGCAGTGTGCTAAACTACTGGACGACCGGGACAGAATTTAAAAATTATGGATGCGAGTTAAATTGTTCGATTCGTAATTGCAACTTATAACTGTTCAAGGGCTATGCTAAAGTTTGAACTGGGTGGCGTTGTGAGCTTTGTTAAGAAAATTTTAATTTTTTCCTTAAAATCCTAAAAGTACTAGTTTTAATCAATTACAAATTACAATTTTTTTTACAGCGTTACATAATTAGTCCCCAGGTCGCTGAAAACTGCGTGTCTTATTAGCTAACTTAAGACTGGTATTATACTTGTTTTTTTCTGTATTGCCTTCAACAATACGAATCTACCGCGTCATGAGTACACCTCTCAGAGGGTGCAGGTTGAGGCTTCGAGGCCAACCCCTTTGCTCCGGTATCGACTCTGGGGGCAACGACCCCCGGGGACTAGATTTAAGGCAGGAAATTAAAAAAAAATAGGGTATTGGGACAACATATACACAGACAAGTTTACATTATGACTAGTACCATATATCGATAACTTTTTTTTGTATTATATAACGTATTTTTTTTAGGATAAAATGACTGCGCAAAGAGATGGCGTTGGTCGTGACCTAACCGATATGGCGATGGGTGGCGTATCCGCCATGTTTGCAACGCTCTTCACCAATCCTCTGGAAGTAGTGAAGACTCGCTTACAGTTGCAAGGAGAACTGGCTTCAAAAGGCCAGCACGCGGTTCATTACAAGAGCGTAATACACGGACTGTTTGTAATAGGAAGAACAGAAGGCTTTGTGGCGCTGCAGAGTGGGCTTCCCGCTATGTTGGGATTTCAATTCTTTTTAAACACTTTTAGGTGAGAAACTTACATACATATATGCGTCACCACACATTTCTTTTACATCATTATTATCTACGTGCTAACTGTGTCCACGATTTCAGCCGAATCAACGTTATAGCCTGTGTGCTATTCTGATGAATGAGCTATTTTACTGCAAAGTTTCTTCAAAATTCGGTCAGTAGTTTTTGCGTGATAGAGTAAGATACTTCTAATTAGGAAAAATCACGGGATCTTACGTTGTTTTATTTATTTTTATTGAGTTCCCGATATTTGGACAGTGTTTCCTATACCATAATTAACGGGTAAACTAACGAGCAGCGGGTATATGATAAATAAAATCTTTTATGGACAGATCGGGACCTAAAAATTGGTTTGAACTGCACCAACCTAACGTATTAACATCAGAACATTATACCCTAAGAATGGTGAAAGAGGTAATTTAGAATAGAATAGATAATCCTTTTTTCAAATTAACTTAATTTAAGCAATTTTGAATAATCATAGCAATTTTTTTTTATCTACTCTATTTTTATCTACTCTGTTTTTATCTACTCTACTATCTCAATCGGAAAGCTGTCTCATCACAAGAAGAACGAACAAGAAACTTGTGTGTTGCTCTTTTAAATAATCCTTGTAAGTTCACATTTTTCAAGTCGAAACGTGTGAATACAAACTACCAACTAGCACTAATTTATTAGGGTCAAATTATTACTTGGTGTAACAACCAAGTAATAATTTGATTTGATTGAAATACAGAAGCATAAAAATTACAATCGAGAAGACGATTATAGGCTATCTATTGACTGGAATCCAGTGATTGATTTAATTAGGCTTTTTCTGTGTATGATATGCATGTATTCACAATATAAAATGTATGTATGTATTTATATCAATTGTTTCGTACCGTAACACAAGCTCTGCTTAGCTTGAAACTAGATGACGTGGTGTAATATCCGATATGTTATATTATTATTTTTGTTGAAGTACAGCTTATGTTTTTTAATTTCCAGATTAGGCGTATACAGAATTTCGGAACGGCGCGGTCTTACAACAGATCAGAATGGACGAACGTCGATATTCAAAGGCGCGGCAGCAGCTGGTGTCGGAGGTGCACTGGGATCGATCGCTGGAACTCCCTTCTTCCTCGTGAAGACTCGGCTTCAAGCCCAGGCAGCGAGGGCCATCGCAGTTGGACACCAACATAAACATACTAGCACTTTTGGTGCTCTCTCTGATATTTACGCCAGGGAAGGATTCAAAGGTTAGTTTAAGCTTTTTAAATTTTAAATTCTATATAGACGCTTTTTCGTGACCGCAAAATCCTAATACACCCTGTATTAGGATTTTTTTTAGGTTTCCTAATTCAGTTACATAAAATCAGCATATAAGAGTAATTTGTTATATCTCAGGTCTCTTCCGCGGCGTGTACCCTCAAATACCTCGAGGTGCGGTTGGCAGCAGTTCACAAATGGTCAGCTTCTCGTACGCCAAGGAGTGGTTGCGGGAACGCAACTTGTTCGCCGAATCGCCGATTATGCTGTCATTCATCGGAGCCAACCTCGGCGGAGTTGTGATGACATTATGTCTTAATCCCTTCGACGTTGTGGCAACCAGACTTTCTAACCAAGGTATAATCTATGAAGATTCTAAGTTTTAATGATATAATATCTCAGGCCAAATCACACAGCGCCATTTAGTTCTAAACTTAGCACAACTTGTGTTATGGGTACTAGACAAAAGTTATAATTACATTGTTTATTTTTTAAATACCATACTTCATATACGTAGAAAACACCCAGACCGATACAATCATACTCATAAATATAAATGTTTGTACCGTGCAAGGAATCGAACGCGCGACAATCAGACATCAAGTAAGGCAATGTGCTAAATCGTTAGAAGGCCAAGGTTTCTTTTTTAAGTATATTTTTTACTATAAAAATGTCAGCAAACTAAATTGGTTTCTCTAAAACAAATTTGAAATATCAATATACGGTTGCTAATAATAACGCAAGTCTTTTAAAGCTTTCTTTCTTCTTAATCCCTTAAAGCAAATTTTTTCTTTTGTAATGTAATGTAATAGACTCAATTGATATTGTCATTCCAAATTTGAGTAATAAAAACTATATAATGTTCCTAAATAGTTTTTTTTACATTTTTTATTAGACACTGACAACTATTGGTATTAAATCCAAATTCATATATCCAATTAGTTACATTTATAAATTTTATATTTTCAATAAACATTTTCAGAAGTGGACGCTCAAAACCGCGGGAAATTGTACAGCGGCATGACAGATTGTTTCGTAAAAATGATCCGCACAGAGGGCGCTGGCTCATTGTACAAAGGCGTAGTAGCCAATTACCTGAGACTTGGTCCTCATACCGTGCTGTTGCTGGTCTGTTGGGACCAACTCAAGATATTAGAAGATTACTTAAGGAAATAATACTTAAAAGAAGAAACAAAAATTGGCCATAAAATCACAAATTATACTTTAAACTAGTGTTTCCCAGCACGGCGCCCACACCCCACAGGGGGGCAAATTGAATGTGAATGTGAATTATACAATTTTCTAGTGTTTCTTCCTAAAACCTGTTATTTAAGTTTCTTAAGTGCACAATCCAATTTTTTAATGTTATAAATTATGTATGTTACATGGGGCGGAGGAGCATAAGAATTTTAAGGGCATGTCACATAAAAGGTTGGGAAACAGTAGTTTAAACGATAACAACTATATACTTATGTAACTTTGTCTCGATCAAACTAACTTGACATTTATCATTATATTTGCCCAAATTACATAAATCTTTTTAAATAATAGCCTATTTGTTATGCTGATCTGTAAGCTATATTGCTATAAAGTTTCATGAAAATACAAACAGTAGTTTTTGCGTGAAAAAGACATCCTTACCTACAAACTTTCACGTTTATAATATTGGTATATCTTACCAAGATATTTTTTTTTATTAGATCATGACTGCAATGTGATTCCTTTGTGTTAATATTCTATATTCTAATATTCTATATTATATCTCAAAAGCATGTTATATCGACAATAGTAGATATAACATGCTTTTGAGAACGAATCGTCGTGTAACTGTTTATTTTGTACGGAAAGATTAACTTCTTAACAAATAATATATAAGTAGAAAAAATCTAGGAAAATATATGATGTAAAAGTGCCTTTACTATTTATAATTGTTAAAATTTATTTATAAGGGGATTGATTCTGTTATTTTGTTTGGATATTTGGTGCTACTGTATATGGGTATAAATAATAATATATTAAATAAAAATAATATTGGTTGTATAAGTAAATCCACTACACACAAATCAATAGCAATTTTTTATGCAACACTCAATAATTTTGATCATTTTGTTATTAGGCTAACGAACATTCCAACTAAAATATATAACGTTTTGATATTACTACAATTTTTTATATTTATTCTTATTGTTATTTATCGTTATATTTTTGTACCTACTGTGCTAGTCACATTATTCATATTAATAAATGTTATTTTTTATAATTCTCAATCATTTTTATCCAACCATAGGCTTACCCAGCTTCAAACAATAGGGATAGAATTAAGTTAGATTTGCTTCTGATTCAAGGGGATAAGTAATTTTAGGCCGGGTTGTGGTTTCTTTAAAAATATATTAGTTATACATGAAATTCTCAGCTGCGCTACCTTGCCCTCGTTAAAAATTGTTTTGTGTCAAGACACTATCTTTATTACAGTTTACTGAAATAATAATAAGAGTCTATTACTATAATTCTATCTAACTTTTGCTCTTCATTCCCTCTAATATGTAGTATATGTATGTATATCACACGAATTAATTTATTTATTATACTTATAAAATCTGTTTATCTTAAAATAATAGTGTCTAGTGTGCGGCTCCTATCTTTATATGTAAATACTCTGTCAATACCAGGTTTTCATTATTATTAATTTTAAGAAATTAGATAAAACCTAAAAATGCATTTTAAATCTGATAGTAGATGGAGAATAAATATGATCATTGAGTATCAGTATAACATTTTTTTTATGAATACTTTAAAAGCACAACATAATGTGTTATATTAGGTTCAGTTCTCCATCTAAAATCCACTTCAACATCCTTCCACAATGGTAAATAATTATTAAGTGATACAATTAAAACAAAGCATTTTCGGCAATCATTTATTTATTAGCACACATGATTTCCGCGCACACCAACTCATACATTTGAGAAATAATACAGTATTATTTAAAAACAAAATAATGGACACCCATCTAAAAGCTTATCTTAATTGAGCGACGGATGTTTATCACAACGTATGGAAATTGAAGATCCAAACACTATGCTGTCACAGATAATTACAGTAATTGCTATTTTAATTAATCATTTTATTCCCAGGCTCTTGTCAATGATGCTATTGCCACTTTCCACGAACTTCCATCATGCTCTTTAAATGTTCATACAACACGACTACAATTTTGTTTTTAATTTGCATCATGTAGGGGGAAAGGGGAAGACCGAGGCAAAACGCCTTCGTATAATTTTCATAAATTCATCGCGCTGTATCAAGTGTCCTAACATTGTCATTGTCTATGTAATATATTAAAAATAGGACAGACCTTATTATTAACCTACTCTTTCATGGCCGTGTAAAAATGTCCTATAACAACATATTCAAGTGTAAACTTATTACTTTTTGCTTTTTAATTAGCTCAGTCACAAACTCAGCGGCAGTAGCATACTTTCAGTTGATGAATGATGAAATTTCACAAAAAAAATTAAAAAAAAGTCATAAAAAAATATTACGGAAAATGAAATAAAATATATCTTTGTGAAATAAGCTAGGTTATTCTATATTTCATAGTGATTAAATATATTATATTGTTGATTAAATAAAACTGGTTGGCTAAAACTTATGATATTACTTAAATATTATATATATGTATATTTAAATATAATTAAATTAATTAGTTTGTAACAAAATTATATTAAATTATTATAATAACAATTTAACTACCTTATATTTAATTTGTATTTATATTTAAAAAAATAGTTGTCATGGTAAAGTCAACAAAAACTATTCTAGAATCTGCAAAAGCAATTAAATTTATTAATTAAAACATAAATTTTAACTTTTCTCCACAATGTGCTTTAAGCTGACAATAGTAGGATATATTACGAAGTTGTTAATTAGAAACACTAAGTCATCGTTATATAAATCTTTTGGAATGGGAAGCAGTATATAGTATATGCCACTACACCAGCAAGATTTGCTGATGTACAGAAAGACGCGCTTAACGCTGTTTCGATTTAGCGCTTCTTTATTTGAACCCGGGGATTCGGAACATAATGGAAAAATGGCAAGGAAATAGTTCAAGACAGCAGCTGGTCTGTCTGTAATAGCGAGCTTAAGGAATTAAGTGAGCAAGAAGAAAACAAAAATATTGATACCGAAGAAAAGAAAGAAAGATAGCCAGCCCCGTTTAACGCTGTTTCGATGGAACTTACTGGAACGTATCCCCTGTGTTAAGCGGGGTCTTACTATATTGAATGATAAAAACATCCCCTTATTTCTTATATAACAATGACTCAAATTACAAATTGCATACAACTGCATACAGTTGGTAAAGACTACACTACTGTAGTAATGACGTCATTACCATAGTTTTCGTCGTACTTTGTTAATAACTACTTTTACAGTTTCTTTGTGCTACATAGAAATCATGTTTGGTTATGCCATTTATAACATTTATTAACAATTTTATTATGTTGTTATTTCGCAAGTGGGTTACATTTGCAGCCAAGGTTTGTATATTTGTAATATTACAGGCAATGTACCCGTAAAGTAGCGCTTCTGTCGCGTCACTGCGAGCGCAATTGTGCATCTAGTCACTTCAAAACAGAAGAAACTGTATATTTGAGCTATACATCTTTGTGAACTGTGCAACATCCGTTTAGAGGAGATCTCCAGGAGTGCGACCCCAATATATAATATATTGGAGGTAATAAACCTTGGATGTCAGCGAAATTGCATATCTCTGAACCAGCGACCGCGCCCTACTATTTGGTATTGTAACCTGTTTTTCTACATTTTTCCATCAACGTCTTTTTATAAATATCTATTTCTACCTAATTGGAGTTATTTAATTGTGCACATTATATTAAATTTGAGCATAACATTAGACGCTAAATATTTAACAAGAAGCTCAAAACCAATCATTAGCCAATGACTTTTCGCATTATATTCCATCTCGTTTAATTTAAGAGATGTCTTGCATCTCGCTTGCACTTAGCTATGTTTTCCATCACATATTAGTATTATAAAACCGAATGTACGGCTGTCTGTCTGCCATTTTGACGACTAAAATAATTAATGGATGTTAATTGACGTAAGGATAGTATCATGAGGACGGACATACGCTATCTTAGATGTCAAAAGAGCAGACAGAGTCGCGGGTAGAAGGCAGCATCAAATAATACCTTTCAGTTTTAAGCTTCTCTCTTATAATCATTAAATTAAATATACAAATATATTATTCTTTAACTTAATAACTAATTTGTTCAATTTGAGAAATGTGTAGCATATTTGACATCACAATTATATATAAATATTTATCTATGTCAATTAAAAAAATATTATTATGACTATAAATATTAGTTATAAATATAAATATATAGATATAATTTACTCTGTTCAAAAATATTTCTTAATATAGCAGATATTTCAAAAAACAAGATAATTACAAGAAACTGTCTTATTTCTGTTAGTGATATCGTGAAAAAATCTATTTTACGAATCTATTTATAATAAATCGATCATTATACGGCAACTGTCGATTGTATAGCGGTTTAGCATACCATTAATTGTATCAGTCTAGGTGTTTTCTATGTATATTGTATATTTATTAAACAAAATGTATTTATGTATGTGTATCAATTATCTAGTACCCACAACAAAAGCTCCGCTTTGCTTGGAACTAGATCACTGTTAATTGTTCAGGACTATTATTATGAGTAGATTCGTTTTCGTCAAAATAAGAGACAACATTGCTGTCTTATTCTAACTCATACCGTGCTTCCCTGCGTCATATCTCTGGCTTAAAGAATTTTATGGGACAGTTTCTATAAACATACTTGTGGTACTACATTATAATATCACTTGGTGTTGTGTAGTCAATAACTTATAGATTTACGAACAAAATCATGTAAAATAAGAAATCAATTTGACAGACTTATTAACACCTTTAAATACGTCTCTATCTTTCATATCTGAAATGCATGAGACAAAACATATATATTGCTATAACTTCTAATAAATAAAATTTTAAATTGTCTTTTAAAGTATTTGGCATTGATTTTCACATATCTAACCAGAAATATATTTTTGTAGTAATCACTTATCCGTTTCATTCAAATTAACAATTAAGTTAGGAAGAAAGAGACAGAACACATAAATAACAAGTTCTGGTCTAAAGCAATGCCGATAGCAATATTTATTATGCGTCCTAATCTGAAATATTTGTCCGAATACGTAGAGTTGGCATTGCAAGGCTTTATAATGCAATATTACTTATTATTTTTCTACAAATAGATAAATTCGCCAGTGTCCTACCCGTCTATACTCAGCGGCCGAACGGCCCCGACGCTGTCATACACTGACACCACGTGTATTGGTCGAACGCGATTTGAAGCCGCGACTGCACAGTTGCGAAACTTGACTCGGTGTTTTGCCTCTAGTTTCCGGGAAATATAGTCTGGGGAACAAAGAAAAATAAGTATCAATATAGTTAATCGTGTCCTAACATGAATCTTTTTATAGTAAATTAAGGTTATTTACCTTTCTCTCACTTAAAAATTACTTGAAATTACATTAATAATATGATTCGATGTGTATATACGCAATCACGCGCGAAATCACTTTCGAGCGTGATTGCCTGACAAAAAAGTAGTTCAATTCAATCCCTCACGATTGCGCGCGCTGCTGATCGCGCATGAAAGAATGCGTCGTGTAAAGGCGTTAATGTTTAAATGATTACTAACTTCTGGAAGACGTAGAGTGCAGCGGTGATAGTGGAGAACACGATGAACGAGTAGGGTCCAATGGCCTCCCGCATGCTGGGGAACGACATCCCCACCAAGAAGTTGCCGCCCCAGTTGGCCAGTGAGCCCCACGCCATGCCGGCCGGACGGGGGCCCACTTCGAAGATCTCTGTTGATTACATAGAATCATATTATACTTTAAAATTTATTAAATTTAAATAAATTAAAATAAAACACATTTAACCAAAAAATAAAAAAGGGTGGACTACCTTTATCACTTAGGGGTATGATAAATACTTTACATCCTATTCTTAAAGCTGCTGAATGCATACACAAAATTGCATAAGAATCTGTCGAGCCCTTTCGGAGGTTTGTTACAAATACTATGACACAAATTTTACTAGTCGTTCCCACAAACGTTGTTTTGCACAATTATTTAATATCGCTATTTAAAAGTAGAGGTCGATGGTAGCAGGATGAAAATTTAGCGTTATACGTTTTTTAAAACTAAATAAAAAGACAATAAAATAAAATAACTTTGGGGTGGATCACCCTTATCGATGAGAGGTATGAAAAATAGATGTTGACCGATTCTTAGATATGCTCACAAATTTAATAAAAATCGAGTATTCTGACACGATAATTTTACATGTTAATAAAACTAACAATGACGAAATATAATACCTGAAGCTATAAAATACGGTATTGGACCGAGACCGAATCCATACACTAGAACGTAGGACAGCACAGCTACCATGCAGATGTAAGGCATCCAAGACAGCGCATCCTGCAAATAAGAAAGGTAAGTTTCTTATTTATTTCATTCAAGCAAATGTTGCGGACGCCTGCGATAAGGGGCCGTTCATTAATCACGTGATGCTTTTAGTGTTTAAGGTACAATCGAAATTTATTTAAGAAAAGTCAACATCAATGGACGGCCTCTAGTATGAATTGGCTGACACCAGTGACGGCTAACAAGCATGAGCTCAGGTTAGTAAGTCCATCGTGATAAATTCGCCAATACTAAAGCCGACCGCCATTTCTAGAATATATTACAGTTAATACACCAGTCACGACCCCATGGTTTTTTTTTTGTTTAAAATCGGTGTTTCTTTTATGTGTGATAACTTCATGTATAAACGGCCGTGCTGAGTATCGAGCTGAGTAGTAACAAAGTAGTAGTAATAATCATATATAATATTGATCTGGACCCACTCACAATGTATATAATAGTGACGCCAAGTACAGCGAGTATGACGGCCGCTGAGTATAGATCCGAGCAGTAACATAATAGTAGCAAATATAACATGCCACCAAGGCGCAAGACAATGTTGACTATATACGGACCACCTGATGGAGTAACCTGACATTGGTGACTCTGCTAGAGTTGTATCACAAAGCGTTTGTGGCCCGGATCCCCACCATTCTGTAGGGCTACTGAGCGAAAGAGGTATCGGTGCTAACGTGACAGATTACCGTCGTCATTGTCGTGACCACAGAGACTATTTTATATCAGTATTATAATATTAATTTATATGTATGTTAGTCTATAAAATATTTATGGAACATTAGTAGCCTGAAATAAATAAATAATCATATACGATATTGAATTGGACCGACTCACAATGTATATCATAGTGACGCCGAGTACAGCGAGTATGACGGCCGCGCTAAGTATGGATCCGAGCAGTAACGGGCGTCGGCCGCACCTCGGTAGCAGGTACAGCATCAGGACCGCGGTGCACACGTTGATGGCGCCGCACCCGATCGTCGCGTACTGAGCGTTTTCTTTCGACAGGCCCGCTTGTTGGAAGATCGTTTGAGAATAATAGAACACCTGTTGGTAAAAGAAAACAACAATCTTTTATAATTTAAATAAACCAGTAATCACCAAATGGTCGAAATTCAACCATAATTAATTAGAATTATTTAAGGTTCCATTGTCAAAAACTAAACTTGTGTCAAATACATGACAGAAGGAGAAAGACCGCGCGCGCCACCAACTCACGCATTCCCGTGTCTAATTATTACAATCGTGCGCTTTAGCGCCTTCTTGTAATAATTACCTATCACTGAATAATGCGGGCATCTGACTATAGAGTAAACACATAATTATAGAGTTATAGATAAAAACTTATTTTTGAAAAAATGTGTCTGTGGAATATAAAATAAAATATTAAAACTTATTTGAAGCGAAAAATACAAGAAATAGTAATATTCAATCACACACGATTGCGCGCGCTGGCTTACCAGCACTAAATTGTGCACGCTCCAGATCGCGCGTGAAAGAATGTGTCGTATAAAGGCAGATTCTATTTAATTTCACATACAAATTATTTGCTGTGTGAAAGCCGATTAGGGCTTATAAAGGCAGCAATAAAATTATACTAACAGCATTAATCCCACTGGTCTGCTGTCCGGCTTGCATGGAGCAGGCGAGGAGTAAGGGCAGCCGCAGCCGCTGGTCGGTGGCCAGTCGTAGCATGCTCCAGCGGTCACCGTCGCCGGCCGCAGTCAGCGCCAAGCGTGCCTCTTCACGCAGACTCTCCACCTCCTCATTGAGGATACTGGCCGACACCCCGCGAACTCGACTCAATTCTGAATTAAGATTTACAAAGAAATTTAATTTAATTAAATGGAACTGGTCTGATTATACGGCTACTGATTAAATGAATTGCAATAGTATTTTATGTACTAGTAGGTTATATTCTGTCTAATTGAATTTATATTTTTGTACAAGCGTAATTGAAAAGAGCTCAGTTTATTATTAGTTCTTCTTGGCTCGAAATCATTCCGAACTGACGGTTGATTTGACATATCATAAAAGTCTGTAATAGACTTACATGTATAAAGATATTTTTAATTGATTTTGAATTGAAACAAAAATACCATACTACAGTATTAAGATACAATATAATTCTTTAGAAAAATAATCCCTTTTTCAAGAGATTTTTTACCTTAATCTGCTTGATATTAAGTATTCTCTGTCAACAAAATCCAATATTTTCATGTGTCTATATTGAGCACGATTATAAATATTTAACGCAAGCAATTCTTACGTATTTTTACAAACTGAGTGCAATAATTACGGAAGTGCTGCATAACAATACCTACCTATAAAATTACAATGGCGGTCATAAATGGTCAAAAATAAAATCCACAGTCGGTGACTGTCGAAGTTCCTGATTTATACGACGATGGCATATGGCCCGCCTGATGGTAAGCGTAACGCTTGCGCCACCAGAGGCAAGACCCGCGCATCGCTGACACTTGTAACGTCGTATATGCCTACGAAGCGGGGTTGAATTAATGAATAATAGTATATATATGAATATATATACAACAAAGAAACAGAGTGCGGAGGGAATTATTTTTTTTAGTGCTAGATAAAAAACAAATTATTATGACTATTCAAAAATGCTTAAATTAAGTTTATTTGAATAAATGATTTTCTATTCTATTCTATTTATTTTTTTGCATCAGGCAACTTAATATTATTTATATAACAATATTAGCCCAGATTACAAATACCTTAAAGACATATAACATATACAGAATTATTAATAATAATACATACCACCCTAAATTTTCACCCTTCTATAACTTCTATTTTTTAATAGAGATATTAATTTATATGGCAAAACAACGTTTCCCGGGTCAGCTAGTAAAATTATGATATTGTCTTGTGGGAGAATGGGATCGTTAGTAATGTATATTAATAACCTCATTACAAAATACTGTCAGGTCAACCTCCACGCGGTTCCCTCTGAACACCATCGAGATATAATTTCTGGTGAATTTGCCATTATAGGCTAACAGACCTGACCTCATCCTAATCTTACCATCCTCCACTGATGCCCCGCCAGCGAATACCGTTAGCAATAGAAATAGAAATATATTACACAGAGCCATCTAGTCCCAAGTTAAGCAGAGCTTGTGTTACTAGACAACTGAAATTAAAAAAAAAAAATCCACGCGGACGAAGTCGCGGGAACAGCTAGTTAAACATATAAACCTCCCTCTTAAATCACTGTTAGATAGCTGAAAACTTTATTAAAATCTATTGAGTACTTTAAAAGATCTAATCGAACAGACAGCGGAAGTTACTTTATTTTATACTATGTAAAGGTAACACTCACCCTCTATAGCTCTATTTTCATTCTTCCTAACTACAAAGAGATATTTTGGACTTTCAGGCAATATAAATAGTATAGGTAAACATAAAATGACTAGCAGCGCGTAGACGGACAGAAGATAAGGCCAATCGTCAGGACCACCTGCAAAAAACAGAACACAAAATTATGTAGAGGACAGTCAAACTGTCTCAAAAACAATAATTTTAATCTGGTAATAAATAGGGGATTTATAAGCTATTTTGTTCGTCAGCGAAAACCTTATATCAAATCAAATCAAATAAATTTATTGCATTCAAACAAAACAGCACATTACATTTTACAGTAAGAATAATAGGGACATTATTATTTCATTTTAGTGTAGTATTACAATTCTTTTTTAGTTGCACAATATAAGTGTTGAAAATGTTCGTTTTGTTAGATAGATCTCAAAATTATATCAAATAATCTTCATTTGTATAATTTAAATAGTTCAAATGCTTACTATATATAATATATATCCCAAAATCAAAATATCTTTATTCATATAGATATATCGACGAACTCGGTGGTCTAGCGGTCTAGTACACCTTACTTCCGATGGTCGCGTGTTCGATTCCTCGCACGGCACAAACATTGTATTCATGAGTATGATTGTTTGTATCGGTCTGGGTGTTTTCTATGTATAATATGTATGTATTTACGAAAAAAAAATATCTATGTATATGTATCAGTTATCTAGTACTCATAACACAAGCTTTAGCTAGCTTAACTTGGGTCTAGATCTGTGTGAATTGTGCTGAGATATTATTATTATATTGGTCTATTACAGATTCAAATGATATGTCAAATCTACCGTCAGTTCGGAGTGCTTTCGAGCTGAGAAAAACTGACAAGTAACTCAGCTCGTATTCTTTTCAAATATTGTTTACAATAATACAGATTCATTTCTAAATTCAAATTTAAAAGTGGAGAATGTTATAGATTTTGATCAAAAACCGACACATGAAACCCGAACACACCAGTCCCCCAAGCAGCACCCGTTCACGAATATGACGGATGAGCAACCCATCATTGCACTCAACCATATTAGAGGAAGCACCACGCCGTCACAAGTTTGAAGTTTAGGTAATCTATATACTATATACATATATATATACATTTAGAATACTATCATAAGTGAAATTGTAGATTAAGTCCATTTATTCGATAGTAAACATGACTTAAATTAAAAAATTTATTTTATTTTAAACAACATACCTAATAGGAACTTAAGTCCCATAACTTGTCCCACTAGTACCCCGACATTGACGCCCATGGGACAAGCGACACCCATTGCGCCGGTGAGGCTCAGTGGGGACAGTTCTGTTAAGTACATTGGCACTAAGCTTGTTGTTAGACCTGTAAAAATATATTATCTGTTTTATATTTTAAGCTTTAAGTTTCATTTTTCATCACCAAGCACCTTGCTTCGTATATTAAATTTCAGTTTATATAGTGAGACAACAGTTTATTTTCTGGATAAGGATGCATGTCAACGTATTTCTCAGAAATTAACACACATGAGCGAAATCACGGGTATCACGTTGTATTCTATATTATTAATAAAGCTGAACATCTATAGGTAAATTCATGTTATAGACGGCCTCGGTAGTCTAGTGGTTTAGCACAGCGGTTTACCTCCGATGGTGGCGGGTTTGATTCCTCGCACGGTACAAACATTTATATTCGCGAGTATAATTGTATTGGTATGGATACTTTCTATGTATATTATTCTAAGTATATCTATCAGTTGTCTAGTACCCATAACACAAGCTCTGCTTATTTTGAGACTAGATGGTGCTGTGTGAATTGTTCAGGTATATTATTATTATTATAATATTTTAATAACTAAATTTTTGTTAATTTATAAAAATATATATTGTAAGCAGCGCTAATAACTAGTTCGCTGTTGTGTTTCTTCTTATTTTGACATAATATAAGTTTTCATTTCCACACATTAGTATAAGTTTTCCTAATTTCGGACAGCTGATCATTGCACCAATCGAACTATTATTAAAAAGTACAAGCAAAACCGTTTTTATTTGTGCTGTATATGTCCAGGTCTCATTATTAACTCACCACCCGACAGACCAACCAGTAACCTCCCCAGGATGAGTAATTCTACAGAGTTCGCAGCACGGCATACCATGAAAGCTAAGGCACCGAATAAGAATAACACGCTGGTCACAATCGTTGCTTTCTTCCTACAACAAATTATTTCTCTTATCAAATAATAAAAACAAAAGATCTTATCACCAGACTCTTTATAGTACAATGGTGGCAAACAAACATAAAAAGAAAAATAGAACTATATAAATAAAGAAAATACATATATATACGATTATTGATAATATAAAAATATAAGAGAAACAAAGTATGGCGATCATAGGAGGCAAGACTATATACAAAACAATGGTTAACTAAAAAAATATAAAAATTTAAACATTAAACAATTGTCGTGCCAGCCATCGGCCTGGATTTAAGGACTCCTATATATCGGGGTACTTCATTATGTCACCAAAGTAAACATGTCACAAAAATTTATTAAAAAGTTTTTTTTATAATCACTGTTCCTTCTATAAATTATAGTTTCTCCAACGACACATTACAGTATTATCCCATACCTGCCTAACTTGTCGGCGAGTACAGCACCAAGGATAGAACCGGTGCATCCTCCCACTATGAATATTGAGACCACGGAAGACCAGAGGACGTTCATCCACTTCTCGTCCAGATACACATCGTACCGGCTTATGAAGCTCTCGTTGCAGAACTTCTTTATAACCTGAAAAAATAGAAACCAATAAATATTATAGGACAGCTCTAATTAAGAAATAGTCTAATCAAACTGACTATATACTATTTGTTTATATTTGATATCTCCCAAATACGACAAATATTATATACTATTTGTTTATATTTTCAGTCATATGTCCTAAAAACAATAAATATGAAACTTAATGATCTAGTAAATAATTGTAAGCAAAATTAATATGTTTACAATTTCTATAAGAATTATATCTTGCTAAGAATATCGATTTTTAAAAGAAATTTTATGGCTATAACTTAATTACTGGGACAATGTGTATAAACACTATTAATAAAAAATGTATTACACCTCGTCGTGCTTTTGCTGTTTAGGTCAAGAACATTATCGCGCGGTGGTATCACTTACCATTGTGCTATTGTGTATGATGTGATGAGGCGTCGCTACATCATTTATTTGTTTCTAGGTAGTGAGTATGCAGGTGAAATAATTGTACTATTTATTGTACATTAGTTAGTTTATAAGATAGGGTGCTACATGGTTTCTTAGTAACGCGTACATTTGATGCGGAGTCGTAACGTGGACTGACTTTACACTGAACTTAAATCTATGTTACCTGGAAAGGTAGTAACGGAAGGGTCTCGAGTGTTGCCAAAAATATTATAAGTGTAGGCACTACATCATCATCATCTGCTTCTTACTTATCCCATTTAATTGGGGTTGGCGTAATAGTGTAGGCACAACATACAAGTGCAAAAAAACATTACCCTCCTTTTTTAGACAGTAGGGTAAAAATAACATTGTTGTTATTTTAGGTCAATTCCTATACATTAGTTGTTGTTTTCAGTAGCGTGCGCGAATACGCTATCAATGTCAAGGTCACCTATCACGCCACCACTATTGCATCACAAATTCATTAAACAGCATAAATTACACTATTTATCAACAATATAACGAAACATCAGTTTCCTTTATATAATCAGTATTAACTGTCCTGGCAAACGTTGTATATAAATATGAAAATAATAGTCAAATCCATACAAATTAATGTCGCTATTAATAAATAGGGGTTGATGGTAGAATGGTGAAAATTTAGGGTTGTATGAATTTTTAATACCGATTCAAAAAAAAAATTAAAAATATATTTAAAAAAAATATTTTTGGGGTGGACTACCCTTATCATTTAGGGTTATAAAAAATAGATAAGAACGTATTCTCAAAGCTATAGAGTATATATATAAAAATCCTTCAAAATTGGTAATCGATATATAAAAATTCATGTAATACAATAGTATTTCTTTATTTTTAGATATATGTATTATCTAACATCAATATTATAGCTTTAGAAAGGTTATATTTCACATCAAATAAAAACTTTCAGACAGTCAAGGAACTCTTTTTACAATAAATATATCTGAGATATATTACCTCAGCAGGGGTATTAACAACTCCGATGTTGTACCCAACCGGCAGCGACAAGCCCAGAGTGGTAGCCACCCCGGCCAGCACCAAGTAAAACGACCATCCACCTTTATACTCGTTCGACTGTGTCAGCTGCTGGTGTTCATTGGCTACCTGAAAAAGACAAAGAGAACCTAAGAACCAAAGCTGTCATTATTCAAGGGTACAAGAGATGCAGCGGCACCCGGGTTCCTAGGAGGTGCCGAGAGCTAGAAATCAGGTTATTGCAAAGTTCGCTACATCAAATGCATAAAAATATGATATACTAATATTAATATACTAGTGTGTTGATTTTCGTTTGTGTATTTTTTTGTAAATTACAATTATGAGAAATTAAATAATTATAAGGTTAAATATATAGATTGCGTTTCTTTTTACAAAAGTACAGGCGTGGAATGTTTAAGACGGCACTGCTAAGAACGTTATTATTGCGAGTATATACGACCTCCAATGAACTGGTACCCAAGGAGGTATATTGGTATTTGTTTGGTGTCTAATACTAAAATATTGACATATTTATAAGACGTGCATATTATTTATTTGGCCTATCTCAACTCAAAAGAACCCAACTACAACAGGTATACTTAGCTATCATAATTTTACATAGAGTAGTTTACTCTTTGCAGTGTCACCTCATTATTCTCTTAGCCATACAGATTTTTATTAGGCGGTATTGCGCTACTGTCAGGTGCTAAGACCTGTAACACAGCGGCCTGCATCTATTGTGATCGCCCTTTTTCAAAATTCACTACCTAGACCCGTTAGGAACAAGAATTGAAGGATATTCTTAGAAGCGATGGTTTTTATCTGTTCAAGATAGAGTGTATACTTTCTAAAATATTTAGTTTATGCATGCACTCATGCATAAACTAAATATTTTACATTACATATTCTACACATCCTATGTGGTTGTAGCCTGGCTACAACCACATAGGATGTGTAGTGGCGTTTCCTCTTCAATATCTGCAGATTGTTGTTAAGCTAAAGGCCAATTTCGGCATGAGTTTATTCAAATTGCAGTGTCCAATGAGGACCCTAGTCATGATGCACAGAGTACTCATCCGTTGCCACTAAGGACTAAGAGAACTGCACGACTGTCATGAATATACTTTATAATAATAATTTATCTGTATCTATTTATCTTCATACCAGGTCACTTATGTTAAAACCAGTGTCAATGCCTTCTATACCTAAACACAATTAAACAGGAGTTTATATTAAAATATTTTATTTTTCAGCGATTAATATCGATGCGTAATGTTTGCACAGATGTCAACCTCTCTACAATAGAAAACACTTTTATTTTATCTAACTAATGCGTAAGTATTTCATTATTATATGTACCATTCATATACAATTTGTAATGATTCATTGTTAATAATAAATACAGATATTTAAACAGACAGGCCTTATTCTTATCAATAGAAGTATCTTAACTAATATTAAATGAGAAACTGATTAAATTTATTTGTATTATCATCATTGAAGGCTTACATGCCTTCATTTACATACTTTTCATATCGGCAATCAAATAGAGAAAGTCATTTGCAAAATTAGTTATAAATTAACCAGGTCTAAATTAACCCGGGTGATGGAATAAATAAAAGAAGTTATTTTTTTTAATTATTTATGGTGTTTTTTAAATCCAAACCGCGGAAGGACCTATGGAGCGGCTGAAAACTAACTCCTGCTTGACGGATACAAATTTAGTTGTATGCACCGCTAGGGGTTCGGTATCCGGCACGGGGCTGATTAAGGAAATTATTAAGTAATCTAGGCAACTATCTTGGGTACCATAACCCTCAAAATAATTGTACTATTACTATTTTTAATTAATACTGTTGTAGATGTCAATTTGTGAAAAGCCCCTGTTCCCCAAGAATTGCAATTCCTAAGCGCCCAGAAATGGTTAAACGGCCTTGTACTCACGCCATTTTTGTTTAATATTTTGTTACCAACTGGTACCCCACAAATTTGGTATTATAATTACCATTCTAATGACCAGACATACTACAATTAATTATGCTAACGACCTTATGATCTACAAATAATTTAAAAAAACATTACACAGACAAAGCCAGCTTACATGAATGCAAAAGCGTATAAAGACAGAACAACTTACAAATAGACAGAGTAGACTTTTAATCACCATTTAGACAATAAGCACAAGCAAAAGTTATTTAAGTCCTTAATCACTATCTGATCACCACTTGGTTGTGCACAGGGTGAACAGAGCTACAATAGAGTCGGCAAGGGCAGGAAAGACTGAGCAGACGGCAAATATCGGCCAGTACCAGTCACACAGCCACCCATCAAGTACAAAGTACGTAAGTACGATTGCCGCAGAACCATGAGCGCCAATAGCTGAGTACGATTTAAGGAAAACTTAGTAAATAATGTAAAAATCTATGTATTATTTAGAACAGCGTCAGTGGAGTGGTATTGTTTTTTTGTAACCCTGATAGAAATCAAGTGATTTCAAATTCTGGTCTACACCAATAAACCTTGTGTATTAATTAATAGTTCTAACTCATTGATAATGGCGGGAAAGGGGATTGTTAGTAATGTGGATTAAAAACCCCATTGCTAGTGGTGTACAATATCAAGTGTCTCCACGCTCCCTTGGAAACCATCATGTCAAATTCCTGGTGAATTTGCTACGAAGGCTAACAAACCTGACCTCATACTCATCTTATCATCCTCCACTGGTGCCCCGCCAGCATACACCTTTGGCGCAGGCGAGTGCACCATTGCATTATCATCCCTCAAAAAAGTCTCTGATAGTGATTGAATAATTGAGAAACAAATTAATGCAAAAGGCCGCGGTAAGCTCGTCTTCTGCTGCGTTAAATTAATACACGCCCCAATTGAAAAATACAAAGAAGCTAACAGCTACTTGGTAAATGGCAATCGTCGCCTATATACATGGACAGCAGTCGTCACGTCGACCATTAAGACTAAAACGTCAGCACCCTGTAATTATTACACTACATATCTTACACTTCAAACCGTAACACAGGCTACTAAGCACACTGGCAGCAGAAATAAGTGAGACAGCAATATCGACGCAGACAACTTTGTATAAAGTCTTCTAGTGTATAGTGCAGAAACCATATGTATAACGCTTAATTTGTACCAATAAATACACTCTATATCCGGTCTCTAGAGTACTAGTTGGTCCTCCCAATAATCCATTTTTACACCTCCCCCTTTATATATATGGTCGGTGCACTATACACTACAGTCTAGCTACATTATAACTAAGGTTAATAAAGGATACAAATTAATGAGACAGTTGGCGAGAACATGGTTAGCCCAAGCACGAATGTGGCCAGCTCCAACAGCAATAGAGCTATTGAAGTTGCGAAGCCCGCAACCAATCTGAAATCATGCACATGCCGTTACTAGACAATCCCACATTTTATTCACAAACATAGACTCCTGCCTGACCGAATCGACATGATTTCGTTTCAGAATAATCATACCAATATTAAGTGTGGATTGACAGATGGATGGATGTCTGTGTTGACTGAAACTGAACTGATTGACTCAAAAACTACTGAATTTTAATTAAACTTTACAATAATATACATTAACTTATACATTAAAATAACACATAGACTGCAAGTTTGTCACAATCGACTAACTGAGCTAACCTCATGTTCATATCATCATTCTCCACTGGTGCCCAGGCTGGGTATACCGTTAGTTTAGATGGGTGCACCATTCCATTATCATCTATTACAACATATACCTACATGTTTGTATCGGTCTACCCAGACCGTTACAAACACGTATGAATACGTACGTTTGTATAGTGCGAGGAATCGAACCCGGGATCATCGGAAGTAAGGCGGTAGTCTTCATATAACACATAAACTATGTATATTTTGTGAAGTTTAATGTTACACACATGCACTTGTACACGTATCATTTATCCTTTTTCGAGAATTTCTATTATTTTAAAATAAATGAGAAAGTCAATAATTATAATTTAAAATATTGAAAGTCCTTGAATTATATTTTGAAAATATAAGTCAGACGCCAGCAGAGTCAGATAAAAAATTAGTAATGAGAATTCTCAAAACATAAAAACCATATTTTATACTCATTACTCTATATACCTGGAGCAATGAAGAATAAAAAAATATACACAAACAAAACAATTACCCAAAAAACACAAACAAGAACATGCAAACAAACATATTATTAACCTTTTTCTCGTCATGTTGTCGCACCATTTTACTATAAATTATATGTGAACAAAACACTCGACTCGACTTAACACCCAATAACGCATAAATGAGTACCTAACACAGTCACTTCTGTGTAACTGTCTATTACACCTTGAACTCGGGGTCCGACATTACCTATACGCATCGTATTGTATTTTAATCAATAGATATAGGAAAATAAAGTACATTTTAGTTTTTCATCCCAATTTTAATGCAAATGAAATCTTTTTTATTTTTTTATATAATGGAATGGCAAATAATCTAACGGGCCACCTTATGGTAAGTGGTATCTGTAGCCTCAGCATTAATAGCACTAAAGACATTACGATATTATATGTATGATCCCTAAACACCATACCAAATGTCGGATTGTCCGCTCCAGAGACACTGGATATCGCTGTACTGCGGACTCATTGCTTCTGGACGTGGAAATAGGCATAAATATATGAATGGAATGAATAAAATTGTAATTTACTAACATAATATGGATACATATCCGAAATAAATTAATAAATAAAAATAAAATTATTGCCTCGTGTGCCCTTACCCCCATTTCGATAGACCAAGATGTAATGCCTTCATCCTCTCTTGGAATTGACGGCCTCTATAGTCTACCATTTACCTTCCGATAATCGCTGGGTCGATTGCTCGCAAAGTACAAATATTTGTATTCATAAGTGTGATTGTTTGTATTGGTCTGGGTGTGCTAACACGCTAGACCACCGAAGCAGTGTGAGAAATGATTGTGTTATTACTTCTCTAGTATTCTATTATGCTGTACTACTTCTATCATGCTCTTTACAGTCAGGATAAGCGTGCAGTGATGATAAATTCCTTTTTATGGTAAACTACTGCACTCTGCCAGTATACTATGCAGCTAATGGAGACACGGGCTGGAGGAATAGACTAAGGATCCATTTCCAAAGTGAATATAATAAGTAAATTACGTTACAATATAATACATAATAGTGATACATATATGTAATAATATAATAATTATTTTATTTTATTTCACATATTTTATACAAATAATTTATGGAGTCCCTGACTTCTGAGGTAGGTCTAAGAAATACCGGTGTTTCAGAAGTCAGTGTCCTCTACGATATTTGCTCTTATGCATTCATTGTAGATCTTAGAATTCATTCAGAGCGATAATGAGGACAGGTGATAAAGATCTGGGAAGTACTATCAGGCGATTATACATTCTATAACAGTACATGTAGAGATGGTTATTCTGTGGTTAGTAATACCACAGACAACATAATATTACATAGTAATACGAATTGGGGTCAGTCGCGATAATCGCAGCGTTATTGCAGCGTGGTGTCAAGTCACATGCACCGCGCCCCCTCTTACACTCATCATATAGCTGAAAACGCATTTTTACTGGAACCTTATTGGCTTATTTGACGGCCTCGATGGTCTAGCGGTATAGCACACTGCCTTATTTACGACGGTCGCGGTTTCGATCATCGCACGGTAGAAACTTTCATGAGAATGATTGTCCGTATTTGTCTGTCGGTGTCTTCTATGTATGTGAAATGTGTTTTAAAAAAAAGTATTTAAGTATTTTTGTCAGATGTTAAGTACCCATAACACATGCTCTGTTTAGTCCCTTGAACATACACAACCACAGTTTGTGAGAATACATGGATGTTTGTTACTTTTTCACGCAAAAACTACTCAATGGATTTCAAATGACAAGTCGACTAAGTTACACAGGCCAGCTACTATGGGAAATAAAGTTAAATAAATGAATAAAATATGTCAGGTCACATTTGTACTGTAAAATCACTAAGTTATTTAATAAATAATGTAATAAAATAAGTACCCTAGACAATTCACACAGCAAAATCTAGTCCCAAGCTAAGTAGAGCTTGTGTTATTGCAGGTACAACTGATACAAACACATACATACTTTTTCTGTAAATACTTTTCTATGAATCAATAAAAAAATACTAGGACATTTAATAAATGAATGTTTAATAAGTCATGATTGAAAGTTTTTTAAAGAATGTTGTTGCGTTTGCTGCACTTCTGTAGTGCATCCACAATGTTTGCAGCAGCATCTACTGATGACCTGTATACCATCAGCCGCAAACGGATCTCCTTTCTATTGCACAGACTGTCTAGCAGCAGTAACAGCATTCTAAAAATGCTGTGCGATAAATTTGACAGCCCAATACTTTATTTTTGGACTCAAATTGTTATGGGGGCCCTTAAATGATAATATGTAGTTTTAGGTCTACTAACATAGCCTAAGTACAATTGTTAGTAACAAATTGGATCTCTGTTATCTGAATAAATAATTATGATTAAACTAATTCTTATTGGTGCAGCCCTACAAACACAAACATACTACAAATGCACATGAGGAGCGATAGTGCAAATCAAAACATTGTTAACTGCATTTAACCAGTACAAACTGTAATCAATCTAATCTAAATATACTTACGTAGGTTTGTTTTAAACAATACATTTTATTAGTATATTAATTATTAGATTAATTAATGAAATACAATTTTAAATCTGATATTTATTACTCTGTCTTTTCTTTTGTTAATCGCCTAACTAGTCAACTTTGCTATTTAGCAACACAAAATCCTTAAAAATGTAATTCTAAACAACATTTATTTAAAAGAGCAACACACAAGTTTCTTCCTCATACTTTTTGTGCTGAGTCTGCCTTCCGAATAAATGGTAGAATAAAAAATGTATCTATTTACTACTATATGTGTACTTTTGAAAAAGTACACATATTATGTTTATTTCAATAAATATTATTTCTATTTCTCAATATATATTTAGCTCTGTCTGCCTTGTATTCTTACCTCTGTTGTTGCAACAACAAGGATAGGTGACTTAAAATAAAGTAATCAGAATATAGTCTTTGAATTAATCAATAACTTTCTGTCTACATTTATTTTTTACATTTGGACCCGGGTGACAATGTACCAGAAAGGCCCAGATGGTTTTCCAGAAGCCATGGGACCAGTAAATGGCATACCATCAGAAAATTAGTTTTGTATGAACAAATCATCTGACCAAAATCGTTTACACTTAGGTCGCCGTGATGAGTCTAGGTCTTCGTCTAGGCCTGCGCCGTCCTCATAACCTACATACCGCCATACTTGCGGCAAATCGCGCAAACCTGATCCGAGGATACTCGACTATATAGCCGATCCGACTCTTCATATGACCTTCAATATACACACAAACGTAAAATATTTCTGCAGAATCATGACTGAAAATTTGCTCCAAATTTAGAACTAGTGTATATAATAAAACAAAGACACATTTTAGACTACAAAGGTAAAGAGACAGTGGGTTGCTACACTCACCGGCTGTGATATATCGGAATATAGTTGTTGTGGAGACGGGGTGTGCAGTGCCGAACTGTCTGATGGCTCTCCCATAGCAAAGTCACCAGCACACACAGGTGACCAATAAGGGTTAAAAAGCGGGCTGGTATTAACGTACTAGCACCTCTCATGCCTTTTTATATATATTTTTCAAGAACAAGAACAAATATTGCAGTTATAATCACAAGTAATAAAATTATTCAGTTTTTTTTATAATTTCTCTTGTTTGTACTATGTTGTCAAGGTGACGGCATGGCACAGCAGAAGGATAATGGCACAGCCTGCAGTTTTGACACTGACACTAGTAGTTAATTGACATTTGTTTATCAGTTTCATGCTTATTTACTCAAACACAATTATAAATACAATGACGTTTCATTTTCTTTATAAATGTGATATGTTTTAATTAGGATAGAGGATTTAAAAAGAAACAGATTATTACACTTTGTCGGGGACAACAATTTTATAGCCTTGTGTCATAAAACTACAGTAAAAACTACGATGAATATTATTGTCAATGTCTTTGCACTGTCTGTCACAGAGTTGAAATGTTTGTCAAGCGGGTCTCAATGTGTTATCTGTTTATATAAAATTATAATTTACAACAAACTATTTTATATTAGAATTTGAACATAATTATAGCTAAACTATCACACAAATGAAGCTCTTAAAACCCAGTTGGGTCAATCACGATGGTAATTTCTTCTTTTTATTTTCCCTCCTAAAATAAAACTTATATAAATAGTTGTATACTAAAAAAGTTTATTTACTATTTTAATTGTTCCTAATAGTATTTTATATGTTATTAATATGTATTTTATTTTAGATAAACCAATATTTTCGGTTGATATCCATCCCACTGGAAAACGGTTCGCGACCGGCGGACAGGGCGGCGACTCTGGCCGGGTGGTCGTGTGGAATCTCAGCTCGGTGCTGTATGAGTCGGTCGAGGTGAACCCCAATATCCCCAAAATGCTGTGTCAAATGGATAACCATCTAGGTTAGTTTTATTTTTATCATTTAAGAGCTATACTGACTGACGTCTAAGAACCAATTCAATTGTAGCATAGATTAAAAAAAATATTTACAGAAAATCAAGAAAAAAAATTCAACTGTCATATTTGTTTATATACCTAGTAATTGATACCATTAAGTCATAATTGCCCTGCCTTGTAAGTGATAATTGTTGCCATATAGGTACATTAACTCCCCTATCCAGTTCATGTGCATAACACTATGTAATTACTACTTGTCACAAAGTGTGCACAATATAGTGACTGCCTTGACTCACCATGTAAGCTCAGCAGTTACAGTGATGCACCATTTCGATTGTGGCATTGTAGTTGCCAAGTTCTAGTCAAAGCATGTTTAACTCGTATTTGTATGAAGATACAGATAGGCCTATGTCCAGCAGTGGACGTCTTCCGGGCTGCGATGATGATGATGATGATGACAGATAGTCCTAAGGTTGGCATCCCTGCAACAATTATTTAAAAAAATTGGAAAATTGAATTTTACTTGTATATATTTCCAAGGAGAAGGAGGAGCTCGCAAGATAATAATAAGTCACATAAATAATATAAATATTTATAAAAAAAATTATGTATAAATTTCCAGGAACATACCTATATTTTATGATAAAAAATTAATCTTTTACCCAACATTGTTTTACTGCTCTATAATTTTTAGTTGTTACTGCCTATTCTATGTAATGATAACATTCTATGAGTGATATTGTTATCAGTAATTATTTTGTTAGCCAGAATTTCATATTTTACATGAATTATGGATTAATTATTGCCAATATTGATGGCAAATATGCCTTTTCATGAAATAGGCATGATGACACTATCTAAGAATGTCCGAAAACAGGATTTCATGTAATTTTATATGATAGGCTGATACATATTTAAATATTTATTTTTAGTTTACAAGCGACATTATATTTATTTTAGTAAAAATAAAAATGCCAAACATATAAATCCACCATGATAGATCGAACACCGATTTTGGTTACTCATTTGTAAACAAAATCAGTGTTGTCAATGAAATGAAATGAAAATGTAAACATGTATATAGTACTATACTATATAAGTTCTCACAAAGTTGTTTCGCGTTATTTGTAAGTTAAATAACTTCTTTGGCGTTTTTATTATTGTATTAGTACATTGAGGGACTGCACACCATTGATACACATTGGGATTAATGATTATTGCGCTTAAATCTTCAAAAACTTTCAACAAACACACATATAACTCTACTATAAGTTGTCACTTGTCAAGTGTTTACGAATGGTTGACGTCATAGGCGACGCCATTGCTATTCTAACGTTTTTTCGCGAAATCTAAATTGTATTTTTCTATCAAATTCTTAAAATTTTTTAAAAATATGATTTATTTTGTACAAAGATAGAATGTGAAAACATCTTGGAATGTTTTTTAAAAATCAGTCATCATGCCTATTACAAAGCAATAAAATTTTATACAATATTAGCTGACCCTGCAAATATATATTTGCCTATAATTTAAAATCACTATTAAAAAATTAGGGTTGACGCTAGAAGTACGAAAATTTATGGTTGTATGTATTTTTCAATGCTATATCATAATGAAATATTATGTAGACAAAACAAAAAAATTAGGGGTCAACAACCCTTATCACTTACCTCACCATAGTTATGAAAAAATATGGACATAAAATTTCATCAAAATTGGTCAAGGAGGAGGAGTATGGTAACTAACATTGTGACAAGAATTTTATATATAATGTTACTATGACTTCAGCTCCTTTTTTAGAGATAAATGTGTGTATCAGATATTGCATTTCATTAAAATGTGTTCAACCTTTTTCCGCAGTTGGGGAAACAAACTTTCCCATTTATAATATTCAGTATGGATTGAATTATAGTATACTGAAATATAATCTGTACGAATATTATAAATAGGTAATATTTGTATGTTTGTTTGTTCGGGGTAATCCCAGTTGTGATGATCCGATTTTTAAAAATCCATTACTGTCAGCAAGGTAAATTATCCCCGAGTTCTATAGGCTATATAACATCACGACATGCAATAGAAGCGGAGCAGCAATATATAATATGGCATAAAATATTCATTTTAAGTGCTTCAGTTGCGTGCTCTGCATAAACGATTAAAGTTACACAACAATAAGTTCTATTGAAAAATCCGCGATAACTATCTTTTAAGATTAACTCACTTTATTTATCGTAATCAAAATTCTTCTAAAATAATGCATTATTTGTGAAGGTCTATATCTATATATCCAAATATGTTAGTGTGGAACAGTTTAGAAGTTAAGCAAATTGGACCTACTGAGATTGCGCTGTGTTTATGTTCGCTGATAAAAGCAATTTAATAAATAGATTCCTCTCAGTTGGTATTTATTTGATTGTGTTCATAATTTTTAAGAATTGTTAAGATTAGATTGTAATAATAAGGTTGACATGTTTAAAAACAATCGCCCCAAAATAAATTTAGATTAAAAAAATATATATTGGACCCCTGTGAAGCCGGGGCGGATTGCTAGTTATACTATAAAATAATATTTTTAAATTTGTATTAAGTTACACAATTATTGAAATATCTCCTTTGGAAAGTATACACTTTATCCTGAGCTGATAACTACCATCACTCCTAAGAATATCCTTCAATTATTGTCCCTGAAGATCTAGGTACTTTAAAAAGGGCGAGCACAATATGTCTATGCAAAATCTATATAAAAACATAATTGTTCATTTTAAAAATTTCATTATTTATATAAAATACAATTATAATGTTAATTAATTGTATTGTCCTCTTCGAACCACACAAGTCTCACACACTTTGAAACATAATGAGTTACTGATGTACAATTTATACTTTTTTTTTCCAGCATGTGTAAACTGTGTGAGATGGAGCAATGGGGGTCGTTATTTGGCTTCCGGAGGTGATGACCGACTTGTCATGGTCTGGGGACTGAGTGTTTTAGCTGGTGCACCTGGTAATAATAAAGCTGAAACCTGGAGATGTCTGTCGACACTTCGAGGCCATGCAGGTTGTTTTCTAGTTTATTGATAAAATAAATACATAAATAACTCTGGATAATTAACACAGCGCCATCTAGTCTTAGCTGGGGACTGGGTGGCACTGTGGGAATTGTCCTGAAACATTATTAGTATTATTATTTCATCATGGAGTCTTGTTTTCTGTATTTTTTTAATATACCTGTCTATTTTTTTTCAGGTGATGTCTTAGATTTGGCATGGTCACCATTGGACAAATGGTTAGCAAGCTGCAGTGTAGACAACACCATAATAATATGGAATGCTGAGAAATTTCCGGAAATGGTCTGTGTACTGAGCGGACACACTGGTCTTGTTAAGGGTGTTGCTTGGGATCCGGTGAGATGTTTTTGAGTTATTATTAAACCGGCTGGATGTATGCTGAAGTCATTTAATTATCTTTATAGGATTTGTTAGTATTATAAAAAACTTGGTAATTCTTTAAAACAAATAACAAGTTAAAAGGTATACAGAAAATTTTAAACAATCGGTCACTAACACATTATATAGGTATATAATGTGTTAGTGACTGTTTAAAATTCGGTGTTTTCTAATATATATTACATATATAATTTACAAAGGTATTTACCAAATAAATTGTATTTAAGTATTTATATATTGTCTAGTTCCAACACACATAACTTACTTTACTTAACTTAGAACCAGATGCGCTATGTGAATTGTCCATGTTTATAAAACTAAAAGATTAATATTAAAGCAATGTTTTATATATGCAAGATTTTGCAGTGCCCTAGTGACGCTGGAGGGGATGCTTCAAGTCAGGTCTCTAGACTACAGGGTAGGGTTCACGGATCTAGACCCCGTGATGATCACCCATACGATGGGCCGACCAAGTGAAAGCAGCGGCAGGTAATCCACTCCACAAGTCTACCAGAATAGCAGCCAGTTGAGACAAATGGCGCTCTGGCGTAAGGCAGATAACATCTGCCTCCAATAATGTGGAAATAATACTCTACAGGGTAGGGTTAATAGACCCCGTGATGATCACCCATACGATGGACCGACCTACTACTCCACTAATTAATAAAGCATATAAAATGTATGGTTATGTTATGAGAACCTGTGTTAATTTTAAAAGCCCTTCTACTTACTTATATTTATACAAAGTCTTATTCGCTCTCAATTAGAATATGCCGTAACAATGGAACCCTTTTTACAATATATAACTGTTCTGTTAACAGCATTTTAAATAAGAAGTTCCTACATTAGGTTAATCCGTATTGTATCAGTACTGAAATGAATTTAATAAAATTTATTTTATTTGTTGCAGGTTGGTAAATATATTGCATCCCAATCAGATGACAAGTCATTAAGAGTATGGAAGACTGCAGATTGGGCACAAGAAACTGTGATCACTGAACCATTTGAGGAGTGTGGAGGTGACCAAGTTATTTTTACATTAGTTGATGTTGTTTCATCTATTAAATAGTGATAATTAATCCCATTACCTCTCCACGTAAATTCTTCTCTTCTGTTGACTTTTTTGCTACTTGTCTCGTTCCTTTACATGTGACACACTTGTTTTGTACTTACATTATGTGATTTTGTGTATTCAAATACCTACTTTATATGTATATACAATATTATTATTGCATGTTGTATATATTTATTTTATATATAATATTTTACATATATATATTTGCTAGCTATTCACATGCCTACCACTTTTTGTCGTTTTCTCTACCCAAAGGTTGTCTAGAAGAGATTGCTTGCATACGATAAGACCACCTTTTATGTATTAATCTCTCTTCAGTATAATTCTTGTATTAGATGTTTGATGCAAGAAAAAGTTTATAAATAAACTAACTACTCGCCCCGGCTTCGCCCGGGACTACATGTAATATAAACCTTCCTCTTGAATCACTCTATCTATTACAAAAAGCGCTTCAAAATCCGTTGCGTAGTTTTAAAGATTTAAGCATACATAGGGACGGACAGACAGCGACAGTGACTTTATTTTATACTATATAATGATGAATAGTTATAATTAAAACGACTTTAGAAGTATTAAGTAACTTCTAAGGTAATTACAATTTCCTATAAAAATAATTATAAGTAGGTAAATATAATATTAATAGCCCTATTGAATATTTCCAGGTACGACGCACGTGTTGCGGTTGTCTTGGTCGCCGGACGGACAGTACGTACTGTCTGCGCACGCGATGAACGGCGGCGGCCCCACCGCCCAAGTAGTGGAGCGGGATGGCTGGCGCTGCGACAAGGATTTTGTTGGTCATCGGAAAGCTGTCACTTGTGCGGTCAGTATCTAATTCTCTCATATATCTAGGTGGTCTAGCGGTTAGCAATAGCTTTAGTTTGGATCAGCACAGATTCGATCCGTCGGATACATTTGTATTCGTGATTATGATTATTTGTATCTATGTATATTATGTCAGTATTTATAAAATACTAGCCGCTCGCGTTAATTTTCATACGAAGTTTCATACGAATTTTCATCCCCTATTTTATCCCCTTGGGGGTAGAATTAATCAAAATCCTTTCTTAGCGGATGCCTATGTCATAATATCTACCTGCATGCCAAATTTCAGCCCGATCCGTCCAGTGGTTTGGGCTGTGCGTTGATAGGTCACTATGTCAGTCACCTTTGAGTTATATATGTATATAGATATAGATATATATATCTAAGTGTTTACATCTGTTATTGAAATCAGTTGTTAAAACGGTGTGCAATCGCTAGATCACCGAGGCTGTCAGAATAAGTATTAATTAATGAATAGAATACATACCTGTTTAAAAGAAAATTACAAAAGCCATACCAGGGGCACCAGCGGAGGTGAGGTCAGGTCAGTTAGCCCATCGTAACAAATTCACTAGGATTTATGGTGGTTTCCAGGGGGAACCGAGTGGAGGTCCAACTAATATGGTACATTGCTAGCAATGGGGTTATAAGTCCGTAAGTAAATTTTTGACGGTAGTCATAGTACGGAACGGACGTGTTTTTGGATAATCAATATTAATTAAAGTGCAATTAAATGGAGACGAAGTGTAATGGCTGCGAGGCCATAATTTATGATATTTCTTACATGGAGTGTTCAAGGGAAGCATGTAAAAAGTTATTTCACCTAAAGTATCTGGCTATGTCCTTGGAGACATTTGAAGCACTAACTCAGGAATACAGAAATCAATGGGTATGTCCAGAATGTGTGTGTTCTAACCCGAAGCGAGACAACTCAGATACTCCAGTCAGAGGAAGCATCATAAATCAACCTTTTACCCCCGGTTATTATGTCAACACTACGCGGGGTAATCGATATCAAGCGGAAACATCGTTGATAGAAAATGAAAGTAAAGTTTTAGAAGAGATGCGAGAATTCCGAATCGATATGGTGACTAGACTGGCTAACCAAATGGCTGCATTCGAGTAGTAGATGGATACAGGCCGATAACAATACAGTCAACCCTTGCCAAGGTTTTTGAGTCCGCATTGCAAATGACCATGTATAATCAAGTAAAGGCGCAACTATCAGAAGCACAACACGGTTTCCGGCCATATAACAACGAGTAATTTGATTCTAATATATACATGACAAAGCTCGTACCGGCAGTGGACATAGGGCAAGTAGATGTCGCTTATTTCGATTTTAGGATAGGCGTTTGATGTCGTGGATAATGACATATTGCTAAAGAAGTTGGCTGGCGTTGGATGTACTCCGCATATGTTGCACTTCCTATCAAGCTACATGACTGACAGATGCCAGTATGTTGAGTACGCAGGATACAAGTCTGAACCATATTTTGTCAGGTCATTTTCGGTAAGCCATTAGGTCACTTGTTTGGTATCAGTACTCTGGAATTCATCATCATGGTCAATGATTTACCAGAGGTTATTACCAATTCGAGCTGCTTACTATTCGCCGACGATCTAAAAATTTTTCGATCGATCAGAAGCCCTGCCGATTGCGATCTTTTTCAAAGGGATATAAATAGTTTTGGTTGCATGGAGTAAACTTAATAAACTATACTATTAATACATCGTTGTATATATGACAATATACTTTTACATATATATATAACCCAATTCATCATGGCTATGAAATTGACTCGTTAAAGTTAAAAAGAGTAACAGAAGTAAAGGATTTAGGTGTTAAATTTACCGCCGATCTGAAATTCAGGGATCACATAGTTAGTATTTGTAAGAAGGCATATAGAAATTTAGGGTTTGTACTTCGTCGATCAGTTAATTTTACTAATATTACAGCGATCTGTTCATTATATAATGCTCTAGTTAGAAGTCACCTAGAAAATAATGCAGTCATTTGGGCTCCACATGAAGCTAAATATATCTATGTTGGAACGCATTCAAAATAAATTTATTAGGTTTATATATTTAAAGAAATATGGAGTATACCCTTTCTACCCGCTAATGTATCCTAATCTGTTTGTATTAGGTATGGTAGGGTACAACGAATTGCGGGTGCGGAGAGAGTTATGCCTAGTGTTATATTTATTTCAATTGATTAGGGGTAAAATTAACAATAGCCAGGTGTTGAGTTGTGTGGAGTTCTGTGTTCCGGATAAATATTACAAAAGCATGGTGTCGCCGTCGACCTGCAACTGCTGGCTTTATGCCGCGCGGGGCCACACACTTACTAGGCAAAGCACCGGTCACAAGAGCACTGCGTACATTGAATCATATAACGGAGCAAATAGATCTATTTTCTTGTTCTCTGAATGAGTTCACGAAGATCGCTTAATAAATAATTATAAGTTATAATTAATTTAAAAAATAATGTTTGCTGCACTATTGTATTAGGCTAAGACCTGTAAAAATAGATGTAAGTGTGGAAAAATAAATAAATAAATAAATATTAATGACAATCTCCTTCGCCCCTATTTACAGAGGTTCAATAACAACATATTCGTCAAAGAAGGCAAGAAGTGTTGCTGCGCGGCGGTTGGTTCCCGCGATCGTGCGCTCTCTATCTGGCTTACGTCTCTCAAACGGCCTCTGGTCGTTGTACATGACCTCTTCACCGACAGCGTGCTGGATCTCTCTTGGAGTTCCGACGGTTAGTACTGCACTTGTACTATAGAAAGAAAGAAGAAAGAAAGAAAAACATTTATTGTCAACCATTTTTACATATACATATATACATACATACATACACACTTAGAACAATTACAATAATAATTTATCTTATATTATTTCTAAATATGGTTGGCAACATGGCTGACACTCAGCATATGCCGTGACAGCTAACTGTCACGGCGCTGGTATTCTGTGCCTGCCATTATCATATATATAGTTTATCATGCACCATGCTTCGTCATTCAAGCTGTCACTATATCGTCATATAGTTGTTGTTGATTACGTTATATGAATTCTTTAGTTAACTACCGATGCTTATGACATACTTGAACAGTTCTTAGTGACAGTATTATCTATGACATAGATTGTTCCTTATACATGTTGTACTCCTAATTATCAGCTCTCAAACACACACCACTGTTCTCACTCGCCGTTACAGCTTAATGCCCGCATGACGCCAGCAGTGTGCGGTAGAGACAACATAATGCTTCCTTCTCTTTTTGGCAAATGTGTTGGCACATTATGTGTGTATCTTAGTCGTCGTTTGTATGATGCGCGAAATCGTACACGCGACCATCGGGGGTAAGGTAATGTGTAGTGTAATTTCCAATACATATATCTCTCAAGAAGTATCTCCACGAATAAGCTTTTTATGGCAAGTTATTTATTCCATTCAGATAAATGTATTTATTATGTTTTTATATTCTTTTTCTTACTTTTCAGGGTTGAACCTTCTGGCTTGCAGCTCAGATGGTACAGTGGCTTGTATTCAATTCACAAACAAAGAAATTGGCACACCCCTCACAATGGATGAAAAGGTATGTAAAGTTTTTTTATTATTTCTATCTAGTTGTTGTATTATAATTTTAAGATTATTAGAAGGAAAAACATATTGGCTATTAAACTAATACTCAGTTATCTACTACTCATAGTAAACTCTGATTAGCTTGGAACTAGGGCTAGATGGCACTGTGTGATTGTGTTATTTACGTTTTGAAATGTGGAGAATTTCTTAGACATATTCCTCTTTTAAATCGTAACTCATCTTAGAAAGCAAGTTGTTTAGCGGCTGAAATAGGTGAGACTACGCAGATGACTTGAAACGAAGTATTAGTACTAATATTATACAGAGGAAAGATTTTTATTGTTAGTTTGTTTGCAATGAAACAATAGGCTTCGAAACAATTGGAATAATTTGAAAAAATATTTTACCATTAGAATCCTATATTATCCCTGATGAATATAGACTATAGAATATTTTCACAAATGTCAGGGCGTGACCCAACGTGTGAGAAAACTAAAATAATAATCCCGTACGCTGCGTAAATTATTGACAGTAGAGCAAAGTGATGAACTACAGTTTTATAGAGGACATCAATATCGAAGGGTATCGAAAGGAAGCAAAGCAAGGGTATATATGTGTGCATAAAAATTAATAAGTTTAGAATTTTATATTAATTACCCGTACGAAGCCGGGGCGGCCCGCTATTTGTATGTAACTTGGCTTAACTGTACAGAATGCGTTCTATGAGAAAATCTACGGCAAATGTCTGGCCAACGAGTCTGGAGGAGACCTGTCTACTAATCTCCTGGTGGAGTGCCCCGAGATCATGCTCGCGAGGGAGAAGCAGGAGGCAAAGAAAGAAGCTGCTAAAGAAGATACTACACCCAAGAGCGACAAGTCACAGGTACTGTGGACAATATTTTCCCATTCACACTAGTTAAGTAAATGTAATTAAAAATATGTTATTTTATCTATTTTTTAATGAAGATATAATTGAATAATAAAGATTTTTTAAAAATTTAATATGATTAATACTAGACTACTAGACTCAGTATTATATGTCAAATGTCAAGAACATTCAATTTATAAATTAATTAAATAAATAAAGATAATGATTGCTCGTTAATAAGGCAAATAAAATATATTTAAAATTTTGCAGTAAATTGTATGTCAGTTCAAAGTTACATCACCCATTCGATCCCAACCGGTGAGAAACACACTGAGCGGCCAGACTTTAGTCGAATAACATTGTTCGTGTTAAAATCCTATTAACTAGTATTAATAATGTCCGTAGATGGCGAAGTCTATAACGGCCCCGCAGTCAGCGTCGCCGGTGTCGACCGCGTGTGGCTCGCCGCTGCGGCCCATAGACAGGCAGATCGAGACTCGAACCTCAGATGGCAAGCGGCGCATCACCCCTGTCTTCATTCCGCTCACACAAGCAGACGCCAAGTGAGAAGATATACGATTATATTTTGACCTTAGACATGCCTATAATCCTTGTTAGTGTGTATTTATTTAGAACAACTTATATTTAAAAAACACGCAAGTTTTTTTTCATCTTCTTGTGATGAGAGGGCGTTCCGAAGGATTCGTTGAAAAAAAATATGACTCTTTAAAACTGCTTATACCAGACACTTTAAAAAAAACTACATTATCTGTGATAATCAAGATTTGTATTTCACGTTATTTGTCGCTGTATACAGCTATATATTCAAATAAAGCAGTATATATAATTTGGAATTCTTCTTCAATTGACAGCGAGTCGTTAGGATCCCAGCCGGGCGGGTCTGAGAACTGCTTCAGCACATCATCACAGAGCAAGTCACGGATCCGTGTGGAGGTTCGCGATGATATCGTTATACATCCAAACGTCAGTAACCACGCAATCAACACCTCGCAGGGCAACTCCCGTCTCAATGAGAAGTTAGTTGTATACATCTTTATACCAACTTTTTTCCGGGACTGTTTTCATAAAGCGATTGACGATCTCAGTGCTGTAGAGATTTTGCATCGAGTATAGAGTTCTTTTCCTCGTATGATATAAACATTTGTATTCATGAGTATGATTGTTTGTAACAGTCTGGGTGTTTTTTATGTATATCAAGTATGTATTTACAAGAAAAATGTGTTTATATCAGTTGTTTATTATCCATAACACACGCTCCGCTTAGCTTGGAACTAGATGGCGCTGTGTAAAAAGGCATACATGCTGATGGCCCATCTGATTGAAAGTGAGTCTTCATGTATTAAGACATAAGGACGACATCCTTATATCTTATGAAGCCTCTTGTTCTTTTTATATATGGATCGGTAAACAAGCTTATGGCCCATCTGGTGGTAAGTGATAACCTGCTGTTTATCAAGAACTTTGAAAACACTAAGACATATTGTAATAATATTACTTGTATTTTGACGCGGCTATATGTTAGTAAGTACTGTAAAAAATAAAGTACATTTGAGCCATACATTTTATTGCAACTTTTATTATTGTCCGTATATATTTAATGGTACATTCGGACAGCGACAGTTCGCAAGAACTCTTAATATTAAAAAAAATACGAAAGATTCTAGTAAACTCCTATTTAATAGTCCACGGGGTGGACTTAAGAGACATACCTTAGTAATTTGCTAGTCTCGGTAATCGGTGTGGTACCCGACAGCGGGCTGGATCAGAGGTTGCGCAAGCGGTCTGCGGCGACGCTGCCGGGGCCCCGCGCCGGAGAGGTGCACGCCAAGCGAGCCTGCGTCTCCCCCGCGCCCGCGCCGGGGCCCGCGGGGCCAGCGGGGCCCGCCGCGTCCGCGGGGCCCGGCCCGGCCCTGCCCGCGCCCACGCTCGGCGCTGCCGGGCCCATAGTTCGCGCCGCCGGCTCGCTCAGGCTGCAGGTAGTTTCTAGTAACTTAGATAGATTTCAATCGATCGCAATATTTGCATTTTCAATTAATACTAATGAAATGCAACTAGTTTATGCTTAGATCTCATTAATATTAAACGCGAAAGTTTGTGAGTGTGGATCGATGTATGTTGCTATTTCACGCAAAAATACTGAACGGATTTTGATTAATCTTTACAGTAATATATGTTATACATCAGAATAATATATAATTCAGGTTATAAAATTGACGCGGGTGAAACCGCAGGCACAGCTAGTAGAGAAGAAAAGAAAGAACATAAAGTGAGGCCAAAATGATGGACTATATCAATAGAATTGCATGATACATTTATGTACACTATATAACTATAATTATTGATAAACAGGTGGTTAATAAGGCGTTCAACACGTACTACGGCACGCTCTCGAGGTTGCAGCTGTTACCCAACAACTCTGCATCAAATGATCCAGTTTGGGAAACATATCTAGGTAAGTCTTATTGTCAACGCTAAAGTCAAAGTTAATTTAATCATATAGTGCACTTTATCATTTACTCAAGAAATAGTTTCCTATCATTATCATTACAGTTCAGTTACAAAACAAGTAAAACAAACGCGAAAACGTTTGTAGTAGTGTAATACATGTTGACACTAAAACCGGAATATACCTACTTGCTTGTGTTACGTCCCTTATAACTAGGTTTAGAAGTTTCACGCCGGCCTTTTCTAAGTAATTTGATCATTTGTTGCTTTATTACTGTAAGTTAATTAAATAAATACACGATTAAAATATATATACATACATAGAAAGATAAGAAAACAAATGTACAAAGTAGTTGTGTATTAATTTATCTACTGACCGTACACTATTAGAATCATGCCTAAGTACATTGAACTGTATTAATGTAATATGAACTGTACTCTCCAGATTTAACGTTTCATCCGTACCCGTTGTGCGTGTATAAATAATTTAATAGTGTAATAAGTACGAGTAATGAGTCGTGGTACTCGTGGTATGCTTGGCAGTGACGTGCCTGTCAAAATAAGAAAAAATATATACAAAGTAGTTGTGTATTAATTTATCTACTGACCAGGTACTATTACAGTGCCTAAGTACATTGAACTGTATGAATATAATGTAATATGAACTCTATTCTCCGCATTTAGCCTTTAATCTGGGTGGTTGTGCTTGTATAATTAATGTAATAGTGTAATAAGTATCAGTAATGAGTCGTGGTACTCGTAGCATGACCGGCGGTGACGTGCCTGTCAAAATAATAAAAAAAAATGTACAAAGTATTTATGTATTCATTTATCTACTGACCGTACACTACTGAGTACATTGACCTGTATTAATGTAATAAGTATGAGTAATGAGTGGCGGTGCTGGTGCAGGCTCGCCGGTGACGTGCGTGTCGTGCGACGCGCGCTGGGCGTGCGTCACGTGCGCGGACGGGCAGCTGCACGCGTGGCGCCTCAGGCCGCACTCGCGGAACGTCGCGCGCGCGCTGCCGCCCATCGGTAACTACCTTTACTTTATTTATATATGTATACACTCGCGGACGGGCAGCTGCACGCGTGGCGCCTCAGGCCGCACTCGCGGAACGTCGCGCGCGCGCTGCCGCCCATCGGTAACTACCTTTACTTTATTTATATATGTATACACTCGCGGAACGCGCGCGCGCGCGCCGCCCATCGGTAACTACCTTTACTTTATTTATATATGTATACACTCGCGGAACGGCGCGCGCGCGCGCCGCCCATCGGTAACTACCTTTACTTTATTTATATATGTATACACTCGCGGACGGGCAGCTGCACGCGTGGCGCCTCAGGCCGCACTCGCGGAACGTCGCGCGCGCGCTGCCGCCCATCGGTAACTACCTTTACTTTATTTATATATTTTATGACTATAATAATTCTCCTTCATTTCACATCAGATCAATTCACATGGATACTAAATGCGTGAATGTGTATTCCAGCGCTGATGTCTCAAGCGGTGAAGCTGTCTCTGTGCGGGGACCGGCTGACGGCGGTGACGACGTCTGCCGAGCTGGCCGTGTGGGACCTGACCACGGCCGCCTGCCTGCTGCGCCCGCTCAGCTTCAGGAACCTACTCGCGCATAAGGGTAACCTCCACTCTCCACTCGCAGCTCACTGCTGGCCGGCTGCCAGCAGTGACCATTTCGAACAGTATCGTCTTAGGAAATATACTCTTTTAATGTATTAAGTCTCATTTAAATAAGATTTTTTGTTGTTACTGTATGTTATGTCTAAAATGGGGTCACCATTTCGTTTCAAATAGTGTTGTATAATATTCCTTAATATCGTGTTATATTTTTCCAGTGACAGTAACGAATTGCTCTCTATTGGAGGACGGTAATCCGATGATCTCCCTCAGTAACGGCAAAACTTACATCTATAGCAAAAAGTTATATGCATGGTAAGTTATAGCTTTTATCATTCTATTTTAACTAATGTTAGTTTACCTCGTCTTGAAAACCGTTATTTGATGATTGTTTGTGGCTCTGCAACTACTGCAGTGGAAAGTTAGTATAATTACTATTATATCTAGATTTGACAAAGTCTAAATGCCAAGATCCTCGAGTGAAAACAATAGTTGACGCCACTCAACTATTGTTTTAATCCGTGGGTCTAGGCATGGCATTTTTAATGATCTGTAACATCAGTAATGATCCTCCATCAGGGTGGTGTGGACTGACTCCGGCGACCCAGTGTGGAGAGCCGGCGGACGACTGGCGGCCCGCCCGCCCCGCGCCCCCGCCCTGCCGCCGCCCACCGTCCGCCGCGAGCGAGCGCCGCCCGCCTCCAGGCCCGCCAGGTACGTAGCCAGGACCCGCCCGCCCCGCGCCCCCGCCCTGCCGCCGCCCACCGTCCGCCGCGAGCGAGCGCCGCCCGCCTCCAGGCCCGCCAGGTACGTAGCCAGGACCCGCCCGCCCCGCGCCCCCGCCCTGCCGCCGCCCACCGTCCGCCGCGAGCGAGCGCCGCCCGCCTCCAGGCCCGCCAGGTACGTAGCCAGGACCCGCCCGCCCCGCGCCCCCGCCCTCTCTTATATGTTACCAACCCGCCCGCCCCGCGCCCCCGCCCTGCCGCCGACCGTCCGCCGCGGCATGCTATCTAGAAGTTATAGTTAATTTATTTCTACGTCTGTTAATTATGGCCATAATTTGCCCAAAATAATTAAAATAGGCGACGCATACCACTTACCACCTGGTAAGTCAACACCGTGTGTGTCCATCCAAATACATAAAATATTTAATAATTAGTGCACCTAATAATGAATGTGACGTATAACAGCTACAGCGCGGAGTGCACCCGCAGCTGGCTGGAGTCGCAGACGGCGGCCAGCCTGCACCTGCAGCTGGCGCACGACTACCGCCACTGGCTCACGTCGCTGTTCACGCACCTCGTCTCGCACGGTAACTATAACAACCTAATATACTAATAATCGGTTATTAACAACACTCTCTCCGCCATCTTGGATTTTATTTTTACGCCATATTCTGGGTGAATAAGGTTATCCACGGATCTCCGACTATTAGCTACCTAAGATTAGGATAGTTAATTAATTAAACTACAGAAATCATTTCACACTCTATGATTGTCCACTGTGAAATGATGAATATATACCACTCTCGTTTTATTGTACACTGGGTGCTGTTGGCCGTTTGTCCGCCATCTTGGATTTTCGCAGCTTCGGAATTTTTTCCTCTTTCCCCCTGTTCATCTATATTAGCGAAGATTACTACTTCATTGTTTTTGTAAGGGGTGCAATATTTTAGAAGATAATAAAATCATCCTACAGTCAAACAAGTATTGGTAAGTATAAGTAGATTTATAGGGGTCATATTTACCATAACATCTTGTAATGTACCCAAAATAGTTACTAATAAATAAATGACTATTATTATTGTAAACAGGCACAGAGGACCAACTGAGGTATATTTTGGACGACATGCTCGGGCCCAGCCATTGTACATCTACGCCCAAAAAGTGGCAATCTACAGTGCTGGTAAGTACATATTGTTCTAAAGAAAAAAAAATCCTGGACAATTAACACAGCGTCATCTAGTCCCACGGCCAGCAAAGGTTGTGTTCTGGGTACTAGACAACTGATATAAATACTTAGATTATTTTTAATATATATAGAACACCCAGACTGATACACATAATTATACTCATGAATATAAATGTTTGCAATAGAACCCCCGATCTTCGTATGTAAAGTGGTATACTAAACCGCTAGACCACCGAGGCTGCCAAAGAAAGACCTTTATGAAGGATAACTACTGGCCGGGCCGAAAGCAGATTGATTGTTTGACTGACTGGTAGATTGTCTACCGTCTACCGAAGTCAATTTTATAACAATATTATAATATTAATTCATATGTATGTCACTTCTTCAGTTAATATTAGATATAATTTGTATTATTTTACAGGGCATAAAGAAACACGATTTATTAGAAGAGATGCTCTCGCTCCTCGTACGGCAGTTGCGATGGCAACGAATGTACTCTGAATATTCGGAACAGTTGAACGACATCAAGCAGACTAACGGCGTCGTCAACGGCCACTGACGGCGTCATATTCAGCGACGTGACGTCACGGACCCACGTGTCACTAGTGATGGCCGACGAATCACTTACCGACGTTGTCCTGTAACTAATCGACGGTATGCCATACACGGGTATTGTGATATAACTAATCGTTATCGTTGCGTCGGCTACGGACATACTTATCGACATTACGTCAGATATGGACGTCGAAATACTGTTAATGGACGGTGCGTCGCGGACGGACGTCTCACTGGTGACAAACTGTACCTCGGATATAAACGTCATGTTACTGGTAGAATGTACGTTAAATATAGATCTCATATCATTGGTTGTCGACGGTACGTTAAGCATAGAACGTCAGCTACGTCATCTTAAGACTAGTTACAGGTGAATCAACTTGAAGACGTTTTTGCGTTTGTAGTAGTGTACGGTCAGTAGATAAATAATGACAAATATTTTATATATTAGTTTTTATTATTTTTATGAGTGGGTAGTTATTGCATATATTGAATATAATGTTTAATAGTGAAATTCTTTAACTGCAGTATCCTTAAAAAATAATAACAGTCTTATATAATAAATGATATGACTAACTCGTTATTACGAAATAAGTAAAAAACGAAATCTTTGACATTATCAACGCAAGTTTCTCGCTTATTTTTCTTGTGATGGGTATGCGTTCCAAATGAGAATAGAATAAAAAAATATGACTATTCAAAAGTGCTTATATTAAGTTAATTTGAAGAAATATTATTTCTATTCTATTCTGTTTCTAACGCAAAAACATAACAAGAGACTGATGCGATCATGCGACAGTATGATGCACTTGTTGACTAGCACTAGCTGATCTATTCCGGTTTTACTTACTGTCTGTATAACACTACTACAAATGCAAAACTGTCTTTGAGTTGTTTTGCCTGTACTTACACTACTTCTTTAAGAACGGTACAAATCAGAAACTTATTTAACTTACAGAAACTTATTTAAGAACGGTATGAAACCTGATTTGGACTGTTCTTAAATAAGTTTCTGTATATGGTTTCCTTTACATTACATACACAATATGAACATATTAGCTAATATCATACGCTCCTATATTATATGACGCAGTTGCTAACAATTCTTAAATATTATTTATGAGAGATGGATTGTAAAAAGTTTATGAAAGGTACCAAACTTGAGTCTAACCTATTTTAGCCGCCCAACCGCCGGATGCTTAAGCAGTTACTGTATGAAAGTAATGATATCTTATTCTTCTAGAATGGCAACCCAGTAGTACGGCTGTTACATGATAATGTGATGCCTGCAGTGTTGTATATACATGCCTGTAATCGCTTACCATCAACGGTGGCATGATTGTAACAAAGAAAAAAAATTGCATTAAAATTTATAGGTTCCAATCTTGTATTTATTACTCAAACGGGGATCGAAATTACGACGGCCTGAGCCGAGGTTCGAACCCGTAGTGGTGCCCTCAGACTAAAAGTCGTATCCGTCAGGCTGGAGTTGGTCTTCAGCCGCTCCATAAGACCTGCATTTTGGAGTATCATCTGCACTCACCCCCTATCGTCCGGTGAAACTGTAAAGGCCAGCTACGGCCAACAGCATTAGAGCAGTCTGAAAAAAAAATCTGGTCTGCGGGGTACCTCAAGTCTATTCTATTTCAATCGCCAAGCAAGCAACAGTAGAATTATTAGCAATCGTCTTACATAAAAACTAACTTAAACATCTGATCTCAAAACAGTCTAACAGTATCTTAACTTATACTGTGGTGATATAATTACATCACATATTGACTGATTGTAATATAAAATAATGCATAATTAACTTTGAATCGAAATTAGATTCTTAATTAGACTATTTCATGTTAACTTATTTGTATATTTTGGTTTGGAAGGAAATTCTTTTTATGATTTAGAAATTAACATGGCATTTATATTTTCTAAACCATTGGCTGGGTATTTGTTTGGTTTAAATGAATAGGTTGTACACTCATATCTAAACAATATGGTATTATCAAACTTGAGACAGTCAAGACCTAAGTTTGCAATATGAATGTGGACCTACATGTATCATGTCCAGGCAAATCAACTTACAGACGTTTTTGCGTTTGTAATAGTGTATGGTAAAAATATATTAGTTTAGGACAATTTAGGTCAAGGGTCTTCAATCCGCGGCCCGCCGATGTGTGTTCTACGGCCCGCCAACAGCATAGGTCCACTCTCAATTAAGTAATAAGTACGTGTAATATAAAATAAAAAAAAATGGCCCTTGATTTGTAAAACGTTGAAGATCGCGGTCGCGATCGGTTTAGGTTATTATTGCATGTATGAAATATAATTACCAATTTTATTAACAGGATTAAATAATATTGTTATTTAATCCTGAATTTATTAATATATTAAAACAATGAACTAATTAATTAATGATGGCTTACTTGATAAGACCACCTTTCGTACATCAATATCTCTTGTAAGTGGAATTCATGTGTAAAATGTTTGGTGCAATAAAGAGTTTATTAATAAAGAACAGAACGGCGTGACTTTTCTGACGCTACTTGCAAGTAACGGATGCGGACCGTGCACGTGTTAGTTAGCGGAAACTGGTTTATTCCGGTTTAATAACTGTCTGTATTACAATACTATTAGTCTACTATTTACGCAAAAACCTCTTCAAGCTGATTTGCCTATAGTCACAAGTGTGAACATTATTTGGAAAGATTTATGTCGTTGATTATTATATTACTAAGACGCGTGATTTTTATATTGTATAATATGAGCCAAAATGAAAACGTGTTCGAAGAAATGAAACTTATAGTTACTGTGTAGTGAAGTTAACTACTAGATTGTATCAAAAATATGTTTTAATATAATTTATTTTCTGTCTAGAACATGTAAAATAAATTATAATACAACAATATTATATTCGCTCTTCTTTGAAAACGTTTCTCATGGATCAACAATAATGCGCTAGAAAGAATAAAATAAAGCTGTCTGCTCTCTCTATGAGATTTCTGTAAATGTATGATTTTTTTGCTTTGGATATATTTTTATTTACTAATTATACCGCAAATTGTTTAGCTCCGTTTATCCATGAGGAATGTCTCTAAACACGGGCAATTCAATGAGCAAATGAATAAATAATTATTAATTTCTAGTAATATTAGATAGCAGTGTTCATATCAATCTTATGAGAGTGCTTGATAGCCTTTTGATAGAATGCCTTGGGTGTGTGTGTGTAGATATAAAAAAATATAAGACTTAAAACGTGTTAGACACCAATTTAAGTATGTTTCATATAGAGTCACTCATTTCATCTCATTAGAAATTCCTTTTCCTACATCCATTGTATGCCAATTAGCTCATCCTAATCCTATGATGACTAGTTCCGAATATATCCAAAATGTAACCCGTTCCTTTCCATTATCCCATCCCGTTTCCTGTTTGTTAGTGGCATAATAAACAACACTAGCCTCTTGCCAAAAGAAGAAGGAAAAATAATGTTTCACATCATATTTATTACCTACTATAATAGTGCCCAATATTTTGAGATTCTATAGTGGTAAAATATTGAATAGAGTCATTTCCATCGATGATAAAGATTTGCAGATTTTGTTAAATGGAAGAGTAAATGCACACCCTATGTGATTGTAGCTCACTTATGTGAAACATCTGCTTTGGAAAGTAGACACTATATCATAAGGAGATAAAAACCATCGCTCCTAAGAGTATCCTGCAATTCTTGTCGCTGACGTGCCTAGGCTGCGAATTCAATAAAATAAGCAAGCACTAGATCTATGCATATATCTATGTATTTCTAACAGTTATCTAGTTCCTACAGCATAAGCTCTGCTTAACCTGGGACTAGATGGCGCTGTGTGAATTGACGTAAGTTATTACTAAATTAAATTGCGTAGTCTATTTTCCATTTTACATAAAACAGTTTATTATTAAGCGTGTAGTGTATAAAATAACTATTCTACTGCCAATATTGTATTACGAGAATAATAATTATTATAAGAGAATGTGTAATGTAATTTATAAATGAGAGGTTCATTAATGTATTAAAATATGTATCGGTCTCATACGTGATCTGCGCGGAGAACTGAATGTTAAAAACGTAATTTGACGGTAGTAAAAGCTTTGAAAGTGCACAGTTTAAAAGCTTTTAAACCAACATTTTATACAAATGGGATATATATTCCTTTATAGTTCAAAAACAAATTATTCAAAAGTTTTATTACTGTAACTAAGGCTGTGTATACACATAAGATTGGAAATCCGGACAATATGCGTATGAAATCATTTAAATCTTTAAATAAACGTACCTATTAAGTTAAATTAAGAACCTAAAAATGAAACAAAAAGTTACAAATGTTAAGATTTTTTTAAAGTCATCCATGTTATGTTGGCATGTTGTTTTGGAAAAGTAAGAAGTTAGAGACCCATGTATTCATGACTTAATAAGTGAGTATTATAAGTGATATGTATAATCCTTTGTATGGTATTGTGTAATTTCTCTGCGTATATTTTAGGCACGCACAGGTCCGGATTAATCATTAGGCAAAATAGGCAACTACCTACAGGCCCCACATCGATTAAAAGTCCTTAGCATGCATAAAATAAATTAAAAATATATAGGGTACTACCCTTTATATGCACATATTTTCTACAGCAACTTATGAAGTTCTTGTCTTCTGAGGTATTTCAAGATGTTTCATAATGGAAATTTTATTGTAAATTTGTAACCTTACTGATGATACTGCATGCTGTCATTTCTTGAAGTATATTTTACTTAGAGAGCAAGACCATCTAATATCGAATAGTAGAATAATATAGCGTATTCCATGATAAACAAATCTTAACAAAAAGTCTCGTTCTTTCGCCCATTTGTGAAATAGATATAAAATAAAAAAAAATATATAAAATTCCTTTCTCAAATACTTTATTTTAATAGGAGACTTGCATTGCCTTTGGGCACTAGGGGTCCCAACGTGGTGCACCCGGCCTTGTGCACACAGTATGTGTATGTGTATAAACTACTTAATATTATTTCGACTTGACTATGTTAATTACTCGGGTATGTGCGACTAGTTTATAATTTAATAGACAAACTAAACAACACTGCCATCTATTTATACGATAACTCAATTTGACTCGCTCTATCTATTATTTTTATTAGAATCCATATACGCTTTGATATTTTAAAATTTGTAGTTTACAGTGTGTAACTATGTATTAGTGTCAAAAATCTTTCACTAAATAAAAGCAGCTATAACAGAAAATCTAGTCAAATTGGTTTCCTTTTTTTATGTAGTTTTATATTATTTTCTTTTTTATATGTAGTATTATACTAGGAATGGTTAGTGTTTTGTTTTTAGAACGCATATCGCTGTTTAGTTAGAAATATTTTTTTTTATAATGTAAAGGTAGGTAGGTCTACACTCAGTTATTATTCTGTAGCGCGTTTAATTTCCTATGTTTTTATAAACAAACAATGCATAACGCATATGACAACTTATATTGTATTATGTATTACATTTATCATGAACAACGTGGACAATGGAATTATGTAATTTTTTTTTTCTATTAAATCATTCAATATGAACATAGTTGAATACCATACTGATCAAAATGTAATAAATAAATATACTAAATATAATACAATGTTCTCATAAATGTGTTGTTATTTGTGGTCTCTAGTTCAATATAAATAATCAAATTTCAGTGTAGATCATACAACCTGAAATTCAGGGACCATATCGGAGGAGTATTAGAAATGGCCCTGGATTATTTCACACGGGGGCATATCTTAGTTCTTATTGTACCAAGAGAATCACATGGCAGCTCAGTAAGGGGTGCTGTTGATGCATATAGGCAACGGATTGTTTGCAACTTTCAGTTCAATCAATTGAGTCTATCGTTACCCCCGTATATAAATTATATATAGGGGGTTTGTTGCTTCTTCACGACTGCAGATCTTAATGAAATATGAAGTATATTGTCACAAGTTGCAACAAAGATTACCTTTTATCGCATAAAAAGCAGACGTCTAAATAGAGATCCTGGGTGTTGGCCTTTGGCCTTGTGTATTTATTCTTGGCTGATTAACTATGACCATGTAACTTCTTGTACAAGGTTAACTTACATGGTGTTAGTTTAATGTATTGTGACGCTTGTGTGGCAATAAACTGTTTATTTATTTATTTACGGAACAGCCACAACTGTAATAACAAACAACAGGTACGCATATGTACTTAGTAGCACATTTCGCATTATACCACCGTAAAACATGAACATAGAACACACGGTTGATTCTTTGCTAGAATATGAGTGAAGTTTAGTTCACATCTACTGTAGTAACTCAATTTGTTGCTCATAAAACAATCTAATCGGTTTCGTTTTCGTTATTTATTCATGTTGAATATTTGGTCGAGGAAAGTTAAAATAAGAAACAATGTTTGTATCACAATAATTTATTTTTACAAATGAGAGGGATCACAACATGCTAAAATGACATCATCATCGTGTTTACTTGAGAAATTGTTAAAATTATTCTTCCTCATGAATGACAATAAAACAATTATACAGTAAATAGACATATTTTAATATGGATGGTGAATTAACTAAGAAGACAACTGCTCGAAGGCACTCGATGATTAATTTCTACAAATTAAGTCGCAAGTTTGAGCTCACAGTCCGGCGGCCATCGTGTCAACAATTCGTCTATCTAACAACAATCGAAAAACGGTCCACTCCTAGTGGTAAAATTTCATAATTGTACATCAAAAATGACAACAACTTTTACACCGATATGGATTTGCGACTACGCAAATTTGGTCCCACAAGCGGGTCAACACGCCGGCGATACGTCGCCACTGTTTCAACCTACGTAACATACATTACTCTGTTAAACCATCTAAACACTTAGATACTACAATATATGTTATACGATGTGATCGACACATTAACAATTTTATTATCTAAGTTTGCAATAACCGGAGCGGTGCGCGTATGTACAGCTCGCGGCGGGCGACCGCGACGTACCTTACAATTTTGCCGTTTGTACCGTCGCTGTAGGAACGCGATTACTTCACGAACTCCGGTCGGCGGGAGTCGGCGGCTCGTGACCGCGCGGTCACGCTCGCACTACGCCAAGGAAAAGCCAAAATGAACGCTATATGCTATAGAATTGTAATAATTTTTCCATGGAGGGGTAAGGTATGAAATTGTGGTTATTATGTTATGCGGTATAAAGAAATCGTCATAAAAATATTTAGGTATATGATAAATTACATCAATATTGAAGAGTTCTTAATGAGGTGATAAATAAAGAAATGCATTACATTTTTCTATTTTAAAATAGTAATATTTCGCTTCTTGTCATACAATTCACTCAAAGAAATCGCTTTTCAGCGATAAGGCCTCTTAAGTTGCCTTTTTTTTTCATATCTCATATATTTATACATAATAGATTATGTAAATGTTTGTTATTTTTTCTTGTGTTTTTCATTCCTAATTTAAAAACCACGCTCTTGTCAGTAGAGCTGTTGCCACTTTCCACGATTTATATTATGCCAGACATTATTTACAAAAATAATTTGACTTTACCAATTACCTTTGAGCTTTCACTGAGCAATTATAAAATATTTATGTAAAAACTATATAATTTTTTTTTCTGAAGTAAGTTCATTGTTGACTTTCCTCTTGTACCGAGCCCACTCGACCAATAAAAAAGCAGCGAGTTCGCGTAATCGGGCCCCTACCGTTTTATAATATACAATTGTAAGCCTAACTTAACTAGGTATGTACAGGTGCGGGGCCGTCAGCGGAGGCCGAGGCAGCACAGGTACCGCTAGCAGAGCACGGCGCGGTCGGGGGGCGGAGCGCGCGCCCGCAGGCGTCCGCAGTCGAGCGCGCAGTCGCAGCCGCAGCCGCAGTCGCCGGCGTGGTGCGCGTGCGGCAGCTTGGCCGGCTTCTCGTAGTCCGGCTGGAACTTCTTGCAGAGCGCCAGCACCGAGGGCGGGTGCGGGTGGCACTTGCGCGACACCTGCAACCGTACGTCCGAGCGGTCAGCCTCCACGATACGGAGCGAGGGGGAGAACGCCGCGATCACCGCTAGCTGTTAATGGTCAATTGAAATATACAATAGAATCCCACCAAAATATAAACAAGAGATATTTCCCTAGAACAATTAAGTTGAATGTAATATATTGTATCGCAGATCGTTAAATTTGACGGTCTCGGTTGTCTAGATGTTTAGCACTACACTTTACTTCCGATGGTCGCGGGTTCTTTCCTCGCATGATACAAACATTTGTATTCATCTGTATCGGTCTGGATGTTTTCTATGTATATTATGTATGTATTTACAAAAACATCTAAGTATTTATATCAGTTGTCTAGTACCCATAACACAAGCTCTGCTTACCTGGCTGGCGTTGACTAGATATGTTGTGATAACGTTATGTGAATTGTCCAGAGGTATTATTGAATTATAAAAATAAACTTTGAAAATGTAACATGCATGTATAAATTTCATTATCATCATCAGCTACATATGACAAAGACACCAAAAAGAGATGGATATATATTTGTGAATGTTGATGAACACAAGAAAGAAACACCACTCCAACCTCAAATGATAAGAGAAGATAGATGATGTATATAAGTATAATAATAATTATTTACTACATAACCAATAAAGTACCTATAATTTTATAACCATTTGGCCGTGCCCTAACCAACCACACGTGTCAACCAAATTCATTAATTCAAGGTATCGGTGCGGTCGAAGCGCCTCACCTTGGGCGTGGAGGGCGCATCCGGGAAGGGCGGCGAGTGATCGCGGGTGTGCGCATGCTTAAGCGGCTTATCGCGCTCGTCCGCCTCCGGCGCTGCGTCCGTCGCACGGGACTCTGACTCTGCGGAGCGAAATTAAATAATCACATTACATTATAATTCTACACCATTAAATAATACACTAAAATTTATATTTCATATCGAAAACAAATAAACTATACATTATAGGCAGATCCATTACAATTATATATATTATTTAATAAACATAATAAATAATTGTGAATTTATACAATGAAAGAAGTTTTGGTAAAACTTCATTTATTAAAATTACCTATAATTTTTTTTTTATATTTTCGAATAAGATTTTACATATTCATGAAATAGGGGATCGGATATCATCTAAACATTTTCTATGGAATATTAAACGAAGCCACCCTATAGTATGTTTTTAATTTACAACTGTAGAAAATTGGTATACATGATGAAGTCTAAGAATTTTTCTGTCTTTATCGCTCGTGGGCTATTTTCTTACAGTAACAAATCTGTAATCTTACACTAACAAATCACTAGTCCTTAAAGTCCTTTTAAGTCGTAAGGCTCCTTGAAAAATATTGCACAAATTCCCCTTGGATAGTCTTCTGAACGAAAAAGAATATTAACATAAATGGCTAATTTTATTGTATATCCATACAAAATAACTAAATTAAAAATACCTTTATCATCATCTCGGGTCCCATTGGTACCATTGCAGCCGTTCACATCTTTATGGCCGTTGACACCGTTGACTGTTGCGACACCATTGACCCCGTTCGTCCCGTTGACATCGGCACCGGTGTCATCTGAGTCCGCATCTTCATCTTCGTCGCTACCGACATCGGCGGCGTCAAATCCCACCCCCATAATAACTGCGGGTATATCTGACTCGTCTTTCAACCAGGGGTGCTCCAGGCACTCTTCCACTGTGAGACGACCCCTGAGAAAATAGAAATGACATTAATACGTACAACTGAATGTGCTGATGATGTCTTAAGACTATCTGATTGCCTTTGCTATGATGAGTGAAACACTTGACATATATTGGAATAGGACATGGAAGCTAAATTAATTCAGTTTGTTATCGATATTTGCTTCCTATGGCCTTCGTGTAACCGCGGATAACGTAGTAACACTAGAAACATCACTCGGGTGTTGCGGAACGTTACAGGAGGCCATCATCATCAAGAAACTGTTACTAATAGCAGCTTAATAACCAAACGGACAAATTTATATCAATAACAAAATGGTCCCTCTGGAATTCATTTTGATTTTGGAGAATCTACAATCAAGATCTAAGTGACTTGATTCAATCTTTCTCTTGCATGCAATACTAACGCAAGTGTTCATCACTACAACATAATAATAAAAAAGCTTGTCACATCACCGTTACTCACTTAGGATCCACAACAAGGGTCTCCTTTATGAACTGCACGGCTCGCTGCGACACCCCGCGGAACAAACACCGCGGGAACGTGAGCTGGCACTGCGCGATGTTGAGGTATGTCTCCTGTTTGGTGTCGCCTGCGAACGGCGAGCAACCGGTCAGCAGCACGTAGGCAAGTACACCCACCGACCAAATATCCGCCGCCAAGGACAATGGCTCGTATGATAGGATTTCAGGAGCTGGAAAAAGAAAATGAAAACACAATGTAGAATTCAAACTGAACACATGAGATATATTCAGTATTTCATGAGATACTTTAGATTCAATTAAGATATAAGACGATAACAGAAGTTTTTAGCTGAATGAATTGGCTATCTCTAAGGATATATATAGATTTTTAACGGTTAATTCATTCCCGTAAGAGACCTGACTAAAAAACGTAAGTACGTATTATTATTATTATATATATATATAAATGTATATAATGTGTGTATTGTCATCATCAAACTTTCAACTTCAATGTTTATTTACTTACCAACATAATCTCTCGTGCCCAATATTTCTCTGACATGTGCTCCTGGCTGTATGGCGCGGCTAATTCCAAAATCGCATATTAGAAGCTCTTCGCCGCTAGCAGACAGCAGCAAATTCTGTGGTTTTAGGTCTAGATGTGCGATACGGCGTGAGTGTAGGTGCGCCAGACCCTCTAGGACGTGGCGTAAGGCACGTCGGGCCGCACCCTCCGTTAGTCGTTCATCATCGTCCAGAAGACGCTGTAACTCGCCACCCGCGCATAGCTCTAGTACGATGGCAACTTCTGAACGTGTATCATATACCTGGAAAGTCGGAAATAAATTTGCAACTTAGTAGATTACACAACAGTAGAAAACTATAACAAGAAATATAAATTAGATGACAAAACGACATTCGATTTGAAATTCAAATCAAAATTCCATTCAATTTGGATGCAATTTTGTACCAAGTGGTTTTAGTGCTCAAAAAGTAATTTTGAAATTTTAGGAAGATTGCCTTGCGTAGCAAGATAGAGTTGTTTGCTATTCAAATTTACTGGTACCTGCACAAATAGTTTTGAATTAAATGATATTATTGTACGTAACAGTTCAGTAGCCGAGTGATAATAAGTAAACGATAAAACCAGAATGTATTCGTGATTCTAACTTATGGGCGTTGCTCACAAACTAAACCTTTGGCACAACCGCAAGCAGAGTAGAGAAGCAATTTGCAACATCTGACAATCTGATTGTTTACCAAAAATTCATATTCACAAATACATTCAGTTGGTTGGCTAATGTTTAGGATGAAAATATATATAGAAAGGTATTTCCTGATTGGTTCCTTGAAGACCACGTATTGTTAGTTGTTACTGATGAACTATCAAACAAACCTATTTGCGGTTGAACTTACTGGAAGAGTCATGACAAATTACTAACTAACCTCATGCAAACGGACGACACGTGTGCAATCGTGGCAAAGTGCGAGTACTGCCACCTCATGGAGTATCTCCCGTGTGGTGTCCGCCGCGCGCCGGCGCTTGCGGATGAATTTGGCTGCGTACTCCTCACCAGACACCAAGTGTCTGAGTTTGCGGACTGACGCGAATTTGCCCCTGAAAATAAAATATTACTAATTTTAGTTTCTGTTAAAGTTGCGTTTATTTGTAATGAATAAGAATTACTTTATCTCAGATTATTATTTTTATTTGGTTTTATCCGTATTAGATGGAAGTTACAGTAAAAAAAGTAAAGTGTAGCGTCTAAATTTTTGACATTTTGTAGAGAATGGACTTCTCCTCCATTTACCGTTAGCGAATTTTAATGTAATCAATTTCTTAAAAATAAATAAAGATAGTTACTACAAAAGATATACTATATACTAAATATAAGAAAATATGTAGAAAATCATTGTAGTGCAATTCCGTCGGAAATTACGCAGCTGTGAATCACGCACGCACAACCCAGCCTTTTGCAATCCTACCCAGGACGTTGATATGTTGCTACTTATACTGCGTACTACTGTACTGCGGCTTGGATATTTAGATTTAGATTAGAAATGCTAGAGCATGTATTAATATTTCAGATGAAAAAAAAACAATAGCTTAGCATTCCCAGCCCATTCTTCTTAGCTTAATCTGTATTCCAAATATGCCCATAGTATCAATACTACTTACTATATTTCTCACTGTCATGAATTATTGTACTCCAACATCATCCTGGCCGCTTTCATAAATAGAGACAAATATCTTATCAGAACAACAAGTTTTTAGCTTTACACTAAAGCTATCTAATGAAAGCTTAGAAAGTTTAATGACTCAGAGAAATCTATGCGCTGTTCGCATAGACTATAACAAGAGTAAAACCTAAATCTACATTAGCAATTGGCCAATTTCATTAGCCGTCGCCGTGTAAGACACTCCGAGGACCATAAACATTTCAGAAGTGGCGTAAGCCGTGAGTTAGTCACGATAATTACCGGACCGTAAAATATCGGCGCCTGCGCACGCTCCCGACGCCGATAAACAACGAGATCCACCTAGACTATCTTGGAGATTTCTCCCATTAAACTGTTATCGAGTAAACGTCATTAAACAAATGGCCATTGGGGTAGGATAATTTAATTCCACTATTGAAAGTATCGTGTGAGACCATCAAACATTTTGTGGGGATGACTGTTGACCAGTTGCAAAGTGTTTACTTTCCAAACTTCTCTGCATCGTCTCTGAATTTGCTGGATTGATGTTATTGCAGTGATTTCTCGCTGAATATGTTGCTTTTGATGAATGATTTTTTAAAATCCATCAAGTATTTTTCGTTTGTCCATAAACAAAACATTCTTTACGTTGGCGTAGATAATACTTATTTCTAATGCAATGCACATAGGTCTATTACTATTAAAATTCCTTTAGAAATTTCCTATAATTATGGTCTCCCCACATTTGGTGCAACATACCACAAGAACAATGGTTAATTTATATAATGTTGTGTGAATAATTTAACAAACAAAGCGGGAGGCGTGAGGTGTAAACCGTTTTACAGCTAATTCTAAGTAACGCGTAAATGTTCACTGCACCCAGGGATGCCAACCATACGAGAATGTTCGTAAAGGTACCAGATATTTAGCTTTTGGTGCGACAACCTTTTCTTCATGTGTACGAAATTTTGCTACAGCTGGTCTTTACAGCTGCACCGAACGAAAATGGGTGCGGGAGCAGAGGGCAACAAAATCCGCGTTAGGGGGTTATGTTGGCCTAAAAGCTAAGCTCGATAAGCTTATCGAGCGGCTGGAGGCCAAATATTTCGACGACGACGACAACTCAGGCCGTCGCAATTTCGATCCTCATTTAGATGTGGCAGGGAATCGATCCGAAGAGATGGAATTCTGCAAAACTATACGAGAGTCAAATTGGGCCAAAATATGAGAGTTTCGACATGTTCGTACGAAGTAAAATATTTTAAGATGAGCAACCCTGCCTGGGCCTGCACCGCATTCGTACGGCGCCGGCGCCGGCCGCCCGCCGCGTTCTCTAGCTGTCGACGCGGACGCTTTAGCGCGGAATAGTTGGCGGCCCAATGATGTACTACAATGTAATTTAATGCATGCTAAATAATAAATCACAACAGTTCATTAGTTTAGTAAATACATTTGTATACTTTATAAACGGAAAATATCTATTATAGTGAGTCAGCTGGAAGTAGGATGACACTAGAGTGTGTAAAGGAAAATTAATCTAACACTATATATATACATATAGTACACACTATATAACACTATGGTAGACGTTTAAAACGTTAGATATTTGGACGGCTCAATGAATTTGCATGAATATTGCTTATGCAATTTTTTTTATTATTGTATAATGAATAGTTATATTATTATTAACAAGTACACTATTACATTTATATAACATCAGTAACGTCAGGTAAACTTCAATAAACAACTGACCAACCTGTTACTCTACTTATTGGCATTGCTGACTCACGGAGTGCAAATTTTATATCAAGACAGAGCTATCAAGACTAAACAATCTGAATGAATAATTTCTCGTAGTTCAAGATTATTATCTTTGAGCTATTTATGAAAATGAAATTTGGTACTCCAAAAACAGAAAATGCCTGGATATACAAATTATACATATAAATTCAATTTGGATTTACTTAAGACCTTTTACAATTTCTTACTTAACTGGGAACCTCGAACATCTGAGATCCCGTGACCTACTTAGAGAGGTGGGGCATGGTGTTCACAGGGGCTCTATTGATTTTTCTAACCTAAAACAGTAAGAAAGGAAGCGGCCTATACAATTTTAGAGAAAGTAGAAAAAACATAAATAAAATAATAGAGGAGGGAAAAATTGTCACCGAAGTCTTGCGGTTTAGAACACGAATTGTTTCTGACGATCTCAGGTTCTATTCACACACTAAACAAATATTTGTATTCAGTACTATAACATATATTGGTCTGGATGTTTTCTACAAAAATATATTTGCTATATAAACAGTAGTACTATAGTAAAGATCGGAACCTACATTAGGATATCTTGTGTTACAGTATTTATAATGCTCGGCTTAGCTTGTAACTAGAAGTCGACGTATAAATTGTCCAGAGTTATTAATACTATTTAAATATTAGAGCATTTGATATATGAATATTTATAGAAGACCTTATAAAGATTTATTGAAAGAAAGAGAAGACCATAACACTTTTTCATCGAAGTAGGGAACACCAGTGTTTTTCCCATTCTACCGCCACAAAGCTTGCTTCGTAAGTTTTACCTATTTCCGAGTTTTAAGGGTGAGATAAATGATAGGGTTTGGACACCATACTTTAGATCTTAGTAATCCTGTTCATATATATAAACAACGGTTGTCTCTTTTCATAAAATAGGCTTGTTTGCCATTCCCACAATAAAAAAGTTTTTACTTCTTTTATTGTGGGAAATTTATTTCACTTACATAAAGATACATGCCACAACTATTTGTGTATACTTATTAGTATTATCTAAATCCCTTTGTAGTAAAAGGCTTATTGGCATACAATACTGAACATTACGGGTCAATACTGCGTGCTCATAAAATGGCAAATAACAGTATATCATAAATCGCAGTTTAATGAGACAGCCGTGTGCAGTATCTAAATAGGGCGCCGAGGGCGGTAGGGGAGTGGGTCGTGCCCTAAATGTCCTGTCGATCTGTGCCGCTCGGCCAGCTGACATTGCTCTTATTATTTTACGCGCGAATTGTAAATGTGATCTTTTAAGATTTACAAATTAGATATTTTGAAGGTGATTAGTGGTTGTGGACACCGCCTTACTTCCGATGGTCACGGGTTGGATTCCTCGCACGGCACTAACATTTATATTTATGTCTATGATTTTCTATGTATGTATTTACGATAAAAAAAAAATCTATGAATTTGTATTAATTGTCTAGTGCCAAGGCAATACCAAATGTCTACCGTCACGGAGAACGAATTCTAGACATGTCTACATTTCGCTGGGTATATTCGAACCGATTTGATATTTCTGACTGTCTCAGGCCTTTCAGGATAACACTGATATCGCTGATGAACAGCAGAGCGAATTAACAAGAACAGTAACTATTGTTGACTACAAAAAACATTTAAAAAGGGAATGTAAAAAGTTTTTTTTTTCTAATTTGTAATTAAAAAAAGAGTGACAGTTCTCGGCATTTCCATATACTGCCCAGTTATTGAAATTCAAATAATCAATTTGTACCATACAACAATAATACGCGTATGTCATCAAATGGTCACTCAGCAGTCAGGTATATTGATAGACATCGCATACCAGTCAGGTCACAGGCGGATCGATGGGTCGTGCCCTAATTATTCTGTCCTGCATCCAGATCTGGGTTGCGTTGATATTGACCTTATTGGAATCGGGTTAATCCTTCTGAATGTGAAAGTATATTGAGATATTTGTACGTTTATGATTTATATAGAGATATTGTATTAGCTTTTACAGTAGGAGGGATTTTAATAAAATCTGTTATTTACATATATAGATTTTTAACACATTTTCGCCCCGCAGCAATAAGGTAACTATTTTATAATGCACTAGCTACTCGCCGCGGCTTTGCACGGGTGTACATGTATTATATATATATAAACCTTCCTCTTCAATTGCTCTATGTATTAAAAAAAATCCGTTGCGTAGTTTAAAGATTTAAGCATATATAGGGACGGACAGACAGCGAATTTGTTTTATACTATGTAGCGATAGTGATAATGATAGAAAAGAAACTAATTTTGAATACAGTTGGTTATATTTCCTAGTTCATTTTAATATAATATTTTTGGAATACATATATTTTGATATGAGACAGGTACCTACGTCAATTCTAATGATGCGGCATAGCACTTCATGGAATACGAAGAAACAATTCCTTGACAAGTGTAGACAGGCATCTAAAACGAAATTGTTTCTGCAACATCCTACTGGATAGGTAAATGAAGAGAAAGCAAAGAGTGAAGTCACGGAAATTTGCTAGTAAGTATATTAATAAACAATATTCGTGTCACGAGGAAAAATTCTAACTATTTATATTTACAATATTGTATTGTAATATATTTACCAAGGGCGGTATTGAC